GTGTTACTGCCGGACATGTCGGAAGAGATGCTACCATCAAGGCAGCACAACGGCACTACTGGTGGCCAAGCATGACAGCTTGGATTGCTGACTATGTAGCTAGCTGTCCAGTTTGTGCGAGGTACAAAGCTCCTCGTCATCGTCCGTATGGCCTTCTACAGCCACTTGCCACACCAGACAGGCCCTGGGGCTCGATATCCCTCGACTTCATTGAAGGACTACCACCTTCAAAGAACTATGACTCCATCCTCGTCATTGTCGATAGGCTGACCAAGTTTGCCATCCTGGCCCCGACCCATAAGACAGTCACGGCCAAACAGACTGCAGTGTTGCTATATGGACACATGGTTAGACTCTTCGGATACCCTGATCACATGGTCTCGGACCGAGGCAGGCAGTTCATATCAGGAGCATGGAAAACCTTTGCAGAGCAGATGGGTGTGAAGCACTCACTTAGCACGGCTTATCATCCTCAAACTGATGGTCAGACAGAGAGAGTCAACCAGGTCGTGGAGCAGTACCTAAGGATGTACTGCAACTATGAGCAGAACGACTGGGCAGACCTGCTGGACACTGCAGCCTTTGTATACAACAACACGGTCCACAACAGCATTGGTGTCTCACCATTCTTTGCATGCTATGGATGGAACCCCAAAGCCCATCCTGACATCCCTCAACGACTAGGAGTCAATGATCCAGGTCGCTTCGAGTACCTCATGGATGGGAAGGAGCGTTGCAAGTATCTTCAGGAGCAGATCAGGGAGGCACAGCGTTGGACGGTGGACCAGTATAACAAGAAGCACAAGGACATCGAGTTTAAGGTGGGTGATATGGTCTATATCAACCGCCGGAACTGGAAGACCAGGCGACCTACACCAAAGCTGGATACCCGGTTTGCAGGACCCTATCCAGTCCAGGAACGAGTAGGACGCCGAGCATACAGGATCACATTGCCAGCAAACCTTAGGGTTCATGATGTGTTCCATGTCTCCATGCTCGAGCCAGCAAAGACTAGCTCACTTCCTCACAGGACAGACCAGCCAATCGTACCATCACTTCCTGATGAAGACCTCGACTTCGAAGTAGAAGCACTCATTGACAAGCGCTCATTCAATGGGACTACGGAGTACAAAGTGCTTTGGAGGGGGTACTCAGAGGAGGCAGCCTCTTGGGAACCCATCTCAAACCTCGACTGTCCCGACCTCATCCGGGAGTATGAGGTATCAGAGGGGGGAGGAGCGAGCAGAAGAAGGAGGAGAGAGCAGGAGGAGGAGTAGCGAAGGAGGAGAGAGCAGGAGGAGGAGTAGGAGGAGAGGAGCTAGTATGAACCAGACACAGAAGCATGACTAGCCTCAACGGAGCTCGGCTCTTAAGAGGGGGGTAGTGTCATAGGCCTTAGGACACGGGCATGGAGGTTCATAGAAGGGGAGCATAGAGTACCAAGGCTCGGGTCATAAAGGAAGACCACCATAGCAGGCCTAAGGATGGTTGAGCAAGAGGCCGGAGGCCTAGCTGGTACTAGTAGCAGGCGTAGTGGGAGAGCAACTTGACCGGCCTGTATGCAAGGAGGTCCAAGCACGTCATGGAGGACCGGCCTGTATGCAAGGAGGTCCAAGCACGTCATGAAGGACCGGCCTGCTGACAAGAGGTCACTGGTAACCGGCAAGCAGCTCATAAGGAGGAGGAGCAGTGTCGATGGAGTCGACACAGCTCATGAGGAGGAGGAGCAGTGTCGATGGAGTCGACACAATTCAGGAGGAAGAGGAGCAGTGTCGAAGGAGTCGACATAGCTCATGAGGAGGAGGAGCAGTGTCGAAGGAGTCGACACAGCTCAAGAGGCACAGGGGTGCCAAGCAGGAGAGGCCCCTGAGCAGTACTCGATGAAGAAGGCACTCTCTGGAGAGAGAGCAGGAGCAGCATCGCTGGCGATACTGTGAAGAGGTATATAACCATGCTTTCTCATCATCATAGGCCGAGTGGATCCCCATCCACTCTACTCACCATATAACTAGTCAATACTTAGAACACAAGTACTCATTAGTTAGCAGTCAGCATAGCAGCAATCCATCAAGATTGCTCCTCATCGTAGTGCGTGTGTTGTATCACCACTACCTGACAATCCGTAGGCGCCTATAGCAGGTAGCGGTCCGGATATAGATAGAACCGAAGGCAGTAGTCCACTGCGGTCCGGGGATCACTCAGCATTAGTCAGCACACTGGACACTCGTGTTGACGCGACCAACCTCACCACCAATCTCATCGACATTCACCAACAACCTCATCATCATCAACACCAACACCAGACCCTGGTATCACCATAACCTTCATAACATTGATATCGATCGTGCCGAGCCACCTCTGAACGGAGTGTCCACAGAGGTCAGCCGAAACCTACGATAGTATATACCACGAACGCCACCCGCTGTCACTGCACAACTTGATAGTCACCGATACCGAGACAATAGCTGTCGCACAGTTCGATAGTCACCGAGTATCTCGACAGACTGACCTGGGTTTCAGGCGCAAGACCCCTGACACAGTGTCGAAGGAGTCGACACCACTCAAGAGGAACAGGGGTGCCAAGCAGGAGAGGCCCCTGAGCAGTACTCGATGAAGAAAGCACTCTCTGGAGAGAGAGAGCAGGAGCAGCATCGCTGGCGATGCTGTGAAGAGGTATATAACCATGCTTTCTCATCATCATAGGTCGAGTGGATCCTCATCCACTCTACTCACCATAACTAGTTATCACTTCAGCATAAGTATACATTAGTTTCAGTCAGCATAGCAGCAATCTATCAAGGTTGCTCCTCATCGTAGTGTGTGTGTTGTATCACCACTACCTGACGTCCGAAGGCGCCCATAGCAGGTTAGCGGTCCGGATATAGATAGAACCGAAGGCAGTAGTCCACTGCGGTCCGGGGATCACTTCAAGCATCAAGTCAACACACTGGACACTCGTGTTGACGCCACCAACCTTATCACCAACACCATCAACCTCATTATCATCGACATCACTAATCCCATCACCAACACCATCAACCTCATCATCATCAACACTCACACCAGACCTTGGTGTCATCATAACATTGATATCGATCGTGCCGAGCTACCCCTGAACGGAGTGTCCACAGAGGTCAGCCGAAACCTACGATAGTATATACCACGAACGCCACCCGCTGTCACTGCACAACTTGATAGTCACCGATACCGAGACAATAGCTGTCGCACAGTTCGATAGTCACCGAGTATCTCGACAGACGGACCTGGGTTTCAGGCGCGAGACCTCTGACATACTGCTCAGGGGCCTCTCCTGCTTGGCACCCCTGTGCCTCTTGAGCTGTGTCGACTCCTTCGACACTGCTCCTCTTCCTCATGAGTTGTGTCGACTCCATCGACACTGCTCCTCCTCCTCATGAGCTGTGTCGACTCCATCGACACTGCTCCTCCTCCTCATGAGCTGCTTGCCGGTTACCGGTGACCTCTTGTCAGCAGGCCGGTCCTTCATGACGTGCTTGGACCTCCTTGCATACAGGCCGGTCCTCCATGACGTGCTTGGACCTCCTTGCATACAGGCCGGTCAAGTTGCTCTCCCACTACGCCTGCTACTAGTACCAGCTAGGCCTCCGGCCTCTTGCTCAACCATCCTTAGGCCTGCTATGGTGGTCTTCCTTTATGACCCGAGCCTTGGTACTCTATGCTCCCCTTCTATGAACCTCCATGCCCGTGTCCTAAGGCCTATGACACACTGCTCCTCCTCCTTGCTATCCTGCTTGTTTGGCACCCCTGTGCCTCCTGAGTGGTGACAACTCCTTCAACACTGTGTCATGGGCCTGGATGCTCAAGAAGCAGGAGGGTCACTGGTTCATATGGAAGGAGCACAGGTATCGAAGACCTAGTCGATACCAGTAGAGAGCATGGTCATAGTGCAGTCTCCATGGAGACCATGGACTCCTATGGACCCACATGCAAAGGAGAACCAAGCCACATGTGAGGAGGGCCAGGCACAGCCACAAGGAGGACCAAGCTCAGATGGTTACCACTCAGGGGCTTGAGAGACAAGAGTCATAGGACACTGGCAAGCAGGTCCTGAGGAAGAGGAGCAGTGTCGAAGGAGTCAACACCAGGTCATGAGGAGGAGGAGCAGTGTCGAAGGAGTCGACACCAGGTCATGAGGAGGAGGAGCAGTGTTGAAGGAGTCGACACCACTCAAGAGGCACAGGGGTGCCAAGCAGGAGAGGCCCCTGAGCAGTACTCGATGAAGAAAGTACTCTCTGGAGAGAGAGCAGGAGCAGCATCGCTGGGGATGCTGTGAAGAGGTATATAACCATGCTTTCTCATCATCATAGGTCGAGTGGATCCTCATCCACTCTACTCACCATAACTAGTTATCACTTCAGCATAAGTATACATTAGTTTCAGTCAGCATAGCAGCAATCTATCAAGGTTGCTCCTCATCGTAGTGCGTGTGTTGTATCACCACTACCTGACGTCCGAAGGCGCCCATAGCAGGTTAGCAGTCCGGATATAGATAGAACCGAAGGCAGTAGTCCACTGCGGTCCGGGGATCACTTCAAGCATCAAGTCAACACACTGGACACTCGTGTTGACGCCACCAACCTTATCACCAACACCATCAACCTCATTATCATCGACGCCACCAACCTTATCACCAACACCATCAACCTCATTATCATCGACATCACCAATCTCATCACCAACACCATCAACCTCATCATCATCAACACCCACACCAGACCTTGGTGTCATCATAACATTGATATTGATCGTGCCGAGCTACCCCTGAACGGAGTGTCCACAGAGGTCAGCCGAAACCTACGATAGTATATACAACAAACGCCACCTGCTGTCACTGCACAACTTGATAGTCACCGAGTATCTCGAGACAATAGCTGTCGCACAGTTTGATAGTCACCGAGTATCTCGACAGACCGACCTGGGTTTCAGGCGCGAGACCCCTGACAATAGGCAGGAAATGGAGGATGGAGGAGGGTGGCAACATATCTCATTTCCTTGGAATCAAGATCTCCAGAGATCATGAAGCAAAGACTATGGACCTCAAGCAAACCAGCTACATCAAGCAACTATTGGGCAAACACTTAGATAAGCATAGGAGAAAGTCTAGTGTACTGCTTCAAGACATCCCAGTTCCAGAAATGGCAGCAAGCATGGCAGAGCAGAAGGAATATCCACAGATTGTCAGCAAGCTTCTGTGGCTCTCAAATGGAACACACCCAGATATCAGCCAGGCCATGGGCATCCTTGCTTGCTACATGACACAGCCATCAAAGGAGCATTACAACATAGTGCAGAAAGTACTCCAATACTTGGACTGCACACAGGACATTCATTTGCAATACAGTGGTGACAAGCAACAAGATTTCCTAACAGCACATAGCAACACAAATTGGGCAAGCAATGCTACAGCACAATGTAAAAGCACATCTGGCTCAGCAGTGTTTGTGCATGGAAACCTGGTAGCATGGAAGTCAGCACTACAGCAATGCACTGCCTTATCAGTGGTGGAAGCAGAATTCATGGCAGCAACAGAAGCCACATGAGAAATCCTGTTCTTTGGGCACCTCTTCAAGGCCATTGGAATTGATGTTGGTATCCCCATAATCTTCTCAGACAATACAGGCACCATTCAGGTTAGCAAAGACCCTGCACAACATTGGAGGTTAAAGCACATTGACACCAAATATCACTTCATCAGAGACAACATGCAAGATGGAAAGGTGAAAATCAAGTACATTAGCACTGCAGACAACTTGGCGGACATCTTTACCAAACCAGTAGGTAAGGGGGTATTACAGCATGCATGACAGGGGCTAGGACTGACATCTCAGCAGGACACAGCAGATCAGCAGTCTCCTGCCTTACCACTGAGGGAGACAGTTGAGGAAGACATAACAACATAGGAATTCCGGCAAATGAAAATTTTTGCAGTAGTCCCACTCATGTGCAAGTGGCAAAGGACTTGGGGGCTTCTGAACTTGAGCCTGTACTTAGAACACCACTCATAGCAGCGATCTCGAACACCTCAACTGTTAGGCTTAGAATATTCACAGGAAATTCCTCAAGCCGACGAGGGTTGCAGCTCCGCGGACCAATCTTGAGCAGCGTATCTCGTTGACCTCTAGAGCCGAGGCCACGTCTTTTATCATTTTCAGGCACAGCCTTGCCCAAGCGTGATGTTGTCGTTGCCTACCGCTCCATGGACCTTGATAATGAGCCATGAACTCCTCTATCGGCGCCCTGGTCGTGAGTGTGATGATGCATCTTCCGACAGGCGACAGGCGACAGGCGACCGGCGACCGGCGGAATTTGGTTGGACAAAATCGCTGGTGCTGACTGACAGTCGTCGCGCAACTCACACTGCGCTCTGCTGCCGGACAAAGACTGGAACGCTTTCCACCTCCACAAGCGAGATCAAGGATGTCGCTGTTGCTCACTCTTCACGGCCGCTCTGTTAACTTACGATCCCTTCGAGCCACTGATCATCCACTTTGCACTATCATCGAGCCTCCAACTCTTGCCCCTCCTTGTCGCAGTCACCAACGCCGGCTGATCCGCAGGGACACCTATAGCGGAACAAGCGACAGAATGCAGACATCATCGTCCGTCTTGCCATCCTCAGAGTCGATCTCTTCCGACGCCGCCATACCCAGGTTCTCGACACAGCAGCAGAAGCGACAAGCATCGGTGCTCACAGCTCAAACTGCCCCTGCTTCACCGAGAATGGAGAGAGACACTGCCGCTCTGCCGGCGTCTGCTTCGGACTCAGCCCTGGTCTCATCGGAATCCGCGGCAAAGGCTTCGATAGTGGCTGAGGCAGCCGCGTATGTAGCGCCACCCATCCCATCCAGCTTCAAGACTTCCTTTTCCGCTTGGTGGAAGGCGAATCCAATCGAGGACTCTGCTCAAGCTGAGCTGCATCTGTATCGATCGACAGGCTACTTTGAAGGTGCCAGCGTCAACAATGTCGTTTGCGAGAATCAAGATATCCGAGACGGCAAGGGTCTCGCCAACGGTCTTGAATGGGCCCGTCGAGCCAGCTCGAGCAACAACACCAGCACAGACGGCTCTGCCTCGGCTGCGGCTCAAGCTTCCTCGTCCTCATCGTTGAGCTCTTTCTTCAACGCGCCCAGGTTCTGGCCCTTCCATCGAGGTAGAGAGCCTTCTACGATGACGATTGGTCTGAGACCAGCTGTAGATGGCAAAGTGGGTTGCATCCGACTCGTTGACCTTGGCGACTCCACTTGCTCAACAAGCCAGCCCGCTTCTGCCCAAGCATCGACCAACAGTTTGCCCCCGTCGACATCCACCGAGCTCACTTCATCGCCCACTGTCAGACTAGCTGCTGAGCATGGTTTACACCTCCCTGCTGGCACATCGCTAGACGGTCAGCCCATCCTCAACGACAATCTAGAGCTCACACCGATGCCACAAGAGGCTTTCAAGCCATACACTCCGCCCCCGGGACGCAAGCTCAACATGCTCGAGATTGGCATCCCATACTCCAAGGACAAGGAGCAGGAGATCAAGAACGAGACCAAGATCGTTCTCGCTCACGGCTACGGTGCAGGAAGCGCCTTTTTCTTCCAGAACATCAAGTCGATGGCAGAAATGCCCAACTCGCGCCTATACCTGCTCGACTGGCTAGGAATGGGACGATCTTCGCGACCCACCTTCCACATCCCTTCGTCCGAAACCAAGAATGTCGACACGCGCGTCGCCGCTGCAGAGAGCTTCTTCATTAGCAGCCTTGAGGACTGGAGAAGCAAGATGGGCTTGGACAAGATGGTCTTGGTGGGACACAGTTTGGGCGGATACCTTTCACTTGCATATGCGCTTCGCTACCCTTCGCGAGTCGAGAGACTGGTCCTCGTTAGTCCTGTCGGTATTCCCAACGCACCGCCCGAGGAAGAAAGCGGAAGAACGTTCAAGCCTAAGGACGGGGATGCAGTGGAGCAAGAGGTTCACAAGCCGCAACAGGAAGTAGCTCCTCAGTCGCCAGCGCAAGAGCTCAAGGACAGAAACACTGCCAAGGAAATGGCACGAAAGGCTGCACAGAACCGTGCCGACGGCATCGTCGAGGGCAAAGGTAGCGGCGCTTCTTCGTCGACACCACCGCTCGAGCGTTCCGGCACGGCCACCTCGGTCGATTTCGCCAGAGCCACTCGTTCAGGACAATCAGAAGCGCCCGAGAGGGGCTCGCACGAGCCGCCGAGGATCTCAAAGCGCGTGCGCTCTGTTTTCGGCTTTCTATGGGAGCAGAACGTCTCGCCGTTTGGGATCCTGCGTGGCTCGCTCTTCTTTGGGCCCATGTTGTCCGGACGATACACATCAAGAAGATTTGGAGCCTTGCCAGAAGACGAGCTTCGATCGTTGCACGCCTACTGCCAGAGCATCTTCTTGAGCAAAGGCTCAGGCGAATACTGTCTTGCCCATATCCTTGCACCGGGAGCCTATGCTCGTCGACCGATGGTAGAGCGCATTGATGGACTCAAGATGCCGATGAGCTTCCTGTACGGTGAGCATGATTGGATGGACGTGCGAGGCGGTAAAGAGGCGGTCAAGCGTCTTCGAAAGCGTGGCAATGACAAGACCAACTGCTTTGTTGTGCCCAACAGCGGCCATCACATCTATTTGGACAACCCAAAGCCTTACAACTCGCTGATTGCTAGGATTCTCCGCGGCGAAGCGGATCAGTCGAGCAAGTAGAGTGTATCACATGAAAGAAGAAGGATTGACTTTTCAGGCCTCCTCCCATACTCTTGTATAGTAGACTCTACCACCTCATCACTCTGATGTCACCTCTCTCTCTCACACACACACTTTAGATTTGACAAGGACTTGGCTGGAGAGACCGATCACTAAATGCCGATAAGACCGAAGAAGCGGGCCGTCTGCGGCTAGCTTGACGTGTGCAATCATGTGTCCGCCAGGACATGCATGGACCTGCCGCATCGTCCAAGTGATTGAGCAAGTGGGCAAAGGCAGAAGGAGCCGTGTGTAAAACTTCTGAGTTGGCCGGCTATCAGATCTTCCGGATCGGGCAAGCTTTGAGCGAAGTAGGCGGAGGAAGGCCAGCGAATTTTCGCTGGAATAAGGACGTTAGATCGGGCTTCAAGTGGGCTTCCAGCCCGGAGATTCCGCCTGTTGCAACCTTTAAAAGGGTTGAGGTGACGGTGTGTGTGCCAAAAAGGGTATGTGTGTGCGCGCACTTTTAGTTGAAGTCATTCGTCAGTGCGTTGAAGTCATTCGTCAGTGGTTGGAGTTGAGGCGTCTTGTTGATGATGGTGGTAAGAGACAGAGAGCAAGAGAGCGAGGAGTCTATATATATACAAAAGAAGAGCGGCAGAGAGCCGCATTGACTGCGGAACATAACAAAGCATTTGCCTTGAGTAGGTTGTGACACATGTGGTCCGTGCTAAGATGTTCAGGCCTTTTACTCGGCCGTAAGCACTACCTTCACTGTCTCTATGCTTTGTGTGGCTTTATCTACTTCAACTCCCCCCCTCAACAGCATATGTACCCTGTTCATTATGCTGTTGTTTCAAGGTGTGACCTCCATTCTTCAACACTGTCGCATAGCTCGGGGACCCCATTTCGTACACTGCTGCCAGTATTTGCAGGTGTAGCCCAGATCTTGCTTGCTGCATTGCCTGTCTCCCAATGGGCTTTGTGAGTGCGTCTGCCAAGTTTCTTGTGGTGTCTACATACTTGATCTGCACCCTTCCCTCTTGGATGTTGTTACGGATGAAGTGATACTTGGTGTCGATGTGCTTAAGCTTCCAGTGCTGTGCTGGGTCCTTACTAACCTGTATGCAACCAGTGTTGTCCGAGTAGACCGTCGGTGTGTCTGTGGCAATGCCAATTGAGCGTAGCAGCTGCTTGAGGAAGAGCACCTCACATGTTGCTTCCATGGCTGCAATGAACTCTGCCTCGACAGTGGACAATGACATGCATTTTTGTGTTGCTGACTTCCAGGCTACTGGATTCCCGTACACTAACGCCACTGACCCTGATGTGCTCCTTCTCTGTATGGTGGCATCGCTTGCCCAGTTTGCATCGCTGTGTGCAACCAGTGGCTCTTGCGACTCACTTGCTCTATAAACCAATCCAACCTGCCTTGTGCTTTCGAGGTAGCGTAAGACCCTTTGTGCTGCCTGATAATGCTCCTGTGATGGTTCACGCATGTGCCTAGCGAGAACACCCATGGTGAGACTAAGGTCGGGCCAGGTGCTGTTGGCAACCCAGAGCAGCTTGCCAACAATCACCGGATACTCCTTCTGTTGTGCTGCGCTTGCAACAAGGGTTCCCTCCGGTATGCTCTGCATTGGAACCATGGTCGGCTTCGTACGTTTGTCCAGGTGCTTTGCCAGCACTTGGTCAATGTACCCTGACTGACCAATCGTCATGGTGCGCATCGCACGGTCTCGACTGATTTTGATGCCCAGGAAGTGAGAGACCTCACCGCTATCTTCCATCTTCCATCTCTGACCAATCTGCTTCTTAACCTTTAGGACCGTTTCCAGCCGTGGTGCTATGACTAATGTATCATCGACGTAGAAGACCACAATTGCCATATCTTCACCCTGTCCCTTGGTGTAGATACAGGGAGCGCACTCTACCTGGAAGAATCCCATGCGTCGCAAAGACCTGTCGAACTCCTGATTCCATTCTCGTCCAGACTGCTTTAGGCCGTATAGACCCTTGATTACCTTGTACACCTTGCCGGGTGCTACTCCTGATCCTTCTGGTGGCTTCATGTAGATTGCTTCCTTTAACGTGGAGTTCAAGTAAGCCATAGTGATGTCCAGAGCATGTACCTCCCAGTTGTTCTGCACCACTAGTGCTAAGATGGCTCTGATCGCTCCGAGGGGTGCTACTGGAGAGAAGGTTTCTTGGTAGTCGATCCCCTCTCTCTGTGTGAAGCCCCTTGCAACCAGTCGCGCCTTGTGCTTAACAGGTACACCATCAGCATCAAGCTTCAGCCGAAGCACAACCTTAGAGTCCACAAGTGGTACTCCTGGCGGTTGGTGCACCACCTCCCAAGTCCCCATTGCCTCGAGTCCTTCTAGCTCCTTTCGTATTGCCTCCTTCCAGAGCTGGGCGTCCTCACCGTCCATTGCTTCCCCAAGCGTTGGGTCCAGGTTCAGTATTGCTGTGTTGGTGGTGCCTACTGTGCTGTCTTCGGCTGGTAGGAGATCCTCCACTGCGGCCTCTGATTTGGTCTCCTCCTCCACTATGGCTGGCGTGACACCCTCCTCCTCGACCTCCGCGGTCACCACAGGCCTGACTGCCTCTTGTTGGCGATCACTCCATCCTTTATCCTCATGGAATGTTGCTGAGTTGCTCCATTGGATTGATGCCGGCTGGTCCGGGTTGCAAAACTTCCATGCTTTGTGTTCATTGTCATACCCAATCATGATGGCTGGCTTTGCTCTAGCCCCATACTTGCCTTGCTGGTCCTTCTGTTGAACATGAACCCATGCCAAGCATCCGAAGACTCGCAGCTGCTGGGCCAGCTTGTGCACGGTGGTTCCATAAAAGGCCTCGTGGGGAATGGTTTTGGTGGCTGACGGGGTAAGGTTCATCACGTGTGCTGCTGCTGTGATTGCATATGGCCACAACTCTCTGGGGCAAGCTCGACCAATCAGCATCGAGCGCATCTTTTCTTGGACTGACCTGATTGCTCTCTCCGCCCATCCATTTTGGACGCTGATCCCCGGGACACTCTTTTGCCACTTGAAACCCTCTTGAGTTTGCCAGTCTTCAGCTGCTATGCTGCACCATTCTCCTCCATTGTCGCTGTGGAGTGTTTTGAGTTTCCTGTCCGTTGCCTGTTCCATCCTGGCTATCCACCTCCTCAGCGCCATGAGTGCAGCACTCTTTGTGCAGAGTGGTTCCATGTAGATCAGGGAGGAGAAGTCGTCCACAGCAACTAGTGCATAGTGGTAGTTGGCATGTCCTTTGAAATCTGTCATCAGGTCTATGTGTACCAGCTCTAATGGTGCCTCCATTCTTTCCGACTCTGATTGGCTCATCCATGCTCGAGTCTGTTTTCCTTGGCTGCACACATTACAGTGCTTCAACTCATGTTCCATTTCCTCGTCGGTACCTAGGTAATGAGCCCAGATTTGTCTTGTTTTGTCTCGTCCTGGGTGTCCGAACCTCTCATGCCATAGGTAGCTGTCTTGATGCTTCGTGTCCTTATTGCCCTCTGGGGCATTCTCTAGTTTTCCTGTGTTCTGGTTGTCCTCTGGGACATCGTCAAGTGTCTCTTCCAACTCCAGGGCTAGTGCCTTTCCCTGTACTTCGAACTGCCCTTTTCTTCTGTTCCTCTTGTATTGTATTCATGTACCGTCATTTTGCTTAATGATGGTTCCAAACTCATCAAAAGTTACCCGTGCACCATTCTCGATCAAGCCTTGTACTGATAATAAATTAGAATTAAGTTTCGGCACATAGAGCACATCCAATAGCTGAATGGTTACATCGCCAACCCGAAGGGAGGCGTCTCCTATGGCCTTCACTTGAAGCCTTTCATTTCCAGCTGTACAGATCTGACCATCCTTGCACATCGAGGTGAGCAGCATTCTTTCATTGTTTACCATGTGGTGCGTCGCACCCGAATCGACGATCCAGGTGTCCGATGTTGGTTGCTCATCCCCACCGATCGCTAGGAGGGTGCACCCGAGTTCCTATCGACTCGCTTCTTGTGCTGGATTGGGGGTGGGTCCATCTCTACTAGGTGCGGGGTTATTGTTGGTGTTCGTGCAGTTTCGAGCAATGTGATTAGGTCCTCCACAAGCGTAGCACTTTGGAGGGGCCGAGGGGTTGCGAGGATCACGCCTGCCTCTGGGTCCTTGCTCCGCCTGGTCCATGCTTGTGGCAACCCTTGCTGCTCCTCTAATATGACCAGTGATCTCACCATCCTGCTGTTTCTTGGCGAGTGCGTGGTAGGCTTCGTCATACTTACAGTCTGGTCTGGCCGTTTTCAGTGCGTCAATGGCGTTGGCATAGAACCAATCTTGGGCCGTGCAGCGATAGAGAGTTGATTTCTTGAGGTCCTCATCGAAACGCTTTCCCAGGCGTGCCGCATCGTTCCAGATTGAATCAAGTTCCTTGCCTAGCCTGACAACGTCTCGATTGTGCAAGCGCACTGTGTGAATACGATCCTGCAGTCCTGCTCGCTTTACAGCGTCGTTCAACGTTAGTGCCTTCTTGAGTTTGGCATAGAGTGTGCTACCGAGCTGGACTTCTTCATCCACTCCCCTGATGGTGTAGGTGTCGATACGGCTGTCTGGACTGTTGTCACAGCAGGCGTGGATGAGGCCCACGAGGGCTTTATCCAAGTCTTCGTCATATTCCTCGTTTCCAGGCGCTACTGTGCCATACAGTATCTCCTTCGCATTATGTACTCTTTGGAGGCAGTCGATGAAGGTAGGTTCCCAAGTGTGCCAGTTGCTGTCGCTGAGCTTCTTGATGTGCGCAATGGTGCTCGACACCTCCTTGGGGATCTTCTCGGTTTCCCTGTGTGGGGTCTGGTTGCTAATGCTGATGAGACCCATAGCTCATACGATTGCTTCCTCGGCTGTTAGTGCTGGGTTCGCCAGCTGGAGGATCCTGACTACCTGCATGAGCCATCCTTCCTCCTGTCCATTGCCTGTGGTCGTTTGATCATCATCGCCCCTTCCTGTCTGTCCAGCTCTTGTCAATGGTGGCATTGCATTGAGTTTCAGACTCTTAATCAGTTGAAGTCATTCGTCAGTGCGTTGAAGTCATTCGTCAGTGGTTGGAGTTGAGGCGTCTTGTTGATGATGGTGGTAAGAGACAGAGAGCAAGAGAGCGAGGAGTCTATATATATACAAAAGAAGAGCGGCAGAGAGCCGCATTGACTGCGGAACATAACAAAGCATTTGCCTTGAGTAGGTTGTGACACATGTGGTCCGTGCTAAGATGTTCAGGCCTTTTACTCGGCCGTAAGCACTACCTTCACTGTCTCTATGCTTTGTGTGGCTTTATCTACTTCAACTCTTTTTGGCTCTTTTGTCGGTAATTTAATGCCGCCAAAAAGTTGCAATTGGCATCCGCGGTGTTTGATTGGATCTCGACTGGCCAAACTGCAAAGCAGCACAGACACGCACTCTCGCCACCTTGATGCGAACGGACCACTTGCTTATTGACCTTGTCTGCTCACTCTTCCTCTCCTCACTCTTCCTCTCCTCACTCTTCCTCTCCACACTACCATCTACGAAATAAACTAGGTTGCAGTCACTAGGCCCATCACATTACAATCTGGCCCGCTCGATCCTTATTCCGAAGACAGCTGCTCATCCTTCAGCAGCATCGACCGTGACGTAAGGCCTCAAGCTTTCTCCTCCTGCCAAGAACGCATTCCGACATACCTCACAGTTACAGGACACACGCGCGCCTCTTCTCGAAATCACCTGTGCGCTGCAAACGAGGGCCCGCTTCTTTTGCTCATACCTGATCTCTTGGCTTTGACCAATCTGGTCAGCACTGGCTTCAACTGCTCTCGCCAATCATGAACAGCAACCAGGCTTTCCCCGCTCCTCCGGTCGAGATCTTTGTCGACACGAGAGGAGCCAAGATCATGGAGGATGGCGCTTCCAGTCCAGATCAGAGAGATAGTCGCGACATCTATCTACCCAACCATATCGAGGCTGTCTCCCATATCGCAGTCGATGTCGGAGGATCGCTCGCCAAGGTCGTCTACTTTACACGCTCACGTTTCAGCGAATCCATGCCATCTTCACCCACCCTCTCGTCTCCAGCGAGCTTCACCACGCCATTTCCTTTTGCTTCAGGCTCATCTTCGTCACCCGACCCACTCTCGCCAAAAGCAAGCCAATCCAGCTTACGCTCGCCGCACCCATCCTCCAACGGTGCAGCACCCTCCGGCTTCCGCACGCCACCTTCACAAAGCGACCATCCCATTGCTTCTGGAACCTTGACACCAACAGCCATTCTCGGATCTCCTCAGCTCGCCTCTGCTTCGGCTATTCACTCCACACTCCTCAAACGCCGCTCATTACCTGCAGCCTTGCCGGGAGGACGTCTCAACTTTATCAAATTCGAGACAAACGACATCGACAACTGCATTCGCTTCCTCCAAGAACTCATCCAGCGTTCGGCTACCGTCAACGGCGTCTCTATACAAGACATGCGAAAGGGTGTCAAGCTCATGGCAACTGGCGGCGGTGCACATCTCATGTACGACTTGTTCGAACAAGAACTGGGCATCGAGGTGCAAAAGGAAGACGAGATGGGCTGCTTGATCACCGGTCTCAACTTTATCACGCTCATTCCAGACGAAGTCTTTTCGTACTCCGATGAGCTTGTTGCAGCCTTGCACTCGCCTCTTCCCCAGAATCCAGAAGCGAGGACAGATGCACAAGCACTGCGTTCTTCTGTACCACTTCAGCATCCCCTACCTCGACCTTCGCCGAACCCGCCTCTCTATGCTCCAGTATTCGACTCACATCCTTCGCCCAAGCTGCCATGTCTGCTCGTCAACATCGGCTCTGGCGTCTCAATCATCAAAGTGGACGATTTCGGCAAGTTCGAGCGTGTCTCAGGTACTTCGCTCGGTGGTGGTACGCTGTGGGGTCTCCTCTCCTTGCTTACGGATGCAGACAGCTTCGATGAAATGCTTGAACTATCAGAGCAAGGTGACAACGCAAACGTCGATATGCTTGTTGGTGATATCTACGGCTCTGTAGGCTTGAACCATCTTGGTCTCAAGAGCTCCACCATCGCCTCCTCCTTCGGCAAAGTCTTCCGCAAAGATCCAAGCTCATCTGCCCCTCGCAACGCCGAAGAGCGACGCAAGAAGTTCCGATCCGAAGACATCTGCAAGTCGCTTCTCTACGCCATTTCGAACAACATTGGTCAGATCGCTTACATGAATGCTGAGAAGTACAATCTCGACCGTATCTACTTTGGAGGATGCTTCATTCGTGGACACCAGGCCACCATCAGCACACTCTCATACGCCATTCGCTTCTGGAGTAAAGGCTCCAAACGTGCGTTCTTCTTGCGTCACGAAGGTTACTTGGGTGCCATCGGTGCATGGATCAAGCATGTCTCGCAAGACCCGTCATCGTCTGCAACAAACGCTCGCGCCGTTGCAAATGCTATGGTAGGATCTTTTGCTGGCGGTACAGGCGCACCAGGTCGATCCACACCGTCCGTACCTTCAGGCCTAGGTCGCTCCGTCTCGCCTGCGCCATCAGACGTTGAGCCGCTCGACTGGGCACAAATTCAAGCTGCTTCTCTCAACCCTCCTGTCCTCAACGGCGATGGTCTGCCTGAACCAGCATCACAGGAAGCTCCCGTAGTCTTGCAAAATCCGCATGTGTCCCGTCTTCAGCAAGAGGAGGCATCGACAGCGAAAAGCAAGACACCAACACAAGAGTCGACGCGACAAGAAAAAGCACTTGACTCCCAGCAGTCCGACCTTGGCTTCCTCAACGGTCTCATGTCGCAACAGAATGCGTCGCAACCCCAGCCTCCGAAACCGAATGGTGTTGCCCGTGCCGAGCACGATGACGAGACCGGCTCAGAGACAGATAAGACTGCAGTGGGCAAGGACGAGGCAGAGCAGCTCAAAGAGATCCTTGCATCGCTCAACGCCTTGAAGATGCCCACGAGTAACGGTGCCGATCCCGCTACAGCTCAGGCGGAGCGCAACGAGATCTTAGGGCTGCTAGCCAATCTCGAACAGACAGAAGAGGTTGTAGGTGGGCTAGAAGGAAAGCTGGATAGCTTGCTCTCATCACTCGACACGCTGATCGCAAACCAAGAAGCTCAGCAGATCGCACAACAGGCCGTGAACCGTACAAGCTAGATGTAGGACTACACTCAATCTCATTGTATTACTAGACGCGGCTCATACAAAGCCGCAGCTTCAAACGAACATTTGCAGGGAATGCTACAGCATCTCAAGCAGCAGAAGCGTGAGAGATTGGGATCCGTAATTCCACGCTTCTTTGTGAAACAGTGTCTAAGCTTCGAATGATCCTGATGTGCTGAGATTTCAAGCTGGAATTAGTACAGCAGTCCAAACGTCCATTGATCGTGTCTGCTTGCCGTATCTCGCTGCCGCTTCTTCCATGGCATACCTTGTCGCTTGAACCAACTGTAGTAGCTTAGCCTTGACCTCGTCTCCTCCCGCATCCGCTTTCGCCGCCTCGTGAGCAGCTTCTCGAGCCATATAAACCTCCCATCCTCCATCTTGCAGCTTTTCTGCTGGCAAAAACGTCAGTTCTCGTTTGACCTTCCACCCTGAATCAGCAGCCACTTTCTTCATCTGTTCAGGGCTGAGCGCAGTCTGCACATTACCTCCCTCTACTGGTGATTGACCTTGCAACAGGACGGAGAGAAGGTGCGGAAGAGCGTTGGGATGGGAGGCGGTCATGGCCCATTCTGCAAGCAACAGATGCTTGACCCCCGCCTCTCGAATCGATTTGAAACTTGCGGTCAGAACTTGAGCTGAAGGGAAGTACCAAGAGCTATGAGACAAGAACACAGTGTCAAAGCTTCGCTCCTTCAGCATTTCGGGCCCAGTCTTGCCGAGTTGGAAGGAAAGATGATTCGAGATAGTAATGTCCTTGAGGAGCTCCTCTTGTGCTTGCTGGATAGTGTATGGCGATCCGTAGCCCGGTACTGCAGGGTCAACACCCCACACCTTTGACTCTTTGTATCGCTCTGGATTGTTGGAAAGGACCGCAGCTAGGACACCAGTCTGGTCACCCTGTCCACAGCCCAAGTCCACCATATTCCCCGAAAGCAAAGTGTAGTCCGCCTCTACCTGACCCTCTGAACCAGAAGCTGGTGATGTGGGGTCATCGCCTGTCAGCAAAGCATATAGTATGTCGAGGCGGTGAGAAGTTTGGATGGTTTGAACGCTATCTTGCTTCCCTCGGCTCTGTTCGGATTGGATGTGTCGAGCGGCCACATTGACCGCTTTAAGATTAAAGAACTGCTCTGCGCGGGTTTGTGTCATCGTGTGTGTTTGTGCTATTGTTGCTGAAGTGTGAAGGCTACCCGATTATCATATATATATATATATATCTTCTGCCTTCACCTCTCAAGGCTCTGTGAGGAGGAAGGATGGTCAGCAATACTGTACGGTAGCGGATCGTAGTTGCTGTTGAGAAGGAGCGACGATGACTGGCATCGATGGCGTACGCGGAAGACTATGATCCGAGCCCTATTTTTTACAGTGGCGGTAGAACTTGGCCTTATCTTCCACCATTCGATCCTATGACTATGAGAGTACTTTGATGGACCGTAAGACAACGATGCAGATCATAGCTCGGGTTGACTTATCAATCTTATGGCTGTCTTGAAGCCAGTCCATGAAAATCCTCGCTAGAAATGGCATTAATATCATGGCTCCAAAAAGCAGTTCAGAAACGGGTTCAGTTGCCGAACTGCTTTGACTCACCAAGCAGGAGCAAGACAGGACATTAAAGAGCTTCTTCAGTCGCTTTGAGCCGGCGGTACATTAGCCAACTGTCTCAACAAGGGCCATCAACCGTTGTTTCCAAACGGAAGCTGAAGAGTGTGAAGAAAGACGAGCTGGAATTGAGCAGCCCTTTTCGGCATTGTTCGGCATTGTTCGGCGGCCGGTAATTGCTTTTCCCGGCAGTGGGGACCCCGCACTTTTTGGGTTAGTGGCCTGTGCTGCCCCACTGTCTCCAAGGCGACGTTTCAGTCTCATCCTTTCCTCCTTTCCATTTCGTCGTTCTTCTGTCTTGGCGCCAACACCTTCAGCCCGAATCACACCCCCCAGGAATACTCGCACCATGTCCTCGGCACGACCTGCACCTGAGACGCTACAGCCGCGTGACATCCAGCAAGAACGTTTAGCATGTTCGTTCGATGTCGACACCATGTCGTGCATCCTTCCAGGATCCAAAGCCGAGCGCGACAATGCACGCTGGCTGCTCTCCCTACTCAAACACGACCCGGACCATACTTTCGACAAGGAAGACCGAGTCTTTCAGTCTCGAAACGAGCGCTTCTTCAAGGGCCAGCAGGTCGCTCTCCGCTACTTTGAGATCCGCAACCGTCACGGTTTAGAAAAGAAGGATGCTGACATGCTGCGACTGTTCACAGACGAGTATCTGCCGATTCAGGTAGCAGAGAGTATGGCTCAGCCAACACTTATGCGTCAGGCCAGTCAGGAACAGTGGGCCGAATGGGGTCCTTTCGTTAGGTCAGGCCGATGGCTTGGCTGCTACATGCAGACCGAACTTGCCCATGGCTCCAATCTCTCAGCACTCAGGACAACAGCAACGCTTGACCTCGATACAGACGAATGGGTCATTAATACACCTGAGCCATCGGCAGGGAAAGTATGGATCGGCGGAAGCGGTCTCACTGCCACCTATGGTGTCGTGATGGCCAACCTGATCATCAAGGGCAAATCGTACGGCATGCATCCCTTCCTTGTTCACCTTCGCTCTCTCAAGCATCACACTCTGCTTCCTGGCCGACGAATCATGGAGATGGGCTGCAAGCTTGGTGCTCCTGCCATGGATAATGGCTACATCTGCTTCGACAGCGTGCGCATCCCACGTGGCAACCTTTTACAGCGCTTCCAGACGGTCTCCAAGGACGGAGTGTACGAGAAGCGTAACGCAGCAGCACAGGTCATGACACGCGGTACAATGACCCTCGTTCGTGTGGGCTTGTGCGAGATCGCAGCACACCATCTTGCACGAGCTGCCACTATCGCCATCCGTTACGGCGTCGTTCGACGACAAGGTACTTCGGCTACCCAGCCAGATCAACTCGAACCCAAGATCCTTGACTATGCCTCGGTCCAGACACGTGTGCTCACCGCCCTCGCCAGCGCATATGCCATCACTTTCGTCAGCCAACACTTGCGTGGGATGTACAACGAGATGATTGCCGAGATTGAGAAAACAGGCAACAGTGGACTGCTTGCCATCGTGCATGGCTACTCAAGCGTGCTGAAAGCAGTCTGCACCAACGAGTCACTCGCCGGTATCGAAAGATGTCGCCGCAGCATGGGGGGACACGGCTTCAGTCAGGCATCAGGCTTCGACTTTGAGCGTAATCAGCCTAATGCAGGCCTCATTTACGAAGGCGAGAACTCTATGTTGCTTGCCGGTCCGTCGGCCAACTTCCTGGTCAAGCAGCTCAACGAAACCCGAAAACGGAATGGCAAAGCTGTGCGACCAGAGCTAGCCTACCTCGAGCTTGTTGCCGACGTCCATAGCGCAGGAGCGAACATCTCGAAGCGTGCTCAAAGCATCAACACCGGACAGATTGGCGGGCCCGCTGCATTGTTGGACCTCCTTGGCTTCCGAGCTGCGCTTCTCGTGGATCGTTTGACAAAGCACCGCTCCAACACCCAGAACACCGACGGTGTATACAAGCACATCGACACCAACCTTGCTGTTCGCGCTTCTACCGCTCATGGCGCTTACCTCCTTGGATTCGCATTCGACCAAGTCGTTCAGCAACTGAAATCAGTTCCTGCCGCCGACGCAAAGGCCCGCTTTGGAGTGGCTCCAAGCAACCCTCACATCGCAGCACTGGACTCTCTCCTTCGCTTCTACCTCATCCAGAACTGCGTCCTCACGCCGGACACTCTGAGCGACTTGCTCGAGTTCCGGCTTCTCTCGGCTGCGCAGCTGGACAGGCTGAGGCAAAGTTCGGCAAGCCTGTTGGCTGGCCCCATCCGAAGGGACGCGTTGGGTTTGGTGGAAAGCTTTGACATGGACGATTGGTATCTGTGCTCGCCTCTGGGAAGCAGCGATGGCAGAGCGTACGAAAGAATGATTGAGTGGATGAAGCGTGAGCCGCTCAATCACACTGGCGAACGAGGTGCAAGGGATGAGAATGGCGTTGTTAAGGGTTACCATGACGGTATTGGTAGACTCATTCGCGGTGAGGCTGTACAGTTCACCGAGCGATCCAAGCTGTAAAGCAATGCTGTTTGATGTCGTACCCGACAATTGTTGAAGCCTTCTGCTATCCGAGTAGCTTGACTGTGAGTTGATACAATGTGAAGAAGTTTTGTCCCGATAACTGGCGATCGGGAAGAGTCTGAGTACGATGTCACTACTGTTTTAGGGCAGAAACATATACTTGATTGACTGAAGAATGTGGGGAGAGCCTAGTGCTCTTGGCTTGATATATATACAGTACATGCATAAACTGTCCCAAGATTTTACATGTCACCATACATCACTCTAATGCTCAATAGCTATAAGTTGTATTGCCACACTGTCTGATATCATCTGAAAGCACTGCTTCTTCTCTCCAAGACTGTGGAATTGATATTGACATTGACTAAAAAAATTGTGCTATGAAGAAGAGCTGAATTTTTTTTTATTGTGGGACAGTTTATGGAGCATGCTCCCAAATAGCAACACCACTCCATTCCTGACCTTGTGGGCTTTTGACTACAATGAAACTTGTAATGTAACTTGGTGGGCACCTTCATACACATTGAAAGTAGTGACATGGAAAGTTTCAGCTCAATCAGATGACTGTGAGCAATCTGGCAGCACTTCCAGTCTGACACCATCATATCTATACCATCATGACAAAAACCACTCCTGAGAAGCACTGATTGGCACTCTTTAGCCTCCAAAATGGAGAATCTACCTGTTCAGTTGCTGAGAAACTCAGTCTGAGCAAGTCTATGGTGTCTCACATCAGCAAAAGTGCCTCTGCTGATGCTCCAAAGTCAAAGGGGGGCCAGCTGAGAAAACTCCAGCCTCATCATGTTCACTTCCTGGACCACTATTTCAAGCTCAATTCAATGTTCACAGTCAGGAAAGCATGTCATGCACTGCAGGAGACATTTCACATCAAAGCATGCCCAATGACAGTAAGAAAAGCACTTCATTACTGTTGTTACAAAGCACAAAGGTTAGTGAATAAACTGAAGCTACTCAAGAGGCATTACAAAGTGTGTCTCAAATTTGCGAATGAGCACAAGGACATGACTGTTGAGGATTGGAAGAATGTGGTATGGTCCAATGAGATGAAGATCAACTTCTTTGGACCAGATGGGAAGCAGTTCTGTTGGATTAAGAATGCTGGCTTCAACAGCAAGCTTGTCAGGCCAACAGTCAAGTTCAGCAGCAGCTCCATCATGATCTGGGGCTGTATGACATGGGAAGGGGTCAGAGGTATATGCTTGGTGCTGGGATCAATGAATTTAGACCAATACATTGATATCCTGAATGACAAGCTTTTGAAAACAATCTCAGATTTGCAGCTTCAGCATGCATACACTGACATCACATTTCAGCAAGACAATGACCCAAAACACATGTCAAAGAAGACAAAAACATGGTTGGAAGGCAATAGCATTAAGGTTATGCAATGGCTGGGGCAGTTGCTAGACTTGAACCCAATTGAACACCTCTGGCACCATCTCAAAATGCAACTTTCATGGTATAGTACAATTGCAAAGTCCAGGGATGAACTGCTCAAGAGATGCAAAGCTGAATGGACAGTGATCACTCCAGAGACATGTAGGATACTAATAGAGAGCATGCCAGACTGCATCAAGGTGGTTCTGAAGGCCAAAGGAGGGAATACAAAGTACTAAGGTGTTCTTGAGGAGTGCTCCATAAACTGTCCCACAATAAAAAAAATTTTGGCTCTTCTTCATAGCACAATTTTTTTAGTCAATGTCAATATCAATTCCACAGTCTTGGAGAGAAGAAGCAGTGCTTTCAGATGATATCAGACAGTGTGGCAATACAACTTATAGCTATTGAGCATTAGAGTGATGTATGGTGACATGTAAAATCTTGGGACAGTTTATGTGCATACTGTATACATTTGTGTGGTACCTACCAAAGGTGGGAGTGCTTCTACTTAATGATCTACCTTGACAACGAGCAAGGGACTGTGTTGCACCCGATCTCTTGTCAGATCGGTTCCACCAAATCTCTGATTAGATTGACCTATCCCGATCTCTTCACCATCGGCTTACGTCAACTTTCATCATCATATTGGATCGATACATTTGTCATGAGTGTGATAAATTACAGTTGAAGATACATCGGAAAATTTCCAGACTTTATCCAGAATGCCAACAGGGCGAAGCTGGTGAAAGGATAGGTCGCTTATGAAGTGGTGTCTATGCCTTCAACTATTACTACAGTATTTGACAAGTATTACTATTTCAAGGTGTTAAAGTGTTGGGAGAGCGAGTAACATTGAGAATCGGCCAAATCGGGACCAAAATCGAAATAGGAGACGCGATGCTTTCAAGAAGAAAGAGACACGTCCAATGTGGATGCTCAGATGCAACATGCCATCCTGCCATTCTTGCATCCTCTCATCACCTTTTCCCACTCATCCATATCCTCCACACAGCGACTTCTCAGTTGGCTCATTCCGATCATCAGCAGCTGTGGCCGAGATTATACCCGCTCGCTGTCACTGGCGCCTGCAGGACGGCGAATCAATCACTGCTGGCAAGAAGCATTTGTAGTTTCATCCGACCCCAACACAGTCCTTACCATTTCGCTGCTCCTACACAGACACATCGTAGACCAGACCTCGACATACTTCAACGCTAACAATCATGGCCGCAGAAACGGCAGAGGCGTCTTCATCGGGACCAGCTTTGCCAGCCGACGATGACGTGCAGATTGCATTTCTCCGCTCCATCTCGCTCCGAAGACCTATCGGTCCACACAAGCATTTCAAGATGCTTTCTATTCTTATGGACATCCAGAAAGCGCTAGATACACGATACCAGCGCCTATCTGCTCGACTCGAGAGACTCAGCAGTGCAGCACCGCCCAGCATCGCGACCGACAAGAAAGCTAGACCACCTTCATCCATCAGCACCACCGGCAGCACTCCAGCATCGCGCAGCCGTCGCGGACTAGCATGCAAAGGTTCATGCTCGCGCTCTGTCAGTGTAGCCAGCTCCAACCCAGCAGAAGAGGATGGCGACCCCACGGAGGACGATGCTGAGAACCAAGAGGAGGAGAGAGAGCGACAGCAGGAAACCGAGCAAACGCGATTGGCGATAGCCGGGCTGGGACTCGATCGCAAAGTAAGCCCGGAAATGATCTGGAACGAGCTGCATAAGCTCTTCGACCTCGAAGCGCTGGATGAGATGGAAGATGGCGCTATCTTTGACACTTCCAGTCAAGCTGGCACCAGCTCCGACGCTGGCGACTCGAGCGGCTCAGACTCGACATCGCGCTCTTCTCCGCCCGCCAACAAACGCAAACACAGCACCAACTCGGACGCTCACAAATCTCGTCGACTCTCAGCCGAAATCTTGTCTAGATTCGTTGTTGAGCATCCTGGCTCGCCTGACTTCAACCAGGATCGCCAACGCAAGTCAAGGGCCAGCAGCAATCAGCAATCGCAAAACTGGATCTATGGTGATGACATTCGTGGTACGGGAGATGGCATGTCGAGGCGCGACTTTTACCTTTGGCCATGGGAGGACTTTGAGCCTCTGATTGCTGAGCGCCGTTTGGCGAAGACTGAAGAGGAGGAAGAGGGCGTTGGCAGCAGCAACCGGCGCAACTCGGTCGCATCGGCGGACGCATCCTCGGTGGACAAGAAGCAGAAGCGACCAGCTTCTCCGACTGCCGCTCCTGCTGATACCAAAGATGAGTCCAAGCAGGAGTTAGACAAGGAGGAGGAAGGAGAGGAGGAAGACTTGTCAGAGCCTGCATCTGACGCAGACGTATCCAAGGATTCGACTTCCAAGCGTCGCAGCACTCGTCGCGGCCAAGAAACTGCCGAGACCAAAAAGAAGTCGAACCGCAGTCGAGGCGAGGCCCGCAATACGGCAGAAGCACAGATTGACGAGGATCAAGCTGCTGACAAGACGAAGCTTGAAGAGGATGCCACCGACAATGATGGCGAATCAGGCGAGGACAACGACGAGACCGGACAAGTCACCACACGCCGGGGCACTCGCAAGGCACCAACACCGAGCAGCCGTGCGACGCGCCGCAAGAGCACATCCGGCACCGTCACTCCAACCCGATCCACTCGCCGCAGCCGTCGCGCAGGGAACGACGAAGCCGAAGCATCCGAAGAAGAGACGGCCAACGAAGAGAGAGCCGAGGCAAGCGAAGCAGAAGAAGAAGAGGAGGATGATGAGGGAATGCAAAGCGAAGCTGAGAACGCAGCTTCTCGTCCAAGATTGAGCAAGGCTCAAGCAGCTGCCTCTACGCGCAAAGGATCAAAGAAGCGAGGGGCACCTTCGAGCGACCAAGAAGACCAAGACTCTCGCCCTTCCGTTCTTCGTCGCCGCAGTAGTCGTCGAGCATCCAAGTCGGAGATGAATGAGGATGCAGGGGATGAAGAAATGGCTGATGCGAAAGAGGAGCAGAGCGAGGCAGCCAATGAAGCTGCGCCACAAGCTGGTTCTGACCGTGAAGAGGAGGCGGAAGAGGACGGCGAGCAGGGCTCGGACGAAGGCGGCGAAGAGGATGAAGAGGAAGCTTCCGAGCAAGACGGATCGGATGAAGAAGGTGGATCTGACGAAGAAGGCGGAAGCGATGACGAGTCGACTGCTGGCCGACGTGGTAAAGCGTGGAGCAAAGGGGCTGCAAGTCGGACCAGCCAACGTAGTGTTGGTGCTGGCAAGAATGCTGGTCGCTCAACTCGTGGCTCGGTGGTCTCGAGATCAAGCGCTGCCAAGGAAGCAGCTCCGTCTACGCCCGCCAAACAGACTCGGTCGAGCCGTGCATCTGCTACACCTGTAGGTTCAAGCTCACGAAGAGAGAGCAGCGACAAGCAAGGTGGCTCGACATTGACACCTACGCCTCGCACACCAGCGGCAGCTAGGGCCGCAACACGAAGCTCTGCATCGTCGGACGCGAGGAGCACTCGACGCACGCCCCGTCGTTGAGGCGAGCGGCGATCTGTGGTGTGCTCAATCCAATGCCAAGCAAATCAGGCATGTGCACACTTGTCGATGGTGAAGAAAAAGTTTGTGTCTGAAAAGAGGTGTATGGTTGAGCTTGGTTAGAATACATGAGCCAGAGTGGGCCGAGATTAGAGAGCAGCCTTCTCACGACCATCTTTCTGGACGCGCTCCCTAGCATCAGCATCCTTGATCTCCAATCCGGCATCGAACCATTGCTTGACATAGGCATCCACCTTGTCTCCTGTCTCCTGAGCGTTTACACTCCTGCCGAAAGCATCGACAAACTTGCCCTCGGGGTCCATGAGGTAGAAGAAGATGCTGTGATCGACCAAGTAGTCTCCCATCGGATCCGCACCGGGTGGAGTACTGAAGTAGACCCTGTACGCTTTACATGCCTGCTTGACAGCGTCAAAAGTGCCGGTCAATGCGACCATTCTTGGGTGGAAGTCTTCAATATACCTCGCCAGCTGAGGAACCGTGTCTCGTGCCGGATCGCAAGAGATAAAGACAGGGTTGATGACCTTCTTGCCGTACTTTTTGTCGATCCGGTCGACTACTTCGCCCATCTTGTCCAGCTCTTCAGGGCAGATGTCAGGGCAGTTGGTGAATCCAAAGTAGACGAGCGAGAAGCTTCCGAGTAGATCCTCGTGTGTGAATGGATGGGAAGTGGAAGTGATCAGATTAAAAGGTCCGCCGATGCGTGGACGACCCACTTTGGCGGAAGCGGTTTCAGCTCTGCGTCGCTGTTCGACTTTGTGCTTTTCGGTTCGGAAGTAGTAAAGGAGACCTGCACCGGTAGCGAGGAAGAGAAGGCCAGCTTTGAGGTTGAATGGGCCAATCGCGAGCTTATCTTTTGCTGACTCTTCGTTTTGAGATGAGGTGGCGTATGTGCGTCTCTTAAGCAGTGGTGTAAGTGCAACAGCAGGTCGAGCCGCTGATCGGGACAAATGCGATAGGGATCGCCTGCTGCCGAGTTGCCGCTGTCGGAGCATCGCCGACGAAACACGCATTGTGGCTGACATGGCGTTCATCTTTGCTATACAATCACAAAGATGCGTGGGAATGTGATGGTTTAAGTTGCCAAGCCGAGCAAAGTTGCACAGTGAACGAGTCGGATGAGCCGACAAGAGGGACCCCAAGGTGCAGGAAAGGCCGACTTTTCTTTTCCTTTTTTGAGCGTTTTGCTGCTGCTGCTGCTGCTGCTGCTTCTGCTCCTTCTTCTTCCCGAGTCTCTGTTGAGGCACTTTGACTGAGGTAAGCTTCCGAATAGCGTTCTGTTCTCTTGTGCAAAATCTCGGAACTCGGGATGCTTCGTTCCAAAGGGACGCTCGCTCAGCTCCACATTGTTTCCACCTCAGTTGTACCAACTCCTTCCAAACCTTCTATCAAGACCGCACTCAGCACAGCTCAGCATCGCCACGATGAGCGGAAAGAGGCTCAGCAAGCGTCAATTGCGCGAGCAACAGGAACTCCAAGAGCTTGCTCAACTACCGGTCCCCACATCGTCCTCCTCAGCCAAGAAGACACCCTTCCAGCAACTTGCTGAGCCCTCTGATGATGAGGATAGCGCACAAGAAGAGGAGAAGCAGGCGGCAACAGTGATCAGCAGCAAGACTCCCACTGCTTCTTCTATCTTTGCTGCTCTGGGCGACGAGAATCATGACTCAGATGAGAACCAAGATGAGGAGGATCAGGATCAGCACATCTCGACACAGCAGGCAACCAAGAGCAAAAAGAAGAACAACAACAAGAAAAAGAAGTCCGCCGCCGTTGCGACCACTGGGGGTGATGCTGAGAAAGATGCCGAGGCTACGCCAGCACCGTCCAAGTCAAGCAACAAGAAGTCATCCTCTTCGAAGAAGTCCTCCGCTGCTCCTCCAGCGCAAACGAAAGACGTCTCCGAAATGTCTATTGACGAGTTTGACGCTCTGCTTGCCTCACAAGCAACCCTCAATACAACCGATGCCTCGAGTGGCACTCGCGCTGGCTCCTCCTCAGCACCCTCCGCCTTCTACCGAGTCTCAGCATTCCGCACCCATCTCAGCTTGGACCCACGCAATCTCGACCCCGCCATCGAACTCCGTCGCCAGTTCGGATCCGCAGCCATCAAAGCGTACCAATCCGAAGCAGCCTCTTCTTCCGGCTCTCATGCTTCAGGAGCACGCGCACGAGCACAAGCCAACAATCCCAATCTCAAACTCCGCTCCCTCCTATGCACACCAAAAGACTACTGGCCACCCATCAACCGCAGCTTTACTGGCATGAGCATGGACGTTCACGACCTTCCCTCCATCGGCAAGATCTGCGAATGGAAGCACAGCAAAGCATACCGCCAAGTCCAGGTGCAGTTCTTGCAAGCTGTCCGCTCCTACGATCCCAACTCACTGATGGCTTTGCTCCGCATTTACCCTTACCACATCGACACGCTTCTGCAGCTCAGCGAGTACTCTCGTCATCAGGGAGATCTGGGTCAGGCAGCAGACTTTAACGACCGCGCCCTGTTTGCACTGGAACGCTGTGCTGCTCCATACTTCACTTCTTGTCTTTCCAGTACGAGCTCAGGACCGCCGGTGGTCAACTTTAACAAGATCGAGAACAGAGCTTTCTACCTCGCCCTCCATCGCAACATCGGATTCTTAGGCAGAAGAGGTACATGGAGAACAGCACTCGAATGGTCCAAACTGCTCCTAGGATTAGGTCAGGACGGGGAGGATCACCATGCAGCACTACTCTGGATCGACTTCCTCGCCATCAAGTCTCGCCAACACCGATGGCTGTTAGATCTCATTCAGAGGCTTGACGAACAACGCTCACGTGCTAGTGGTCAAGGTGTCTCGCACGTAGACGGGCTCTCTGCCCCCGCCAAGACACCGATCGACTCAACCGACAAGCAACTCGCCGCAGAAGGCTCCAACTACGCCGGCACCCTTGACTGGTGTGTAGGTCTTGCCTACTCACGTGCACTAGCCCTCCGAGCAGTCGAAAAAGAGGAAGGAGACAAATCACACTCTAGATCCAACGCTGCGCTTCGACTGGCGATCGCACGCTTCCCCGCCGTTGTCCCACTACTTTGCAACAAAGCAGGTGTCGATCTTCCGTCCAACATTGCTGGTCATCCTTTGTTCCAGCTCGAATCGCGGTTTTCAGGTTCTAAGGATACGCTTTCGGATCTGTTGACGCACATCTACGTTCTCCGTAGCGAGAGTCTGTGGAAAGAAGAAGGTTATGCGCAATGGCTTCGCAAGACTACCATGGATCTCGTCCCCACCCTGACTGCTGATTTCGACCTGCCGGGGAAGCAACGCAAGACTCAACCCGCCGTTGCATCGCATAACACTCGACAGGGCATCTACCGTCACGTCTTGGTATCCGATGTACCGGATACTGTCCGACAGCAGCTCATCGCGTATTTGCCACCCAGTATTACGGGCAGCAGTGAAGAGATGGATAGTTTCGATCCTGTTCCGCCTCGATCCAAGCCCAGCAGTGTGGAGGAAGGACTCGAAGCAAAAGTGCAGAAGGTGACCAGGTATGACGATGAGTACTTTGCTCCGATCCTCGCGCACAACACTTCGTCCGGCGGTAGAGGTCTGAGAGGGAGTGCAGGAGCAGCAGGTGGAGAAGGGGGGGTAATGGCAGCCTTCCGTAGAGCTCTCCAAGGTTTGGGAGGACTGCAAGGGTGGGATGCAGCAATGGAGAACATGGACGATGAGACGAGAGAGGATGTGATGGCTCAGATCATGGCGATGACGCAACAGGCCGAAGGGGGGATGCCTGGTGCGTTTGGCGATGAAGGTGCAGAGGGTAGAGAAGGTGAAGATGGGGAAAGAGGAGCGGGCGGCGGAGGAATGGGAGCTTTTGAGGCTCTGAGAGGGGCTTTGGACGCTATTTGGGGCGGTGGTGGACAAGCTCAGGCACAAGCTCACGTCCACGAGGAAGAGGACGAGAGCGAGGAAGAGCAGCAACGCCATTAGAAAACCCCCCGCCTTTATCATTCCCTAGAACACATGACCCAGATCATATGCATCACCTTTACCTTTTATCGTTCATCATCGATTCTCGCACAATTCACTTCGAACTTGGCTGCATCGCACACACTTCCACACTAAACTGTTGTCCTGTGTCTGTATTTTGTTTCATTTGATTGCTTATGGCGTTTTTCAGCTCTTCGAAAGACGTGGATATCAACTGTGAATCGGTGATTTCACGAGAACATCTTGCTATACGCAGCGCGCTGAGCCTTTACCTTCGCCTCCCTCCTCTTCTGCAAAGCGTGCAACTCCTTCTTGACACCCGCATCTCCTCCTTTCGTAAGCTCATCAGCACGCTTCAAGTCTGTTTCTGCCCTTTCTTCGTCCTTGATCGCCACGTAGCCTAGCGCTCTTCTGTAGTAAGCCTTCGCAAGGTCAGCTGTAGACTTCTTCGCTGCTTCTTCGTCCGAATCCCAGGCGGTTTTGTTCTCGGCAAGGTTCTGGACGACTGCTGTTGTCTGTGCGATGGCGACTTTTGGTTGGGGAGGAGTGACTTTGAGTGCTGCGAGAGAGGCGTTGAGTTGGACGGAGGTTTTGAGGGCCTTCCATTCTGTAGCGGTCGCTTCTGGAGTGTCGTCAGGGAGGACCGGGTGGAGTTGGAGGTAGCGAAGGGCTTTCAAATACTTTTCGAGAGCGAGTGGGAAGTTGGAGGCGGAGAACTGCTTGTTGGCTACGCCCTTGAGCTCCGTCGCGATCTTCAGGGTGGCTGCTAAGTCGGATTCGAGCTTCTCATCCTGGTCCTCTGGGTATTCTTCGTAAACATCGCCCGTTCCATCAGCCTCAATCCCAAATTTACCGCTCCTGACCTCCTCGCTTCCTTCCTCAAGCTCCCCACAATCAGCAATCTTGACCTCGTTCAACGGCCTATCATTACTCTCCGTCTCCGTGGCCTCGATCTTCCTCACCACATCCTTTCCCTTCAACACCCTTCCGAACACAACGTGCTTGCCGTCCAGATGCGGAGTTGGCACTGTTGTAATGAAGAACTGAGATCCGTTGGTGTTGGGTCCAGCATTCGCCATACTAAGCAAAAAAGGTCGGTCGTGTCTGCCGGTTAAATCTTCATCCTCGAACTTCTCGCCGTAGATGCTTTCACCACCGGTGCCGTCTCCGCGGGTAAAATCACCACCTTGGATCATGAACTTAGGAATGACTCGGTGGAAGACCGAGTTCTTGAACGAGAGCGGTTGACCGGTGGAAGCGGTTTTGTTGTCCGAGTTGGTGCATAGGTAGCGGAAGTTCTCGGCGGTGCGTGGGACGAGGTGCTTGTAGAGCTCGAGGACGATTCGGTTGGCGCCTGTGCGAGAGGGAGCGGGAGAGTTGGCGAAGGAGATGTCGAGGTAAACGATGGGGTTGCCCGGCGTCGGGGCTGCGGTGGAATTCGACATCTTTGGCTGATTGTTGCTACCAGATGTGAAAGGTGAGATGGAGCAGAGAGTGTTGTTGATGAAGGTGGAAGGAGGGGAGGAAGGGATTGGTTAAATGAAGCTCACCAGCAAAGATGGGTGCACCGTTTCGAGAAGAACACGGTTTTCTCGCAATTTCTGTGAAATCACATGACCTCTTTTCCTCGCTCTAACATTTTCCACCAACCTCGCTCTCCGTCGTTACTCATCATCACCCACCACGTTCGCGCTATAGCAGAATTGTAAGTTTATGGCGCTCTCACAACGCAATGTCGTGTCGCTCGAGGTCGATGATCTTCATGTTGAGGTACTCCACAGCATTTGGAGAATTGGAGTGAACGGCGTAAAATTGTTAGCATTTTTTGAAGGCTAGATACAGCAATACTATGAACATATATATACACTTTGCTATGAGTGTGTAAGGGTGAAGTACCACACATGACTGTGTGGTATGCTAAAGTGCAATGAGCTGGAATAGGGGCCATTGGTGGGCAATGATGTGTGGTGATGGTGAATGAAGTTGGTGCATGCATTAACACATGAATGTGACTGCATGGTCATGTGATTTTACTATCCTCCTTGCCAACTGAATGATGAGAGGGTTGGAGGGTTGCCATACTGAGGCACTGTCAGGTACGTGTAAGCAGGTGCTGGGACACAGGTGTCAGGGGTCTTGCGCCTGAAACCCAGGTCGGTCTGTCGAGATACTCGGTGACTATCAAACTGTGCGACAGCTATTGTCTCGGTATCAGTGACTATCAAGTTGCACAGTGACAGCAGGTGGCATTCGTTGTATATACTATCGTAGATTTCAGCTGACCTCTGTGGACACTCCGTTCAGGGGTAGCTTGGCACAATCAATATCAATGCTATGATGACACCAAGGTCTGGTGTGAGTGTTGATGATGATGAGGTTGATGATGTTGGTGATAAGGTTGGTGGGTGTTGATGATAATGAGGTTGATGGTGTTGGTGATAAGGTTGGTGGTGTCAACATGAGTGTCCAGTGTGTTGACTTGATGCTTGAAGTGATCCCTGGACTGCAGTGGACTACTGCCTTGTCATGGGCCTGGATGCTCAAGAAGCAGGAGGGTCATGGGTTCATATGGAAGGAGCACAGGTATCGAAGACCTAGTCGACACCAGTAGAGAGCATGGTCGTAGTGCAGTCTCCATGGAGACCATGGACTCCTATGGACTCACATGCAAAGGAGGGCCAAGCACAGCCACGAGGAGGACCAATCTCAAGGAGCAGGCACAGCCACGAGGAGGACCAAGCTCAAGGAGCAGGCACAGCCACGAAGAGGACCAAGCTCAAGGAGCATGCAGATGGTTACCACTCAGGGGCTCGAGAGACAAGAGCCAAAGGAACTGTCACTGATCAAAGGAGGAGGAGCAGTGTCGAAGGAGTCGACACAGCTCAAGAGGCACAGGGGTGCCAAGCAGGAGAGGCCCCTGAGCAGTACTCGATGAAGAAGGTACTCTCTGGAGAGAGAGCAGGAGCAGCATCGCTGGCGATGCTGAGAAGAGGTATATAACCATGCTTTCTCATCAATAGGTCGAGTGGATCCTTATCCACTCTACTCACCATACAACTAGTCAATACTTTAGAAACACAAGTACTCATTAGTTACAGTCAGCATAGCAGCAATCTATCAAGGTTGCTCCTCATCGTAGTGTGTGTGTTGTATCACCACTACCTGACATCCGAAGGCGCCCATAGCAGGTTAGCGGTCCGGATATAGATAGAACCGAAGGCAGTAGTCCACTGCGGTCCGGGGATCACTTCAAAGCATCAAGTCAACACACTGGACACTCGTGTTGACGCCACCAACCTTATCACCAACACCATCAACCTCATTATCATTGACATCACCAATCTTATCATCAACACCATCAACCTCATTATCATCGACATCACCAATCTCATCACCAACACCATCAACCTCATCATCATCAACACCCACACCAGACCTTGGTGTCATCATAACACTGATATTGATCGTGCCGAGCTACCCCTGAACGGAGTGTCCACAGAGGTCAGCCGAAACCTACGATAGTATATACAACAAACGCCACCTGCTGTCACTGCACAACTTGATAGTCACCGAGTATCTCGAGACAATAGCTGTCGCACAGTTTGATAGTCACCGAGTATCTCGACAGACCGACCTGGGTTTCAGGCGCGAGACCCCTGACATGCCTTTGGTTCTATCTTGATCCAGACTGCTAACCTGCTATGGGTGCCTTCAGACATCAGGTAGTGGTGATACAACACACACACTACGATGAGGAGCAACCTTGATAGATTGCTGCTATGCTGACTGAAACTAATGTATACTTATGCTGAAGTGATAACTAGTTATATGGTGAGTAGAGTGGATGAGGATCCACTCGACCTTTGATGATGAGAAAGCATGGTTATATACCTCTTCACAGCATCGCCAGCGATGCTGCTCCTGCTCTCTCTCCAGAGAGTACCTTCTTCATCGAGTACTGTTCAAGGGCCTCTCCTGCTTGGCACCCCTGTGCCTCTTGAGTGGTGTCAACTCCTTCGACACTGCTCCTCCTCCTCATGACCTGGTGTTGACTCCTTCAACACTGCTCCTCTTCCTCAGGACCTGCTTGCCAGTGTCCTATGACTCTTGTCTCTCGAGCCCCTGAGTGGTAACCATCTGAGCTTGGTCCTATTTGTGGCTGTGCCTGCTCCTTGAGCTTGGTCCTCCTTGTGGCTGTGCCTGGCCCTCCTCGCATGTGGCTCGGTTCTCCTTTGCATGTGAGTCCATAGGAGTCCATGGTCTCCATGGAGACTGCACTACGACCATGCTCTATACTGGTATCGACTAGGTCTTCGATACCTGTGCTCCTTCCATATGAACCAGTGACCCTCCTGCTTCTTGAGCATCCAGGCCCATGACAACAGGCTTGGTGAGGTAGTCAGCATCATTGTGGGTGGTCCTCACATGTCATAGAGCAATGTTGCCTTCCATAATGTGGTTTCAAATGAGGTGATACTTCATATCAATATGCTTGAGTCTGGAATGGAGGACCTGATCCTTCACAACTTGTATGCATCTGGTGTTGTCTGTGAGTATGAGTGGCATGTGATCTCTGAAACCCAACCCACAAAGCAGGTGCTGGTGGAATAGGGCTTCATGTGTGGTGGTTGATCCTGTGATGTATTCTGCTTTGACTGCTGATTCTGAGATGCATTTCTGGACATGTGAGTTCCAGGTGACTACACTGCCAAAAATCTTCACAACCAATCTGGATGTGCTCCTTCAGTCTGCATTCAGATCAGAAGCCCAATTTGAGTCTGTGTATGTGACAATGGCAGGTTTGGTCCCATTCCCACCACCAAGTCTCAACACCTCATTCTGCATCTGGTTTAGATACATGATGACCTGGAGCACTGCCTGCATTGTGGCTTCTGTGGGTCTGGACATGTGTCATGCCAGAGTATTGACAGCAAAAGATATGTCTGGTCAGACCATATTTGTGATCCATAGGAGTTTTCCTACAAGTGTCAGGTACTCAGTCTTTAGCTTTGCATCGATTTTTGGATCTGGTGGTGCCTTAGGCAGGGTGCAAGTCATGGGGATCCATGTTTTGTCATGTGGTCAGATCCATTCCTTGATGATTTGCTGTATGTATGCCTGTTGATCCAAGTTGATCATCCATTTGATGCAATCCCATGTGAGCTTGATCTTGAGGAACTCTGTTGCCAGTCTGTTATCAGTGATCTTCCATTTTTGAACAATCTCCCCTTTGACTTGGTCAACCTGGTCATGAGACAGCAACATGATGAGCATGTTGTCAACATACACTGCAATGATCACCTGTGTCTCTCCAGCACCTCTCAAATACACACAGGGGACATTGGGCAATGGGAAAAGACCTATGCATTATAGGTGTGTGTCCAGTTCCATGTGCCATTCCCTGCCAGACTGCTTGAGCCCATATAAGCTCTTGACTAGCTTATACACCTTATTAGCTGGTACCTTGGCACCCTCTGGTGGCTTGAGATAAATGTGATGGTGCAGCTCAGTGTTTAGGTAAGCTTGCATGACATCAATTGAGTTGAGTTCCCAGTCGAAACTGGCAGTGATCACCAGTAGGGTCCAGATGGCATCCCTGGGTACAACTGGTGTGAAAATCTCATCATAGTCGATACCCTCCCTTTGGGAGAAACCATGTGCACAGAACCTGGCTTTAAACTTGTATGGTACATTGCTTGCATCTGTCTTCACCTGGAGTACCAGTTTGGAATCTACAAGGTTCACCCCCTCCAGTCTGTCCACTGTCTCCCAGATGTTCATACTTTCCAATCCATCCATTTCTGCCCTGATTGCTTTGCACCAATGGATTTGGTCCAGTCTGGTCAGGGCTTCCTTCACTGATGGTTTGAGATTTGTGGCAGAGATGACATAGGTACTAGCATCATATGCTGGAAGGTCACTGATGTCTGCCAACCTGCCATTGCATTGGAGGTTTTCTTGAAAACAGTGCAGATCAGCCACAGGTGGGAACATCTGCAGGTATGTCTCGAGAAGTATTGCAAGCATTGTTGGATGTAGCCAAGGGTACATGTCATGTGTTGTGGCAAATATGTTGTGGTAATGCTGGGCCATTTGCATTGATAAGTGTTCCACAACTGCTCTGCTCTGGATGCTCTGGTCAAGTTCATTCAGCAGTGGTGGAGGTTCTGATGTCATTGTGAGTCAGTATGTTCTGTCTCTTGAGCCATTGGATGCTTGATCTGATGGTGTGTTTGATGGGTTGGATTCCAATGCATCATTGAACCTCTCCACCGGATATTCAAACACAGTCTCTGTGGGCCTGGGGATTGGTATATTATCTTCAAAAACCATGTCAAGTTCCAGAGGTGGTTGGTAGATGTTGTTGATGGGGTGTTGGGATTCCTTGTCATGTTCATCAACTTCATCATACCCCAGGTCTTCAATGTCATCTATGTTCTTGTAATGCAGAGCATCCATATCTTGGATAGGAGTCATGACCATGCAATCATTCCATGACATACCTTGTAAGAAACATGCCAAGTGTCAGGGGTCTCGCGCCTGAAACCCAGCCAGGATTGCCAGCTCATCCAGTTTTGTATGTTTTGCTTTTGGAATGTCAACCCAGGTGAGACATCTGAAAGTCCAGAGCAAAGAGAATGGCTTCCTCAGATCTCTGTTGTAGAACACATGGTATGGCACCCAGTTGTGGATGTTTGGCATTAGGTTTTTCATAAATATGGCAGCCTCTGCTGTGAAGGGCCAGAATGTTTGGGGCAGGTGGTGTGTTCACATTATCATGATCATCATTTCTCAGATTGTTCAGATGGTGTGTTCTGCCTTGCCATTTTGCTCACTGGTGTATGCAGATGTCTTTTGCCACTGGAAACCAGCTTCATTCTGCTAACCAGCAGCTGCCACAGAAATCCATTTGCTGCCATTGTCTGAGCAGATGGTCTTAAGCTTGTGGCCCATTTGTACTTTGGCATAATAGATCCATTCTTTCAGTACTTGTAGGGTGTCTGACTTTGCCTGGAGTGGTTTCACATAGGTGAAGCTAGAGGCATCATCCACTGTGACCAGTAGTCATGTGAACTCAGTCTTTGTTGATAAATGGGTAGTCAGATTGACATGTACAAGCTCCAGTGGGTGCTGGGCACATGCACTGCTACTTTTGCTCATTCTGGCCTTGGTTGATTTTCCAATGATGCAATCTTGACATTCATCACTTGGGAGCTTGATATGGTATAGTTTCTCAATGATCCTTGCCTTGTTCCAACCCAGATGACTGCACTGTTCATGCATAAACTGTGGGGTGAAGGAGCACCTCACAGCTTTTGCTTCATTGTCAAATGTCTCCAGCAATTCAGACAGTTGCTCATCTGTGCATGCTACCAATGTTTTGCATTTGTATTCAGGGAATTCATAGTGTCTTGTTCGAGGGTTGAGGTTGCTGATGACAGTTGTGCCACATGGGAGTTCCAATGTTGCATGTTTGCTGTTGAATATCACACATGCACCATTGCTTGTCAGTGCTTTTACTGAGATCAGGTTTGCATTTGCATCTGGGACATAAAGTACATTGTTCAATGGTACTTCATGGCCGTTTACATTTAGCATAGCCTGATCAACTGCCACAATGCGATTTCTCATCCCACTAGCAGTCTTCACAAACCCAGTACATGGATGTCATGGGCCTGGATGTGCAAGAAGTAAGAAGATCTGTCAACTCATATGAAGGGAGCACAGGAATCGAGGAATCGGGCAGATTGTGGGATTTGCAGCAGAATTCATTGAGATCTGTAGTAGAAATGGGTCTATGACAGATCCCATCAAGATCTGCATGAACAAGGATGATATCACAAATCCCACTGAGATCAGTAGTAGGAGAGGTCATATAGCAGATTCTGTGGAGATCAGTGACAAGGATGTTTGTACAACAAATTCACATGCAAGGAGGACCAAGCTCTGCCAAGACAGGGACCAAGCTCAGAAACATGCAGCTGGTTACCACTCAGGGGTTCACCAGATAAGAGTCAGGAGAACAGTCACTGGTTAAGAGGAAGGAGAGCTGTGTTGCTGACACCAGCATACAGGTCATGAGGAGGAAGAGCTGTGTCAAAGAGGTCGACATACAGCTCAGGTAAGGACAGAGGGGATGTTACAGGGACTCCTGCACAGTACTCGACGAAGAAGGTACCCTCTGGAGAGAGGGCCTGAGCAGTGTCACCAGCGACACTGCAAAGAGGTGTCATGGGCCTGAATGTGCAAGAAGCAGAAAGACCCGTTAAAGTTCATATGAAGGGAGCGCAGGAATCAGGGGATCGGGCAGATCGTAGGATTTGTGGCAGAATTCATTGAGATCTGCAGTAGAATCAGCCCTATGACAGATCTCAGTGAGATTGGTACAAACAAGGATGATATCACAAATTCCACCAAGATCTGTAGTAGGAGAGGTTGTATAGCAGATTCTGCAGAGATCAGCAACAAGGATGTTTGTACTATGAATTCACATGCAAGGAGGACCAAGCTTGTATGCGAGGAGGACCAAGCTCTGCCAAGACGGGGACCAAGCTCAGGAACATGCAGTTGGTTACCACTCAGGGGTTCACAAGATAAAAGACCTGGAGAACCATCGCTGGTCAAAGGAAGAAGAGCCATGTCAAGGACACCGGCAAGCAGGTCATGAGGAGGAGGAGCAGTGTCGAGGACAGGAGCGGTGCTACAGGGACCCCTGTATAGTACTCGACGAAGAGGGTACTGTCATGGGCCTGGATGCTCAAGAAGCAGGAGGGTCACTGGTTCATATGGAAGGAGCACAGGTATCGAAGATCTAGTCGATACCAGTATAGAGCATGGTCGTAGTGCAGTCTCCATGGAGACCATGGACTCCTATGGACTCACATGCAAAGGAGGACCGAGCCATATGCAAGGAGGGCCAGGCACAGCCATGAGGAGGACCAAGCTCAAGGAGCAGGCACAGCCACGAAGAGGACCAAGCTCAAGGAGCATGCAGATGGTTACCACTCAGGGGCTCGAGAGACAAGAGTCGAAGGAGTCGACACCAGGTCATGAGGAGGAGGAGCAGTGTCGAAGGAGTCGACACCACTCAGGAGGCACAAGGGTGCCAAACAAGCAGCAGGATAGCAAGGAGGAGGAGCAGTGTCGAAGGAGTCGACACAGCTCCAGAGGCACAGGGGTGCCGAGCAAGCAGGAGAGGCCCTTGAACAGTACTCGATGAAGAAGGTACTCTCTGGAGAGAGAGCAGGAGCAGCATCGCTGGCGATGCTGTGAAGAGGTATATAACCATGCTTTCTCATCATCAAAGGTCGAGTGGATCCTCATCCACTCTACTCACCATAACTAGTTATCACTTCAGCATAAGTATATATATTAGTTTCAGTCAGCATAGCAGCAATCTATCAAGGTTGCTCCTCATCGTAGTGTGTGTGTTGTATCACCACTACCTGATGTCCGTAGGTGCCCCATAGCAGGTTAGCAGTCCGGATATAGTTAGAACCGAAGGCAGTAGTCCACTGCGGTCCAGGGATCACTTCAAGCGTCAAAGTCAACACACTGGACACTCGTGTTGATGCCATCAACCTTATCACCAACACCATCAACCTCAGTATCATCAACACTCACCAACCTTATCACCAACGTCATCAACCTCATCATCATCAACACTCACACCAGACCTTGGTGTCATCATAACTGAAGCATTGATATTGATCGTGCCAAGCTACCCCTGAATGGAGTGTCCACAGAGGTCAGCCGAAACCTACAATAGTATATACAATGAATGCCACCTGCTGTCACTGTGCAACTTGATAGTCACTGATACCGAGACAATAGCTGTCACACAGTTTGATAGTCACCGAGTATCTCGACAGACCGACCTGGGTTTCAGGCGCGAGACCCCTGACAGGTACTCTCTGGAGAGAGAGAGCCGGAGCAGTGTTGCAGGCGATACTACAAAGGATGTATATAAGCATACCTTCTTGTCATAAGTGGTCGAGTGGATCCCTATCCACTCTACACACCATATAACTAGTATTACTTCAGAAGCATAAGTACTCATTAGTTTTCAGTCAGCATAGTCACAATCAAGTTGATTGCCTCTCATTGTAGTGCATGTGTTGTATCACCACTCACTGATGTCTGAAGGTGGTTCATAGCAAACCAGTGGTCCAGATAAAGATAGAACCAAAGGCAGTAGTCCACTGCAGTCCAGGGATCACCTCAAGCGTTAGTCAACACACTAGACACTCATGTCAATGCCACCAGTAATCACACTCACACCAGACCTTGGTGTCATCACAAGTTCACATCATTATTGATTGTGCCAAGCTACCTCTGGATGGAGTGTCCACAGCAGTTAGTTGAAACCTGCAATAGCAAAACCCTTACTGCAGTTCTGAGCGAGAAAAGTGATAGAGATGGCTCTACTACATATTTTGCCAAGAATTGCTATACCACAAGTGTTGTCGCATAACTCAACAGGATTGGTAATAGAATCAACTCTATTACAGGTTTCAGGTTTCAGGTTTCAGGCATGTGACTGCTGACAAGAGGTATATAATCATACTTTCTCGTCATAGGTGAACGAGTGGATCCTCATCCACTCTACATCATATCAACTAGTTAATACTTCAAGCATAAGTACATATTAGTTTCAGTCAGCATAGTCGCAATCAAGTAGATTGCCTCTCACTGTAGCATGTGTGTTGTATCACTGCTCACTGACATCCAAAGGCAGTTCAAAGCAAACCAGCAGTCTGGATTCAAAATAGAACTGAAGGCAGTAGTCCACTGCAGTCTAGGGATCACCTCAAGCAATAGTTGACACACTGGACACTCGTGTTGACACCATCAAGCATTCATACTCACACCAGACCTTGGTGTCAGTACAGTTCATATCATTATTGATTGTGCCAAGCTACCTCTGGATGGAGTGTCCACAGTGGTCAGTTGAAATCTGCAATAGCACAACCCCAATTACAGATTTGAGTGAGTAAAGTCATAAGGACATCACTATGGCATAACTTGACAGGAATCATAATACTACATATACAATCACATATCTTGACAGGATCTGTAATAGAAGTGGTCCTACTACAGATCTCAGGTTTCAGGCGCGTGACCTCTGACAATGGAGTGGAAGAGGTGAGATTGGATTCATCATTCGTGACATGATCAGTTGCTCCCAAATCCACAATTCAGGTGGTGGATTGTAGGTCCAGTGAGGTATGGTAAGTGGAGGTGATGGTGCACCAGGTATCCTATGCAGACATGTGACCTGGGAAAGGGGGTGTCATTGGTATTCCCTCCTGGGTCTTCTTTGGGCAATACCTGGAGATGTGATTCTCTGCATTGCAGTGGTAGCATCATCAGACTCTGTCAGGTCTGGGTTTACCATGGTGGTAAGCTTCCTCATTCTTAACTTGTCCTTCAGCTAAGTTTGCCTGGGCTGTCCTGGGGTTGCTGACCCTGTGGTCCATCCAGACAGTCATGCTATCTTGTTGCTTGCACAATGCAGCACAAAGCACCTCATAACTGGATGCCATCCCAGTATCTTCAAGTGTGATGATGCAGTGATGATATTGGGTGATGTATCTAGCTTGGTCGATGAGGGCTTTCACTTTGAGTATTTCAGGAAGAGCATGGCCCATGGACTTGGCCTTAGCCCAGTGCTCATTGATATCAGTGATGAGCTTTTGGACATCAGCCTGGAACATGTGAATCTTCCCAACTTTGTTGAGCAAGGTCAATTTGGCAATCTTCTCCATCTTGGTGAGATCCTTCTTCAGCCTGCAGTAAAGGCTGTGAAGTCTCCAGGGTTCTGAGTTTGCAGGTCATATGAAAAAGTAATTGATATTGTCATTGCCAGTGAGCAGGGCACTACTTTGAAGGATGGTGCATAGCTCACCATCAAGAGCATGATCATACCTTTTGTCCCCAGGGGCCATGACACCATCGAGGTGCTTCATAGCCACTGGCCAGTTAGACAGGATCCCTCTGAAATGAGGATTCCAAGCATACCAATTCTTGGTCATTAGCTTGGGTGCCTCCTTGAGTGCATCATGGGTGTGTAAGAGCCTTTGATGGAAATTGGAGCAGCAGGATGGTTTCTTGTATATGTCAGAGTCTTTTGCTTTGTTGCATTTGGTGAGCTCAATGAGCATGCCTTTGAGCATTTCTGGGTTTAGGTTTGAGATGGTGTCAATGTTGTAGCATGTCTTGTCTCTGATGTTATCATCATCATTGGAGTCATATGGTGAAGGGGTCTCTGCACTGATCAGCATCTGCTTCTGTGGTGCAGTGGGGGCCCTTGATTCATTTGGTCCATCAGACAGGTCACTGCTCTCAGCATCAGAGTTGCAAGTCCATGGAGGCATATTGGATTGGCAGATTTGTTGAAAGTGGGCCCTTACTTCGGGCAGTGGATGTGGGTGAGGGTATGGGTTGGACAGCATGGCAAGGCATGGCAAGGTCTGTCAGTGTTTGGTCAGTAGGGCTTCAGACTCTTAATCTGTTGAGGTACTCCACAGCATTTGGAGAATTGGAGCAAATGGCATAAAATCATTAGCATTTTTCAAAGGCTAGATACAGCAATACTATGAACATATATATATGCTTTGCTATGAGTGTGTGAGGGCGAGGTACCACACATGACTGTGTGGTATGCTAAAGTGAGATGAGCTGGAATAGGGGCTGTTGGTGGGCAATGACATGTGGCGACAGTGAATGAAGTTGGTGCATGCGTTAACGCATGAACGTGACCGCGTGGTCATGTGATTTTACTCTTCATACAGAGCGATCTTTGGTCGCAAACTCATTGTCCCGCATAGCATCCCAGCAACCTCGCCTTCCCTACCAGTCATATTGAGCCTTGCTTCGATTCACAGTCACGCATCCATCCTCGAGTCGTTGTAATGTTTCATTATGCTTAGGCTAGGCAAATCGCTCAGAAGAGATGTCCGTGGGCCTGATGTTCGTCCAGGAGCTCCAATAGACAGCCTAATGCCATCACCGCAAATGTGTTCCCACCAAAGTGTCTTGTTGCCACCTCAGACGCACCCAAATGGCATGCTGCGTAGAGATATTGCAGCTCTTTCCTCCTCTTCCTTCTTTTAAGATTCTCCACCGTCATCCGACCGCTGTAGTGGAGGTCAAGACCATAATCGTGATCATCACAGTCATACAGCAGATTGTATAGCTCTGGATCTGTGCATGCGATGGCTTTGTTCTTGCCCTTCTGTTGCTGCAGTTGCTGATGTCCTCGGCCGCTTCCGTTAGGGGTGGATGTGCCGCTAGCTTTTCCTTTATCTTTGCCTTTACCATTCGTTTGTTGAATCTTATTGTTCTGTCTGGAAGAGCAAGCCTGATGAGTCTTGGCAATGTGCTCGTTCAGGGCATATTTCGTTGCCTGATGATCCAAGTGTCCTTTGGGATCAAAATCTCCTTCGTCATCGGACTGCGGCGAATGTGTGCCACTCGCACCAGGCTTCTCCTTCAATAATACTCGTTCGCCGTCTACGACGACAATTCTTGCCAGTGGCTTCCGAACAGGTTCTTTCACCAGCTGGGCGTAGCCTGTGAAGTGCACTGTCTCAGCACGTTCTCGACCAGGGATTGTGGTTGAGCCGGTTGACTTGCTCTTCCCCTTGTTCCTGCCACCGGCATCCGTGTCTGGCGTAGGCCGAATCGTAGAGGTCTCCACAGTATCGTCGCTAGCAATGAGTAGCAATTGCGCCCGCAAAGTTGGGAACAACTCGGCAGTGGAGGCCGTCAACCTCTCCTGCCTCCGCTTGAGTTGCTTTGCTTTCGTCGCCATGACTTGCGTCCCGACCAGGATCTCCTCTTCACTCAGCCATTCCGTTTCGGTCCTGCTCTCCGGAATCCAAGCAGCCAGCCGACTGAGGTGGGATACGAACGATGAAAGCAACGGCCTGTAATGCGCCTGCATCTGCTTCAGCCGCAGTCCTTCAGGCATAATCTGGGGAAACTTCTGAGTCAACATCGTCAAAATATCCACGATATCGTCAGCTTTCCCAGGCTGTTTCAAGATACTCGATAGCGCACTCTGCTTGCCCTGCGTCTCTGTCGCCCAAGAAGGCTGTGCGCCGAACGGCGTATCCGTCGTGTGTTCCGGAATCGCCCTGAACAACTTTCCCAATGCCCTTGAACTTGCATAGATCCCCTGTCCCACTGGTCGTTGTGCCAAGAAATCCGGTCTAGGCGAATTAAGCGGCGGCATTGGCACGTCTTTCCGATGCACCGCCTGACCCGTCTTCCTATAGTCTACCGCCTTCGCATGCAGTTGGGCCAGCTTGACACAATCCGGATCGAGCGAATGCAGTTCACTCTGATCCGCAATGTGCAAGTGGAATGTGGAAACCAGTCCAATCTGATCGTTAATCACGAAGTCAACAAAGAAATCCGCCAGATCCTCAAATGTACATGGTCGTGCCAATGCCCGCGGTGGTGTATTCTTGTATACCCCAGGTGAAGCCATCTGCTTCGGGAATAATTGCTCGTCTTCGTAAATGGTAAAGATGTCACCATCAAAATCTGCACCAGAGAGCATAGATTGAAGCGGACGACCGTGCGGATGCTTATTGAAGACGACGACGTTGCGAAGTTGGCGCAAGGGATGAGTGGGAGGAGGTTTGACGGCGGTGACGATGCGGACGTCGCCAGGATGGATGGTGGGAGAGCGTCCGATCATGACTCGACCTTCAATGATACGGTATTGGCCATCCTCCTTGTCGTTCACTTGAACGAAGATCTCGTTCTTGCCGAGATAGTTGAACTCGTCGACAACACCAATGAGGGTACAGCCATCAACGGGGATTCGTGCTTTACGCTTGAGATCGCCTAGCGCGGCTGCGATGACGATGGTACAGAGTCGGTTAAGGATGCTGTCGTGATGAAGGTTGTCCGGAGTGATGCCAAGGATACTATCAAGTCGATGGAAGAGCTTGTGGACTTCGGCTGTGTCACTGAGCGCAAAGGATCTCATGAGTTGGGATGCGTGCTTGAAGTCTTTCCTTGCCAGTTGTGCGCTTTCGACTGCTTTGTTCTGTAGAGAGACGAACACGTCGGCTGGGACACCGAGGTCTTCAAGAGCGTTGATGAGCGGTCGATTGAGTCGCGCCGGAAGTGGATGAAAGGATGTAGTTGCTACTTCGAGATCTCGATGCTTGGGTGCGGAGAATTTGATCATGCTGTGTCGAACTTTCATGACCTTGCCCCTAAGTTGCGGGTTGAGGCACAGCACACCTTTGGCACCACCGTACCTGAATTGAATCGCTGAAGGAATACGTCTTGCATCCTGCTGCGAAAGCTGCCACTCGCGAAGCATGTTCTTGGCCGAGCACAACTCACGCCAGATGTCGTCACGCAGTTCGCGGGAGATTTCGCCGACACCATCGGTGAGCAGGTAGAATTGCTTCTCCCGCTCGTTGGGCCCATTTGAAGGCATCGCGCAGTTACTGTGGTCATCAGTGACGATCTTGACCCAGTCGTCGTTGATCTTAATGGTCGAAGAGGTCGCACTGAAAGCCTGTGAAAGTCGAGCGCCAAGACGAGCTGGGTACCGGTCCACACCTTGAAAATCGCCAAGCGACTGACGGATGCGTTCAGCGTTCCATAGGTTGCCATCCTTGTCGGTAAATGCAGTGACAAACCAACAGTGATGGCTACCGAGGCCAGAACCAGACCATGCGAGGGCTTCGAACTTGCGGCCGGCGATGGCAATACCATGCTTGAGGGGGTCGCCAATACGTTCGCGGACGAAGGATTCGCTATCAATACCGTGCAGATCGTGTCGTGAGACGGGGAACCGGTCGCCATCTTCATCACAAAAAGCCACTCGGACAAAGTGGCTGCCGAACTCGGGGAAGAGACGCAGGACACGGTTGGAGGCGTCCATAAAGGGTCCTTCGAGCAGCATGCGAGTTGGCGTGATAGCGACATGGTAGACTTGTGCCGTTGCCGTGGTGACGACTTGATCATTGAGTGGGTCAGCCTCCATGGCGTCTTGGCGAATAAGACGCTGCTGCTCGACTTCGATGCGTTGCTGAAGCTTGCCAGACCCCAAGAGGCATCGAGTGTGGCGATCGCGTACTTGAATCTGTCGTGAAGTCACAGCGAGGCTTTCGAGCACTCTCGCGGCGAAGTCAACGTTATGACACTTGATCAGACGACGGGTGTTGTCCTTGAGGATCTCGAGCACAGTTGGCGAATAGAGGCCATTGCGAATGAGCTTGTCAAACTGGTAGGCTACACGGATGTCGAGGTCGGCGCAGAATTGACCTACAGCTTCGAAGAAGTCCGGCGCAGTGAGATTCCTTCGCACAATGGCTCTTGGCTCCTGACGTGGGTTGCCTGCCCGCTTGAGGAACGGTCTTGCCTCAAGACAGAACCAGTCCAGATCACGTACGGACACGAAGCAGACGCGGAAATGACATCCGATCAGGGGCACGCGGTATCGACCACGATCTCGAATATGAAGCTCTCGATCGACCTTATTGATGAAATCGAAGATGGAACTGTTGCGGCCTTGACGGATGAACGTTGCGGGATCTTCCAGTTCGAACGCAAGTGCATTGTGAGCGTGATCGATAGACCAGCTTACGATGTTGTTGAAAAGGATGCGAATCGAGTTGTGCTTATCGCCAAAGTACAGCACTTGCGCTTTGACGTCGAAGCCGGACGGAAGAGGTACTTGAGGCGCATCGTAGTCTTCAATTGAAAATGAACCATCTTCGCAGATGACGCCGAACTGAATAATCGACCAAGCCCCGTCGTACCTTACGGGCTCGATGCGTTTGCGGGCTTGTTGGCGGACAGTTTCGGTCCGCACCTGGTGAGAGCGATGATGGACGCCAGGAGGTACAGGACTGATGGCGTTAGCGCCCACATTGCCATCGTCATCGCTCTGACCACTGGAAGAGTCGCTATTCGCCGGCTCACCTCTCAGCCTACGCTGTCTGGAGTTCCAGTCTTGGTAAGGGAACGAGAGAAGACGGCGTACAATCTTCTCGTTACCAAAACCATTCGGTGTGAGCTTGAGCGTATTTGCTTTGCCATCTCGTACGATGTCTAGAGGGCGTCTACTTCGCTCGTTAGAGCAGAACTGGAGGAAAGCGGAAGCCGTAGAGGTCTCTCCGATGGTGAGGAATGCGTATCCCTTGTGTTTGCCTCGAGTGGTCCTGGGGAACAAGAGACGGAAGTTGGTAAGACCTTGGCCAGGAAGTCGGACCGGCGGACTGTGAAGTGCGGAAGCGACCTCTTTGTAGAGGTCTTCCTCGGTGACCCATGGATCGATGCGCTGGATTAGGACTTCCATGGTGCGGAGCGGAGCACAAGTTCACCCTTAGCGGTAGTGGCTCGACGTACTGGATGACAGAGCAAAGCTAGAGGCCGGTGTAGGCAAGCGGGGATCCAGGGCGGCGTTATAAAGGCAAAGTGCGGAACATTAAGCAGTGCACGTGTGCTGAGATTACCTATGCGCAAGGTATTTTCCGGAGAAGAGGAGTCCGAGATTCATTGATGTGACAAGTTGCTAGAGATTGAGGAGAGTCTCGAAATGAAGTGTAGAGTGTAATGGAAGCATGCTTTGCGAACTGACAGTGAACGACGTGCAGCTGAGACGATCTTGAAGAGTGACGAGTGCAGGTGACGGCGAAATGCGCAGAAGGTGGGCGTCGTGATGAGAAAGATCAAGCCTGCGTCTCCGAGTTTATAGAGTACAGTGCTCAGGCCAGCCTGTGAGCAACGTTGATTGCGTCCAGCGCAGCAATGTGATGGTAGAGATCGTGTGATGCTTCGAAAGAGAGTGGTGAGATTGAGCTGCATCTATCGCCGTGTGTTCATAGCAAGAGAAGGAGACGCTCTTCTTGGTCTTCGTGTAACCCAAAGTGCTTTTACGCGATAACAAAAAAGGCGGAGCAGAAACTTTAATCCCGTCTGGACTCAATCGCACGAAACAAGAACAAAACTAAGTGGATTGCAGGCAAAGACCCGTGAGGTCCTCGAAGCTCGACAAGGAGGCTCCCAGCCCGCCGTAAGAGCCGTCGAGTGCAGGAACGAGCGGCAAGGGAGGGTGTACAGGGAGGGCGAATAATAACGACAAACCAGGCTGCTAAAAGTGCGTCTGGCTTTGGTGAAGATGATGGTAGTGAAGAGAGAAGCGGAGAAGCGGAGAAGCGGAGAAGCGGAGAAGCGAAATGATGTTGTGAAGAGCAATTGTTGAGTCCAGCCCAGACGCGCACGCGCCTTTCTTTGAAGATCACGTGATGCAAACAATATTCTTGACAGCAGAATACCGAAAGCCGAAGTCGAGATTCGAGGATTCAACTGTTGAAAGTAGACAATCCAACATGGTGATGTAAGCAGACATAAGGCAAGATGAGAGAGATCGGGCGAAGCAGATCTGATCGGAGATTAGGGAGAGAGACGATCTCTCCAAGGATCGGATGCAACCTGGTCCCGCTCGTTGCCAGACATCGTCATTAAGTAGATAGCAGCCACACTCGGTATCAGCCTCAGAGATGTATATATATTTGGCCGAGAACTCTAGGTTCTCGCCATGTTCACTTAGTCAATTGAGTATATGTTTCTGCCTTAACGGAGTAGTGAGATCGTACTTAGACTATCCCCGATCGCCAGCTATCGGGACCCAAAACGTCTTCACTTTTCAACATCAACCATTCTGGAGCGCACATTCATCATACAGAAGCTACAGTAAGATGCCTTCATTTGACGATACTCAAGGTCAAGCTCGGCGCATCCACAGCCGTTAAGAATGGTGCACTCTATCATTGTGCGCAATGTGAAAGGTTCGAAAGGGGCTCGACAGGGTAATTGGATGATGACAAGCTAGTGACGCACATAGGCTTCACATGATGATGCAATCCTTCTTATCACCCTTGATCTTCTTCCCCTTCTTGTCCTTCTTGCCCTGCTTATGTCCGTAGAGGTCGTCGGCAACTTGGCTGTGCACTGCCTGTTCGGGAATAGCCGGTGGCACTGCTGCAGAGTCGGAAGCAGCGGCGGGTGTGGGACCGTACGAGTTGTGTCGAGAGTAGCTCCGAATGAATGACGAGAATCTCGTCTGCTTGGTCTTGCCTCCTGCTGTTGCACCCATTGCAATGTTCCCATGAGGTGTGCCACCAGGAGGATCAGCCAAGTCGACACGCCAGATACCGCGCAACGAGTTGCAAAGCCAAACTTGCGCAGTGCCTTCTCGTACACAATGATAGAGTTCGTCCACCTTCACATCCTCCTCTTCCACAACCCCCTTTTCCACCAGCCAGTGACGCAGCAGTCCGTCTAACATGCCTGTCGATGTGCGCGGAGTGACGAATCGCGATTGTCCGCCATTAGGCTGCAGCAGCTCCACCACAACGTTGGCCAGACTCGACTCTGTCACCAACCTGTTTGCTGCCGATGGAGGCGCTGCAGCATCCGCCGTGTTGTCATCTAAGGTATCCGTCCGTTCATCATTCCACAAGATCACATCAAAGCACCTTCCATCCCTTTCTCTCATGCCACTGAGCACGCTCGGATCCGCACCAGCACGCTGCTTTGCAGCCTCGTAGAACCCACGTGCATCGGTCTTGTTGAACACAATAGGCTCAAGATCCATCGTGCGCACGCGCGTTGGCATTGCATCGAGCCGTACAGCTGGAGGTTGAGCTACGCCGGTCAACCCGCTCTCCACAGTGCTAGGGAAAGGGCTGATACTGCGCTGAGTAACCTTGATCGAGCCGTCTTTGTTAATTGCCACTCGAATGCCTTTCACCTGTCCCTCGGCGCCGCCGTCAGCAGGAGAGGAGGCTAAGCTCGATTCAATGGCTTCGAGGATGCGTTGCGGCTCCAGAGATCGTTCTTGCTCGAGCAAAGCCATCGACCACACCGCAGAGTAGGCACGGCAGATGGCACCTGTCGAGGCCCTGAGTCTTTCCAGGTGCTGATCCAGGAGTGGAATGTGTCGGTACAGTCGATGCGAGGTCGTTGCGGCAGTAGCAGCTGTATTGAGAAACGGATTAGTCGAGACAGGCGTCGGTTGGCTTTGATCTGGTTTCAAGAATGAGTTCGTCGACTGGACCGCTGGCTGCGGTGCGATTGCTATCGATTGACCCATTGACAAGCCTTGCATTCTACTGAGCAAAGACGCATTGTCATCCTGCAACTTCTGCGGAATGAGCGTCTTGACAACCAACGCATCACCTTGCTCATCCCTCGCCGTCACCTCATACCGCATGGTAGTAAACACCTCATTTGGCGTCTCGAACGCCTGCTGTGGTGTCGCACCCATTGTATCCGCTGCAAATACATTGCCCTGTCGCATGCTCGACTGCTGCTGTCTGGCACTCGTCGACCTCCTGTCTCTTCTCCTCTGCTCATGTCTCTGCAACCTTTCTTGATCGTTCTGATAAATCTGCATTGCTAGCGCATAGTCTGCATCCTCGTTTTGCATTCTGCCTCCCGCACCATCTAGTCCATCAGCTTCGCGACCGACGTAGTCACCCTGTCGCATGGTTGACTTCTTGAATTTGCCGTCGTAGAACTCGCTACTTGCTCCATCGACATCGACGAGACTCTCCCAGACGATCTCATCTTCCATCAGGAAGCTCGAGTCGGTAGCGAGAGTGAACAGTGTGGGTGGTGCGTTGGCGCTGGTCCCCTCTCCGGTGGCAGCATCGACTCCTTCGTGCGGCAGTCGCTTGTATAGGGCCGAAAGATGTGAGTTGCGGAAGAGTGCGACTGGCTGGCCAGCGGGAAGTTCTTGAGCGAGAACAAAGAGTCCATGGTAGGTGAGCTGGGTAGACTGTGTATCGAGGAAAGATTGCAGTGCCAGCGCATGTCGAACAGTTGCACGCTGCTCGTCGCTCCAGCCGTTGCGTTGTGGTGCTTTGCCATTGGACACGGCTGCCTCGCTGGAGAGAGTAGCTGCAAGCACACCTACTCCGCGATCCTTCACCACAGCGCCGTTTGCAACTTCGTCACCCCGAACAACGATGTCTACCGCCTTGTTGTAGCTTCCCGCAGTTTGGACTGCTCCAAAGGTTTCCCCATCCGCAGGATTAGGCAACCAGCCATGCACCAACTCGACTCCACACAGCCTGAACAGTGCCAGCTCTCCCGCGCCTCCGTTGTTCCCCGGAGCAGCTGCAAAGCTTCGAATCGAGTCAAAGCCTACATCCACATCCAGCCCATACTGAGTGCGAGGTAGGATGGACAGAGCTGCCTGAAACTCCTCACCTTCTGCTCCTTTGGTCAAAAGATGCTCGGCAAGCAGCCCAGAGAGGTACGTATAGCTTACCACTGGCCTATCGGGTGGTGTGATCTGCAGCTCTCCACGAAGCAAGAGGATATTGCAGAGGGCGATGAGCGAACAAGGACCGTTCTGATTCTGTGTGATGATCTTACACTCTCTTCCTTGCCAGTAGATGTCTTTGAGCGACCATTGAGCTTCTTCTCCTGTCGCACCGGCGCGCTGTGGAGGTCGGGCGTTGAACGAGGTAGCGGCCATTCTCGGGTTCTGCGAGGTCGGTGTCGCGTTGGATGTAGGACGCTGCTGGTTACGTCCACCGAAGCCATGGGTAGGGTGAGGATGATGAGAGTGAGGAGGTGTGTGGTGGCCGATAGAAGAAGCGGCGGCTGCACCTCCATCACCTCCACCGCCAAAGAAGCGACCTCCTCCTCCACCTCCTGCTGCTCCGCCTCCACCGTCAGCCATGATGACTATCTCGCGTGATTTTGTGTGGGCGGCAAAGCTCTATTTTTTTCCTTCAGATGAGTTGGTGACTTACGTAGGTGGGTTGTACGAAGGTGTGTGCGGATCGTGGATGGAAGTGAGGAAAGGAACATCAGAAAAAGGAAGTGGTCTGTGCTTTGGGGCATACGAGCGGCACCGCACATGCCTCGCACAGCCTTCAGAAGCGTAAAAAGTTGAAGCGTCGTTGTTGATGATGATAGTTCTAAGTACAAGTGCGAGTCAAGTATCTTCAAGTTTTCACCACTCGTGCATGCTCGGAGCACACACATGCGTGCACTGCTGAGCCCCTTTTGTGCAAGCCTTTTACTCGGCCATAAACACTTTCTCTGCAGTCTCTACACTTTGTGCATCTTTTATCTACTTCAACTCCCCCCCTCAACAGCATATGTACCCTGTTCATTATGCTGTTGTTTCAAGGTGCAACCTCTGTTCTTCAATACTGTCACATAGCTTGGGGACCCCATCCTGTATGCTGCTGCTGGTATTTGCAGGTGTAGCCCAGATCTTGCTTGCTGCATTGCTTGTCTCCCAATGGGCTTTGTGAGTACATCTGCCAAGTTTCTTGTGGTGTCCACATATTTGATCTGCACCCTTCCCTCTTGAACATTGTTACAGACGAAGTGATACTTGGTGTCGATGTGCTTAAGCTTCCAGTGCTGTGCTGGGTCCTTACTAACCTGTATGCAACCAGTGTTGTCTGAGTAGACTGTCGGGGTGCCTGTGGCTATACCAATTGAGCATAGTAGCTGCTTGAGGAAGAGCACCTCACATGTTGCTTCTGTGGCTGCAATGAACTCTGCCTTGATGGCAGACAATGATACACATTTTTGCATCGCTGACTTCCAGGCTACTGGGTTCCCATACACTAATGCCACTGATCCCAATGTACTCCTTCTCTGTATGGTGGCATTGCTTGCCCAGTTTGCATCACTGTGTGCGACCAGTGGCTCTTGTGACTTATTTGCCCTATAAACCAATCCAACCTCCTTTGTGCTTTCAAGGTAGCGTAAGACCCGTTGTGCTGCCTGATAATGCTCCTGTGATGGTTCATGCATGTGTCTGGCGAGAATGCCCATGGTGAGGCTAAGGTCAGGCCAGGTGCTGTTGGCAACCCAGAGTAGCTTGCCAATGATCACCAGATACTCCTTCTGTTGCTTTGCGCTTGCAACAAGGGTTCCCTCCAGTATGCTCTGCATTGGGACCATGGTTGGCTTTGTACATTTGTCCAGGTGCTTTGCCAGCACTTGGTCAATGTACCCTGACTGACCAATTGTCATGGTGCACATCACACGGTCTCGACTGATTTTGATGCCAAGGAAGTGAGAGACCTCACCACTATCTTCCATCTTCCATCTCTGGCCGATCTGCTTCTTAACCTTTAGGACTGTGTCCAGCCATGGTGCTATGACCAATGTATCATCAATGTAGATGACCACAATGGCCATATCTTCACCCTGTCCCTTGGTGTAGATGCAGGGAGCACACTCTACCTGGAAGAATCCCATGTGTTACAAGGACCTATTGAACTCCTTGTTCCATTCTCACCTGGACTGCTTTAGGCCATATAAACCCTTGACTACCTTGTACACCTGGCCAGAAGGTACTCCTGATCCTTCTGGTGGCTTCATGTAGATTGCTTCCTTTAACATGGAGTTCAAGTAAGCCATAGTGATGTCCAGAGCATGCACCTCCCAGTTGTTCTGTACTGCTAGTACTAAGATGGCTCTGATTGCTCCAAGGGGAGCTACTGGAGAGAAGGTTTCTTGGTAGTCAATCCCCTCTCTCTGTGTGAAGCCCCTTGCAACCAGTCACACCTTGTGCTTGATGGGCACGCCATCAGCATCAAGCTTCAGCTGAAGCACAACCTTAGAGTCTACAAGTGGTACTCCTGGCAGTTGGTGCACCACCTCCCAAGTCCCCATTGCCTTGAGTCCTTCCAGCTCCTTTCATATTGCCTCCTTCCAGAGCTGGGCATCCTCACTGTTCATTGCCTCTCCAAGGGTTGGGTCCAGGTTCAGTACTGCTGTGTTGGCGGTGCCTACTGTGCTGTCTATAGCTGGTGGGAGATCCTCCACTGTGGCCTCTGATCTGGTTTCCTCCTCCACTGTGGTTGGCATGACACCCTCCTCCTCGACTTCTGTAGTTGCCATGGGCTTGAATGCCTCCTGTTGGCAATCACTCCATCCTTTGTCCTCATGGAACATTGCTGAGTTGCTCCATTGGATTGACGCGGGCTGGTCTGGGTTGCAAAATTTCCATGCTTTGTGCTTGTCATCATACCCAATCATGATGGCTGGCTTTGCTCTAGCCCCATACTTGCCTTGCTGGTCCTTCCATTGAACATGGACCCATGCTAAGCATCCAAAGACTCGCAGCTGTTGGGCCAGCTTATGTGTGGTGGTTCCATAAAAGGCCTTGTGAGGAATGGCCTTGGTGGCTGACGGGGTGAGGTTCATCATGTGTGCCACTGCTGTGATTGCATATGGCCATAGCTCTCTGGGGCAAGCTCGACCAATGAGCATTGAGTGCATCTTTTCTTGGACCGATCTGATCGCTCTCTCTGCCCATCCATTTTGGATACTGATCCCCGGGATGCTCTTTTGCCACTTGAAACCTTCCTGAGTTTGCCAGTCTTCAGCTCCCAAGCTGCACCACTCTCCTCCATTGTCACTGCAGAGCATTTTGAGTTTCCTGTCCATTGTTCATTCCATCCTGGTGATCCACCTTCTCAGTGCTGTGAGTGTGGCACCCTTAGTGCAGAGTGGTTCCATGTAGATCAGGGAGGAGAAGTCATCCACAGCAACTAGTGCATAGTGGTAGTTGGCATGGCCCTTGAAATCTGTCATCAAATCTATGTGTACTAGCTCTAGTGGTGCCCCTGTTCTTTTTGACTCTGATTGGCTCATCTGCACTCGGGTCTGTTTCCCTTGACTGCATGCATTGCAATGCTTCGACTTGTGCTCCATCCTCTCATCAGTACTGAGGTAGTGCACCTGGATCTGCCTTGTCTTGTCTCATCCCGGGTGTCCAAACCTCTCATGCCAGAGGTAGCTGTCCCGATCTCCTGTGTTCTTATCATCCTCTGGGACGTCGTTGTGAGTCTCCTCCAGCTCCAAGGCCAGTGCTTGTCCTCACACTTTGAAGTGGCCTTGTCTCCTGTTCCTCCTGAATTGCACTTGGGTACCATTGTTCTGCTTTATGGTAGTCCCAAACTCATCAAAGGTTACTCGTGCACCATTCTTGATCAAGCCTTGTATGGACAATAAATTAGCATTGAGTTTCAGCACATAGAGCACATCCAATAGCTGGATAGTAGCCTCACCAACCTGAAGGGAGGCATCTCCTATGGCCTTCACCTGAAGCCTTTCGTTCCCTGCTGTACTGATCTGGCTGACCTTGCTTGTCGAGGTGAGCAGCATTCTCTCATCATTTACCATATGATGAGTTGCACCTGAATTGATGATCCAGGTGTCACATGCTGATCGCTTGCCCCCATCAATCGCTAGGAAGGTGCACCTGAGTTCCTAGTGGCTTGCTTCTTGTGTTGTATTGTTGTTCATGCAATTTCGGGCGATATGGTTCAGTCCTCTGCACATGTAGCATTTTGGAGGGGCTGAGGGGTTGCGGGGATTGCATCTGCCCCTTGGTCCCTGCTCTGCCTGGTTGTTGTCCCCCTGCTCCACCCTCGTGGCAACCCTGGCTGCCCCTCTAATGCGGCCAGAGATCTCACCATCCTGCTGCTTCTTTGCTAACATGTGGTAGGCTTCGTCATACTCACAATCTGGCTTGGCTGTCTTGAGTGCATCGATGGCATTGGCATAGAACCAATCTTGGGCTGTGCAGCGATAGAGAGTTGACTTCTTGAGGTCCTCATCGAAGTGCTTTCTGAGACATGCTGCATTGTTCCAGATCGAATCGAGTTCCTTGCCTAGCCTGACAATGTCTCGATTGTGCAAGTGCACTGTGTGGATATGATCCTGTAGTCCTGCTCACTTTACAGCATCATTCAGTGTTAGTGCTTTCTTGAGCTTGGCATACAGCATGCTGCCAAGTTGGACCTCCTCATCTGCACCCCTAATGGTGTAGGTGTCAATGTGACTGTCTGGGCTGTTGTCGCAACAAGCATGGATGAGACCCACAAGAGCTTTGTCCAGGTCTTTGTCGTACTCCTCGCTTCCAGGTGCAATTATGCCATATAGTATCTCCTTTGCATTGTGTACCCTCTGAAGGCAGTCAATGAATGTTGGTTCCCAAGTATGCCAGTTGCTATCGCTAAGCTTCTTGATGTGTGCGATGGAACTTGATACATCCTTGGGGATCTTTTCTGTCTCTCTGCATGGGGTCTGGCCACTGATGCTAACAAGGCCCATAGCCCATACAATCGCCTCCTCAGCCATCAGTGCTGAGTTTGCTAGCTGGAGGATCCTAACTACCTGCATGAGCCATCCTTCCTCTCAACTGTTACCTGTGGCCACAGCTGCTTGTTCATCATCTCTTCCTGTCTGTCTGGCTCTTGTCGATGGTGGCATTGCACTGAGCATCAGACTCTTAATCAGTTGAAGTGTCGTTGTTGATGATGATAGTTCTAAGTACAAATGTGAGTCAAGTATCTTCAAGTTTTCGCCACTCACGCATGCTCGGAGTGCATGCATGCATGTGCTGCTGAGCCCCTTTTGTGCAAGCCTTTTACTCGGCCGTAAACACTTTCTCTGCAGTCTCTACGCTTTGTGCATCTTTTATCTACTTCAACTTAAAAAAGCTCTTGGCACTCGGGAATGATAATTTTAGCTTATCTGCCAAGACCCTTTCGATTTCCACACTTGCCCAAAGCGAAGGGAGCACAAGCTCTCTACACTGCCTGCCTACTTCCGCGGGAGCATTGCCTCAAATCGTCTTCCGCACACACAGGTCAATACTTCGGACACACCGCTCTTCGTCGTTGAAATGGTCGATCGAGGGTGACTGAATCGGCCTAGGCCTAGTTCTGGAATGCACCTGTATTGCTTCCAGTTGACCCTTCCATCGGACCTCCCTCATTGCTTGCGTGGCTGGGATGATTGACACCTTCCATTACACTGACACCACCCATCAGCAGCCCAATGTCAAGCTCGCTTAGTGACGCCGGGCCTGAAGCACTGCCAGGAGAGCTCATGCCCGGCGAACCCATTCCTGCCGTCCTCCCAATTCCGCTGAGATGAGCAGGTAGAATCCTGCCGCCATACTGATCTGGTGGTGACATTCCATTGGTGCCGGCATGACTGTTGGTGGGCAGAGGCGTTTGGTTGAGCGGTGTCAGCCAGTCAAAGTTGGACAGGTAGTACTGCATCCATTCATCGCGCCCGTTGCTTTCGAAATGCACACCGTCAGCTGTAGTAGCAGGTGTGAGTGCCGGATTGGTAGAAGGAGCGCGGTTTGAGTTGGTGGTGGTTGTTGGAGTAGGGCCAAGAAGTGAGAATACGGAGAGGTCGGCTGTGGAGCTTCTCTCTCCCCTGGCTTCGGATTCGGCGATGCCCGCTGAGGCGCCTCGGTGTGTGCTCTCACTGCTGGTGCCGACACCATTCTGACCTTCCGGATGGTCGTCTCCCTGGTCTGCTGACGCTGTGCCTCGCTCTGAGCTAGTAGAGAATGTCGACCCAAATCTGCCATTGCCTACGTGAGACAACCTTGAGCTTTGATCCATGTTTGCACCGCGGCTCACACCCATAGCGCACGCCGAAACTGAGCCTGCTCCTGCAGCACTGCTCTTCCCTCTACCCGGCGCACTCGCGACCTGCCCTGCAGCGGCCATCCTCACAACCTGTCTCGCCAATACCACCAAGTCCCTGGCCTTGTGGAGACTAGCTGTGGTTCCGACGTCCGCGTAGATCCTCTCTTTCTTCTCCAGATATTTGATTGCCCGATCGATGCTCGCCAGGTACCCGAACGCCAAATCCTGGTTGCTCGGATCACACAGGATTGCTGCAAGTACGACAGTGCAGGCCGAGTCGAGATAGAAGCTGCCAAAACGCATATTGTCGAGTCCGGGTCGAGGCATGTCAGAGCGTGCGTTGGAGATGGCATCGATGATCTGTTGACCTGCAAGAGCCGATGTATGCGTCTTGTCGAGGACACTGCGCGGGATGTCGGTAGCTATGGATCGGCAGTACAATGCAAAGATGACGAGAGGGCTGTGCACGAGCAAGCGGAGATACCACCAGAGCGTCGTAAGCGAGTAGCGACGGACCACAAGGTCGGATGAATCAGAGTCGTCGTCTGCGTCGCGATGAAAGCCGTCGCAAAGACCTCGGCCCAGCTCTCTGGGCGCCTCTTGTCGAATGCGTAACATCTCTGCCTCCATCCGTTCGGACGCTAACAGGACATCGTGTGCGTTTGCTGGTGGGTTTGCAGAAAGCTTCGACATATCCGAACAGACCTTGGCGATCTGCGCATAGACGAGCAAATAGGCGTCATGCGAGTTATCCGGCCGAGGCAACTTGGCAGACACATCTCCGTCCTGGATCGCCGAAGGCTGTCCAAACCAAGTGGAAATCATCCTTTCGACACCATAGCACGTCCACCACAATTGTCTGTGTTCCACACTTCTAGGATTGCTGGGCGAGTAGAACGTCTCGCGATGAAGGCCGATGGAGATGCACATTCGTGCTGCATAGCCAATGTAGAGATAGGCGACGTTGGGACTGGACCATTGAAGCGACAGGAAGCTCATCAGCACCAGACAGCGTGCGCTTTGGATGCTTGAGTTCTCGACGATTTCCTCGAGTCTCTTTTTGGCGAGAAGGAAGAGTGTGGTTGCGCATGCGATAGCACCTTCTCGAGTCATGGGTACGGGCGGCGCATGGATATCCTCCCAATCACCTTCGTCCATTAGCGCACCAAGGGCGAGGACGACGTAGAGCGCTGCAAGCTCATTTGTACGCATGCCTGCCTTTTGACCTGGCTGTGGACCGCCTGGACCAGATGCAGCCATTGAGGGAACGCCTGAGAAGCCGCGAGAGAGGTAGCCAGACGCTTTGGCGTCCTTGACCCATTTCAAGATCTGTCGTTTGGGCACCGCGCCCAGCTGTGGTTGAATGAGGGTCATATAGTTCTCGATGAATCGGTCGACGATGGATGGAGGCAAGAAGGTCGAATCTCCCACTGCGTCTTTGGCTGCATCGAGGGTAGGGAAGCTCTTCTCCGAGAGACTTTGTCGGAAGATGATATCCTGATGACCCCAGATCTTCATGCTTTCGGGAAGATGCGAGGAGCGGCGGCTCTTGTCTGAGACGGCGGAGGGGCCATCATTACTTGCGTTGAGGTTGCTTGTTGCTGCTTTGTTGGTGCTGTTGAGACGATGCTGGTGTTGCTCTCGCAGTCGCAAGGCCTCGATGGTTTGCGCAAGACGATGCTGGAAGTTAAAGTTGGAAGTGAATCCATAGAACTGCATGTTGCCCGTGTTCTGATCGTGTGCACGGATACCGTCTTCTGTATGCAATTCTGTGTGATGCTCTGTCGGCTCGTCCTGATCGATGGACGCATAGAGCGGCAAATGATGCAGCACATAGCCAGATTTGCCCCTGTTGCTGGAAGAGCGCAAAGGTTGACGATCTCCCCATCGGCGGTCTGCAATCTGATCAATCATGGCACGTTTCTGTCTCTTGGCTGCTCTTGCTTCGGCGGCAGCATGGGCAGGAGCCTCATCAACGCTGTCGGCATCTTCTCGATCGTTGTTGTTGCAGTTTTCTCCTGTGACACGTGATGCACGAGCTGCGTTCGGAACGGAGGATGAGGAGCCAGTAGGGCTGACTCGTTTGGGCGCGGGCGATTCTACGGTCTCGTACCTGCACTCTGCTGAGTGAGCTTTGCATCGATGGCAAGGTTGCTCGCCATTGCACTTTGTCTTGCGCAAGCGGCAGACGAGGCATGCTCTGGCTACACGGAAACGCTTGAAGCCGTAGTCAGCTGCGTCTGCGGACGACATGTTGCTTTCCTAGCCACCGGTAGGCTCCTAATGTGGTGATAGCAGCAGGTTGTCCAGAAGCTTTGTCGTAGTCGTTGGTTGAGTCGCATCACTTTCGCTGCGTTCCAAGGCTGGATGAGCGTGAAGGTTGACAAGTGCTGGATAGACGGTTTGGTTTGAAGCTGACGGACTGAGTTGCGGTGAGAGGAGCTGCGCTTTGTACGACAGTTTACTGCCTCAGCCGGAAGGTTGCTCCAGCAGACTGAGAGCAGAAGAGCAATTATGATGGTCGCTTGCACACTGCCGGTGGCAACAGTCTGTTCCGACGAAGAAGTAGCGCCTGTTGTGCCAGACAGACGTTGAGAACAAGCTCGGGTCGTGGTAGAAGTTTTGGATTCAGCCGTTAATGAGATGGCAGTCAGCGGCTGTGTAGATGAGGTAGGACTGTAAGATGGGAGGAATGATCTTTCTTTCTTTCTTTCAACCTGGTTCCGCGGCGTTAAATTGCTGTTCTTTGCAGGCGCAATGAAGATGGTGATCCGGGTCGATGTTCGGTTCGCTCCGTTCGGCGAAAACTTGCCCGGTGAGCTCGACCTTGAAGCCGAATTGATATGGTGTGGGTTGAGGCTGAGTCTATCGACGATAGTGGCGGCAGGTCGGCAAAGAAGAGCTGGGATTGCTGGGATCGCTGGGGTCGCTGGGGTCGCTGCCCAGTCGCAGAACGATGATAACGATGCCTCGGAAGAGCCGATCAGAAATTGGAGAATCAGCGCCAAGATTATTGTGATTGTGGAGAAGAACGCTTCTCCCTTTCGGCGGCCTCGGCACTTTACGCGTCTCTTCGCCTTTTCTACCTCTTGGCCTTTTCTACCAGCCTCGGATCAACTGTCTGCCCTTTGCCTGAGCTCAACCTCGCTTATCTCTTGCATCTTTCAGACTTACCCGACACCACCTCACCTGAACAACAAGCTCATACCCACACACACAGCCTCTTCTTTGAGCACCGACGAGACCCAACGAGACCGATACAGTGGCTGCGTAGCCTTGTCAGTTTCAGCCAACCAGCATGATGGCTGCTACGATTGGGCGTGAGTGTGAGGGTGATGACAACAGCGTGACAGGCGAAAGCGACAGGTTGTGGTGTGTTTTTATACTCGCAATCTAAGCTGTCAATTTCAAGAGCTTCTTTAGCTCAGTTGGTACGAGCGTCCGACTGAAGAATTCAGTTTCACCAGTCGCCACTGCGAGCAGTGGACAACGAGGTATCGGGAGGTCACCTGTTCGACCCAGGTAAGGAGCATTTAGTTTTTCTATCTCTCTCATTTTTTATTTTTTATTTTTATTTTTTTATTTTTTTGGTTTCTTTCCCACCTTCTCACACACCACGCCGTCTTGGCTCGTTTAGGAAGTACCGGTGCTAAAGTGATGTCCTTAAGATGGCTAGTGACAAAGTCAGGTCGTCGACTGTGCAGATTTGTAAAGGTGACAGCATGGATTCTAGGTTGGCGCCAAGATGCGATGAGGAAGACATGCGAGATTGCAGAAAAAAAGGATGGCTTCCTTGCAACTGCGGGGCAGAGAACAGCGCGGGGTAAAACTTGTCTCCTCTTTTGAAGCGTTGAGAAGAAGCGGATTGGCCGGTCTGAACCGGCTACTCTGGGATGCAGGCGTTGGAGCAGCAGATCGCTCTAAATTTGCAGGGGGGGGGGGGTTAGGGTTCCCCTTTCGGCGTGGGAGTGTGGTGTTAGCCGGGCTCTATTCAGTTCTAGACGAGCAATGTGATGTTTCGCAGCAGCCACCAGCCAGCGTTGCATGGATGAGGACCCTGCCTTGGAGCAAGTTAAGCTAGAGGAAGGTAAGGCGGAGTGTAAGACCCTCGTCATGCTGTTCTTCTATTGTATGGCGAGCTCTTCTCCGCAGCAGACGTGACAATCAGGAACAACGAAAATGGGCGCAGAAGCTTCTTTGCTGAGAAATTCAGGAGGAGTTAATTTGGATGATTTTTGAGGCTGCTCAGCGTTTTGAGAGAAAGAGAGAGAGAGAGAGAGAGATGGATCTAGGAGCGGCTTGATTCCTCCACAAATGCTGAGTGGCGGATTGGAGGTTTTGTATAGCCATACCATTGACAGATTGAGCATTGACAGGTTGAGCATTGACCTTCTCTTTCATCATCCTCTCCATCCCTCCTCAAGCCTGCACAGACCTATTCTCCTCGACATCCATCCTTCCTGATTCCACAGCATTTGCGAGCTCGGCTTCTCCGAGCCTTCTGGCATCTTAAAAAGCAAAAGCGGCAAATCCAAAGTAGTAAGTAGTAACATTAACTCTAACCTCGATTTCGACTCTTGCCTTGTCCTCCAGCCCACCGTCATCCAAGGAGGAGAGCAGCAAACAATAACAATTTAAATGAACTGCTCTTTGAAGCGGATATACCGCCATCCTCCCGTCGGAAGCCCACTGTAACGGCGCTTCTTCTCATCGGTTCCTCCGTAGTGGGATAAGTTGGCTCGATATGCTCATAGTCTCGTCGGATCGACCGACGACTCTAGCTTAACTCAGACTCATCATCGCCACGTCACGTCACCTCACCTCACGCTACGCCACACCACGCCACAGCACTCATGTCTGCCTAATCAACGACCATCGGCCCTGCCGTCGCTCTCTCTTCTCGCTGGAATGCTGGGTCGCCACCTGTCTACACTCTTTTGCTTTCGTTTGCGTATAATTGCGCAGCTCAGCCCAGCTTAGCCACGGAACAGCCTCCATCACAACTTGGCTCAGTCCTCGTCGTCATCCATGTCTTCTCCCGACACCAAACAGAACGATTCCGGTCGCATCCGATCCAGTCGAGCATGCCTTCATTGTTCTCGTCGCAAGGTCAAATGTGATGGTCTGCAGCCCTGTAACAATTGCACAAAGGAATCCGTCCTTTGCGAGTACGGCGCTCAGAAGAAGCGAGGCCCCCCAAAGGGATGCGATCCTCGAGGTGGCCGTAAGAAAAAGCTTCAAGAGCCACCTGCGACCACACTCGCCAAACGCAAAGCGCCGTCATCGTCCAAGAAGGACCCCCCACCGAGTAACACCAACGAGGTTCCCATAGCCGCAACCCCTATTCGCAAGCCATCGACAACCAACAAGAGCGCAGCTTCCTCCTCATCTTCATCACAGCCCTCTCAGTCGGATCATGAATCAAGCCGCTCCGATCCACTAAAGCGAGATCTGCAAGCTAGCCAAAGAGGTGTAGCGTCGACGTCGCAACCTCCTATCGCTTCCCTCACCGCCAGACCTTCCTCTGATGCCCGCAGCTCTCCAAACGAGAGACCAACAGCACCATGCCATCTTTCCTCCTCTTCGCAAGCCCACCACGACCCTCACCGAGCATGGTCCAGACCTTCCGCGCCACAGCCCAGCCGCTCCAGTCCGTCTCTTTCGAGGCATTCTTCTTACCTCGCTGACATCACAACCGCAGCGACCACCTTATCGAGCCATTCTTTCCCTGCCGCAGATCATGCTCCTCAGCATGCCTCTGCAGATCACAAGCAGCCCTATCCGCATGCGCCACCACCTTTACATCATCACGACAGCTATCACCCCTCCAGCCATTCGTGCGGTGCCGGCCCCTCGTCCTCTGTTGAACCTGCCCTTCCTTTGCAACCAGCCTCCTCGGGACAGCTCTACGATCCTTATCCGCTTCAGGCGCCTATGCGCAACTTTCACCGATCTTCGCCTCTGGCCTCTCATCCTTCCATGCTCCCGCCTCATGCTTTTGCGTCCGCAACGTCATCCAACCTGCCATCCCATCCTCCACAGGATGCAGCTCGACACACGCCAGCAGACCGTGCAGATGTTTCTACTTGGTCTTCTGGCCGCTCCAACACGGCCACCACATTCGCTTCGCCGCGCTCTCATGCAACTCGTAGCTTATACGAATGCCCCGTCGGCCACTATCAGTCCGGCACATCTCCGTTCGATCGCGCATCAGCAATGCCGTCAGCTTCGACTTTGTCGAGTCGCCATCCTGTCTCGGCAAGTAGGTTGACCGAGCCATCCAGTGGCAACACTACTCAGCCAGGTCCCGCAAATGCTGCTTCGTCCTCGTCGCACAACACAGGCCTCAGTACCTCGCCTGCCCTTACTGGCCATTCACACGCCTATAGTCCATCCTCCACTGCAATGCCACATCGACCGTGGTACAACGGCTCGCAACCATCCTCACCGCGAGATCCAAACTCAATCTCACGGTCTCAGATCTCATCTCCTGGCGCCAACTGGCTTGATCACCACATTCGCCCCGCTTCGGCAGCCGCTAACCATCCTCACGTCTCTTCTCGAGTTCATCTTGAGGATCGGCTGCCACCACATATTTTGCAACGACTACTCGACATCTATCGAGTATTTGTGCATCCGCACTGGCCTGTCATCTACCTGCCCTCCGTCACTTCGCTCCATTCGCTCAAGCGTTCACGTCCCATCGTCTTTGAGGCCATCCTTGCCGTAGCATCCAACACCTTTGATGCCTATCTCGATGCTGCTGCTGACGACGATCGCCAGAGCTCCAACCCGGTCCTGGAGTTGCTCTATGCAGAGTCGCCACAAGGCACTGAGCCCTCCTGGAAGTCAAACGAGCTCCGTGACCACTTTGTGCACCGAGTCAAGACCCGCATCTTTGAGGGCAAGTTTACCCAGGATGTCGGTACGATCCAGGCCGCCATTCTTATCAGCGTCATCGAGCTCGGGTGCGGCAACCCCTCAAGCGCGTTTCAATTTGGTGGAATCGCATGTAGAATGGCACTAGACATGAACCTTCATCGATGCACCACCCAATCCTCATCTGCACCAGCAGGTAGCAGCAGCGGGTGCCAAAGTCACTACTCGTCCCCTCACAATGGTGGAGACACGAACAACGCTAAGACAGGCCAGTACAGATCCTCACAGCTGCAAGAACGACTGCGTACTTTCTGGGCATGCTTCATTCTCGATAAGATCCTCTCCACTGCTTTGGACAAGCCTGCCCAGCTTCGCAGTGCTGAGATAGAAGCAGATTGGCCATCCGTTCAAGAAGCTGATGAGTACGATCTCTGGCTGAACGAGACAACGCGCAAGTTTGTCGAAAAGAGCCAACTGCCACGCCTCGAAGGTGTCAAGGTACATGCGCTAAGCAGCTTCAAAGCTTGGGCCGAAGTCATGGCTATCCTCGAACGCATCCTCGAACAAGTCTACAGTCCCCAAGCAAAGCGCGATCGACGCCGTACCAATGGCGCTTCCGACTACGAAGCGCTGCTGAGGCTCAACGACCGCCTCACCAAATGGCGAGCTGACTTGCCTTCCCACCTCAAGTGGTCAGGCACCTGGACATCACCAGAGCTCTTGTCATCCACTTCATCCCAGCATAGCTCTGCTGATCGCAAAGAATCTGAGCCCCACCGCGGCCTGCCGCCACAGATCCTCACCTTGCGCTCATGGTACTGCATCTGCCTAATTCTTTTGCATCGACCGCGTGTGCCAAAGTTGCTCGAGGGACCAAAAGAGCGTGGTGCAGCATCTGCAGAAGAGTCTGCTCAAGTTGCCGCAAAGGACGCCGAAGAGCCAACATCATCAACGAAGAAAGGAAAGAAAGGTGCAGCCCAGCCAGCGAAGAAAGGCGCACAGGCTTCGGCGAAGGACAAGCGCCCTGAGCCAGCCGGACTCGACATTTGCAACGCTGCTGCCAAAGAGGTTTGCGATATCTTGCATGTCTATGGCTCCTCCTTCCGCATCCGCAAAATTTCCAGCAGCTGGGTCTACCTCATTTTCCAGAGTGCAACCATCCACGCCGCCATTGCAGCTAGCAAGAGCGTTGTGGCTTTCAAAGCGCGCCAGTCGTCGATCTGGAGTCGAAGAGGCTCCAAGATGCGTCTCAACGAGCCAGCATCTTCTGCAGCAGACTCGCACAGCGGCAACGATTTGGGAGCGCCAATGGGTTGCGAAGACGACCCTGAAATGCACGCAGGCGGCGGCGATGAAGCTCATCATGTTACGGAGGCTGACCTGGAGGGCTCATCAGAGCTCGTCAAGACCAGCGCGAGATATTTGGCCGAATGTGTGCGGTATCTCAAGCGTATTGGACCAACATGGAAGAGTGCCTCTAATCACGTTGCTGTCCTTCGCAACTTATGCATTGCAAGTGCTCAGGCTAGGCCACACAGTCCAACAGTGCTAGAGTTGAACGGCAACGATCAGCGAGCGGCAGGCTACAGTGGCAACAATAGCATGATCAAGCGTGAGGATCAGCATGGCTCAGCCTCAGCTTCAGGCACGAATCGTGCAGATCTTAGCTCATCCGGCGGTCTCGATGTGTCGCACCACGGCTTGCAGCATCAGATCGGCCAAAACGGTCCTATTGTGCCAAGTCAACATGCAAACGGCGGCACCCAGCAACACAGCCATCCTACCGCACATCATGATCAGCAAATCTTCCAAGGTCATGACGGAAAGGCGCAGAGCCTAAACATCGGTGATGCCCCCGCCATGGGTATTGGATCGACTGACCATCTGCAAGCCCATTTCCTCCATCCTCCGGGCTACCCGCATGATCAGATGCAGCCGCCTAATCCCGGTCTTGCTGTTCAGCAACGCCACCCTCACCAGCAGCAGCAGCAGCACCACCACCACCAGCATCACCCGCAAATGCAGCAAGCGCTCTATCCAATCAATGCAAACGACTCGGCATTCTGGGCATCCATGCCTGTCGCTTCAGAAAGATACAATGAGTGGGACGAGTTCTTCAAGGCTTTCAATCCGAGCTCAGCGAGCACAGACGTTGCATCGCAGAATGCGAACTACCATCCGACAGCAGCAATGGACTTGATCACTGCATTGCAGGATCCGAACAGATTGTTGAGTGGGTTGGGCCCGCAGCAGGGTCCTCAGCAGTAGGCTTTCATCATGTCGTCTCATCGGTTATCGTTCAATTAGCTAGTCGTTGTTGCAAATGCAAATCACAATCTTCGGGGCTTCCACGCTCATTATTGCACACATCGTCTATTCGAAGCTTGTAGCCTATTGGGTTCAGAGATTCGTCACAAACCACCATGCACACAGAAAGATACTTGAGTTGGTGTTGAAAAGATTTCCGATTCCACAAAACAGTTCTTCCAGAAGAACTTAGATTTGCTCGATGCCAAAAAAAAAAAAAAAAAAAAAAAAAAAAAAAAAAAGAAAAAAAAAGCAAGTCAACTTACACGCACATGTCCATCAAGCTTACCCAAAATCATCCAAAAGCTTTACTCCTGAGCATCATACCACTCTCCCTCGACCTCATCTTGGTAGTCATATCCATAATCATCATCCCAATCCCTCTCGTTCAAAGGTTTACGCGTAACCCAATTCCAAACTTTTGCCAACAAGCTCTTGGGTTTGGATTGAGGATCAACTATTCCGACTGCATCTCGTTCGTCGATCTTCTCCGTATCTTCTTCTTCGCAATCTTTGTCATCGCCACTGCCCTGGTCATCAGGTTCGGTAGGGCTGGAGGTGGGAGAAGCGGGAGAGGAGGTGGAAGGGCCTTTGAGAAGGGGAGGGATGTCATCTGGGTGAATAGAAGCTGGGTCTACACTAGCGGTGCAAGTTGGCTTAGCCGAGGAGGCAGGGGCGCTTTTGGTGACTGGTGCTGATGTGACGGCTGCCAAGTTAGCTTTATCTGTAGCAGAGACCGGTACAGATGTTGTCAAAGCAGGAGCGGAGGTGAAACTAGCTGGACCACCAAACCGAGGAATGGTAAGGGTGAGCATAGTCGAATAAGTCATTCCGTCAATCACACCTGTGAGAGGGATGGTTACAACTCCAGTAACAGCCGCTTTCATAGAGGTGAAAGAGGAGAGATTGATCGGTGCCTCCATAGGTGTAGCTTTGGCTGATGCGGGGTTGGAGGTAGACGAAGCCACCTGTTCATCCGCACTAGCAGAAGAAGCAGGAGGTTGGGCCGCTGGAGTCTTTGCTCCAGCCGCAGACCCGAATGCTTCGGCAGGGACTAAGATGGTCATCGTCTTCCAATCCCCTTCATCATCGTCAGCTTTAGCAGCGTTGTTGATTTTGCGGTTGGGTAAGCCAGCGATGGATGTGGGGAGCGCTTTGGTGGGAAAAGTGACCGTCATGATTACTTCTTCAGCCGAAGCCGTCTTGAGAGGGAGGCGAGCGGCATCGGAGGTGGGAAGGAGGGTGGTTGCTGATGCTGCTGCTGCTTCCAAGCTTGGGAGAACGGAGGGGATGGGGACCGCGGGGGCGGAAGGGCCAGATGCTGGAGGAAGGCTAGCTGGGACTTCGGGTACCGCCCAAGTTGGAAGGTCCGTCGGCACAGCTGACGTGGGGAGATCGGTTAGTACAGAAGCAGTGGCAAGATCAGACGTAGGCACCGGCGCATCTCGAACAGGCGCAGAAGGTACAGCAGCGGAAAGACTAGGAACAGTATCCGCAGCACCAGAGGGAACAGTAGGTACAGGAGGCGAGCTGAAGTCGCTCGGAGCAGGGGGAGCGACCGATACAGCTGCTGTAGCTCCCGTCACAGCAGTAGCAGCCGGAGCAGCAGGACTTCCCACCGCACTAACGACAGGAGCAGCAGCACCCGTCACCTCCGGCACAGCAGCACTCACCACCCCAGTCTCGCTCAACGGCGTAGGCACACCCAACCCCAACTGCCTCGCTACCATCTCTTCCAACCCTCTCCTCGCCTTGTTCCCTAACAGCTCCATCTGCTGAGCAATCACATTTTGATAAGTATCACTCCCCTGCCCCGCTGTAGACACACCTGCAGCTTGCTTAAACAGACCTCCCTCAGCCGCATTACCCGTCATCTGCTGCACTGACTCGGTCGTTCCCACCTGACTAACCTGTTCCGGACTAGCGAGCGTAGTGGAAGGAGTCGCATCGTAGTGATTCACCGCGTTCATGGTGGTATTACTCGTCGACAACGCCGCTTGAGCTGCAACTTTGAGAATCTGTTCGAGCTGACTCGCGGGATCAGCAGCAGGCAGGGGTGGGTTACCCACAGCATAGATATCTTGCTCTGTCATGGGTGTCGAAGGTGGAATTCCAACTGCGTAAATATCCTGCTCTGACATCTGAGGCTGAGCGACAGAGATGTACCCAGCAGGAGCTGCCGCTGCATCTTGCCTTCGAATAACAGGAGCTGTGTTGACGGGGCGAATCGAAGCAGCGAGAACGAAAGCAAGCGTAACGCTGCCAATGAGAGAAGCGAACTTGGGTGATGGAATCATCTTGTGAGTTTGTGCGTTGGTGGCGGCCAGGAAAGGAAGTGTGAAAGTCGAGAGGCGAAAGAACTAGGAAGAAGTGGCACACGGACTATCAAAGTCGGACCAAAGGATTAGGTTTGTTCGTTGGGGGCGGGGAGAAGGCGAAGCGATAAACCAGATCGTTCCTTCTTTGTTGGTTTCGAGTAGAGAGAAGGATAGGCTACCAGAGCCTTTGAAGAGCAAAGTATAGGAAGAGACTGAAGAGAGAAATCAGAAATCAACACCAAGAATAAAGAAGGAAAGGAGGAGGCTGCGAGGGGGAAGAGAAGAGGAGGTTGTAAGTTCCGATGGAGATATTTATACTTTTTACAGTTCTCCTCCCACCGTCTGTCTCTAGTAGATCTGCCTGGGAAGGAGACGAATCACAAGGTCCGAAAGGAGAAGAGGAGGGGAGAAGGGGGTGGTTGATAGTTGAACGGGCTTCTACGCAGAGAAGAAACTGTGAGGTAGACGTCAACTCGAAACCGAGACTTGGCCGCAACGGCAGGCCGGGCTTGGCTTGAGTTCTACGCCAAGTGTTGTGTAAGGGAGAAACTCTACATGTGGAACTAGCGCCTCCTCCTTCCTCGTTGATCAGGGTCTGAAGGTCGTCGGCAGGAAAGCTTCTCGAAAGCATGATGGAACGGGAGGCCATGCAGTGCGGCTGCAAGTGTAGAGTTCTGGACCCGCAATTCGACGGCATCGTATCATACCTGAGTTTCCTATCAGCCTCAAACCTCACAGCTCTGAGCTGATGATAGCTTCTACATTACACGAAGCGGCACTTGAGGCGTGCGCCTCATTAATTCTTATCTGCCTAACTTGGCAAACCACTTGCAGACCTGGTGTTTCGCCAGTCCATGACGCCCAGCCTTGACACAGCTAGTCAGTACTTCTCTCTCAAAAACATGTGAGCACCACTCCCCCAAACACCAACTGAGATTAGAGGCATACGGTTCACTGAAGCTTCTTAACTTGGCCGGCCAAAGAAAACAAGGGATGTAGAACAAGATCATGCGCAAAACGCATCTTGTGGGCGGCGGCGCTTTTTGACGTGTGCCGTCCAACGTGTCAGATAAGTTTTAGTAGCCGAGATCCCAGCTAGACTCGCACGGCAGGCGCAAGTGAGGATCAGTTGGACGATAGAGAAATAATGTTGCATTGCCGGTCAGCAGGGAAAGGAGTAAGGAGCAAACAAAGCCAATGAATGGAGTCGATGGCGACGCGTGTCGTCCAGCTCAGTTGCGCACGCCTCGTCAGGTGCAACAAAAACAAAAGCTCCTGCCACGCCTGGGTTACTCTCTCTCGTGCGAATACATGCCGCACGAGAACGTACAATCAACATCTTCTCGCGAGGCGTGACAGCTCCCCTCTAAGCATCTCCAAACGCCTTGTTTTCCAGCCACTTCTCTGCTTCTCCCCACGATGCTTCGTACAACTTGAACGATGCATCCTGTCAAGCCGCGCGAAATCGGCCTGGATCAGGTCGAAGTTGTCCCCAAGCCACAATCTTCCCGACCACCTTCATCTCCGTTGACGCCAGAACAGCATTTACAACGCATCTTGTGTCGGTATACAACCAACGAATCTGACACTGCAAAGCTCTGGCTCACAACCGCTACTGCCGCCTTTCAGGCGAAGAAGCTCGACATTCAGACACGCTCGAGGTCCCTCGAAGCCCTCTTCCGCGCCTCTTACTACCATGAACTCATCCGCGAGCTCATTTTCAACGTTCGCTTACTTCCGAATGCCTTTGTCCATGATGTCTTGGACACCTCCCAAAACCCCGCCGTCGTCCGTAACTGAGTGAGCGCCGAGACGCTCTTCAGACGTCTCGATCAGCAAACGATGCATCTCGATCCACCCGAACTCTTTCTCGAGACCTTTCTGCGCTGCGCCCATCAATCCGACCCCACCCACCACACCTCTTCCTTGACCACGACTACACCTAGCCCTAGCACTTACTTCAATCAACCCTTCTACGGTCCCAGTCTCTCGCTCCTCCAAGGTCACATCACCGTTCACAACAACATCTTTACCACCTCGGCTAAACCCATTCACTCGGACGAAGACAAGGCAGAGGAGTATTCTGAGCCTGAGTTGCCCGTCCCCAATTGGCAAAAGTACTATATCAAAGTCCTTCCCATTCTTCAGTCGTCCGGCTTTGGCAAGACTCGGATGTGTGTGCAACTGAGCACCATCAGTCCTGGTATGCTCATTTGCCTTCGCCACAAGACACAAGCTGACGACAAACAACACCAAGAGTCCTTTCCGCCCCAAGACTCGCTCGTCTTTGAGTACTTTCAGCGCTGCAGGGATCGTATCTTCAACGCCGAGTTCCCAACGACCCCGGAAGATCATGAGCGCTTCAACCAAGCCCATCTAGGCGTACTCGCCTGGCTTGCTATATATTGCAAAACCATCGCTTTCTACCTCGAGCAGCTCAAACGAAACGCCCATGATTGCTTCGGCACCCCTCGCCGATGCGATTCCGATCCACGCCTATGCTGGCAGACTATTGTCTATCAACTCGCCGTGGCTATTCACTCGCCCTCTTCCGGATTCCTTCCCAACAAGCTTTTCGAACAGCCTCAAACGTGTCCTCGCATCCCTCTTGTACAAGATCTTTCGGATTCGCTTAGCAGCAACGACGCCACCACTACCTCCACTCCCACAGAGCAACCAACAAACCGAACAAAGGCCGAGCTGTACGCACAAATGCAAACTCCACCGCAGCTCTTCGGCACTCGCAGGCTACGCAGTGTCATGCTCGAATACATTTGCAAGTCCGCCACCGAACTGGACCAAGAAATGTGCATACAGCTCGCAGCGTGTCTCAAAGAGCCCGAACTCCTCGTCACGGCAATAGAAGAGTATCTCAAGCCGCATCTTGACCGACTTGAGCAATCGGCGCCGGACAAGACGGCGCAGTCTTTCTCCTTCATCGCATTGGATGAGTGCGGTTCCATGCCCGATCTCCTTCAGATCATACGTCGAGTCTGGTTCCATGCCTTACCCATGTCGACGTGGATTCTTCTCATTGATGCCGACCCCTGTCTGGTGCCGCTTGCCGAGGACACCTCTCACAAAAGCTCGCGACGCACCTCCAGTGGCAGCAGGCATCGCGTCACCCAACCTTTCTCGTTCATGCCCCTTGATGTCAACTTTTCCGAGCAACAACGCCAAAACCTCTTTGCTGACGTCCCAACCTTAACACTCCGGAAGCTCAATCAGCTGCTTCCGACGCTTGGTAGGCCCTTGTGGTATAACAAGCTTTATCACAGCGAGCAGGGCGTAATCTATCCGCGCGCCATCATCGACAAGCTCCTCTACCCTGCCGGGTGGCAATGGAATTTCCGTCCATTTTGGATGCATCACGACGCAATCAATCAAAACCTCTTGGCATTGGTCTCGCAGCGCATCTATCTCGAGGTCTCCAGTCGATCCGCTCCCAAGTCATGGTATGGATTTATTCAGAATCAGATTGGACAGCATCTACGCTTCATAGGCCGTATCTACTCCGCCTCCGACTCCATCATCACCAACACACCGAGCGAGCCACCTCTCAGCGCCGCTGCTGCCTGGTTCTTTCGCGGTGAACCCAAGGACACACATCTCAAGTGGGGAAAGGTAATCGAGGCCCTCGTCCATGCCAATGAGCCTGTCGGCTTCAACCTCGGCACCAAGGGCGAGCACGGCGTTGCTGTGCTCTGCACCATGGCTATTGATGTCGCCGCCTCGCAACTCTACTCGGACGTTTTGAAGCAATCTCTTTCGCCCTCTGCCAACACCTCGAGCATCTATGCTGCTGTCTTTGGCCTTGTCCCGGTCCGTAGATGGCTCAGATGGCTCATCGGAGGTCGAATACATCATGCTGCCTTTTCGTTCCCTCCGCCAACGACTCACGTCGGCTCTGGCGAGGATGGCGGTCACGTCGGCTCTGGCGAGGATGGCGGTCACGTCGGCGATGCGATGGAGGAGGACTCTGTTGCATCATCCAGCGCGGACTTGGAGTCTGAATCGATGAGTCCGAACTCTGCCTTTGCCGCAGCAGGCACGATGGATGAGACATCTGCACTGTGGCGCTGGGCCGGCCGCGCCTGGCTCAACTTCAAGCATATTGTTCCATCGGAAGATCAAGTGAATGCGCAGAAAGTCTTGGACGCAGAAGAGCTCGTCCAGCTCTGGTTCCGACAGGCTGCGGCACAATGCATCACAAACCAATCTGGTTGGGACTTCCTCATTCCCGTCTACGAATCGAACACCAACGAAGCGCCCAGCGATGCCGAGATGTTCGACAAGGCGAAGCTGTCGTACATTGCCATTCAGGTCAAGAATTGCATCAAGCGGCCAAGCAAGGCGGTGAGGGATGGCGAGGTGGGGCCTCGTTTGGCGATGGCCGAAGGGAAGCAAAAGGAATGCCTCGAGCTGTTCTTTGACCTCAAAGGGCATCACGATCACCAGCAAGGTCACATGTACTCGCAGCGACGGCACCCGCAACCAAAGACGGACACACCTCTAACGCAAGCAGACCAGCGAGCACGTCAGCTGCTGCGTCACCACCTCTACATCGCGGGGCAAGACAGCGCAACATTTCCGCAGCTCAATTGGCTCCTCAGTCCGGCCAAGGAGCAGGTGGCATTGCTCTTTGGCGGTGCTGACTCGGTTGAGACGGTTGATTTCGACCAGATGCAGGCGAGATATGTGCGCGACCAGAAGAGTCAGAGCGAACAAGATGCATGGGACGAGGCACAGGCGCAGATGCATGGCGTGCTTGTTAGTATGGTACCAAAAGTGTTGAAACGCGTGTGAGCGTGCGACAAACGGCATTGATCACAAGTGTCGATTGCGATAAGGAGCATTGCTAAGTACATGATGATCACCACTATATATATATATATATATGTTCCAGTATTATGTGTATAATGTGTGTTTACCAGGACGATAAGGCCGAATGAGTGAAGTTGGCGTTAATGTGAGCTCGGAGTAGAAGTTACCTAGTTAGGTCACATGCTTTAATTTAAAGCAAAAAAAATGAGAATGGAGACTGCATGAGTCGAACACGCGACCTTTCGCAAATTAGACAGGATGCTAAGCGAACGCTCTACCAACTGAGCTAAACCCCCGATCGATGCAAAAGAGCTCTAAAATAGCTTTAATATTACATTTGAATATAAACCTCCAGGTTTGTCTCTTGTCAAGCTCGGCAAAGAAGAAACAAATCAACCTTTTCTTGATGATGCGGGGTGACATTGAGTGCTTTGCCGCCAGTGTGCTATCCAGGAGCTAGTAGTCTGCTCGTCATCGGAAGAGTGATGCCACCATTTCGTAGCCGTCAAGTTTTGCGAGGTGTCGATCTCGACCGGCATCCTCTTGCTTCCTTGACAAGGTGTTTCCCCCCCCGTTGCTCTGCTGCTGTGATCCCGACTGAAGCAGCTGTTTTGTGCTACTATATGCTGACTTGAGCACCTTTCACAGCTCGACTGGTAAGTCAAGCTACATTCACGGTAATGAGTGGCCATCGCTTGGCGGTAAGCAAAGTCTTTCGACATCGTTTAAGACAGATTGGCAGCGGGCCAATACGGCGGAGTGAAGCGGGCGGCACCATCCACCAAACCCTGCCAAGCACACGATTGGGATGAGCGGGTACCACAAAGATTGCTGCATCCCTGGCTTCCTCCTGTCTTGATAGTACTGCCTAATCACATGTCCAGCAATGATCACTTTTCCACTGACCGTCCTATGGAAGAAACAAATTTGGTACGCAGCAACGGTCTCCCGCGTAGTCGGAATGACTGCTGGTATAGCCACCTGGCTCGCTACCGCATCTAAATACGGAAATGAAGTTCTCGATGTCACCACCACCAACGCATTACTTCCATGCATGTGGAGAACACTCGTCGCCGCCATTCGTCCCAGCAATCCTCGCACCTATCACCACTTTTATCCACCCTCAATTCCTCAGACAAAAAATTGACCACTCTTAAGAGAGAACCTATCGGATCACCCACCAGAAAGGATAGACCTTTCAGCGAGGCAGAAGAACGTTGTATGCACAAACAAAGTTGCCTTGCAGGCATTACAGGGTTGGTGCTGTTTATTGCAATCCGGGTCTTGTGGCCGTTTATCATGTATACTGTATGCGGCCAAGTATGAGTTCAGTAAAGAGTTCTTTATGGGTGGCGTTGTGGTGGCGATTATTTGTGCTTTTGCTGCTTTGTTGATTTTTACCTTCCTGCCGTTGTGGGAGGGAAGAAACCATATCATCAAAGTCATCGGACGCCGTTTCGGCAAGAGAAAGGAGAAGGAAGGAAGCGAAGTGAACCAGGAAAGGAGAAGTTCGGAGAAAAGTGTTGCAAGCAGCGTGGGGGCAAGCCAGTGGTTGAGACTACGTCTCCTTCCAGGTGATCATATTGTGCCTCGGTCTCAGGCCTAAAGAGCATTGCTACAGTAGGGACTGTTCGGTTTTGTTCACATGCATCGAAAGTTCTTCATCTTCTTTTTCTTGCGTCTGTTCGTCCGATGTGTGCTGAACCGATCGCTAACCCTCGCTCAGCATCCCCCCTTTCAAAGCCTAAGAGCGTCGCAACATCAACCTGGCCATGCTCGCCTCGGACTTTCAACACTTCTCACACGAACACAAGACTCAGCAATGCGTGACAAAACTTTCCTCTATTGCATCAACCCCTCTATCCCCTTCACTCCTCCGCCTCACCCTGTTCCGCCCAAAGACTATCAAGCGCACCCATCCACTCCTTCCTCTCGCCCTCATCCTTCGCCTGCAAAAAGTAACTATTATTCGCGGTATAAACCCCAAAAACATTCTCCCTCCCCAACATCCTTTCAATATTCTCATCATGTTCCACCCTCACTTCCGCAACGTGGATCGCCATGATTTCATCCGTCTCCGCGCTCGATTCGTAGATGAAAAGGAAGGGTCTGCGGAGGGAGAACCAACGTTTGACCCATTGGTCTGTGAATGCCTCGGGTGGCATTTGGAGGTATCCTCGTTTGGTGGCATTGTCGGAGCGGCTGATGAGCGTTACAATTGGTGTGAGTTTGGGTGGGGTTGCAGGGTTGGAGGTTGTGGATGTGGATGAGAGTGTGCGGTCGAGTTTTGCTGGTGAGAGTGATGGAGACGGGGAGGAGGGGACGTTTTCAAATCCCAACCCCGCAGCAGCAGTAGTCGGTGGTTGGTCATCGAACATGGTCGAGAGCTTACTTCCCCCCGACGACCCATTCGAGTCGGCGTTAGCACTGGGCTGCTCAGCAATCTCAACCCTCATCTTTGCATCCCTTACCGCTCTCTTCCATAGATCCAAGACCCTCATCATGAGTTCCTCTTTTCCTTCTTCTCCCCTCTCCACCGCCACCAAGCCACCAAATTGACCCTTCAACACAACCCTAACCCCCTCAACCTCCGCCCTCCTCTCCTCTCCCCTCCTCAACACCTCATGATCACCCACCAAACTCACCCCTCTTGCCTTCCAGCCCCTCAACGCCTCCTGACCCCTGACATACTTCTTCCCCGTATCCAACCTCCACAACTCCTTACTCCTCTTCATCATCGGGGGAACCAACGTTACCCCAAATATCCCACTCGTCTTCGTCAACGTCCTCGCCCCCTCAATAAAACTCATCAATCTTCCCGGAGGCTTCGCATCCCTGGCATTAATAGACACAGCTACATCCATCCCAAACTCCACTGGCCCAATACACCTCTCCACCTCCACCTCGAATGTCAACCGCATCAAAACCCTGTGTCCGCTCGCAGTAGTCTTGTTAAGGTGGAGCGAATCGTGAACACTGCTATCCCACCAAGCCCATAGACTGAGTTCACTTGTTCCGTTCACAAGAAATTCGAGAGTTTGCTGCTTAGCGGGTACTTTGAGGAGGATAGTATCTTCTGCTTTCCCACCGTGTACTCTTCCTCGTGCATCGAGGAGACGAACGTCGCCGAGTTGAATTTTTGTTACTTTCGACCACAAAAATTGCCGGCCAGAATCATGATGCAGATGCAGCACCAATTTGCGCTGCAACCCTTGTCGCAAGAAGAACGACCCGGGATCTAATGCAGACTGTGAGCGCACCGGCACCGGCATGTACTCTCCAGAGCTGTCCAACTCGCAAATCTGCACCGAGGCAAGGATGTGATGTCGTTCCTCTCTACGCATTTCGTTTTCCGAGAGCCGCTCCTTCATCGTGTTCGACATCGCCGCTTTTGGCCCTCGTACCAAATCCGCACCATTGCTCGCATGCAAAGGCGCAAAGTTCTCGGAGGGGGAAGGTTGACCCTCATTCTCGCGTGCATTATCGTGTTTTTCCAGCCCGACCAGATAGTGCGGCTTGAGCTTGGCGTAGAGCTCGATTGGAGCAAAACCAATTCGCAACCACTCGATCGATTCGGGTGTGAGTACGAAGCTGAGCGTCCTTCGCAATCGCACTTCCGAGACCGACTCGTCGCTTGTAAGATCGATCGGAACAGAGGTGTAGATCTCGTCCTTGCTCAACGCGTTCCCGGCAAACGAGCTGAGCTTGACCTGCAAATGAACACTCGCAAAGTCATCCCTCGAGATCTCGGAGACCGAATCAACCAGCACCTGGAAACCCAACTTCTGGCCCACTGGTAGCTCAGCACCACCACCGCCATGAGTCGAAGTAGACGGAGTCGGAGACCCAGACCCGCGCGTTCCACTCGGCGCCATCAATCCCCCATTCCCATTCCCATTCCCATTCCTCCCTACTGGTACCTGCGTCAAACTAACAAACTTCACCGTCACTCCACAAGCTCCCACCTCTTTACCTGTATGTCCATCCCTTAACGGCATTCTATATTTCGCCGTCATGCATCTCGCTAGCGGGTCCAACGGGACCAACGTACTCGCTACAAAGGCGTAGGTTGGATGAGGAGCCTCGTAAAACGGATCCGACCAGTTGAAGTGCCTTGAATATTCCGGCTTGTCCACGAAAGTGTAGAGGTTCCTCATCTTACCTAAACGCTGCTCGAACTTTGCCATCGACCAGACGTAGCATGTCGAATGAACGTAGTCGAGCACTTTGATCCCCATACACGGCTTTGTGCAAGCGGCGAGGTCCGGGTCGGAAACGTCGTCAAACTCAGTAAGACCGGCAATGGCTTCGACACCAGAAGTGGGGACGGCGAGGGGGAAGTCGTCGACAACGGTGAATTGGTAGGTGACGCGCTTGTTGAGTTCTTTGCTGATCACGTTGGCTTCCTTGACCAGCACTGCTTTGCTTAATGCGTCTTCCGCCATAGATACCCGAGTGTGTCCTTTCCAGTTCGCAAGCGCTTTCCGAACCAGCGCTTTTTCGCGATCGCTGTATTCGACAATTCCATCTCCCCCCGGGCGAGGAGAACCATTGGCAATACGAGTAAACTTCTCCTCATACTCCCTCACTTTCGCCCTCAACGATTCTGCCTCGCGATGAGTAGCCGCAGCAGCAGCAGCACTCACCGCCGGTGAAGCAGCCGCATTACTGAACGGACTACTACCATTATCCTTCATCGGCGTACCGGCACCGAACCGCATCGATCCCATCTCACTCCCTGCCTGACTCCACGGATCGATACTAGTATCATCCGTCATCGCACCATACGAGTAAGGTCTAACCACCGAACTGGCACTCTCGCTCGCATTGTCATCGAACAAGCTCGCCCTACTCTCCGGCCTCCCTAGCACACTGCCCATTGACTTTTTCGATCGAGCCCGAGAAATGTCTTCGAAGAGCTTCTCCAGATCCTCTTCGTTGAGATTGTCAAAGTTGATATTCTGACCATTGAGCTTCGCCATAGCGTACTCGCGTCGGGCATAGGTCCAGTCGACATCACCCGATGCTGGAGAATCGGGTCGAGTTGCGGGTAGGTCTCCATCTTGAAGCGTCTCGTTGTGTGCTTCTCCAGTCGAAAGCGCAAGTGTTGAGCGGACACGATCCCTCGCCTTCCTAACCTCCTCTGGATGATTGAACCTGAACACATGAAAATCACCCAAAATGACCCTATATCCCGACCTCAACCTCTTTGGCTCATCCGGAACCAGCCTTTTACCATTCACCATCGTCATACTATCCGCCATCGCTGTCACTGTCACCACTCCATCCTGATGGTCGAACATGCAGTGTTTCGCTAGAATCTTCGTCCCGCTCAACTTGATATGCACATCCGCCCCACTCTCCAAATTCCCCACCAGCGTCTGCCCAGGCTTGATCTGATAGATCAAACACTCGCTCATTAGTGGATCCTCATTCAGATTCACCAGATGCGGCAATTTCTTCGGCGTATGAACCCCCACATTCCCCTTATCCACTGAAATACCTAACTCTTCCAATGCCTTCTCCCTCTCTTTCTGGATTTCTTGCGTCTTGGTCAACTTCTCTTCCCAGCTCTCATTCAAACTACTCATAATCTTTTCGCTCTGCTCTAGCTGTTCTTGAAGTTCGGCCTTGGTGACGGTTTTGATCTCGCCCGACTTGGTCTGATATCGAACCACCTGTTTCTCTGGCGGTATTGAAGGATCCCAGTTACTTTCACCATCAATTCCACCTCCACCAGAAACACGTGTGCGGAGCATCTCGAGTTCCTCTTTGAGCTCGCGAATAAGCTTGGCGTTGGGATCTTCGTTGACGACGGCTTTGTTTTTGATCTTTTTCGCTTGATCGGCGTAGCGAAGCGTACTGAGTGTCTCTTCGTAGTCAGCTGGCGAAATGGCTGCAATCATGGCTGTTTTTGAGTTTCCTCCCAGACTGTCCTTCAAGAGCCAGGTCAAGGCGGAGTCACGGTAGGGAACAAAGTTGTCGAGACTGGCAGCTTTGCTCTTCTTTGCACCCTTCGCTGGTTCTGGAGCTGAACTTGCTGCTGCCAATGCTGCGATGACTTTACCGAGCGTGGTGAGGGAGCGGTTGATATTTGCACCTTCTTTGAGTCGGGCACCAGTTGCACCCGTCGAATTGGCACGTTCCGAACCCGCCAAATCGACCAGCGAGATCCTCGAAACCTTCTCGGCTTCTAGCTTGGTCTGAACATCGAACTTCTTTTGTGTCAGCACAAGCGTGAACACAGCATGCGATCGTGAGCTGGTCTCGTTCATATTAGTCGCAGCTACCGTCCTCGCCTTGTTTCCTTCATCCATCAGATTCTCGATATCCCTAAAACTGCCGACGACCAGCTTACTTAGATCCTCGACGTACGGACCCAGACTGGGATGTTCTCGCACCTTGAGATTGCCCTTGTTCTTTGGATTAAGCAAGTCACGCACTTTCTCGTTATAGATCTCGATATAGCTGACCTCTACGCTGATTTTGAGGTTTCCATCCGCATCCGTCTTGTCCTGAATATCGTCAAAGAGACGAGAACAGGTGAGAGGAATCAGACCTTTGGCTTCAGCATATCCGACCATGGAATGCGATTTGCCCGAGCCTGTTTGACCGTAGGCGAAGACACAGGTGTTGAACCCATTGAATGCATGTTCGAGAAGTTCGATACCGACGAATTGAAAGAGAGTGTCTTGTTCGGTGTTTTCGTCGTAGGCTCGGTCGAAGGAGAAGGGCATAGCTTTTTTCTTGGTGGCTTTGGAGCTTTCGCGAGAGTCGGTGTCAGAGGGTGGTTGGAGAACGAGTTGATGGTCGTCGACGAATTCGATGAGGTTGGATGCGCCACGATTGCGTTCTCGGGAGTTCATTGGACGACATCGCACCACGACTTTGATGTTGCCCGAGTCGGCCATGGCGGGCGAAGACTCGAACTAAGGCTCACGGCCTTGTTGCTCCAGGGTGTGCCAAACGAGGCCGTCCTGTCGGTATCCTGCAAGCTATTAAGCTTGGCCGCACTAGGAGAGCAGATGTCTGCGATCTCGAAGCCGCCCCTATCGGTCGAGAGTGAAGGTGAGTCGTACAAGAAGCTCCGCGTTGCTCGAAGGTGGAGTCGACAGAGATGAGGACCGTAGGTGCTCAGAGTAAAGTCTTGTACATTCAAGCGGTGTAGTTGATGGTGGTGATAAGTCGATCCGGCGGTGCGAAGCCCAAGAGTCGAAAGGTGAAATGAAGATGGTCTGTGTGTAAAGTGAATCGGATCCGAACGAGAAACGAGATGTAAGTGTTGGACGTTGAAAGGGTATCAAATGGGTGTGTGTTGCGTTGCGTCGCGATCCAATCCGATCTGATACGGAGCGGAGGTATAGGTATGAGGGCGATGACGATTATGAAGATGATGGTGGGAGAGTTGAAGGCTGAGTTCTCTCTTCTCCACCGGATGTCGGAGTGAGAGAGAGTAGCAGAAAAGGAACACACAGACCCCCACACGCCAAGTGTTGGATGCAACTCTCGACTTGTGCACATGACCACGACTTTCCTGTTCGAGCCCGACACAGCTCAATTTAACATTGGATCCTGTTAAATTTAATTACAACCAACACCTCATCAAACACTCGGCTTCATCAACAAAGTGACACACGCTTGTCCTCACTCACACATTCACATCGCAGACAGCAATCATAACATTGGTGTAGAAAGCATGGTCCTTCATCTGGATGGAGAGAGTAGAAATACAGGTGAGACGGTCTTCAGGTACGGTTGAGTGGTGTGTATATCCATATCACTTGTTCTTGTTTAACGGAGACTCTTCCATCGACTTGATCCACTGTTTTTGCTCCTTCTGCTTGATCTCTTCCTCGATCTTTTGCTGCACATCCCCCTCTTGTCCTGCAAGCACATCCTTCAAGTTTTGCTTCGCACTTCCCCTCTTCAATGGCTTGGGCTGAGTCGGGGCTGGACTCCATCCGATCATGTAAATGATCTGGAACGTCGCCGGTACAACCTCGTTCTCACCCTCCCCTTCACTGCCGTGCAAAGCTTGGTAGATCGCACCAGCAGACAACATCGTATCCCTCCTCAATTGACCGCGGCGGTTGATGACGGCGTTCGATTCGCCCATGTCCCGCAAGTCATGCATGAGCTCATACATGCTTGGGTATCCAACAGCCACCTCATCCACATCAACAGTAGGAATGGTGAATCCAGCTCTAGAGAGGAGAGATGCCATATCCCGAGTATCAGCCATAGGAGAGATACGAGGCGAGATACCACCCTCTCTCTCCTGCTCGGCCAACTGCAGACTCGTTCGCAACTCAAACAGCGTATCACCACCGCAAAGGGCAGCAATGAACACACCATCCGGCTTCAATGCTCGTCGAATCTGAATCAACACACCAGGCAAATCGTTCGTCCAGTGCAATCCACCACTGACCACCACGCAATCCAAACTAGCCTCTTCGAAAGGCAGCATCTCTTCATCGAGCACGCGGCGCTCGATCTCGAATCCATACTGCTCGTCCAAATGTCGATCGCGGTTCAAGAGCGCCTCGCTAGTGTCGCACATGATGATCTTCTTTGTCCCACATCCCTTTGGGTCCAGATACTGACGAAGAAATCCAGGTCCAGCACCAAGCTCGACAATCGTTGGGAAATCGCGCTTGATGTCCTGCACACGATCAGCGAGCGATTCGGCGATAGCACGTCGAACGTAGTCGGTCTGTCGAGATGGCTCGCCGCGAGTCGAGTCAGCACCGAATGCATGCATGTCATTCTGAGCAGAGACCAAAGGTCGAAGAGCAGCGCGATCCTTTTGCAGCGTCTTGGTGGCACGGTCGAAGATGGTAAAAGGGCTATTGGGTTTAGGAGGTCCAGGAGCTGGGTTGCTCGTCCCCGCAGCCAAAGGGGTGCCTGACATGGTCGATGCATGACGAACTGACACGGTGCCAGTGGCGTTGTTGCTGACAGGGGTGGTGAATGGGTTGCTGTACAAGCCAGAGTGCTTCAGTCGAGGCGATATCTGGCCAAACGTGAAGCGACTGTTCGCGGTATGCACGCCCTCTGCCTGAGCGTTGGCTTTGACAACTTCGGCGTTGTAAGCGATGTTGTCAGAGACGAGTGTACGAGCACGAATGATCAAAGCAGGTGGGAAAGCTCGTGCCTCCATACGGTCGACCAGAGCAGCAGCGCGATCGGCATGGCCGTGGCTCAGCTCAGCGCGAATCATAGCTTCGTACGTGGAAGGTTCACGCTGCACCGATCCGAATGGGTTTGCGACATCGCTGCTGGCAACGGATGCAGCAGGCGACATGTTCGACGACGCGTGAGCCGAAGAACCATCAGCAGGAGCAGGTGCACCAGCACCATGAGCCCTGGGCAGATGGTTGCCAACAGCGGCAATACCAGCAGCAGGCTCGCTCATGCTCTCGAACAGTGCACGAGCTTCCTCCAATCCTTTCTCGCCTGCCTCGGTCGAGTATCCTCCAATAAGCAAGTTCGCAATATAAGCAGTCATGGCCACACCAGCATGCTTCATCTTTTCCACATGCGAGCGAATGAGATCTGTCCTGTGATGAGCAACGAAAACTGCAAGCAGCGCCTCAAACGAGACCGCATTCAGCCTCGTGTCTGTGTCCTTCCTTGACTGTGTCGCAGGATGTGTTGCAATCGAGTCGAAAGTGGCGATAGCGCGATCCAAATCATTGAGCATGCATCCATAGCAGTTGATCAACGAAGCCCAGTGAGTGCCCTGAACCGCCACCGATGGGTTGGCAACAATCTCTGCGAACACCCTTTCCATTTCTTGCGGCTGAACAGGCTCGATAGCGCCAAACAGATCCAGCAATAGCTTGTACGTGTGCGCACTCGGCTCGACGCCAGCAGCAAGCATCTTGTTGTAGTAGACAAGCGCTTTCTCGCGATCGTGTACGCTCTGGATGTAGTACTGCATCATAGTGTTGTACGGCGGAACGCGGGGCTTGAAGCCCGAGTCGCGCTCCATTTGCCCGAACAGGTGAACTGCACGCTGCTCATCGCCGATACGACAACAAGCGTTGATGACAGCACCGTAGGTGACAGTAGTGGGCTTGATACCAAGGTTGAGCGTCATTTCGTCGAACAGCTGCAGGGCGCGATCGGTCTTGCGAGCACGAGAAAGCTTTGAGATGACCGCGTTGAACAGATAGGTGGAGGGTCGAACACCAAGGCGTTGCGATTCGTCAAAGAGTTCCTGAGCAATCGATGCGTCGTCGGTGGTGTCGCGAATGGTAGCAATGAGAGAAGCGTACGAATTGGGCATGGGTGCACCTCCAGCAGCGATAATACGGTGACGATGCGTTGTGGCAGCATCAGGTCGACCAGCATGGCTGAGTGCCTGGATCATCGAATCTTCGATACTTAACCATGCATTCGTCTGCCAAGAGGGGTCACCAGCCAGAGCGTGCAAGACCTGTTGGGCCATTGCATACAATTCCTCGACACGTTCCACATTGCCAAGACGACCGAAACAACTAATGAGAATCGAAAGTGCTTCGGGATGAGCGTAGTTGCCGACCTTGGCCTGCTCGACGACCTCGTTGTAGGCTCGAGGAGCTTCGTATTGACCTGATTGGCGTGCAAGTGCATACAACTTCTTACCGAGGTCGGTGTCAATCACTTGGACGGGAGGGAAGTTGTAAGCGGGTAAAGTAGAGGATCCAGTAGAGAAAATCGGTGCGGGCAAGTCCTGTCGGTAAAGAGGCGAATACTGCTGAGGAGGCGTAGTGGCAGGTGTCGAAGCGCTCATCTGAGATGCCGAGCCAGGATCGCTGCTTGTCTCGGCGGCGACCTCTGACACAGCATCCTGAGCTGCGGCGGCAGTGGTTGCATTGGTAGCAGCTGCAGCGCTTTCCTTGACCCAGTCGGGAAGCAACGAAAGAGCCTCCTCCCCATAGCGAGAAACCGTAAGCTGGATAACTTTGCTAGCATCCGCAGCTGGACGCACAACAGTACCTTCCGGCGTGTCAGCATCAGCAACAGGCAGTTTCGCAAGATCCTGCAAGACAATCGGTAATCCATCCGCCTTGAACGCATCCAAGTTGAGCGGTCGAACGTTGAGCTCCTCGAAGCAGAAAGCTTCCAAGATCAACGACCAGGCATCAACCGAGAACGGCAGACTGGTGATCGCGTCCGGTGTCTGGTTGTGCACGGATCGATACAGGTTGGCAACGTTGGCAGCCACATGCTCGTCGAGCAAGTCAGTAGCGCGCAATACTGGCGCAACAAACTCGGCGCTGGCGAAGAGTCGGATGGGAGCGAGATCGGTATCAGAGGAGTCGGTAGTCAAGAATCGGGTAGCAAATTGTGAAAGACGTTCACCGTAGGCCTTGAAGGGTTCAGCTGTGACATTGAGTTTCTCGACAAAGAGACCAACGTATGTCAAGGTGGCGCCAGCATCGACGGCGCGGTTGGCAGTCAGAAGGGTATCGGTGAGTTGGAAGATGGCAGTGACGAGATTGTGAGTCTGTTGAACGTTGTCGGCAGGGTCGAGGAAGTGGATGCGAGCGGCTTGCTGGACGAAGAACGCACCTGCGGCATTGAGTGCGCGATCGAGCGGTGCATTGGCTTCCTCTGCCGTACTGATATCAAGAAGACGCTGTGCATTGGCGACGTTGGCAGAGACGACTTGAGACAGGGTCGAAAAGTCGGCATCGACATGCGAGTCAGCACAACGCTGTAAGTAGACTTGGAAGACGTGCTCGAGAGGCTCAAGATACTGCTCTTCTGCAGCCACCAGTACAGCGATGAGCTGCTCCATGGTGCGGTAGCCCGGCAAGGGCAAAGCCGACTTGGAGGCAGCAGAAGCTGCTGCTGCTGCATCATCACCATCAGCCACCATGGGACTGACCTTGCTGAACCAAAGAAGTGCAGTAGCGGTATCGCCAACATCCAAGAACCCGCGGATCATCGACGAGATCACCGAAGTGTGCAATGCTGGAACGTTGTCACCACCTTCAAGCATCCTCTCGAACAACTTCACTGCCCCACTCGGATCGTCGAGAGCGAAATGAGCCTCGATCAACGAAGACCAGACTCGCACGTCACCCTCGTGCTTCCACGCGGGGTGTTGACTGGCAAGCAGAAACTCATCAAACACTTGCTTGCATGCTGCGAGCTTGCGTGCCTGCTGCTCGGGCAATGTTTCTTGGGGCTTGATCTGCGGATCGGTGAAGAAAGTCCTGATGAGATGCTTGAAAGAAGCGGCGTTAGTGTAAACAAACATGTTGCTCTCAAGAAGATCGAGCACCGTCAAGGCTCGATCGACGTCGCCGCGAAGAGCACAGCTGGAGAGAATGGCGTTGTAAGCCTTTTCGTCGCTGAAGAACGTGCGATTTCTGTGTGCGGCTCCCATCAATTCGAGAGCCTGGTTGAAGTCGTCCTGAGGAGGCTTTGTTGTGGAAGCATCTGTTTGGGAGCCCTTGACATCATCCGAAATAGGCTTGGCTGCAGTCTCTGCGTCGCGCGCACAGAGCGCCTTGACAAGCACGGTATATGTATGGCTGTTGGGCGAGAGACCAGCTTGGATCATGTCGTTGTAGGTATCGGTGATCTCTGACACAGACTGGCCCTCCTTGCGAACAGCCAGCAAAGCATTCATGACCATATTGAAGCCAGTGATCGTCTTCTGGTTTTTCGGCAACGCCTTGAAAGCATCGATGCCGATGCGAACCATAGCAGCATCTTTTCTCCTGGCAGCAGTGCGGAGGTTCCTGTAGATAATGTCGCGTGGGCTAATACCAGAGGCGATCACGGTGGAAGATTGTGGGCCGGCTCCAGAAGGGTCATCATGAGTGGAGGTGGCCGAAGTAGAAGCAAGTCGCTTGTGCTGTTGTTGTGCTTGTATTGACGCATCACCTTCTGTCGCAGCAGCGGTGACGAGCAAAGGCCCCTGTGTATTGGCGAAAGCATGTCTGAACCGCACCTGCATATGTGAGTTGGTCAAATGACCAGGTTGGGCAAGCATCGAACGCTCATACGGCTGTTGACCATCTAGCCTAAGTTTGTACGCTTTTTGTCTTCGAACCTCGTCATCGTCGTCATTGCTCTTGTTGTTAGTATCGCTGTTGGAAGTGCTAGAGGCTTGCGAAAGAGCACGTCCTGTGTGTTGATAGGAAAAGTGTGCGCCTCGGCCAGCATGGTACTTGGCACCACCGGCACCTGCACCAGCAGAAGAAGCGCCACTGCTGAGGCCAGAAGCCCAACCAGAAGCAGAGCTGCCAGTAGTGGTGGAAGAGGTAGAACCGGAAGATGCACCTTGGAAAGCACCTCGAAAAGTGTTAGCCGAGTTATGGGCGGCATTGGCCGCCGACTGTGCTGTGCCCCTCCATAAGTAAGAGGCGAGTTTAGCAGCCGAGATCACCGGCATAGCAGTTGCGGTGAGATCCGAGCTAAGCCTTGTCTATGATGCGACAGAAGGAATTGTCGTGTTGACGCCAATCTTGGGCGAGCTATCGATCAACTAAAAGCGTTGTCGTGAGAGATGCAGCGCCCGTTTTCAACTCGAGCCTACTATGATATCGAGTATAAAGATATCGTTTGTATCGATGAACCTATCCAATGACAGAAAAGATATCGAGAACCACTATCTGATCGTGACAGTGCTTAGATTAGTCGATATCGTGATAAGTAAGGGGTCGATCCCTGCAGCAATTGTCGGCCTGGTATGAATGAGAGTGAAGGTGACCGAAAGATTGCAAAAGGGGAAAAGCCGTTGTTGATTGTAGTTGTTGTCTGGAGTGTTAGGTGATGAAGAGAAGCGAAGATGAGGAGGGCGGCCTGAAGTAAAAGAAGATTGACTCAGCTGTGCGGGCGGATTTCGATTTCGATTTTGCGAAAAAAAAAGGTGCCCGATCCTGCTCTTTTTCTTCCCGATCCTGCTCTCTTTCTTCCAGCGAAATGATCAAGGCCAAAAAAAGGGTCCGCAATTTTCCTTCTCTTCCCTTCTGTACAGGGCCATGATTGTGTGATACAGTATCGGGCCGCATCGGGCTGTTTTCCCTCCCTTCTTTTTTTGGTGTCCGCGGTATCAAAAAGTCGCCGTGTTTCGGATAGAAATCGAAGAGCCATGTGACAACCGCCGCCGGTATTGCCCGCTTCCGAATCTTTCCCCTTTCGCAAAAAAAATAAAGGCAACTGGAGTTTTTTGCGGTCTAACACGGTCTAGGTTCCTCGCTTCGGGTTGACTGGACAGGCAAAGCTCAGCACGCAAGGTCATCCTTCGCTGCTGTCATTCGCTAGGCATTCGATAAGATATGAGGATAAGATATGAGAGTAAACGCAAAAGGAAGGGAAGATCCGAATTCTAGTCGACAACCATCGCCCTATCAAGGCATGCTGACAGCATCCCGACACTACCCTGTGGCCAGGGTATCCCATTCCACGGTGGCGGCAATTGGTGCCTTTCTTCGCTAACCAACCTTAGTCTATGCAAACTCTCCACAATACCTTCCCAGCCATTCCCCTCTTCCTGCGATAGCCAGTCTTGAATCAAGTCCACAGCTAAAACGTGTCCTGCTCCTGCTCTGCGGGGTTTGTGCAACAGAATTGCACTTTGTTTCGGTAGCACCTCTTCCCCTTCCTCCTCTTCTGTGTTTTGCAGGGTAGAGCCGAAGGGTGTTGTCCAATTCATCGGCATTCCGGCCTGAAATTGTAGAAATTGGGAGAATTGGCTAGCCTCCAACAGCACTTTCTCTGATCTCGCAGTTGTAGTGGTTGCGGCCGAGGTCCAATCAGCGCTGGGTCGAACTTTGTCACTTTTCTCGAGCAGGATCGATTCGCTTTCGTCCGTCCGTACGCTGAGGAGGGCTACACTCCCCATCACTCTATCGTTCACCTGAGTTGCGTTGAGATAGACTTCGACCAGCCGATGCCAAGCTGTGAACTCACGGCGAGTAATGTTGCTTGCACTTGAGATGGCGAGTCTCCAACGAACCCGCGCACGAGAAGCTTGGGCGATGGCAAATAGCCATACCTTCTCGATGCAGTTCTCGATCTCACCAGTTGGAGTAGTTAAGACGTCGATGGTGGAGCTGCTAGCACGTTCGTCCATTGCGCTAACGATGATGAGGGTCTCCTGCGTAGCATCCTCCCCGTCACCACCACCACCACCACCAACAGGAGCAGCCTGACAGATCCAGTAAGAAACATGCAAAATCAAACCCTCACTGTCCGTCAGCGCTGGCTCGACTCCTGATGCAAGTTCAAACTTGGTCCTCCCCTCACCTGCAGCCAAGGTCCACACCGGGAAATCAACAACCCCCGACACTGCCCCGCCTTCTGTCCCATGCAACACCTTTCCTGGCTGCCTCCTTACAATCCTCCCCAACTGATCATATACTCCAAACACCAACCTTCTCACTCCACCCGTCTCCTTTCCCAGCCCTAAACTGCCTCCTTCGGTCACCATCTCCGGACTGACCACCCTCACCAACACCTGCTCAGCCAAAACACCAACTTGCTCCCTCAACATCGCTCTCAAATCCGCCTCCAACCGCAGCAGACCGTGATAGCCACTCTCCTTGCAGCCAGCAGAATTCGGCGGCTGCAAGGTATACACTACCACATGTTTCCCATTGAGCAGATCCGCGGATATGCGACTAGCGATGGAGCGCAAGGTGTCGAGCCATGCTTCGCCGTCTTTCCACAGTCGGTCGAGGTAGCTTGATAGGGCCAAAGGCTCGGTTGGGTCTGCAACGGCGAGGATGGATGATGCTCCTCCGGAGTGCGTTCCGAGCCCGTGAGCCTGGAATGCATTGCGAAGACGGTCGAGCCAGGAGACGATCTCGTCATGCCATGCAGGGGAAGCGTGTGTGAGAAGCACTTTCGCGACAATGTGCTTCTGTCCGCTAACAGCAGATAATTTCGACTTGTCCCACAGCATGAGTGCCGACGGCAACGCTTCGATCACAGATCCTTGACAGCCAACAGCGATCTTTGCTGGCTCTAGCACTTGTGCGATGTTGTGGTCGTCACCTGCAGTGGAGGAAGAGCGTTTGACCAGGCTTCCGAGAGTAGGCAGTGCAACATCTGTGCCGTCATCTTTGATGGCATTCGAAGGCTCGCTGATTCCGGTGGTTGGATGAGAGGAAAGGCTGAGAGCAGAAGCCATAGCCTCAAGTACCTCAATCTTGTCGCCCACAGCAACCTCCGAGCCTCCTGATCCACTGCTCACGGATCCAAACATGGCTCGGAACTGCGGATTGCCGATCAACCACTCAGCAGTCCTCGATAACAACGATCGCCTGATCGTCGGCTTTGAAAACGCTCCAGCCGCTCCGATCTTCTTGGTCGCCACCTCTCTCTTGCTCGAAAAGAGCACATGATCCCCGCGCAGGAAGCTGGCAACGACCTCACTCGAACGACCCTTCATCATCATCTGCTCTTCCAAGCTCAGTGTCACACCAGCCGCTCCTTCCGCATCACTTGGAAGGTCACCAGTATTCTCATCGTCACTAGTTGAGCTGTCACTGTCGTCATCACTGACTGCACCTGGCATCTGCGCGATGTCATCGCTCGATCTGGGCGTCGCTGGCACATCAAGAACTCGCTGTGAACTCGATCGTCTGTTGCCAAGCAGGCCCGATCCTGGCGGTGCTTTGCTGTGACGATCACGATGCAACTTCAGCAATGCTTGTCCACGACGCGATGGTGTCTTTGACGGGGAAGGTCGCGTAGGACCAAACTGGGACACAAGTTGGCCCGTCACTGGAGCTGGAGCACTAGTTCTGTCGGTACGTCCTCCTATCCTGCTCGCTTCGGCGGACACACGACGCTGACCTGTGCTCTTGCTGCTGTTGTTGACTGTGGTGATGGCCGTGGTTGTCTTCGGCTTGGACGCGAACTTTCCCAACAGGTCGTATTTGCGGCCAAGATTAGCTCGAGCACCTGCCGTGAGCCTTTGCAGCGGCTTCCTCGCCTTGGGCTGGGCAAGGGGAAGGAAAGCGTTTGGCACGATTGCCGGCCGCTTCCTACTGGTAGTATCGCTTTCCATCGCGGCGTTAGCAGCGGCAGCAGCGGCAGAGCTCGCATCCGCGAGACGCAGCTGGTCCTCTCCCTTGGAGTGATGCGCATCAAATGGGTGCTGTCTCGATGCGTCCGGTGCCTGGTCAGCAGCATTGTGCTCTCGATAGCTTTGAGTTTTCTCACCCGGCCGGCTGACATCGTGCAGACCAACGATCGTTGCACCGTCGCGATACTCTTCGACAGGAGAATAGGGCGTCCGTGGCGTTTTGTGACTCGGATTGCCGCCGAAAGCGGGTGAACTCTCGGTGAGCGAGCTCGGCGTGAAGCCAGGCAGTGACGCTGGATCGCCGAACGATGTGGTACTCGAGGCATCGCGCGGAGTGAAAGAGGTCATGGCAGGATGGAAAGACTGTGCTGAGCTGACGGCCGCCAGGTTTGTGTCTGATCCTCCGGGGTGATTCAGGTGCGACTGCGCCGCCTGTGCCGTGGAATCTGACGTAGCCATGGACGAGGGAGCAGCGTGCAGAGCTTGCGAAGGCTCCGCCGACGTGGCCATAACATCTTGCAAGCCCGGGATTGCACTGAACAGCGCATCAAGGCTGTTCGGCCCGATGTCATCCATCGTCACGTCGTCGAGTCCACTGACAGTACCAGGAGCCGTAGCAGCGCTGATTGTTGCTCCAGGCTGCAAGGCAGCACCAGACATGACGTTCATCGAGCCCGCGGGAGGATTCAGCCCCAGGTCCGCACCAAAGCTCGAATGGTGAGACAGCGCAGAAGTGGGGCGATGCGGCACAGTGGGTTGCAGTGATGCTGAGGCACGCTCCGGCTCAAGATCAAACGCAGACTCGTCGAAGAAGGAAAAGTCGTCTTCTGTCAGCAGCCCGAGATTGCCGAAGATATCAGTCTCGCCTGCTTTTCGCTTGGTGGGACCATGCTGTGCGAAACTCAGAGGCGTTGTGTCCTGAGCGCCTTGGAATGGTGTCGATGCTTGAGAGTGCATTTGACCGTGAGGTTGCAGCAGCGAGGATGGAGCTACAGGCTGATTTGAAGTTGAAGCGTTCGCGGCAACAGCTCCAGCGTCCGAAGGAGCTGATGCAGAGCTCATCGAGAAGGCCCAAGCTGAGTCTGATGTATTCGGCTGTTGGCTCTTGGTCTCGTCGCTGCTGGACACAAGGGAATTGTGTGATGCGCCTTGGCCTTTCGGCGCTGTGAACTGATCAACTGGGTCGGCTTGCATGGCAGGGCTTGATGTGAGGGCAGGTGTGGATGCAGACGCAGGCCCTTCGCTGGTCTGGGGCAGGAACTGCATCCAATTGAGATCGTCACCAAAAGCCTCGGCGGCGTTTGCAGCACCCGGTCCAGGCTCAGTGCTCGTTGCTTCGCGTTTGGCCGGAGAGGTACTTGGTATAGACTGTCCAGCGGCGGTAAGAGACTGCGATGGAGTCACAGAACCTGCGGCAGGCATGGCAAAGTCAAAGTCGGGGAACGCAATACTGGCTGATGTAATGTCAGGACGTATGGAGGACAAGGGATCCATACGATTCCGTGCCAGCGATGCGTCGTCGGGCTCGCCCGGTGTGTAGGGCGCAGTGTTGTGTGCGAAGGTAGTCTCGTTGGCATCGTTGAGCACCTTGAGCGTGAAGGAGACCAACTCTTTGAGTGGTGTCATGGGCTGGCTATGTATTTTCTGGAGGTCATCGTTCGCAGACGAGCCGAGTGCGGAAGCAAGACCGGCATTCCGCGGCTTGTCTTGAAGTACGAGGCACCAGCTGACTGGCCATAAGAACTGCCTCGCCTCCTGGCTCTGTTCCTGGCTGCTACGCTGTTGTTGTTGCTGTTGCTGCAATCCTTGCTGTTCGTGGTGCTCCACCGTAGGCAGTGCGTCGAGATCCATGTTCATGTCGACCGGTCCGTTGGGCGTGAACGGCTCGCGTGGCTGCTCGTTCGGCTGCAAGTGAGTCTGTGGAATGAGTCTTTGGGGCTGTGTTGGGGGAAATGTGCAGACGGCAAGGCCGGATGCTAAGGAATCGGTGTCGCCGGGCCGGTGGGATGCTAGGTCATCGTCCACAGACGCAAACATGGAGCGCAGATCTGCAAGCTGCTCGTCAGCAAAACGAGTCATAGCAATGACGCCTAAAATCTCTGCATGGCAGCCAAGTGGCGCTAGGAGCAATCTAGCACGTGTGGGGCCTGGTCGGTCGGATTTGCTACCTTGCGCGTGTCGAGTGCTGGCAAGAGGAGTTGCAGCAAGTCTGCGGGATATGGCACGAACGAGAAGTGTGTTGCTACAGAGCGACAGGTCAACATCAGTGGTGAAACTGTGCTGATCTGTGCCATCTGCTGTTGTTGATGCGTTACCAGGCGTCGAGAAGAATGAAGCATCGGCAGTCGTGGACTTGATCAAGTCATCCCGACAGAGGGGCAGGAAGACGATCCTGTCGCCCAGTCGCAGCCTCCTGCGCTTGATTTGGGGTTGTGTACCGACCATTTCTGTCATGCCCGGCTCTTGGGGCTTAACTGGAAGGGCTGCAGATTGGTTCACGATTGAGTCGATCGCTCTTGCTTTGAGTGAGGTCATGAAACGCTTGTGCGCTGCCCTCTGCTCCGAAGTGAGGGAAGGCTCTTTGCCTTTGCGGTCGACAGGCGTCGACGTGGCGCTTGCGAGGGGGTAGGAGCCAGTGCTAGTGTCCGCAAGTAGAGCAAGACGAGCCATGGCTTTGGCAACGTCAGACGACAAGTGACGGGCAACGGTTGGGTCGAGAATCGAGACAAGGTGTGTACTCGAGCCACGCTTGACCCCATCTTTTGCTGAAGACTCGGCCTTGGGTGTGGTAATGTCACCAGATTGTGCCCTTGTGGAGCTGGTAGCATCTGCGATCGCGTTGGTCGCCTTACTCGGGGCTTCGGTATCTTTGGTGATGGCAAGGAAGAGCCACAGATCTGCAATTGCACAGCGTGATGGTGCATCGAGGCGATGTGCGGCAGTATCGTTAGATGATGGGTTTGCTGAGGATGTGTAGACGAGAGGTCCGCCGCCCAATAGACGCTTGAAACCTGCATTCTCAGGTTGACTCGAGGTGTCAGCAGCTTGCGAGCGAGCCCTTGCCTTGCGAGCGGCTGCGAGTACTTGTGCAATGCCGAGGTCCCATGCTGACTTGAGCTCTTCGAGGGAGCGTGCAGACGAGGTAGCGGCTGTCATGATAGCATCTTGCTGTCCGGCCTGGTGATCTGAGACAGAAGCTGGTTGAGGGTTGCGCCTTGATAGATGCAGCCAGTATACGTGGGTGTCGGCCGGAAAAGGTACCTTGGCCAACGAGGTAGGAGTGAGAGTTGTGAGCGAGGGAAGGTGCTGTATGGATCTATGTTGCGCAGAGAGGCTGTTAGGAGGAGCAGCAGATCGAGGTGCTGATACTGTTCCCGGGAAAGAAGCGACATTGGCGAATGGACGCGGAAAGGCTGGGCTGCTCGAAGGTGAGGCATGCTGAGCTGGACCTAGGCCGCCGATACGACGATGACCTGATGGGCTGTTGGCGAGGCTAGCATGGCGAGCATGAGGGGCAAACGCGCCCGGTGTATGAGCCATATTGCTGTGACCAGCACCTCCACCATGGGCTGTCGAGGTGGAGGCTTGGTTCGACATGGTGGTTGTGGTGGTGGTGGTTGTACTGCTAGCTCAGATTGACTTGCACATTGGATAGGGTCGTGGACGCAATTAATGGTCGAGATCTAGCGAGGCTACGAGACTCTCAAGCAGCTGCTGAAGGCGTTCGCTCTTGGGGTGAAGTTAAGGTTTTTGCATCGGTTGGTTGCTTGACGTTCCTTGGTTTGTCCGCGAAGCTGGTGCGAGCTTCTTTCGACGATGTATGGTGCGATGGTTGATGGACGATGCTGGCGGTGTCGTCTGCGTTTGCTTTGGGGCGCCAGGATGATGCTGAGCAGCTTTATTGTAACATTGATGTTGCCCGTAGGCTGCAGGCCGAGTCGAATATGCGTGTCTGTCTCCAGTCGCAAGCCCGAGGGGCGGTTGAGGGGTTGCAAGCTTGAATTCGAGTGGTTTGCGAGATCGCTTATCTTCAGAGATCGGGCCCTCGAGGCTGCTCTTCCCGATTCCAAGCCACGTGCTTCAACCTTTTCTTTACAGCGAGAGACGCTGCAATTTCGAACGATTATTTTGGCCATTTTTTTGAAGAGCAATTTGAGAACTCGACTTGCAACTGGTGTATAAAATTGGCCGACTCGTGTCTGTCGCTTTTCGATTCAAGTAGGTCGTGTGCTGCGTTTCAGTGGCGAATTGGAAAATCTTGCACCGATGTCTCCCGATTGCAGCAACATGTCCGAGATCAGCAGAGCGATTTGTGACGAGTCTGCCTAGCGCCCTCGTCGAAGAGTGGCGGTGTAGAGAAGCAACATTGCATCGCGCGGGCTTGCTTGTTGGCCAGGCCTTTGGTCAGCAATCTCGAACCCCTTCTGTCTCTCTGTCTGTCATTCTCGGTGTTTGGATCGGCTGAAAGTGAGGATCTGTATCGTAGAACGGCCTCTTGTTGATGGCTTGCAGAGAGCGGGGAGGATGCTCGAGCTCGATGTTTCATCATGCGATAGAAAGTCCGATTGGGCGTGCCAGCGTTGCAAGCCATTTGGAGAGGGCGCCAAGTGGCAAGATCAACAGGTCCTTGCTGCAAATACGAGAGGTTTGCTCGATTTGCTCAGGTTACTGAACTTGTCCTCAAAGCGAGCACGAGCAATCGTCAGGCATGCTAAACTCTATACACAGATCGATGGGGGTTGGATCTGTTTGGATGACTGTGTATCCGAAGTGTGCCCATAGACTCGATTGTCGGAGCCGATCTGATTGCGACAAAGGGCAGCACGTCGACTTTACAGCTAAGGAGTAAAGAGCCTTCCGCCGAGAAGCGAGACAAGCAGCTGTGCTTTACCGATGCTTGATGGACTGCGACCGAACCTTTCTCCTGTAGGCGGTGCAAGCGAGAAGTCTCAACATGACAAAGGAAAGAAGCATGGGAGCGGTTGTACCCCCGCGCAAAGCGTTGTCATGAATGTCGAAGGCAAGAGCGGTGTCTGGCTGATATTGCGCCAAGGACAGAGGTCTGTGCTGCCTCACGATGCAACGTTGGAACCCCTCGTCATGGCAAAGAAAGGATGGCTTGGCAATACAGTATCCATTCTTGCCAAGATAGCAAGACGAACCAGAGCCAAGCTTCTTGTTGACCGCTTAGGCCGATGACCAACAGCACTAACGACATCCACAACACTGTGTCGACGCCAAACAACACCATGATCATCTTTTTCGCTCTTTCATCTACTGTGATACACCCCTATGCGGGGAGCTGAAAGGAAAGGTTCTTGCAGACGAGCTTGCAGAGAGGGAGCATGTATCAGCCTTTGCCGACCTTCTTGCCCGTTGATTCTCTCACATCACACATGCTAGAGCTTTCTATAGCAGCAAAGCCTATCGTGTGAGATACAGCCATGATCGAGCTTAGAGTTAGATCCGCCGGGTGTCGGACAAGCCGAAAAGATGACGGACAAGCCGAAAAAGATGACAAGCTCGAATCTGTTTCGTTCAGATTCAAGTCAGCTGTGCTCCTTATTCCGATTCGCTCTTTGAATGTGGTCAGGCCTAGTTGCCTGAGAGGGCGTTCAAAGTGGAAGAGTGAACCGTCGGCAGAGCATGCCGAAAGGATGTCGAGGAAAAAGGCGCTAAACACCAATTTGGCAATCTGAGCTCCATCTCTTTCGAAAAAAAGGGACACGACTGGTACATTGCAAGTCATCATCATCATCATTGTTGTTGTTGTTGTTGTTGTTGTTGTTGTTGTTGCTGCTTGAAACGGGCAGGCTTGAAATCGCGGTCGTCGCTTTCACAGCATGCGCTAAGGCGGGGACTCAATCCCAAACGTTTGAAACGTATCTACTTTCAAAGATTGACTCCAGGCACACTTGGTCCATCCATCCATGACTGCTGCCGGTCTCGCACACAATAGATGTGCTGCGAGTATGAACGTTGCTTCCTTCTAGTCTCTCGCCTATCCATCAACCAACTATCGTTGAGCTGAGGGGCGAAATGTCTCAGTGTTGTAAGAAAGGGTTTGCATTTTGTGTGTGTCTGAGTGTTGGCTGCAGTGTGTTACTATTATTACAGTGCCTCGCTTCGGTAGGCAACTGCCTCGCCTCTGCGTCCTTTGTGTGTTCCTTTTGTGTGTTCCTTTCTGTCCTCTGCACGATCTGCACATAACCAACGACATGCTGAATTAAGTCTCTGTGGAAATTCCATTCAAAGAGGAATAGAAAAATAACTCAAACTAACCGTGGCGCTCTCTGATGTGACGGCGGAAGAGCCGAAACTGTGACTGCAGCAAGCATGGTCTTGGTCTTCTTGGTTGGTGTTCCATTCGCCAGATGCACTACTGTAGCGCGCCGACTGCTTTAGTGCCTGTCGATGCATGAGATGCGCCTCGGTTGCAATGTTGCAATTCCTCGCCAAACTCACACACGCTGAGAACACACGCCGAGAACACTCACCGAGAACACTCACCGCGCAGAGAGAGAGAGAGAGAGAGAGAGAGAGATGCCAAGCCGAGTTTTGTCGATCATCGCAAATCACTCTTCGCTTCTGCCTCTTTCTGCCTCCTTCTGCCTGGAAGATTGCTGCTCCGTCATTCAACACCGACGAAACGGCATCTCTGACCGAGCAGCAACAACTGCTCTTGTGCCTTTGTATGGCTCTACACCAGTCAGTGTTGGTTGTGTGAATGATAGAGAAAAGGAGCGTTCCTCTTTGAGCTTGGGCTTGACTGCACTGCTCTGCCCTTTGTCTGTCTCTTTGTTCCTGCGCTACTCCCTCTCTCTGCTTCTCTTTTCCTGCCTTGTCGATCCCTTCCGCCTGTTGGTTTGGTCCCGCTCATCGATCCTCTCAAATGTTATCATTCACCTTCTCTATCCATCTCTCCTCTCCATTCTCTTCCCCAATCCTCCCTCCTCTCCACATCATCTTTCTCCTCTCTCTTCTTTTCACCAACCCATCCCATCCCATCCCATTCCCCCTATCGGACGTGGCTTTGAGAGCTCACGACGATCCCATCATCACCTTCTCTTTTCCAACAACAAGGACACAGTCCCAGCTCCATCTCGACTTGGACCTATTCCACTTCAATCACTAACAGCAGCAGCAGCATTAGACCAGCTACGACAGCATCATCATCTCATCCTAGCAACTCGCCCATCCGCATCGTGTTTCCATCCAATCGCATTCCAACGTGATCTGCATTTCATCCACCCCAAACACCTCACTCTCCCATATACATAGACATTCACCATGCGCTTCTCACTACAGCTCTTGGTCGCCGCCTTTGCCGCCCTCCTCTGCGCCGTCTCCTCTACCGAGGCCAAGCTTTCGCGTGGTCTCGCCTGGGGTGTCAACGACAACTACGGCCCTCGTATCGCAAAAGGTCTTGTCAAGTGGTATTGGCACTGGCAGGATGGTCCCAACCCCAAATTCGAGGGTAAGCTCCACTGGGTTCCTTGCTTCTGGGGTCCCAAGTACTACTCGCAATGGAACCAGCGTAAGCAGGAGATGAAGGGCAACCTCCCCAAGCACATCCTCAGCTTCAACGAGCCCGAAATCGCCGGTCAGTCCAATCTCGACCCCAAGTACGCCGCCAAGCTTCACATGAAGGAGCTTCAACCTTACGCTCGCAAGGGTGTCAAGATCAGCTCCCCGCAGATGGTCTACAAGACCGAATGGCTTCAGGAATTCATGAACGAGTGCAACAAGCTCGGATGCACGATCGACTTCATCGCTATCCACTGGTACGGCACCACCCGCGACATGGCAAAGTTAAAGAAATGGATCAAGACCATCCACAAGCGCTTTAACAAGCCCATCTGGGTCACCGAGTACGGTATCACGGCCGCTTCCGGTTCCAACATGAACGCTATCAAGAAGTTTCACATGGATGCTACCGCATGGATGACTTCGGTCAAGTACGTTGAGCGTGCTGCTTGGCTTGGATGCTTCGAGATCGACAACCCTCCTGACTCGTACGCCAACCACAAGAACGCTTTCCTCAACGCCAACGGTTCTCTTCGTGACATTGCCTATTGGTACCTCTACTCGCACAGGCCTGTCAAGCGATCCACTCACTCCAACCGTGCCTTGCCCACTTTGCACCTTGCTCGCCGCGCTGTCACCCACAAGGACGAGGAGGGCAACGTCATTGTCGATGACGAGGATGTCTTTGAGGAGCCTACCAACATTGTCGAGTGCGACGAGTACTGCCAAGCACGCGACAAGGCTATCGCCGAATACGAGGCCCAGAATGGAGCCATCTCTGATGAAGACGAGCTGGATGACGAAAACGAGGCCGAAGATGAGGAATAAGATGCTCTTTGCTATCTCTATCTCTATCTCCCGTTGTCACCAACCTGATTTCCCGCTCTAAAGTACAACATCGAATCCTTGTCACGGGTCATATATCATCGATCAATCGTTCCTCATCGCTCTTCTCCTTCATCATTGCTCTCTCCACTTGAAACCTCGTAGTTGGGTGCCGGCACTCCACTCGATCCTCCTTTCTTCTTCACTCTTCATCAACCACTACATGACCCGGCATCGTTTCGTTTCCAGTTTCTGTTTCCCGTGTATTGTCCCTTGTCTCTATTTTTGTTTCATGTCTGTTCTAAGGTGGGGTGGCGCGTAGATGATCGCCGGTTCGGTCAGTCCTCGTACCTCACTCTTCTCTCTCTCTCTCTCGAAAAGGAGATGCAAAGGTGCTAGAGAGGAAACCGGCTTTTCCTTTTAGTTGACTGTTCGAGATCAAACTTGTTTCTGTTGGTAGTTCTTGTGTAATCTTCTGCCAGAGATTAACAGATACTTTCTTAGCATTGATCGTCGGCTATTCGGTCTTTGTTCTTTTACCTCTTCGAATTCATTTCTTTTTTCCCTCCCCCCCCCCCCCAACTTTGCTTCAGACTGTGTGCCTGCCGATTGTCATCGAGATGAAGGAAGATTTTCCCGTCTTCATCATTGAGTCGAATGAGTTGGCTCATTCACTGTCAACTTGCACTAACTATGCCTCGGACACAAGAGTTCGAGAGCCATGGTAGCTGCTGCCATTCTGACTAGCTCATCGGCTTCTATGAAGTGATCAGGAGAAAGACTTGAACCGAGTCAAGGCTCTTATCAATCGCTCTCACACGACTACACTCCTCCGCCTTTCTTGCCGACAGTGTGTTCTTGACGAAGACATCCAATATTTCCAATCATTCAGACCCTTCCAGGAGGACAGGCAGTCTTGCAAAGTTACGTCTGTTTGTCACTGTGGATGGCCGAGCACAAAAAAAAAAAAACAAAAAAAAAAAAAAACAAAAAAAAAAAACAAAACAAGGCAGCAGTGCCAGTCAAACTCGATTCCTCCACTCCGACTTTTGGTTGGCTCGATTTTCTTGGCTTCTGAGGTCGCAACGATCCTCCTCTCTCAAAAGGCTCTCTCAAAAGGCTGGAATAAGGCAAGAAGGAGGAAAAAAAGGATTTCATCGGCCAATCCGTCATCTCGCCGGAGGGTGCATATCCAAAAGCCCTAAAGCTGTTCTTACGCTGTAAGCGATTTCAAGGCACCAGTCCACCATCTTGTCCCTTCTGCCCATCTTGACTTGCTCAGACCGAGATTCGATGCCCCTCTGACACCAACGCTCGCATTGCGTGCTTCGTTGCAACTTCACTTTCGCAACTCTTCCTCTTCTTTCGTAAGCGGCACCGAAGCGTAGACGCGGATCTAATCCGATCTTTGCATACAAGTGGAACCGGAACACCCGACTCGGCTAACCGCCTTGAACACAACATCACAAGCCATCACCCACGCCAAGAAAGACTATCGGAACAAAAGCACATGCTCAGCACCATTGCGCATCTTGTTTTCGTTGCATTTCATCTCATCGGCTCTCCATCGTCGGCTCTCCATCATCGGCTCACATCCGAACAATCTTAGTCAAACGTTCGGCAAGCTTCCGACAGATTCGACTTCATCACACCGCATCGGCTTCCCATCCGACTGTGGGTTCAGCCTCTCCCACTATGCCATCCGCAGCATTACCAGGCGGTGGTCCAGCACCGCTCATCACCCTCAAGACCCACCCACCACTTCCCTCCTTCGCCATCCCCCATCGCCTCCCCGACCCATCCATCGAAATCTCCTCCTTCAAACTCTCCATCCTCCGCATCCTAACCGGTCAAACCAACGCCTCCTCCTCCACCAAACCACTCACATTCTCCGAACAAGTCAAAGAAAAAGCCATAAACGGATGGAAGATGCAAATGCTCACCCTCGAACTCATCCAGCATGACGACCTTCAATCCGAACAACACAACCCTCCAACCCAACAGCAACAAATAAAAGGTTTCCAACTACAAGACCATCACGAATGCAGCTTAATCGAACAAGGAGATATGATTCTTGTCCGACTCAAGCAGGCGCATGCAATAGAAGAGTTGGAGCTGCCAGAGCTCGGAGAAGCGCATAGCTATTCTGCTCCAGCAGGTTCGCTGACCAGGGCCGGCACATTGAGTCAACCACCACCCTATGAGATCATACAGCCTTCCGAACCAAGCTCCTTTTCCAGCTCCGTGGGAGCTCAGCCAAATGCCAATTATCATCAACATCGCTATCAGGATTATAGGTCCACTTTTAGGGTCCTCACGGCGAACAATGTTGGGTCGGGTCACATGAGGCGCAATACGCCGAGTAATACTGGCTATGCAGGTAACGCAGCTGGAGCGCTAAGCCAAGGCTTGAAGAATTTGCAAAGTTCGTCGGCAGCGGGCAAGAAGGATGCTCCCAAGGCGAAGAGGAGAGCTTCGGCGACTGCGACAGCTACAGCGATTACTAAGCCCAGTGCTAGTCCCACCGTCGATCAGCAACATGTTATTTCACCACCACTTTCACCTAGCTTGCATTCCGCTGCTGCTACACTGCTTCCGGCAACGAGTAGGAATAGTAGCTCCGTTGTCACTGTACAGGCTAATCCTCGTCCTACTGTGGGCGGTGCGCTCGGATCATCCTCCTCTCCAAACCCGAACGCAAAGTCAGGGGGTCAATTCGCAGGACTGCCACCAACAGCACTAGTTATCGGTCCAGGAGTTCAAGGTCAAGTCGGACGAAACCCATCGAGTGTTAATGCTCCAATGGGTGCTTCCGGTCCCGCCGAACTGCAATATGGAAATGCTAGCGGATTTGTCAACTTCACTTCTGCTGGTGTGTGGAAATCCAAACCTAAACCTAGTAGACAGGCTAGTCAAGAGTTTTCCTCCGACAGCAACCTACTGGATAGTAGTGAGGCCAGAAGGAGACCCTCTAATCCGGGTGCGGCTGCTGCTGATGCGGCGGAGAAGCGGGCTGCTCTTGCTAGGCAGGGATCGGGTGAGGTAGTGAGGCCAGGGAAAGAGAGCCAAGTATCGGGAGGACGGATCAGTAAGAGCGACTTGCCTGCTACACCGCTCTTGCCGCCGATTCAGAATTTGGCGCCGTTCCCGCAGTTCGAAGACAGCCAGAGGAGGAGAGAACGAGATCTTCCGCCTATGCCCCACCCCGCGGAGGCGGATGGGACGATGGTCGCAGTCAGTGCTGCTACTGAGACCAAACCTCCTCGTCTCTCCTTCCTGCGAAAATACAGCACCGCAACTTCAGCGAGTAGAAATACGGATAGCGGACCTAGTTCCCCCGCTCAAGAACTATCACGTACTTACGGCTTTGGCTCCTCGAAACAGCCTCAGGCTACAGCTGTGCCGTTGGAAGAGATGGATTCTGCCATCAAGCCTGTTCTTGATGCTGAGAATCACAACCTCACTCGAGCAGAGAGGCGGTATCTAGAGGTGCAAAAGGCCTTGCAGGTGGAGAGGGAGAAGCAGGCTGAAGCGGAAAAGTTGAGGGCGGAGGAGATAAGGGCTTTGAGGGAAAGAAAAGAGAAGGAGAGGGAGAGGAAAGAGAGTGAAGCGAAGAAAAGGGCTGAGGAACAGAAGTGGGAGATGTGGGAAGAAGTTAGAAGGAGACAGAAGAGTGGGAATCTGGATAAGCCGTTGCCTCCGGGTATACAGAGGTTGTATAGTGGTGGAGAGGATAAGGGGAATGGCGGGAAAGGGAAGGGGGCTGCTCCGGTTGCTGCTCCTGCTATCTCTGTGGCTACTGCTGGATTGGGCGAGCTCAATCTGTCTTCTTCCCAAGACTCTGCCCCGGTAGCGGCGGGTAGGAATGTTGATGCAGGTGCCGCTTCTGGATCTCGTCTCGCAGCTCCAGCTCCACGCGCAGCCCTTCCTTCAGACAGCAACGGTTTGACAGGACAACGAATCGAACTAGGTCTCGAACGAATCACCCTTCTCCTCTCACGTCTCAAAAACCCTCACCGATCCTTCCCCGTCATTCACGTCGCAGGTACAAACGGTAAAGGATCTACCATCGCTTACCTCGATTCCCTTCTCCGGAACGCACTCGATATTCGCACTGGTACTTTCGTCTCACCTCACCTCATCGAGCGGAGGGACTGCTGCAAGGTGGATGGTCGCATCATCGACAAAAGCATTTGGCGACAGGCTCAGTCTGACGTGCTATTCGCCGATCAAGGATTAGATATCCCCGCGACTACTGAGGACAATGGTCAACCACTCAAAAGCTCCCCCTTTGAGCTGCTCACCGCGCAGACTTTCCAGGCATTTTCATTGCTACCCGAAGCTGAAAGGCCAGAAGTGCTTCTGATCGAGGTAGGACTAGGTGGGAGGTTGGATGCGACAAATGTATTCGAAGAGAGTCAGGTGTTGGCTAGTGTAATTTGTCCTATTGATCGCGATCACGAAGCTTTCCTCGGGAGTAAACTTGAAGGTATCGCAAGAGAGAAAGCAGGAATTGTAAAAGATGGAGGATTATGCATTATCGCAGATCAAAGATTGCATGATCCTTCACCCATCGACCAACTCGCTTTGGGCCCACTGGAGAACGAGACGAAGCAAATAGGTGCTAGAGCAGCTGGCATCCTCGATTCTATTCGAAACGTGTGTATGTCACGCAACGCCCGACTCGTTAAGACTTATATCCCGTGGAAGCTGCTTTCCCTCCCACCAACCAAGCAGGCCAAGTGGGGAAGTTCGGTAGACTTTACACCAAAGCTGGCGCCCACGCTGTTTTTATCGACTTCTGGATTGAATCCTCCATCGACGTTCGTGGCTCATCCGCATGATCCAGTGATGTTCAGCGTTCCGGTATCTATTGAACGGACCAGAGCGAACTTGACGGGTGTATGTATGACAGTTCAGACCCTCTCTTCCATCGCGCGGGACGAATGGGCGGAGGATCGATGGGAAGATCTCCGAACGCGTATCATGTGGGGTCTTCGCGATGATCCAGAAGCAAACCTGCGTGTTCGGGAATCTCTTAACGCTGTAAAGTGGGCTGGGAGATGCAGCTGGTTCACCGTTGGCGGACGGGAAGTGTTGATAGATGGAGCGCACAACGAGTCTTCTGCCATCGCACTTAGGGAGTACATTGATAACTGTCTTTCCTCTCGCTCTCTCTCGCTTGGGAGGGGAAGCCAGTTTGAAGTGACGTACATATTCGCCTTCTCCGAGGGCAAAGATTACGAATCGATGGTAAGAGCAATGTTGGAGAACCCGCCGGATTTGGTTGAAAGGCAGAATGTAGGATTGACGGTGTTCAGTCCTCCGGAAGGGATGCCTTGGGTGAGAAGTGTTGAGGCGAGAGATGCGTTGGCGACGTTGAAGAAGGTTAGTCGAGAGGTGGATGTTGGGGAGTTGAGGACTTTTGAGTCCATCAAAGAGGCGATAGAGTGGGCTGGTGCAGGTGGGAGGACAGGGGGAAGTGGGAAGGGTAGGGAAGACAAGAAGGAAAGGGGCCCGATTGTGGTAGCGGGAAGTTTGTATTTGGTGGCTGATATGTATCGATACCTGCAGAGCCTAGGGCTGTATACGGAGTAAACCAAGCATGTATGATGGGAGTGGAAGAAATGAAGAAGCTGATCACAAAGGAGATGACTTTGAATGGCGTGTGATGATGTGTACGGGTAAGACTGTTGCCTTAGGCCCGGTGAGAGCCGATGATTGTGAAGGTACCTCATTACAATAGCGAGCTGTTACTTGCTGGGTGGGGCGTATCATGCCTTACATGCGAGTGTCTAGGTTCGATCATTGCGACCTAGCTCAAGTTGTCACCTTGATGATGTTGCGCTTGGCAACAATCGGTGGATCAGCGCCCTTTCTCCTTTTCGCTCTTTGTTGGGCTGTGCGAACCCGAGCGGATGAGTAACATGAAGGTGAGACTTCATTTGGTGGCGAAGAATGCGAGAAATCAGCAACCACCACCACCACCACTGGCTTGAATGATGAAGAACGTATGGCCCACTTTGCTTCTCAGGCGGCTTTCGCCAGAGGTGTTCATCTCGACTCCGATTGGGTCTCACACTGTGACTGGTCACACGAACGTGCGCTGGCTTCAGATGAAAGCTGTCACACAGATGAAAGCTGTCACACGGTGGATGTTTCACTCAGTAAAGGAAAGGAAGAGCAATGAGAACAAGGATTGATATCAACAGACGTCGTTTCGTCTTCCCCTCCTCTTTCTCTTCCACTCACCACCATCAACACTTTGTGATTGGTGTACACACTCGTTTTTTTTTCTTCTCATTCTCTTGTCACAGTCACTCCAGCCATGCGGGTGGCATCACTAAGCCTTCCTCTGCTCCTGCTACTTCTCTCGCCTAACCCTGCTCTAGCCGATAAGCACAACCTAGTCTGTCCCCTAACCTACTCCCCCGAATCGCAGCTCCTCACAGCCTCAGTCTCGATCGGTACCCCTGCCTCTACCTACAATTTAGTCGTCGACACCGGATCGCCATTCTTCGTGATCCAGTCCGGCAGCTTCCACTCCACCTCATCCACATATGACCCTGACCCCACCTCCGATGGCGTTGAGATGGGAGGAGGGTATATGACCACCAACCCGGACCCGAGGAAAGATGCTGGACCCGTCAAACCGAAGATGAAGTTCATGCTCGATACAGGCTTTCTCAACGAAGGTAGTGGGCAGAGAGCTGGGGGTGGCGCTATGGGAGGGAACCTTACCATTAGCTTGAGTGACTTGGGAGGACAGTTGAAAGGTGCGAATGGAATTTTGGGTTTGAGTCCTTCTATGGATCATATTTCTCAGCCGCCTATGTCGCAGAAAGGGCAGCGGCACAGGCATAATACCGCAGCTCAAGGACAAGAGGCAGGGCAGGCTGAAGATCCGTCTTTCCTTCATTCTTTTCTGTCTTCTGATCATAAAGAAAAGTTGGGTATGAAGGGGGATAGCCACTTCTACCTTGCCTTTAGCCCTAGCAACCCTCCGACAGGAGAACTTGTGTTTCCTCTCTCGGGCGACTCCCTACCTCGTTCGATCCCCACGTACTCTTATGGGGATGCTATAGCTATCGACCCTTCCAGCGGCTCCACCTACCCTGCCCACCCGTTCTGGGGCTTAGCTCACCGCCGCGATCTCTCCTTCTTGATGGATTCTGCCATCGTTCCCGACATCCAAATTGATGCACTTCTCTTTGATTCCGGAACATCTGGCATCATCGCCCCTCCCAGCGAAGTGGAAAAAATCTTCAAGGCTGCTAAATCTCGCATAAACACCATCCCGCCTCCCAAAGGATCAGGCGTTATCACGGGGCAAGCCAAATGCAGCGAAGGGTTGAAATTTGGTTTTGGTATCGGGGATAAACAAGCATCATTCCTCAGCATTCGACCAAAAACTTCCGACCAGCAAATGGGGGCAAATAGAATGAGGTATAGCGAAGCTGACACTTCTGAAGCAAGCGAGAATCCCTTACTAATATGGAAGAGTTACATTGATGCAGGCGTAAACGTCTACCTCTCCGGCCTCCAGAACACTTTGGGTTTGATTTCCGTTAATCTGAAGAAACGACACATGGTGAAGTTGATGAAGAGAGAATTCTTCATGTTGCTGGGTAAAAAAGTTCCTTTTACCCCCCCTCCTCCTCCCCGGGCTAAATCGCCTCCAGCTTCGGAACCGAAAGCTAAGAGTGACGCGAAGGACCTGTCTTCCCAGGACAACGTGGTGAAGTTGAAGAAGAGAGAATTCTTCTTGCTCAAGTTACTGGGTCAAAAAGTTCCTGTTTTCCCTCCTCCCCCGGCTAACCCGCCTCCAGCTCCAAAACCGAAAGTTCAGAGTGGCGGAGAGAGGCCATCTTCCCAGACCAACAATGGAGGGCAAGTGGAAGATATGTGCGAGGTAACGTTGGTCGGTTCTCCCCAAGTGGAACAAATGTTTCCTGCCAATGGTAAGGATTTCAAACCTTGGATTTTGGGGATGGAATTCTTTCAGGAGAATCTGATGTATTTCAACCTAGATAGCGCACAGACTGTTATTGTGCCTAGGAATGAGTAGAGGTGGAGATGGTGGTCATGACGAGAGGAGGAAGGCAGAGAGGCAGGGAAAGAGGGGGTTCTGGTTTGCGGTTTGCGGTTTGCGGTTTGCGGTTTGCGGTTTGCGGTTTGCAGTTTGGGTTTTGCGTTTTACTGTCGTTACATGGTTACGTTTCGGCGCTGCTATCAAATTTGTTCGCTTCGATTTCTGCTCGTTCCACTTGGTTGCTGTGAGCTCGAATGAGACCTTGTTCGTTGACGTTGAATAGCCTTGCGTTGAGCCGAACGCGCAGAAGCTGTGCTTGAGTGATTTGCAAGCAAGCATATCACACACAGTGACATGATTGTGATTGTGCAGAGATCTGAGATTGACAGAGTTTGGCTTTGTACAAGTTACAGGATCGAATGTTGGGAGCTTGACCGCTTAGGACATCTTGGCAACACATCGAATGCACTCTCCCAGCTTCATATACTCGAAACCCTTGTTGATGTTGTCAAGATCGATGGTATGAGTAATGTAGTCATCGACCTTAAAAGTTCCGTTCATATACCTATCCACGATACCAGGCAGCTCGGTCCTACCTTTGACACCACCAAATGCACTTCCCTGCCACTTCCTACCCGTGACCAACTGGAAGGGCCGAGTTGCAATCTCCTGCCCAGCAGCGGCAACACCAATAACGGTACTGACGCCCCAACCCTTATGACAAGCCTCGAGCGCGCTTCTCATCACCTTGACATTACCGGTGCAATCGAAAGTGTAATCCAGTCCACCATCGGTGATTTCGACCAGGTGCGAGACAATGTCTTTACCCTCACCGAGCTTTGTAGGATTGATGAACTCGGTCGCACCGAACTTCTTGGCCCAACTCTCTTTTTGATCGTTGGTGTCAATTGCAATGATCCTGCTGGCTCCAGCATCGACAGCACCTGTGATAACAGCAAGACCAACACAACCAAGACCAAAGATAGCAACATTGCTACCCTTCTCTACGTTGGCAGTGTGAGTAGCCGCACCCCAACCGGTAGTTACACCACAGCCCAACAAACAAGTCTTGTCCCTAGGAGCCTTAGGGTCGATGGCAACCAAACTGTACTGCGAGACAACAGTGTACTGACTGAAAGTGGAACAACCCATAAAGTGGTAGAGTTCTTTACCCTTGCAAGAGAAACGCTTGGACTTGTCAGGCATAACACCTTGACCCTGAGTAGCACGAACAGCTTGGCAGAGGTTGGTCTTGCCAGATTTGCAGAACTTGCACTCGCGACATTCGGCAGTGTAAAGAAGGATGACCGAGTCACCTTGTTTGACGTGGGTTACGCCTTCACCGACGGATTCGACGATCCCGGCTCCTTCGTGACCAAGGATGGCAGGGAAAGCTCCTTCGGGGTCGGATCCGGAAAGAGTGTAGGCGTCGGTGTGACAGAGACCAGTGTGAGTGATTTGCACTCGAACTTCACCGGCGCGAGGGGGCTGGACTTGGATTTCTTCAATCGACATGGGCTTGGCGGCTTCCCATGCGACGGCGGCTTTGCATTTGATTATTTCGCCTTGGGTCATTGTTGCGGTCTCGTTGAATGGAGGGGAGGAAATGTGGGTGGGTGAGATGATGTTGGTGGTGTGAGAGAAAGAGGAGGAGGGTGAGGTGGAAGAAAGTGTTTTCTTGCGCTTTGAAGAATGACTGATGTGGCTCGAGATGTCGTGTGTGTAGCAGCAGTTGGCAGAGATGACTGAGCGCAAATACGCCTTGAGCACAGAAGAGAGAGGTGCTATTTAGCAGCTCTTGCGCCGCTCTCCTTGGCAAAGGTGGAGGCCAAGGAGAGAAAGCTGTGAGATGGCATCCATGATTTCCGCTGTTCTGTTGCTAGGTTTGAGTGTCAACCGAGTCTCGCACGATTCGCGGTCAGCTCTTCCGCTTTTCGGCTCTGGTGTCCGAATCTGAATCGGGTCAAAGAAAAGGGGGGGGGGAGAGGGGGGAGGGGGGAGGGGGGAGGAATCGGGTGATGGACGCGCGTGGCGGTCGAGGTGTGTTGCGTGTTGTTCTCTCCACTTTCAAGCTTTCCTTTTGGTGCTCCCACGGTTCATCCGACGCCTGTCATCACCCTAATCATCCTTCTGAAGGATCACACCTCCTTTCCGCGGCGCAATCACATCGATAACGACAACCAGACGGCTAAGCCGACAGGGAACGGAGAGAGTCCCACCCAAACCTTGAAAGATCACACGCCTCTGTGGCTTGGTGATTCGCACACTCGATCCTTCGATAGATGGCGCAAAGCAAGCCCAGCTCGACTCGAAGCCGACTCAGCTTTCCGTACCGAAGAGCAAGTTTACCACTGTCCAGCCAACGCTAACGGCCTCTATTCTCAAATCACACTGAAACGGACGAACTGCTTGCAAGGATGGAGGCAATGCGCCGAAAGATCATGGAGGAGCAGCTCGCTGCTATCGAGCAAGCGACGAGACAGCAGGAGCGGGAACAGTCTGTTGCTCCTACTTGCGCATCCTCGAATCCTGCCGTCTCCTCTCTTCCGCATCGTAACAAGCACGCTCCACCGCCAAAAGTAAAATTGTATCATCCTCCTCTGCTCCCATGCATTCCTCCCAACTCAGCATCGCAATCCAGCAGCACAAACTCTACTACACCGAGCAGAGGTATAGGCTCACGAGCAGATCCTATTGTCTTTGCTCAACCTTCTCCCATGGGAGCTAATCGTGCGAATCCCTTCCAAGCGGCACCTACTTTATCTCACCCACATCCAATTCCCCCTCGACCTCTCACAACCTCGAGCTACGCGGCGTCACAACCATTCCGCTCGCCGAACTCCAAGTCCTCTCAGCTCCCTTTCATCTCTCCTAAGCAGACTCCTCCTCCACCACCACCACCGCCACCACCGCCACCACCAACACTGAACAACAACAACCCCTTCTATCAACCGCCTGTCTCACATCTGCCTTTGGCGTACTCATCACCCTCAAAGTCAAGAAGCAAAGTAGCTTATTCGCAATCGCAATCGCAATCGCTCTTTATGAGTCAAGAGTACGAACCCACGACTTACCCCAATGACGCGGCTGTCGTTCCTACTATAGATGCTGCTACCCGTGACAAGCAGATCCAGGATCTGCTATCCAACATGGTCAATGTCACCGAGTTGTCCGAAGATGCGAGGACTAGTGCCACTATTCCTGGTCTCAAGTGTATCTTATTGCCTCATCAGGTGCAGGGCGTTACGTGGATGCGCGAGCGGGAGAAGGGTGCAGCCAAGGGCGGAATTCTTGCCGATGACATGGGTCTGGGAAAGACGGTGCAAACCTTGGCACTCCTCGTCTCGAATCGTCCAGGTCAAGATGCTTCCACCATTGATCTCGAGGTGCCTTTGGAGCCTTCAAAGCGTGCCAACAAGGCGCCATCGGCTGCTGCAGCAAAAGCGACAGCCAACAAAGCAATGCAGCAAACGCCTGAAACTCTGTCCCGTCTAGAGCTGGCTTCCAAGACCACCCTCATCATCGCTCCGCTCGCCGTCATCAAGCAGTGGGAGCGCGAAGTCGCTGAAAAGACTGATGCTGGTTTAAAGGTCTACCTCTACCACGGACCTTCTCGTTCCAAGAAGGCTTCTCACTTCAACAAGTTCGACATTGTCATCACCACCTACACTACCGCAGCGAGCGAATACAGCAACTACATGTCCAACCTCGAAGCTCTGGCCAAAGGCACCGCACCCTCCGCTGCAGTCGCTTCCTCGTCCTCATCCAAGTCTAAATCGAAAGCAAAGCCCAAGTTTAAGCCCAAGAATGGCTCTCTCGTCAACCATCGCTCAACCCAAGCCGACTCTGACGCAGAGTCTGGTTCTGAGAACAAACCTATGGAGATCCACTCGGCAGATTCGGAAGACTCGTTCGCGGATCCTGTAACGCCGCCGAAAGCGGTCAAGAAAGTCATGCCTACTCCTCTCTTTGAGGCTCAGTGGCTCCGTATCGTCTTAGATGAAGCGCAAAACATCAAAAACCACAAAGCAAAGTGCTCTCGTGCTTGCTTCTTGCTTGCAGCTAACAGTGTCTCGCGATGGTGTCTGACGGGTACGCCGCTTCAGAACGATGCCTACGAGATGTTCTCCCTCATTCACTTCCTGCGTGTTCCACCCTTTGACGACTTTCAGCACTTCAAGGACAAGATCGGCGAACCGCTCAAGGCGACCAATCAGACCAGAGTCAATTGGGGTATGAAGCGGCTTTGCTTTGTGCTTCAGACCATCATGCTTCGTCGTACCAAGGAGGCCAAGATGGAAGATGGCAAATCGATTCTCAACCTGCCCAAGCGAAACCTGGAGTTGATCGAGCTTGAGTTTGATAGTCCGCAGGAGAAGCACTTTTACGTCGGATTGCAGGAAAGGATCAAGCAGGCGTTTGAGAAGGAGGAAGAGCAGCAGAGGTTGACGGGTAAGAAGTCCAATATGATCGCTTCCTTGGTGTTGCTCTTGAGGTTGAGGCAAGCGTGTAGTCATCCCGCGATGGTGACGGGCAATTTGAGGGTTGATGCTGGTGCGATTGGGACTGCTGCTGCCAATGGGGATGGAGCGAAGACTGCCAAGGGGAAGCAAGTAGCCGAAGAGGATGACGATGACGATGACGATGATGATGGATTGGCAGCTATGCTTTCCAGTCTTAGTGTTGCTCTCAAGCGGTGCGATCAATGTAATGTCGAGCTGCCTCGTAATCCTCCGGCTGTCGACGAGAACACGCTGATGGCAGCAGTTAACCCAGCGCTCGCTAACCGCAAGCTCTGCACCGACTGCACACGAGTGGCATCCAAATGCTCGCAAGACCTCTTCGCGACCTCGTTCGGATCCACCAAGATCCGCAAAATGCTCTCCATCCTCTCTGCAATCCGTCAAGCCGATAAAAGCGAAAAGACCATCGTATTCTCCCAATTTACTTCCTTCCTCAACATTGTCGAGCCACACCTTCGTCAACATCACTTCAACTACGTCCGGTACGACGGCTCAATGAAACCGCAAGATCGTGAACAAGCGCTCGAGAGAATCCGTTCCGATCCTTCGATCACCGTCATCCTGATCTCCTTCAAGGCAGGAAGCACGGGCTTGAACTTGACCAGCTGCAGCAGGGTCATATTGATGGATCTTTGGTGGAACCCTCAGATCGAAGAACAAGCTTTCGATCGTGCACATAGGTTGGGTCAGCAAAGGGATGTGACAATCTACAAGTTGAGCATTAAGGACACGGTGGAGGAGAGAATCTTGAAGTTGCAGGAGAAGAAGAGAGCTCTGTCGAAGGCAGCACTGGAGGGAAGCAAGCTGGTGAAGGGTAACAAGCTGGATGCCAAGGAAATCTGGTTCTTGTTTAATGGAAGTGATCGTTGAGCCCCTTCCTGTTGTAATATAAAGAAGTTTGGTCCCGATAACTGGCAGTTGAAGTTATGCAAGACACCGCTTCGTCTGGGCTACATTCTAGCTCCTTTTGCACAGATATATCGTAGATGCAATGCTTAAGATTTTTATGAACTACTGCTACAGGATCGTGTGTATATATACCTTTGTCTGGTCCATGTGATCGTCTATCATTACCCTCTGAACTGTGTGTATCACGAGGTGCCTCAGCATTGTTCTCCTCATGCTTCGGTGCTCTCTTTCGTGAACGTCTCTTAATTGGTCGCCACACAATTTACCATGCATGCAGGCAATCAGTCTATCAGCCACTCGGCTTTCCTGCATATTGGTTATTCCGGCGTATCTTCAACTCTGGCGATCGGGGAGAGTCTGAGTACGATGTCACTGCTGCTTTAAGACAGAAACATATATACTCAATTGACTAAAAGAACGTGGTGAGAGCCTAGTGCTCTCAGCTTGATATATATACATTGTCGTGGCACATGCCGAATGTGGGAGCTGTTGTACTTAATGATCTAGCCGGACAACGAGCGGGACTGTGTTGTGTCAGAGGTCGCGCGCCTGAAACCTGAAATCTGTAGTAGAAAGACAACTACTACTGATCCTATCGAGATCTGTGGTAAAAGGCCTTTATTATTATTCTTGCTGAAATCTGTCATAGAAGCCTTCTATGACTTTTCTCACTCAAATATGTTGTAACTGGTATCTATTGTGGATTTTGACTGACCACTGGGCACACTCCACTCAGAGGTAGTTCAGCATGATCAATATCCAATAGATACTTTGTGATGACACCAAGGTCTGGCATGAATATGCTTGCACCAACACGAGTGTCCAGTGTGCCAACTGAGTGACTGAATGATCCCCAGACTGCAGTGGACAACTGCCTTCAGTTTCTGATGATCGAGAGAGCCAGACCACAGTGTGAACCACCTTTGGTGTCAATTGTTATCTGGACCACAGTTAATACTGCCTTTGGATGATGTCAATGAGTGGTGATACAACACATGTGCTACAATAGAAGCAATGCTATGTGATTGCAACTTGTTGATGGGATACTAAGTATACTCGTTGTAAAGTGATAGCTAGTAAGGTAAAGTGTAGAGTGGATGAGGATCCACTTGACCCCTATGATAAGAAGCATGGTTATATAGCCATTCCCACCATGTCGCCTGCAACCCTGCTTCTGCTCTGGGAATCCTCCTCTAACACTGCTCCTCCTCCTCTCATGCCCCCTATCAGTCCTGTCTTCTCACAATGCTGCTCATTGGCACCGCTCCCTTGCTTCCTGTGGCATCGACAGTCCTCATGCTGCTTCATAATCAACAGGGGCCATTCCCACTTCATTTGGGTGGTGACTCACATCCCTCATTCATCTCACCCACCCTCCTGCTCTGAGTTCATTGTTGGGTCAGCCCCCTGCTTCATCAGGGTGGTGGACCCAATGTCTTCAATGTTTTGTCCTGCTGTGAGACCTGTGGGAATCAGTGTCCTCTTGCTGGTTTCTGCGAGATCTATCCTATGATCAAGATACTACTGATTCCGGCAGGATTTGTGATATGATCCTGCTTGTGCCGATTTGGATGAGATCTGTCATAGAGCCTTTCTATTACAGATCTCGATGAACTCTGTTGTAACCCTTGATTGGCCCGATCCTGCGATTCCTGCACTCCTCCTCATCTGACTTCTACTCTTCCTGCTTCTGCGCATCCGGTCCCATGACATGTTGTACCCGATCTCTGGTGAGATCGGACATCTAACCGGATTGGCTCTGCCTGATCTCCGATCAGATCGGCTCCGCGTCACCTTTTAGCGTCTCACTGGATCGTAATCTTCAGCACTTCCATGTCGCGGTGGGATGTCTATCATGCGCAGTTGCACTATATTGTAATCGACAACGCACTCGCAACGTTTCAGTCTGCTTCCTCTGCTTGGCCTTCTATCTGGGTCAAGGTCTGCCGCAGTCGGACATAAGCACTGCTCACCTCGGATGGGCCGTTGAGAGGATCACACGCGGAACGTATACAGACCGTCTATCAAAGTACGAGGAAGCCAAGAGAGTGTGATATTGCAATTGCTTGCCAGAAGCAACAACGTTGACCATTTGCTTTGAAGCCGACGGGGGACACCGGAACGACTTTTTGCCTACCAGCTCACATCACCGCGGGTCGCTCGAGATGACTTACTGCAGCTTATTCCCTCCGCACATCTTTCAAGGCTCGCCCGCCCATTGCCAGAGCTAGCCTCTACTACCTGTCATGTTTGCATATGCCTTTACACCCCATAATGTAGCTCTCCTGCTGTGTTTCGCCTAGCCTTGTCGTCTGTTTGTGCCTCGTCTCCTCTTCGGTGATTCGTCGGTGCTCACCGTCACCCTCGTCTTCCTGTACAGCGCGCGAATGTGAGTGAAAGATCCACACGCTTTTGTCACCAAGTGTCGCTCTCTTCGCGAACGCAAACGACTCTGTCCACCCATCCTAACACGCTACTAACTTGTAGTCGCTTCCAACGGCTCCCCTTCTATCGCTTACTATTCCTTGCTATGGCTCCTCCACCACTTGCAACTTCCTCTATCACACAAATCCAGCATCGAAACGAACACTCGCGTTCGACTTGCACCGCTCTGTCTATCGCTTTCAACTGCGCTCTCGCTTTCACAGGCTCGCGTTGTTTGATACCGCTCCTCTCATTCTCAAAACCTCGCAAACAGCTTCTTCCCTCACCCTGCTGATGTAGACCGCTCGCTCGCATCCGCTTCCCCTATCTCCATTTTCCTCGCTCGCTACTTTCTCGCTGCGAAATGACGTTGGTCGCCTCAAAGTCACCGATGGAGCACGATTCTCCAGCTCGCTCGCTTGCGGCCTTCCTTTCTCGCTCGCGCTTGCTTCCGCTCCCACGGTCCAACCCCTTCTGGCCAAGTTCGAAATCGGGATGCAACATCATCTCCTCTTCCGCTCGCTTTGCTCTCCTCTTCCGCTCGCTAAGGCGTCCGCAACCGGACAGCATCAGCAAAAGGTTTAAATGCAGCAAATTCCTCCAACGGCGTGTCCAGTGGGTTACGGATTTTGAAAGCTGGTTTATCCTTGAAATATGGAAAGTGAAATTTATTATGCAGAGCATACTCGGTCCCCAGAAGATCCTCCAAGGTCTCTTTCGCCTTGGCACCTCCCTTTTGTCTGCCCTTGAGTTCGCTTGTTGCTTCACCCGAGCCTTCAGCTCGACCACCACCACTGCTACCTGATGTGGTGCGTGCAATATTGCTTTCTCTCGCACCCTTGTTCTTGTTTCGTAGGCTGACGAGATGGGCGATTGCTTTCTGTGGAATATCAGCTAGGTCTTGATGAAGTTCACCATGAACAGCATTTTCCAATATCACCGCACCATTTCCATCCCTTAACATCTGATTTAAATATTGTATGGGATGAACTTTTTCATGAAAGCGAATCTTTCCTTCCCCCACCCCCACATCATTCCATCCATTCTCTTCATGCTTAGCATACACGCCGGGACTATGACCTACCAATGCAGGCGGAACTAATTTTGCGAGCTGTCCTAAGGCGTATAGTCGCTTAGATCTCAGCGTTAGTTCGAGTGATTCTACCATCGGCCTCGGATTCTCTGGATCCTCGAGGAACCTTGGAGGAGCGGTTGAAACCTGAGAACCCGTAACTATGCCCAGAGTCGTTATAACGCGAGCCTCGCGGGTAGGGTAGACCCGATTATCGTGGCTCCATTGGAGAGATTTAGACCAGCTTTCGAGGAAGTCCAAAGTCTTTTGGGATTCGAGCATTTTGAGCCAGTGTGAGTACGCGACGGGATCGCGATCAGTGAGCTTGTTGTAACCGTGGAGGTTGATCGAAGGCAGGGAGCGAGAGACTGACCACATGCGATAGGGGGCGATTTCGCGCGGTGGGGGAGGCGTGGTACTTAGCCATGATTGAACCTTGTCATGCGTGATGAGAGAAGGTGGGGTGGAAGGGGGATTGGGGCTGAGAGAGTTAGCAGGAGTTTTAGGACGAGATAAAGGTGGTGTCGAGGAGAGGGATTCTGGTTTGCTCCGAGCCGAATCGAGAGCTTTGCGCGTCGGAGAGTTATGTCTTCCCATCGTAACATCCTCTGAAGGAGCAAAGGTAGATGCTTTCTGACGAAAAGAATGCCAACGAGCAAAAGGCCACAATCCACCTTCGTTGAACCTCCCAACCCTTCTCTTACCATCTATAGCACTTGCTTGTTGAGATTTAAAACCTCTACCTTTCTCCCCTCCTCTCTCACCCGCAACCATCAAATTAGCCTTCACTTTCTCAACCGGCACCTCCCCCCTTGTTCCAGCAGTAAAGGTAAACTCTGCCCCAGCCTTTTTCCCTTTCTTTGCCCATTCTTTGGCATTGAAATGATGAGCAGGATGTTCCAACGGATCCTCGATAGGCACCCAACCCGAATTTTTACCATGTTCAATACGAGATCGAAACAAAGCTAAAAGGGAGTGTGCGGGATCTTCGTCCGGATACACTACCTTGGCGAGGGAAGGCTGTTGAGAAGGGGGTGAAGAGATGGGTTGGTAAGAAGAGGAGGAAGAGGAGGAAGAGGAGGGGGGTAGTTCGGAAGCGCTGTGGAAAGCTGGGTTGTCATCAGAGGGTGAAGGTAGCTGAGTTCCCAGGGCTAGAGTCGATGGTAGGTAGAGCAGGAGGGGTAGGAGTGATTTGATGATGAATATTGATCGCATGGCGGATTGTGGATGGATGTGGTGGTGGTGGTGGTGGTGGTGAAGAGCGAGGAAAGTGAGCAAAGTGACGAGGGGGTGAGTAGCACATATAACTTAGCAGCGTATGGAAAGGTTGCCCACTTGTGAGCATTTCATCAGCTCACCCACATCGTGCCACCCTCGTCGAGAAGCGTTATGGATTACCACAACCGCACTTAGCTTCATCCCAGCCTTGGCGTGTTTGAAACTTGGAATGGTTCTTGCATAGGCTCAAACGGAAAGGTGCTGTACTCGGACACTCGCGCAACAATATTGCAGGCATTGAAAGAGAGCCAAGCTCGTGCTGATGATGCGATTCAACGAAATGAAGAATGGGAGAGAAAGGAAAACGTGTGTCGACGTTGCCACACAAGATGCAAGGTGGGGCTTTAGGTTGAGCGGTTCGTCGCGCGGATTCAATCCCGCTTCCACGGCAGCCAGATGACGGCACCACATGCAGACGAGAACACCGCAAGGATGCAGACGAGAAGATCGCAAGGAACAGCTTCGGACACGGGCTCACGTAGAACTGTCAGGCTACGTGAACACATCCTTCTCGAGGAGACCTGGAGTGCTGTCGAAAAGTGCGAGCCGGTTGCGACAGGTGTTGGTCCAGCTGAGATGCGCACGCCATGTCAGGTCACGTGCAGCACGCTTCTCCTTCCCCACATTCTATTCTTCTCTCCGCCCATCACCACGATCATCTTGCTCCCCACTCCCCATCACTTTTCCTGCATCACCTTCGCAAAGATGCAGTCCACCCTAATCAACAGCTCAAGCTTCCACCCTACCCTCTCCCTCACCCTGCCACCCACCCTGCTCACCTCACCTTCCACCTCCGGCTGCACCCCTCACATTCTAGTCCACCTCCCACCAGGAATCTTCTACGACCCTTTCACCGCTTCCAACCCTATCATTACCCAGGGCAGATCGCGAAGAGGGTACAACGTTTCCCACCTTGCTAATGAAGCTGAGCTTGAGGATGCGGTTGGATATTCTATCCGCAAGGGAAAGGGGAAAGAGGATCAGCAATGGTGGGAAAAGAAAGACACAGGGTTTGTAGAGGAGAGGGAAACGGAGGAGGAGTCGAGAGTGCAAGGGTTGATACAAGAGGCCGCTTTAGAGAAGGTAAGCGAGGTTACAGGCGGAAATGTGGGAGAGCAGCATCTGGGCAAGAGGCGCAAGGTTGTCAAGAAGGGCCAAAGGGGTAGTGAGGAGGAGATGGGAGGGAAGAAGGAAGTTTCGACGTTGGTTATTGAGGTCGTTGATGTTGATGAGCTTTTACGAGCGGACGGGAAGGTGAAAGTTGAGGTTGCGCTACATTTACGTTATCAGTCGCCCACGAAACAAAGTGCAGCCAAGAGGATGCAAGGTGGAGCACTTGCTGCTATCCACTCGCCATACACGACGCTACTAAAGGACATCCTTCCCATTGCCTCGATCAAACGCGCCAAACAGACCGTAATCGGGCTCTTCACTATCTCCAACTCCACCACCCCGTACTCCTCCATCTCCCCTACCACAAGCTCGACCTCTCAGTACGTGGAAACATGCATCAATCCAACACCAGCCCTCTTTCTCACCTGCACCAACCATCACTCCTCTTCCAACGGCGGCGCAACAAAGTTTGTAGAAGGCTTTTACTCTACGTCCCTCTCATCTCTTTTCCCTCGCAGACACTTGCATCTTCTAAACTCGGCCGGTTTCTCTTCCTCCTCACTCGGCAAGAACAGTCAAGGTTTGGTACTAGCGTTGTCACAAACAAAAGTCAACCAGCCACAAGGAGGCTTGAAAGTGAAGGTGCCAGTTCTGGACGCAACGCTTCTAGCACCGGTGCAGATTACGACATTGGTGACCGTGTTTGGTGCTGCGGCCGGGGTTGTGTATTATTTGCTCAGTAGCGTGGTGCCGTCTCTGGAGGCGGTGGAGAAGACGCTATAGCAGTCTGGATTCGGCAATGTGATGACATGGGTTGAAAATGCAATCTAACTGTGCCATGTGGTATGAGTTGATGCTGGTGCCAGAATGGGAATCTGACAGAAATGTCAAGCTTCAATCGATGGCGGAGAGCTTAGCCTCAGTCGTAGATTCTGTCGCAACTTCTGTCGTGGCAACGTCTTCGGCTTTCTCAACTGCTGACTCTGACTTCCCACTACCTTCAGCAGCTTGTGTTTCCGCTGCTGCTGCTGCTGCTGCTGCTGGCGACTTCCCAACCAATCGCTGCGCCCGAAGCCTAGCCTCCTCTTTCCTCCTCTTCCTCTCCGCCATTTCCCTTCCCACCTCCCTTTCCGCCTCTTCCTCTTCCTTCTCCACTCTTTTCCACTCTTCTTGCTCCGTCCTCTTTTCAATCTGCTCAAACCTCCCTTCCTCTCTCGCCTTTTCCATCGGGTGTCGCACCTGCACGACTCCAGTCTTGTTCAACCTATCGAACAATACAAACAGTCTCTCGGCCTCTGCTTCTTTCTCTTCCTCTGTCATCCTGTTGATCTCATCCATTGCACGTTCTTCTTCGGTTGGCTCATACTCGCCTGTGATCGGATCCACAGCTCTCCCATCCGGACCAGAAGTAGAGGTGGTATCCGAGGGAAGAGCAGATGCGAGACCCGTATTCATAAGGAATCCTGCACAGGGACCGTACCCGATCGTCTCAGTCATCTGCTTCGCATTCCCTTCGCAGAGTGAGAGCAAAAGCTCACCCGAAGCGCGGGCAAGACGAGGGAGAGTGACGGATGACATAAGTCGAATAAGTCGACCGAGAAGGTCGATGCGGCGGTCGAGGGCGAGACTGCGATCAACGTCGGCTGGGAGAAGGATGGAGTGGAGGGTGGAGCAAAGGTCGGCGTCTTCAGCTGCAATTTTGCGAAGGAGTAGGAGGAGAGGTTCGAGGGTGTCTTCGAGATCGACCCCGTCAGCGGAAGCTTTTTGTTTGATGGACTTGGAGTCGACGTCTTCTGGAACACGCCTGCCTTTTTCGCCCGTAGAGGCGGAGGCAAAGTAGCGTGCAAGCATCAGGTCGGAGTATGTGATCAGTCGATAGATGTACGAAGGTGCTGCGCGGAATGCATCGGTCGAGGTTTTGGAGATAGGGATAGTGAGGCTGCTGCCGGTGCTTGTGGTGATGGAAGAAGGTGGTGGTTGAGATTTGACGAGCTCCTTCTTGACGTGAGATAGAGGATAGTTGAGAAGCGCAGCAATGGCGTGTGTGGTAGGTGGCATGAGTGGGACTGGTGAAGTGATGGGAAGTTGAGTGATGACCGAGATGAGCGGAGGGAGCATGTCTAGCAGCTCTGGGTGGAATGCTTCTCCCAGTATGGCTCTTGCCTTTTCACTCTCGGCTTTGCTTGCCGTTCGATCGGCTGCCTCGGCGGCGTGTTGCTGCTGCTCTGCCTCGGCATCAGCGATCCTGGGATAGTAAAGGCAGATGTTGAAATGCGCCTTGAGCAGATCCGAAAGCGCCATATTCAGCTGTGCTTCGCTTCCACTCGCCACGAGCACCGTCTCAGCAGCATTGCTATCTGCCTTCTTGTCGAGTATCGCCTTAAGCAGCGCATGGACAGATACAGCTTCGATCTTGACAGCATTGAGCATAGCGACTGCGGTCTTGTTGAAAGGCGACTGGAAGAGGGTACTGAAGAATAGCAGCCGTGCTCCAAGGAAGAGGATATCTGCAGGAGTGTCTTCGGGTCTCGAAAGCAGCGCAACAGCTACATGACCTCCACCAACCTCGTCACTGGAGAAGGGGAGACGTGCATCTTGGTTGAGGAACAAAGCATTGTTGAGGCAGCGCAAAGCCAAGTCAGTGATAGCCCAATCAGGGTCTCGACCGATATCGTACTCTTCACCACTGCTGCTGCTGTCTGATGAAGGAGCATCTTTGACTTGCGATGATGAACGGCAGGACTGAGCAGAGCCACGTCTCTTGACTGCACGGCGTAAGGTCTTTGCGATAGAGCCGAGCGAGTGGTTCGGAAGGCCGAGCGTCGATGAAGTTGAGCTTGCAGCTTGCGATCTGCGACTACCGCTAGGACGCTTGGAATGAGAAAGCGACATGGAAGCGCGCCTTACCCTCTGCTTTGGAAAGTCTACCTGCTGTAACAAGATCCGTGAGGCTTCTGGTTTGCCCAAGGAGGCACTCCCACCGGGCATACGACTGAGCTCTTTAAGTAGCTTGAGCGCAGAGAGTCGGATGTCTGCATTCCAGCGAACATGGCTTCGTGCGTTGAGAAGGTAGTCGCCCTCACGAGTTCCTGATGCTGTCGCCATGTCGTTGAGGATTGCAGTTGCGAGTTTGGAGCGTATTGAATCGCTGACTGAGCCGAGTGCGGAAATGCCGCTGGAGAGGAGCGAGTCGAGCCATTGTTGGACTTGGTTGGGAGAGTCGACTCGTGCTGGCGATGGCACTGAGAGATACTCGCGGATGATGTTCGACATTGTCGGAGCGTCCCCGATTGCGCTGACCGCACAGCTGTTACCTGGAGGGATATCAGCTGCCCGTGACTGACGCTTGTCGGTCCTCTTCCGATGCGTCTACTGCTGAGCCTCACCGAGTGGAAGGAGAAGCGGAGGGCGTGAAGCTGAGATGAAGGTGGACCGTGGGAATGTGGTGAGAGCGGCACATCCGAAAGTAAGCAAGGCAAGTGCCCATCTCAGACCCTAGACAGTCGAGCTGAGACTGAAATTCGGGCCAAAACTATCTCGTCGCCCGCTCTATGCACGACCTTTTTTTTTTTTTTTCTTTTTTTTTTTTAACCCATGGCGATCAACCTACAGCAAACGCCACTGGAATAGCCAAAGGTGATCAGCTACTTGACACGCTGCCACTGCCTCGGTGAGATACAAGTTGGATCAGCTCGCTTCTGCTACTTTGCAAGTTGCCCTTCCTTCCAGCCTTTTGTCTTGGCACTTTCGGTCCTTTCGGAAACTCTCTGTGGTCACTCGTCCCAATACCACTGATGCTAGCGTTCGCGAAAAGTACTAAACAGACAGTCCACTCCCGAAACATGCAGCCAAGCGCTGGTTCTCCGACGATGCCGACAAAACACCGTCTTGAGACGGCTCGAGCTCGTCACAAGTTGGCGTAGCAAGCTAACGTAAGTCTTCTAGCACCTTGCCTCGACCAGTTAAGCCCAACACCAAAAAGAAAAAAAAAAAAAAAAAAAAAAAAAAAAAAAAAAAAAAAAAACGCTTTCAAACCTCCACTTTTCTAGCGCAGCTGTACCTCGAACAGAGAGCAAAGACAAGCTGCTCCAGAGCCTTGGTGAATAATTCACGCCTAATTGATTCGGCCAGATTTGCTATTTCCTGACAGTAAACAACAAAAGAGCCCAGGGTTCAGCTCAGGAGCCAATAGGGCCAAACAGAGCCGAGAGCGACAAGCTGCAGCTTTTTTGGAGACAAGGAAGCACTTGCGAATCGGGCATCATGCGCCTTGAGGTGTCGCTTTGCAGCTTAGCCTTGCCTTCACCTTGAGCGTCAAGAGAAGCTCAGCTTCGACCTTTGCCTATCCAGACTGCGCCACATTCCTATCTCTACACCGTCACTTCTTGGCGACCACTTCTTGGCGACCACTTCTGGCAGCTTCCATCAGAAGCTCAGTCGGCGCTGCCGTTAGCGGAACGAGCCGATATCGAGCCTAACTAGCACCTTTGAGCAACACACTCAGCCGTGACCGTCAGAACTCACGAGGGCGATGCACCCGCCGCATCTCTGAGGTCAAACCGCTTTACACTGCCTTCGGCTGAGCCGAACATCTCCTTCATCCTTCGGCATTCCTATCGGCACCTGTTCTGCTGAAATCACTTTGGCGTTGCAAATGCTGCTCACAACCTCATCATGATCACGCAAACGCCTCGCCCAGACTTGTCAGCTTCGGCTTCCTCTCCGAAAAGTCGCCATGCTTCCGCACAGCAGCCCAGGATAGCCATCACACCGAATCGATATAGAAACCCCTCATCGCTCAACCAGGCCTTCCCATCAACTCCCACCTCACGACGCACATCCATCGCCGACAATGCCGACGACAGTCCACCTTGCAAAGGCTTGACCTCCAATTGGCAAGCCAGCATCGAGCTCTCCCTCACTACACGACGTCGTCTCATCCGCAAACCTCTTCCGCAAATTCCATCCTCGCAGTTCAATCACTCTAGCCTGGCTGACCGACCGGACTCAGGACTGATCGACTCGGCTGCTCTCGACGCTCAGTATCAGAAGGCAGACTCTTGGTGGCCGGATACTCTTCCAGAGAAGCATATTGACCCCTCCTCCTCCTCCTCCTCCTCCTCTCGGGCTAGCGGAGCAAGTCAGGCAGCTTCATCGTCTCGCTTCAGCACTCGTACTGATGCTGAAGCGGCGCAACTCCAACAGCAGCCCAACGACGGACAAGGCTTGGACGAGCAAAGTCTCCGGCACTTGCTCACCATCCTTCACCATGCTGCACTACGTTACGACTCTGCTGTGACAGGCCATGACGACGGGACCATCGGTCGAAACGTGATAATCTCTCCAACCGGCACCTACAAGAAGCAAACAACGTCCAGCACAGCAGCTGGTCAAACCTCTTCCGGAAATGAAGCTGACAGCCTCTATGTTCTCGACGAGGCGACTCTCGACAGTCTCTTTCGCGCTCTTCAAACTGCTTTCCGGCATCTCTCACAGAAGCAGGTGCTTGGTGCCTTGCAACGCACTGCATCCATTCGTTGGCGAGCCGAGGCTCAGCTACGCAATGCTACAGCTGCACAGGCTGCCGAATCCAGCGGCGGTCTGTCTTCACGTTGGGCACGATTCGCTTGGCCTGCCGCTGCTCTGGGCAAAGCCTACAAGGAAGCTTCGAAGAACATCCTCCCACCTTTTCCAGGCGATCTTGCGTCCTCAGGGTTTGGCTCCGTTTCGCATCTACAGATGAACCCTGAGCTGTATGCTGGCCTTTACTCGGACCGAGATCATCGCATACGCAAGAGAGACGTTGCTATCAAGATCCTCAGCAACGCCGTCTGGTTCGTTCGCAATTATGGCCCAATAGCTGGTGTCGAAACACTCGAAGGCGAGGTCGCCGAGAAAGATGCCGTTCATGCCGTCAGTGCGGCTTCCCTGTCAGCTGACGGACTTCCACCGCCTTGCCTTTCCAGCATTCGACGCACTTCTGAGAACCTTCTCAAGAAAAACGCTGGTCTTCCCAACTTCCTCTCCAAGTCGAGTGCCACTACCGCTCTCAGTGGTACCGCAACACCTGAAAGCAGTGCATCTGACGTGCCACCCGTCGTGGAGCCCTCACCCTCCTCCGGATCTTCCGCAGCTGGCCCATCTCCTGCACCTGCTTTGGACGTCAATAGCATCACCCCTAGTACTTCTGCTGCGCAGCTGCCCACAGCAACCTCGAAGACCGTGCTGAACACTGCAGAAGCTGCGTCTGCGGTCTCTTCTGCAACAAGCGTCGATGCCTCAGCAGATGCAACTTCCACGACCAATGCCTCTGCAGCAGCAGCAGGCGAGAAGAGCAAAGCTATGGAGCATCTCGCATCACTCAGCGCCGCTGCCGGGGCTGCCATGCGCCAGAGAACGCAACAAGCCGCCGCGGCTGCAACTGCAAACGGTGGGCCAGAAGACTCGATCGACGCCGTCCTTGCCGTCTCATCTGGCACTTTTCATCCTCAGTCCAGCCGTCCCAGCTTGCGCTCCTTTGTCAGCCGCTCAGAGGCAGAGGCTGCCGAGACTGATGCACTCGAAAAGGCGGAACGAGACTACCTAGCACAGATCGGACAAGGCTGCGATGAGTGGGCCAAGATGGTGGTTTGTCGACTATGCGCTGACATTCTCGTTGCTGAGGGTAACTCAGCCGATAGAGGACGACGTCATCGTTCTGGTACGCTCACCACCAAGGATTTTGGAAAAGCTTCTGCAGGTCTGGAGGCGGGCGATAGCAACGTCGGATCCAGCATATCGACACGCTCCGACATGACTGCCAAAGCCGGAAAGGTTGGTCATTCCACTGTTCATCTCGGTGCTCAGGCAACTCGCGAAGCCGCCACTAACGATACCAGCCAGGAGCTGATTGTCTGGAAGGCCGACCTCTTTGACGGTCAGGAACTCTTTGCCCATGGCGCCTCATCGCACGAGCGCAGAGTTAGCGTCTCTCCACACGACGAAGGCGAGCGTGTCAGGCTTGTCGGTGGCAGCTTTGTCTGTCGAGTACAGACTGAGGAGCAGCGACAAGCTTTGATCGAGCTTCTCGAGATTGCTCTGTATGCCGGCATGTCAATGTTGCTCGAGTCAAGCTTCCTGAGCGACTCGGACGCAGCGCGACCCAAGCCGGTCAAAGTGCCAACCCGCACCACTTCAGCCGTCGACGCGCCTCCAAGAGGTGCAAGCTTGGTGCAACAGCCATACCTCCTCAGAGCTACGTCGCAACAGAGTCTTGATGGCAGCCAGAGGTCTGTGTCCGACAGTAGCAGTAGCCACCTGCACGACTCGCATTACGTTGGGTCGATAGCCAACCCAGACACAGAAGCGCATGAGGCTCACGGCAAACCGGGTTCTCGCAAGTGGACAAAGAGCTTGTGGGGCATGCTTGGCCAGCATCCGCATGGTTCAGCAGACTCAGGTCCAAATGCTCCAGGCGGACGACCAGGAACCAGCGATGGTCACGAAGCATCAGCTGTGCCACGCAAATCGTTGACCATGCACCGCTACCATACCGAGGACGAAACAAACAGCCTATCTTCCAACAGCACGCGAAAAACGCTCTTCAAGACTGGAGAGGAACCGAAGCAGACGATCGCAGCAAGAAAGGCCGCTCTCTTTGCCAGCGTGTCTATCAACTCGGCTCCACCTACGCCGCAGGGTTCCCGCGGCTCAGCTGCCGATGGAAGCGGTTATTCGAGCAGTAAACCACACCGCTTCGTCGGACGTCTGATGAATGCTTTTACCAAGCCATCGTCGTCAGAGCCTCCGCGATCCGATACGGTCCTTTCCAGCTCTGATCTCAACACAGCGACCCCGTCCTCTAGCGCTGCAGAACGATCAGAAAGTGACTCTGGTACCGTTGGCATCGATACGACATCTCTACGATCTCGGGTTAACACAGAAGTCAAGCCGTCTTACCTCCAGAGAGCGCGTGCACAGGCGAAGCCGCAGCCACTGTTCCCAGTGAAAGGACCGAGCCCAGCTGCTTTATCCACATCGCCTGAGCTATCCATGCTTCAGTGCTACCAGTATCAAGCGGATCCAAACCTGGGCACATTCCCGACCGCTGCCTATCTCACTGCCTTCTATCGCTTGCAAGCACTCCGTTTCTTGGCTGATCAGCGTCGAGAGCACCTGACTTTCGGTTCGCCCTCCCATGGCATTTCTGCTTCTGGAGACTTGCTGCCTTTTGTTGGCGTGCAGAAGCCTGCCTCATCCTCATCAAGCTTGCCGTGGAGCGTCATCTCCTCACGGCAACAGCAACAGCAACAACTAAACGAAAGACGCGGCACTACTTCTGTGCAACTACTGTCTTACGAGCTTTTGGCTGGTGACGGATCGACACTCGGACTGTGTCGCGAAGAGGTGGCCTTCTACCAGCGTCTCAGCAATAGCCGCGATGTACCTCTTGGTCAGGTCATTGAGGAACTCGGCATTCGAGCTTGCGCACTGGAAGCAGATCGCGACGCCTCAAACAAGACGTCGGACTCTCGTATTGTTAGCGGGATGAAAGGCTATGCAAATGGCAAAGAGGCTTTGACGGGGCAACGTTTCAACGGAATGTATGGGATGCCCGAGCAGCGTCTACAGTTCCTTCATGGATCTTGCCGCATCAAAGTTGTCGCAACGGTTCTGCCGTCGCGCCTGTACGAGATCGGGCCAGAGTCGCAGAGCTCTGCAGAGACGCAAGCCGAAAGAGCACAAGCAGACTCTATTCTACAGACCGGAAGTGCAGCTGTGTCGCCTTCACTGAAGCCTACCAAGTCACGAGAATCTGACGTCTCTGCCATCGCTGCTGCCTCTCACACGGACAAGGAGGCTGCCAACACGGCCTTTGCTGTCGCCGAGACGGCTGTGCAAGCGGCGGAGAGCGCAACGTCGAGGCCTCTTGTTGATCAGAGAGGCAGTGGAAGCACCAGTGGTATCTGGATGTGGAACGCAAGCGCAAAGAGCGGCTGGCAGGGCAAAGCAATGCCCATGTCAGAATCCACCTATCTTCTCTCCTTTGCTCGATACTTGGAAGCCATCTCGTACCACCCTGCGCTGCGTCGGGCGGCGGGTCTGGAGCCCGCCAACGCCAAAGCGTACGGCGGTCTCGTTAATGTGCAGCAACAGCTCCGACAAGGCAGGAGCGAAGACGCAAGGAGCGTCGCGGAAGGACCAAACCTGCTGCGCTTTTTCCGAAATGGCCGCTCACTCGTCAAGGTGCAAGTGCAGCCTCTGGTCCTCTACGATTTGCACATCGAAGGTCCTTGCCTGAAAACGGGCAGCGAACGCCGACGTGAGAGGAAGCAGAAGCAGGCACAGGCAGATAAACGCAGGTTCAAGCAACTGGCCGAAGAGACGCGACTCGAAATCCAACGCTTCTTCGCCTCCATCAAGAGCAACACGACTAAGCTTGAAGACGTCTTTGTGTCTCGTGAGCTGGACGAAGCAGGCAAGACCATCCGCAAGAAGGCGGCTGCAGCAGCAGCACAAATTGCTGGTGCGGTCCAGGTGCAGGGCCAGGGAGAGAGTGCAACTGCATCCTCTTCCAGTTCGACAGCTTTTGAGCAGGTGGCCGAACCGTTGAACTTGCTCACCAATCTCCGCTCGTCGCTGCGATCAGACGAGTTTGAGCTGTACGAAGCTTTGCAGAGGACATTTTTCCTCGACGGGATCAACGATCTGCGTAAAGCCTTCGCGGATCGAGCCAAGTCTGCCAAGAATCGCTTGGCCGCATGGACAAAGAAGCATCTGACGAAGAAGGAGCAAGCAGACTTCGGCAACTGCAGTTACGACGAGCCCGAATATCTCGAGACGGGTCGACGAGCCTTCCCAGGAAGCTGTTACATCATCCGGGACGACGAGCCTTTGTCCATCATTGCCTTTTCGCTTAGCTCGCGAGACTTCCGCGCTGAAATGGGCACGCTTGCAGATCGTCGACAAGATGCTGCGGGCTACATGGGCAGTAGCAATGACGAGCATGTCAAGCAATGGCGTAGCGGCGTCACGGACAACGTTGAGACCGCCACAATCGGCTCCCACATCTCTACATCAGCCGCGAGCACCACCACGGCTGTATCTTCGCTGCTACAGGACCGATCCATGCGGAAGGTGCCCTTCTCTCAGCTGGACCCGGATAAGGATGAGGTCTTCTTCGATGCCGAGCCAGTGAAGGCCGCGCTGAAGCGAAAGAAACGTGGGCGAGAGTCTTCGATCTTGTCACTGACCTTGCGTCGGGTCGGGTCGACCATCTCGGAATCGCAAAGAGTCGACTATCGAACAATGCCGGTCAATGGTAGGCCGACGTCTTCCGCTGGATCTTTCAAAGATGATGATGACGACGAGGACGATGATATTGTCAACGATGACGACGATGGTGATGCACGAAGTTCAATCATCCGCAGCTCTACGGATGGTCAGGACACCACATTGGATGCCCGTAGATTGGAAAAGACACCACTGAGACGACCGTCTGCCATCCACACCGATCGAATTACGCCGTCTCCGTCTCCCAGCAGGCCTGACCTGCGCACTTCTGGAAGCGTCTCAGCACTTCGCAGGACATTCGAGCTCCGTTCGCAATCTTCTTTTTCTTCCATTACGGACAGGAAGTCGTCGATGCAGCAACATCCTCAGCAAACTGTAGGCACGAGCACCGTCAGCAGTACGAGCACGGACACTACCTTCCATGCTCAGATTACGCCGGTGTCGGGCCGTCCTGCCTCACTCGCCAGCATCTTCTCCTTGACGACATCGCAATCCCAGAGCACAGATTCGCGCGTCAGTAATATCGCATATCGCTCCGATACGAAAGTGCCCGTAGGAGCAGCGTCGCCGCGAGCTATTCCTCGCTCAACTTCCAGCAATCGACCGACGTCATCTTCTGCGAACGCAACTGACAGTTCTCTGGGCCCGAACGCAAATCGGCTCAGTGGAACTTCGCCGCTGGCAAAGGACAATAGCAAAGCACACAAGATGGCAGCGCAGCCCTCGTCTTCCGCAAGCGAAGGTGTTCCGGGAGCAGACGCCCAGTCGATGATCTCCAACAGCACTCTTCCAGGCTCTCAAGCAGCCGAGTCGCCTCACATCAAGCACAACCTCATTCACGGCACCACCAAGATCTCTTGCGTGTCTTGGTTTGCTGAAGAGTTTGCAGCACTGCGCGAGAAGTGGGGTGTCGAGCACGACTTCGCCCACAGCCTGTCACGATGCCAGCCTTGGGTTGCTACCGGCGGCAAGTCCAAGGCTGCCTTCTTCAAGACGGCTGATGAGCGTTTCATCGCCAAGCAGCTGCTGACGGTCTGGAGCGTCGATGAGAAGGAGGCTTTCCTTGAGTTTGCACCAGCCTACATCCGCTACATGATGAACTCGGCAGTCAACGATTGTCCAACGCTGCTGGTCAAGATCGCGGGAGTCTACAGCATCAAGATCAAGGACACGAAGACCAGCGAGACAAAGCTCAAGATGAACGTGATGCTGCTTGAGAATCTGTGGGCGGGTGATGGAGGGAAGTCGATTCGTTTCGACCTCAAGGGTATTCGCGATCGCAAGGTCAAGCTAAGTGCGCAGCAGCAGCAGACTTTGCAACAAGCTGCGGTCAATGCAACTGCAAGTGGACAGCCTCTCGTGGAAGTACCAGGGGCTGCAAAGGGTTCACCAGCTCAAGGTTCGGCCACTGCTGCATTCGGCGCAGGACTGCAATCCGCTACAGCGGGAGATGCATCCGCACCTGCCACAAGCATCGGGACGAGCAGCAACAGCAGTGCGCAAACGAGTCCGAGCAGGGCTGGCGACGACAGTAAGAAGGGAGGAGAATCAACGGGGGGCGATCCTAAGCCTTCTTCTGCCAACTCTGCTTCGAGCGCAGTATGGTGGGACAGCGAATGGATCGAACGCTACCGGCATCGTGCCTTTGTGCCTGAGACGCAAAAGGAGCTCTTCTTCCGCGCCATACAGAACGATACCCGGTTCCTCACCGCCTCCAACGTGATGGACTACTCCCTTCTCCTTGGTGTCATGGAACGTCCCGTCAGACAGGACGATATGTATCCACCCGCAGCACCCACTGCGACCGCCGACTTGACCGGAAACACCAAAACTGCAGATCTGGACGCCTCCGAGGAGCTTGACGAGGCCCCAGAACGACCTTTGTTCCGATGCCGAATTGTCGACTTTCTTGGTGCGTTCACACTCGCCAAACAGCTAGAATCAAGCTCGAAGAAGGCGCTCAAAGGTCAAGATGCCAAGAGTAACGTTACGATCTTGCCACCTTCAGAGTATGCTAGTCGGTTCTTATCAGCCATGGACAGTTACTTTATCGGGACACCATGCCAGCCACGACTCGACCCAAGGTATGGGTTTGATAGGATGTGTGAAGAGACCGCCGCTGCAGCCAGAGCAGCCGAAGTTGCAGGAGAGGAGATGGAGGATAGTGCTATTCGAAAGCCTCGTCTTGCGTCCGTCTTGTAGATCCACGTTTGGCGTTGTTTTGCATCCGTGATTCAAGGACAATAGAAGAAAACCTCTCAGACCAGAAAGTCGCGCTGAAGACAGGCATGTCCGTATCCGTGAGTAGAGATCCGATTTGCAAGAGAGTGAAAAACTGAGCTAGTTGTACAGGTATATAGAGAGCGCTAACTGAGAAAAGTACACGATTCAAGGATCGGTCTATGTTGCGAATGCGAGGGCCAGAAAGCCTATTGCTGATGATGTATCGCAGGACTATTTAGCCCAGAGTTGACATTACTTGGTTGAGCTTCCTCCTCCTCACCCTCCTCCTCCTCATCTTCCTCTTCATCTCCTTTCGACCCCCTACCTGCACCAGCACCACCTCTCTTTCTCGCCTTGGGATTATTCTCCTGTTCCATCCGGTATCTTGACAAATAAACCCTTAACACCTCTTCATAATTATCAAAGCCCAGTACTCGCATAGCGTACAAGATATCATCTCCGTTGATCGTCTTTCTTTTTTCCGCTGCACACTTATCACTTGCTTCGCTGGTAATGAAGGAGATAAGTTCAGAGACGCAATCTTGAACGCACTCTTTAGCATCTTTTGCGATCTTAGCGTTTTCGGGTAGAGAGCGTTTCATAATCCGAGAAATGTTTGCGATTGGTAGATCCGGGTCCGGAAACATAGCCGTATATATGGGGTGTGAGGATAGTTGGTTCAGGTCGACTGAGGATGAGGAGTTTGGGGTGGAGGTGCCGGGAAGGTGCGAATGCGAGTTGTGCGGGTGGTAGGATGCTGGGGTTGAGTGGTCTGATGATGGACCGTCGTGCAGCGGTGGTGCTGCTGAGTTTGGTGTTGAGGGAGGCATCTTGTTCTCGAGCTTGATTGGATGAGACTGAGAGATAGTGAGCGCAAGATGACAGGATGATGCTCCGGTCAACGACGGAGAGGTTTTACGCAAAGGTGAAGTCCGATAACGTTCGGAGGAGATAAACCTTGTTCGAGAGCTAAGTTCGTTCCCAATGGGGTACTTTCAATGCCTGTGCCAGTTCAGAAGTTGCTGACAGCGATGGCAGGGTGGACAGCAAAAATGAGGATGGTATCGTATCGTATCGTATCGTATCGTATCGTTGTGGTCAAGTGTTAGAAGCGAAGGATGAAATCGGAAGCAACCACTCCACACGACCTTACAGCTCGAAATTTTATCTTTTCAACGAGGTTAGTCAACAGTGACTTCTCGCCCATTTATCGTTCTTGACAACGCGTAAAAATTGTTGGAAAAGGAGGCTGAGAAATTGAGGAAATAAAGAATGTTAAGTTGTTTAACTCGGGTGTGGAGTTGCTGCGCGTTGGTGTCACGTGCCCCTTTGCTCACCATTGAAAAATTGCGCACGTATCCATTCGCACGATAAGCCGCGGAGCTGCAGGCGAGAGAAGGGTCCTCATTTCTATGTTTTTCCGGGCAGCCTCATGGCTCACCTGACCGTCCAGCCACCGATTTCCGAAGCCACACGATGCTCCTAGCTTCTGTCCTTTGGCATACAATCTGAACGCTCATATGACACAGAGCCACACAGAATGGCTGTGAGGAAGGTGACAGTCTATGTTGCTGAATCTAACAAGCGAACAAATGCGAAAAAAATAATATAATCTACTGAGCCTAGGGCTGCTGCTGCTGCTGCTGCTTCTTGTAAGGAACAACGACCTTGGTCACAAAAAAGTCATGCAACCTCGTATCAGGTGTCAATTCTGGGTGGAAACTGGTCATCAGAATCTTGCCCTGCCGCAAAGCAACAATCTGAGAATCGTGTTCTGGACGACGTGTGATGTCCATTCTGGAGTCTCGTTGGGCGATGTGTGCTGCTACAGGCTGATTCTGGGATGACTTGGAGGTGGTTACTGGTTCTGGGAGTGCAGCAAGGATCTCGATAGGAGGACGCTTCTGCGCTGAGCGAACGGGATCTGTTTCGTCGTAGAGTGGAGGAGCGACAACGATGCCTAAGGTGGGTTCGACGGGTGCGAGTTTGGGCAAGGGTGATTCCCATGCCTTTGCTGCTAACTCGGCGTTAGGGGTGAGTGGGATAGCGTTGGAAGTTGTGGTAGGGGTGGGGATGGTAGGTGGGAGAGAGTTGGCTTCGACACGCTTCACTAATGTTGGTTGGTCCACTGCCACTTTCTCTAGATCGCTTGGAAGGAGGAGAGCGTCAACGACAGGCGCCCGAATAAAGACACCGTTGAATGGCTCTTGCTCCCTCTCCAAGCCATGGATTGTCAAGCCAGTCTCGAAGGAATCGACTTGCGTTCCGAAGCCGTTTCTTCCTACTCTGACATCCACACCGCCGATCAATTGCTGACCGCCCTTCTTACCTCCACTAGCCTCACGAGCGAGCATGATCATCCCAGCACATGTACCCCATACCGGCTTACCATCACGCACCCACTTGCGAAGTGGCTCAAGCAGCCCAATGCGTTCGCAACCGAGAGAGATGGCGGTCGACTCGCCTCCAGGGATGATGAGAGCATCGCAGTCGGCGAGTTGCTCGGCTGTGCGAACGAGTGAAGAACGGATGGTGTGAAGAGGGTGCAAGGTGTTCAAACGGTTGACGTGGGAAGCGTGCTCGCGGAATGCACCTTGGATGGCGAGCACTCCGACGTGAATGGTCATGCTAGTGCTGGATGAGGATGGGGAGGGAGAGATGGAGCCATTGTTGCCGTTGGCGAGGGCTGCACCTGTTGCTATGCCGATGCCGGCCATTGACGATGCTTCCTGCTCGATGGTCCGAGGCGCTAAGATGGCTTGATGCGGATCAAGATGAGAAGAGCCGAATGCCTTGCTCGTATTTCGTGCTGTTTGCGGAGGTGTTTGAGGATGAAGGAGATCGTGATGGAAGGGTCGTTGGGCTCCTTTGCTAAACGGATCAATTTGAAAGGGCAGCAGCGTGAATAAGCCGTCAAGCGGGAATCCCGTTGAACCGTTCGCAGTGTTAAGTCGAGAAGAAATTCTGACTCGGAAGAAGCAACGCAACTCCAAATTCTCCAGCTCGCCACCGTTTTCTTCCAGAAAAATGCTTTGTGCAAACAAAGTCGACGTAACAGTCTCTAGCCTTTTTTTTTGCAAGTTCTCGGCTCCGATTTTCTGTGGCGCGCGAAGAGTGAGAGCAAACAGACCTTCCTAAAGTCACAACTGGCTTGAACTCAGTCTCCACCCTTCCATCTTGCTCTTCACCACCACCCATCACCCTGATCCATCTCAGAGTACGATCTCATATTCCGATCGACGGACGGTCAGGCAGGCGAGAGAGCACAGCAACGTTGCTTTTCTTGTCCAAGGTGTGCGCGCAACCATGCCGCCTCGCAATAGGACCATCGACTTGCCTGTCGCAGTCAACGAGTCCATCTCGCTCGATCTCGACCCTCTTCCCCCCGCAGAGGACATTCAAGTCTTCTTGGAAGCGCTCGCCTACGAATGTCCTCCCTCCAAGTACTGGACTCGTCTCGCTTCGCAGCTCTACATCGAGAATCGCATCCCAGAAGCCGTTCAGGTCTGTGCTCAGGGTGTTGAGGTGCTTGCTTCTCACAAGCCTGCCGAGACCATCCCTCTTCATGCTCTTCTCGCTTCTTTCGCTCTCAACAACGCAAGGAACGCACCTAAACTTATCCTTCAGGACGCACGCTATCAGCGTCTCGCCAACCAGCAGCTCAAGGAGTCTTTCTACGGCCAGTCCACCGTCCACCAGTCTCATGCCAACGCACTTGACCCAAAGCACCACATCAACCAACTCTCCAAAGCTGTCTTCCTCACCACCACTGGCCAGAACGATGGTGCTGCCGTCATCTTTGATGCCATCCTCAATCAGAATCCGCGACACGCCCTTGCTCTGCTCGGAAAAGCTTGCATCCTCCTTCGAAAGCGACAATATGCTCCTGCCCTCAAGCTCTACCAGCAAGCACTCGAAGTGAGCATCCTCGTCCAGACAAAGGCGGACAAGCAAGGTGACAATGCAAAGACCCTCGGATGGCGAGGTCCTGATCCTCGTGTTGGTATCGGTCTCTGTCTTTGGGGTCTCGCTCATCACGATGCCGCCCGGAAAGCTTGGAAGCGCGCTGTCCAGGTAAACAAGCAGAACGCTGCTGCTCACTTGCTCCTCGGTATCTCGAGTCTCAACCTTGCCAAGCAGACCGCTCGTCTTGTTCCTGGAACCTTTGGCGCCCATGTGGAGCGATCGGAAGAAGAAGCCCGTGAGCTTGCATACACCGAGGGCATGTCCAGCTTGCAAGAGAGCTGGAAGCTCGACAAGAAGAATGCTACCGCTGCCATTGTCATGTGCGAGTACTTTATCGACAAGGCTTCCCAAGCTGAGAACCAGCCAGGTTCTGCGGTCGAGGCAGAACAAGCTGCTATGGCTCACTACGCTACCGCCCTTAAGCTTGGAGAGCACGCTATCCAGTATGCTGAAGCGCGTGTTGGCCTCAACCACGCTCAGCTCATCTATGCTCGTGCATCTCATCTTGCCTCTCAATTCTCCATAAACGCTACTCAACCCGAGCTCCGCTTGCAGGCTCAGCGATATTACATGCGCGTCATCGACGACGTCACTCGTGTGCTCTCAAGTTCTACCGTTTCCAACTCCCCCAACAACGCCCCGTTGCACCTCTGCCTCTCGCTTGCTACGCTTGGTCTTGCTCAGTGCCAGGTCGCCAACCGTGATCCGCTTGCAGCTATTAACACCCTTGACCTTCTCACCTCCCGACCTTCTCACTCGGCCTCGGCAACACAATCGATCGAACTTTCGCTGCTCGCGGCTAGTCTGCGAGCACAGTCGCATCCAGGTGCCACTGCTTCCGAGCGTCAAGCTGATGCTGAACGAGCTCGAATCATCCTCGACCGTGCCTTGCGTCTTATCGAGGCTGCTAAGCTCGATGCCTTTGGTCCTCAGTCGCTCTTTGCCCAGCCTGACGAGTTCCACTCCGCCTCGTCTGGCAAAATGTCTAATGCCACCGCCAATGCTGCGACAGATGTTCCGGCTGCTCTTGCCAAAGCTTCGCTTTCGATCCGCACCGAGGATCTCTCCAAGACCGCGCTCGAAGCTATTGCCAGTCTCGGATCTGATCCTCTCACTCGTGTCGAGTTTGCTGAGCTGCTGCTTCAGACCGAAGACTTGGTTCGTGCCTCAACTGCATACGCTGAAGGTCTCGAGCTTGCCAAGGCCAAAGCCAACAGCGATGGGAAAAACAGCGATGCCATCGAGGACGACGAGGCTGCAACCAACGCGGCTCTGCTTGCCAGTCTCGAGACTTGCCTTGGTGCTGTGCTTGCCATTCGTGCCTCTGACATTCCCACCAGAGACCAACAGAGGGAGGAAGAGCGCAACTGGCTGCTTCAGCGAGCTATCACACGTCTCGAGTCTGCTGTCACTGCTAGTGCTAACGCTGTCAATGCTTTTAACGCTTCTGCTGCCTCGGCACCTGCCACTACCGCCCGTCTCGAGGCTCAGAGGACCGTCGACGCCGTCAAGCTCATCGCCTCGTACAACCTCGGTCGTGCCAACGAGGCTGCCGACAATGTCGATGTGGCTCGGGATGCTTACCAAGCTCTTCTCCGCGGTCATCCCGAATACACCGATGCCAAGGTGCGTCTTGCTATTCTCAACGTCGCCCAGGCTCCGATGGCATTGGATGGGCCCGAGGCCGCAGCACAGATCAAGGCTCAGCGGGATGCTGCCAACGCCTTGCTGAAAGAAGCGCTCGACTCTGACCCAGGCAACCTTGATACTCGCTCCACCTATGTCTGCTTCCTTGCTGGCGAGTTCCCTAGCAGCCCGACACCGTCGTGGGCGGCGATCAAGGAGTTCACCGCTCGTTTCTTCGCCAGTGGTACTGAGGCGCCGTTGCAGGCTGCATTTGGAGGTGCGGCTGCTGCCAAAGCTTCTGTTGAGTTGGGTCGACGCGATCCACACACTCTCTCGTCGCTCGGTTGGGCATACTATCAGCTCGCAGTGCACGCTTCGGGTCCTAGTGCTAAGGCTGAGCGCAGTAAGAACATGATGCGTGCTACTGATCTTATGGACAAAGCGTTGCAGACTGATGCACGATGTGCGTTTGCTGCTCAGGGTATGGCTATCTTGCTCGCCGAAGACGCCTTTGCAGAGACAGCGGGCGGAACTTCGCTCACTCTCTCCTCGACGCTTGGTGGTGCGCCTGAAGAGCGCAGAAAGGCTAACGCGGACGAAGCGATCGCCATCCTCTCCAAGCTTCGTGAGGTACGAGACGAGGGCAGCGTCCACGTTTGTATCGGACACGTCCTGATGCAGAAAGAAGAGTTCGAACGTGCACACAAAGCCTACGAGCTTGCCTCGAAGCGTTTCTTCGACGGTACCAACGCCGCTGTTGTTCAGTACGTCGCACGTGCAGAATACGCTATCGGTATGAAGACCAAATCTTTTGCCAGCCTGCAGAGCTCAATGCAGCATCTCGAACAAGCACGCGAGTTGGTCATCAAAGAACGCGGTTTCGACCATCCGGAATGCCGTCAGATCGAGTACAACTTTGCCGTTACCGCACAAAAAGGCCTACAGATGCTGTTCGATCTGCAGAAAGACCGCAAGACGGCAGAAGCATTGCGCGATGCTATTGCTGCTGTCGAAAAGGTCCAGCCTTTGCTTGTTGCGCCTGCTGATGCCAGTGCTCCGCAAGAAGCACCAATGGGCAAAGAAGGTTCGCTGATCGAAGCAGCCAAACGTGGTCAATTGCTATGGATGTCACCGGACGTCATCGAACAGCGAGGCAAGTACGGTGCCTCTTCGCTCCTCCAACGTGCCACACAAGCCCTTGCTGATCAGGAGAGCTACGAATCGGAAATGCTCAAGAAGAAACTCCAAGTCGCTGCCGCACGCAAAGAAAAGGAACTGGCACGAGAACAAGAACGTATTCGCAAAGAAGAAGAGTACCGCGCACAACTCGAGGCTATGACTGAAAAGCGTAAGGCTCTACGCGAGGAGGCGGCAAAGATTGAGTATCTGCGAGAGACCACACCGGAGAAAGAGCCGAGAAGGAGGGCAGCTAAGAGGGGAGATGTTACTTCAGGAGAGGAAGATGCACCGGATACGATGGCTGAGAAGGGTAAAAAGCGTAAGCGGACTGGGGGGAAGAAGAAGAAGGGGAAGAAGAATGTTGATAGTGATGAGGAGCAGGATGAGAGCGATGGCGAGGGATTGTTTGGTGGGGGAGGTAGTGGAGATGAAAGTAGCGATAGTGATAAGGATGATGAGGATGGGGATGAAGAGATCATTCGAAATGGAGCTAAGCTTCTGGCGGAGGAAGGTGAGGGTGGGGAAACGAGAAGTGGGAAACCGAGCAAGCTTTCGAAGTTGGCCAAGTCGAAGAAGTCCAAAGGAAAGAAATCTTTGTCGTCAAAATCAGACGCTGGAAGGAAGAAGAGGAAGAGTTTGAAGCGGGCCAAAGCGAAAGATTCTGATGAGGAGGAGAACGACAATGAAACGGCCGCGAACGAGGGTGATAGCGAGGAGGACACGGGTAGAGTTAGGAAGAGTAGGAAGGGTGTTTTCGATGAAAGCAGTGATGAGGACGAGAATGCGGAGGTGGAGAAGAAGAAGAAAAGCAGCGCGCCAAAGGGTAGAACCAAGAAGGCCAAGGTCACGAACGATATCATTGACAGTGACGAGGAGATGGCGTTGCTCGACGTGGAGTAATACATTGAGGTGGATTACGGACCATTTCACGTCAAACGCATAACGGAAGCTAACATAGGGCAATTGAGATCCGTACACATACCTTGAATGCAACCTGTGATCTGAGATGAGGATGCTGACATGATGGCGTGGACGATGTCCGTGTGGATGCCAATAGCTCGTATGGACGCGACACGAATATGATGAAATGTGGACAGAAGGATTGAGTTGGTGTTGTCACTGGAGACCGTCCGCGGCGTCAATTCTCAGACCTGGCAGGATGTGAGACCCTCTGCTTCTTCGTCTGACTAGAATGAGGAAGGATAAGGCGAGACTGAGTAGAATGCTTAGTCTGGACCGTCAAGTTGGTGACAGCAGCCAGGGATGCGAAAGAAACCTACAACAATGTGGGTGGGGCCTCATGACCAACCTTTCGGAAGCAGCTTCACACCAGCCCACACCGATCTTGACCGCATCATTGGTTCGGGTCCCTACATTAGCTAATCTGAGGCTTAGACATTGGTAAGGTAAGCATTGGTGCAAGGTGATGATCTTCAATCTGGCCCCATCCTCTTCAGCATGACTAAGTCTATGGGAAGGGCAAGGGAGATGGAAGAGACCAGCGGCCTCGACCACTGGAGCAAAGGTCGCGCGGGCTATCCCCGGGAAATCTCAAGATTTGTGAATTTTGCCAATCTCACATTGTGAAATTGAGCGGTTAAGAGAGGCGAAAGGCCACTTTCAGATTTCAACTCTCTGGTAATAGAAGTGAAGAAGTTTTGGTCCCGATAACTGGCGATCGGGGAGAGTCTAAGTACGATGTCACTACTTCTTTAAGGCAGAAACAAATATACTCAAATGACTAAGGAGCATAGTGAGGAACTAGTGTCCTCCGCTTGATATATATACAACTATGGGGTGCGTGCCGAATGTGGGAGTATCCTTCTTCATGACCTAGCCTGACAACGAGCGGGGCTACGTTGCACCCGATTTCTAGACAAATCTATCTCATCTGATCGCCGATTGTGTTTATGTCAGCATGGATCATCATATCGGATCGCTTCCTTCGGCATCTGGTTCTTTCATCTTACGCTTTTTCTTCGGAAGGCCGGCTTTTAGGCAAGCTGCCGCAAAAAGGGAAAGAGTGTCGCTTTTGTGTTTGCCCCACAGCGAAAGCTCCACCTTGGTTCTGCATAAGATCCTGCCACCATCATCCATACGGGCAATCGCTTTCCCCCCTGCGCTTTGGAAGCGATAAGCGTCTCTGCAGGAGCTCCTCACCGTTGCACAGATCCTACCGAAACAACATAAGAGGTTCAAGCTTGTCACCTTACATAAGGGTCCTCCTCAGTGTCGATAAGAACATATTCGTCGTTGTCTCAGCCTAGCGACGCCTTCGTTGCTCACGATATGCAGGAAGCTGACTGTTTCGTTGAAGGCATCCCAACGCAATCGCTCTCGCGCACTTCCACCCGCCTCTCCACAAGCAATAGCTCTCTCGCCAATATGTTCGACCCGATAGAAGAAGCAGTAGCGGACATCAAAGCTGGCAAGTTCGTCGTCGTCCTCGACGATGAAGATCGTGAAAACGAAGGAGACCTCATCATTGCCGCATCTCTCTGCACCACCAAGCAAATGGCTTGGTTCATCCAACATACTTCCGGATTCATCTGCATTTCTCTTACCCCGGAACGCATCGCTGAACTCCAAATCCCTATGATGGTACCAAACAATACGGAAAAGAACAAGACAGCTTACACCGTCACAGTCGACTACAAGCACGGCACCACAACCGGTATCTCTGCTCACGACCGTGCCCTCACTTCCCGTCAACTTGCCGACGGATCGCTCAAAGCGACACCGGAGGACTTCACAAGACCAGGACACATGAACCCACTACGATACACAGAAGGAGGCGTAAGGGTGAGAATGGGCCATACGGAAGCAAGTGTAGATTTGTGTAAATTGGCCGGGTTGCCGCCGGCAGGGTTGCTGTGCGAGTTGGTGGATCCGGATGATGAGCAGGGAGGAATTGCCAGTAGGGATGCTTGCTTGAAATTTGCAAAGAAGTGGGGGTTGAAGGTGACTACGATCGAATTGTTGAAGAAGTACAGGGAGAAGACCGAGGGAGAGTTGAGAGCAGAGGTGAAGGCGAGATTGGTGGGTGACGAAGCAAGGGGCGTCAAGATGGATGGACAGAAGGTGGTGCCGCCTACTGCTGCGAATGATGTTATAGCATGATCTATACCGAGTCTCCATCTCTTTCTGATATCAGATCACTTGACGCACTACTCTAACATTCTGTCGGCAACTGCATTGTCGCATTACAATACTTGTTTGCCTTGCTATCACCTTTCCACCGGCTACGTTCAAGAGTCGTCTCAGGATTGTACCTTTCTCCATGATACCGTGCCAAGACATGTTGATACATCAACGACTACGTCTGATATGTCTGTCTAGGAGCCCAACAGTGGTTCTCATTCGCAGCTTCCCGAGCGACTTGTGATGGTGAGCGCTTCTCTGCCGCCCTATAATTTTGGGAAGAGTTTAATAAATCTAACAAACACGCGAAATTCCAAATCGTACGAGTTGAAGATTGCAGATAAAACGCGACCGATCGGAGCCACTAGCAAGCTCTCGTATGCAGTCATATTACTTCTTGAATGCTTATCTTATATTCATGTGATGCTATATACATGGTCATATATATACTTAGTGATCTCCTTCAGCCTGTGCAAATGTGCGATGTGTCACTCCTCATGTTACTCCTGTGTTGTCGCCTCTTGTGCATTATTGTAACAACTCCTATGCATCCCACATGTGTCACCACCTGTATGCACCTTTACCTAATTATTAGATCGCTTAAATTCTGTGGACCCCATATGATTCCATGGACCCCATGAATCCCATTGGGATGCTGACACATCTTCAACTCCCCCCTTTGACGGCATTACCAACCCTAACAACTGAGATAGCCAGGATGTTGCTAAACCCTTCAATGGTTTTGTTAAAATGTCTGCAACATTGTCTGCCGTTCCAACAAATTCTATCTCTATCTCCCCATCCTGAACATGATCCCTAATGAAATGATATCTGGTGTCTATGTGTTTCAATTTCCAGTGCTTTGCTGGATCCTTACTCACCTGTATACATCCCTGACTATCTGAATGTAAGACTGGATGGGCAGCGTCGATTTCTAAGTCCCTGAGGAGGTATGAAAAGAAGAGTGCCTCTCTCACTGCTTCTGAGGCGGCAACGAACTCAGCTTCCACTGCTGATAGCACCACACATTTTTGGACATGTGACTTCCAGCTAACTGGGCACCCATATATATACGTCATTGCTCCCGATGTGCTTCTCCATCCATTCATTGGGTCTGAGGCCCAATTGGCGTCACTATACATGACAATCGGTTGCTTCAAGTGTTTGCTTGATCTGCTCCCAAGGTTCAGTTGGTAGTCACTGGTTTGGTTGAGATACTTCATCAAGTGTATAGCAGCCTTCCATGTGCTGTTGGTTGGGGTCAACATATATCTTGCCAGTATTCCCACTGTGAATGATATGTCGGGTCATGCGGTATTTGCTACCCATAACAATTGTCCCACCAGTTCTTGGTATTGTTTTGCCTCTAGGGAATCACATTTATCGTTCCCTATGGCATTAGGTATCTCTGGCATTGGTACCCATGATTTCTGATCCGTCAACTGTAACCACTTACTCACCATGGCCTTGGTGTAAGCGGTTAAATCAATTGACATCTCCCTTCTTGTCCTGTTTCATTTGATGTTGATGCCGAGGAACTCTTTCACTGGGCCATTATCTTCCGTTCCCCACTTGGACATTATCTCCTTTTTGGTGTGATCCACCTCCTTACGACTGGGTGAGGCTATGAGCATGTCGTCGACATAGGCTGTGATAATAGTTAGGTTACTTCCAGTTCCTCTTGAATACAGACAAGGTGCACTCGGCATGCAGTGAAAGTCTATGCTCTGTAGGTATGAATCCAACTCTATGTTCCATTCTCACCCTGATTGTTTCAGTCCGTACAGTCCTTTTACTAGCTTCAAGGCCTTTCCAGGTGGGATTCTCATTCCAAGCAGCAGTTTTAAGAATACATCATGATGTAGCGTTGAGTTTAGATATGCTTGCTTGACATCAATACTATCTACTTCCCAGTCACGAACCACTGCTATGGCTAAGACTCCTCAGATTGACTGAATGGGTGCGACAGGCGCAAACACTTCAGTGTAGTCTATACCTTCTCTTTGGGTGAAACCTCTCACCACCAGTCTTGCTTTAAACTTCATCGGGATGAGATTTGTGTCTGTTTTGATTTTTAAAACCCAACATGTGTCGATGGCATGCATACCTTTGGGGAGATCGACGATTTCCCATGTATCCATGGCTTTCAAACCATCCAGTTCTTTATGCATTGCTTCCTCCCAATGTTTCCTGTCCTCTCCTGACAATGCTTCACTAACTGTTGGGTCTAGGTTTCTTCTCTTTCGATTGTTTATTGCTGTGAGTCCATAGTGATTGCTATTGGTCCATGTGTCGTCAAGCGTGTTGGTGTCGGTATCGGCCCCGCATTCTATTGCCTTTGTTGTATCTTCACCCAGATCTTCTTCGTTGTTCAATCCATCTGTTTCTTTCATATTCATGTACTCATTCAGCGGCTCCTCCTCTTGTTCGTCGAAGAGGTTCATATCTGTGTATCCAAGATCATCTATGTCTCCTTCGTCTGCTAGTACTGGTGGTGGGTGTATGTTTACTGGTTTCCACTCTGTTTTGTCAGACCAGCATTTTGTCTCCATGAATCTAGCTGAGTTGCTCCAAAAGATGTTTGGGCTGTAGTCCGGGCTGTAGAAGAGCCATCCTTTTCTTTCCAGACTATACCCCAAGAAGAAAGATGCTACTGCTTGTTGATCTAACTTTTTATTATCTCTTTTGACCTTGGGGACGTTTACCCATGCTAAACATCCAAAAACGTGTAGGAGTCTTATGAGTTGTTCTGGCGACTTCCCAAACATGACTTGGTATGGGAACTCACCATCAACGCTCGGAATGAGGTTCATTTTGAAGGCTGCGGTCCAGATTGCATAGGGCCAGAAGCTCTTCGGTAACCTCCTTTGCATGAGTAGCATTCGCATCTTCTCACCCAAGCTTCTGTTCATTCTCTCCACACATCTGTTCTGTCTGCTATTGTACCCTACTGTCATTTGCCATTCAATGCCCTTTTCATATGCCCACTGGAGCACGTCATTGCTTCTCCATTCTGTACCTTGGTCAGATCGTATTGCTTTCAGATTCTTTCCCATCTGTGTCTCGAGATATGATATGATTGTTTTGAGCTTGGGAAACGCATGACTCTTTCGTAGCAAAGGCTGTGCATATACATACTTGCTGTAGTTATCAACCAGTACCAATGTGCATGTGTATTCCGTCATGTGCAACGAGTCGACTATCAAGTTGATGTGGATGAGATCAAGCAGAGAGACAGATTTCTCTCCACTACCTTGCCCCATTCGGGCTGCTGTGCTTTTGGATCGGATGCATGGCTCACACATTGTAGCAGTCCCTGGGTTTAGGTCTGCTGTGTCATTTTCTCCTAAGCAGTTGATGATGGCCCTCGTCTTATCTTGACCTGGATGTCCCAGATGTTCATGCCATAGTTGTTGTTCAGATATTTTGGCTTTGTTCTCAATATGCTCGAAATCTTCATCAACACCTTCAAATAATGACGTTGATGTGATCATTGCATTTTCCTTCCATGTGTCGCCTTGAAACTCCAACAGTCCTCACTCGCAATTCTTGGATATTTTGAGTAGCATACCGTTTGCTAAGTGTATTTGCCCTCCGGTTGAGTCTAGCGTCACTCGTGCTCCTTTGTCTGTCAGAGAATTTGTTGACAATAGGTTAACATTGAGATGCTGAACATACAATACATTTTGGAGAAAAACATCTCCATGACTTGTTGATATGCTAGCATCCCCTATAGCAGTCGCTTCCAGAACCTTGCTTCCAGCGGTGAATATGCACTTTCGGCAGGTTCTCGGACTAATGAGCATGCTATAGTTGTTTACCATATGATAGCTGGCACCCGAATCTAGGATCCAATGATGGTTCCCTTTTGAATCTGGGTGGCTCTGCCAACTTGGTGCAAAAGAGCACCAGGCTTCCTATTTGGGCCTGGCAAGGGGGAATTTTCTGGTATGGTCACTGATGCATCACATTGACTGATCCCATGTCCAGGCCTCTTGCAGATCCAACATCTGAGCCTTCGAGGTCTAGTGGTGACTTTGGCGCTGGTGCTGTCAGTGTCCTTTTCGTCTTTCTCCTCCTTTCCAGGTGTCTCATCCTGGTCGTTGCTGCTGACGACTCTGGCACTTGCTTGATGGGGGTCAACTCTTGGGGTGGGGTTGTTCTCGATCGCTGACTGCCGAATAGATAGGGCAGTGGCAAGGGCATTAAAACTAAGCTGGCTGACAGTGGCGATGGTCTCCTTGTACATTGGGTGTTGGATAGTGCACTTTTGTAGATTAGAGAACAGAGTATCGTCAGCGAATGGCTTTCCCAGTAAGCTGCTCTCCATTTGGATGGTCCTTATTTCCTGGATGAGCTTTCGTATGTCTGAGTTGTGCATCCTTAGTTTGCCTAGCTGAGTGATCAATGCAATATGATGAGATATGGCAGTGGCCTCATTGGTGAGTCCATTTTCAATCTTCTTCCATACATGATGGAACGTATGGTGCTCCCTGATGATGTTAAGAATCAAGTAATTGATATTGTGCTCTCTGGTGGTGTCAATGGTACTGCGTAATGCATTTGTCAAAGCATCATCGAATGTGCAGTTCCATTTGGGATGTTTCTTGTTGTACGCTCCATCAAGATGCTTCATGGCGTGAGGAATACATCATAGAAAGGACTTGATATGGGCATTCCAACTATAATAGTTGTGCGATGTGAGTTTTGGGATGGGCTCAAGTAGTTTTGCTAGAGTACGAAAATTGTATGGCTTTCTGTTGTTGTTGTGATCTGAGTCAGAGTCAGTTTCTTCCTCAGTGTCATCGTCAATCACCTCAGTGTCTGACTCGTTGGTGGCCTCGTTGTCAACGGCTTGTGGTTGCATTGCCTTTCCTTTTCTTCCTCCTTTGGCCTTGCTTGTGACAGCTTGAGCTTCGGCCTCTTGTACCATGTTGTCGATGGTCCTGGTTGGCTTAGTCGGTAGAGCTTCAGACTCTTAATCAGTTGAAGATTGCAGATAAAACACGACTGATCAGAGCCACTAGCAAGCTCTCGTACGCAGTTGTATTACTTCTTGAATGCTTATCTTATATTCATGTGATGCTATATACATGGTCATATATATACTTAGTGATCTCCTTCAGCCTGTGCAAATGTGCGATGTGTCACTCCTCATGTTACTCCTGTGTTGTCGCCTCTTGTGCATTATTGTAACAACTCCTATGCATCCCACATGTGTTGCCACCTGTATGCACCTTTACCTAATTATTAGATCGCTTAAATTCTGTGGACCCCGTATGGTTCCGTGGACCCCGTGAATCCCGTTGGGATGCTGACGCATCTTCAACTGTACGTCCTGAGCTGTCTCGAATTGTTTTTTTTTGGTTTTTTGGTTTTTTGTTTTTTGTTTTTTGTTTTTTGTTTTTTGTTTTTTGTTTTTTGTTTTTTTATGTTTTGTTCTTCTGGCTTCTTCCCTTTGGAGGAGGCGTTCAAGAAGAATTCAAGTTGCACTTTCCAGCTTGGGAGACACACACACACACATTGAGCAACACTTCTCTCTTCGCAAAGGCAACCAACACATCACTTTTTACCTTTTCGATCCGCGCGCTGATCATCTTGACTTACTCTGATCACAGCTACTCACCTCAGGAGCTACCGTCGCCTGCTGGATCCTGCATCACCGAAGGCTTCTTCCAAGCTTAGCAGCACACAATGTCGGCACCCATCTTTGCCCAAGAGGCCACCCAAGAGCGTGCTGAGAATGCACGTCTCTCTTCCTTCGTCGGTGCCGTCGCTCTTGGTGACCTTGTCAAGACCACGCTCGGCCCTAAAGGAATGAATAAGATCCTCCAGTCCGTCGGCTCGAACGATATCGTTGTCACCAATGACGGAGCTACCATCCTCAAATCCATCCACCTCGACAATGCCGCAGCCAAAATCCTCGTCAACATCTCCAAAGTCCAAGACGACGAAGTTGGTGACGGCACCACCAGTGTCTGTGTGCTTGCAGCCGAACTTTTGCGCGAAGCAGAAAAGTTGATCGAAATGCGGATCCACCCTCAAACCATCGTCGAAGGATACCGCATCGCCTCTGCTGCAGCTCTCAAAGCTCTCGAAGATACCGCCGAAGATCACGGTACCGACCCCACCAACTTCCGCAACGATCTCCTCAACATTGCTCGTACCACGCTCAGCTCAAAAGTTCTCAGTGCGGACAAGGATTATTTTGCCGACCTTGCTGTCGATGCTGTTTTGCGTCTAAAGGGAAGCACCAACTTGGAGCATATTCAGATTATCAAGAAGCCTGGTGGAAAGTTGACAGATTCCTACCTGGATCAAGGTTTCATTCTGAACAAGAACATTGGCACTAACTGTCCCAAGACGTTGAACAATGCCAAGATCTTGATTGCCAACACTTCGATGGATACGGATAAGATCAAGGTTTTCGGTGCACGAGTACGCGTGGAGGGCACAGGCAAGTTGGCTGAATTGGAGAGGGCAGAGAGGGAGAAGATGAAGGCCAAGGTGGACAAGATCAAGGCTCATGGAATTACTTGCTTTGTCAACAGGCAGTTGATTTACAACTATCCGGAAAGCTTGTTGGCTGAAGCTGGAATCATGTCGATTGAACATGCTGATTTCGAAGGTGTCGAGAGGTTGGCTCTAGTTACGGGAGGAGAGATTGCCTCTACGTTCGACAGGCCTGATTTGGTCAAGATCGGTCAATGTGGAAAGATCCAAGAGGTGATTATCGGGGAGGATAAACTCATCAAATTCTCGGGCGTTGCAGCTGGTGAAGCTTGCACGGTGGTGCTTAGAGGTGCGACTAGTCAGATGTTGGATGAAGCCGAAAGGTCGCTTCACGACGCACTCTCTGTTCTTTCCCAAACTGTTGGTGAGACCCGAGTCTTGCTGGGAGGTGGTTGCGCAGAGATGTCCATGTCTAAGGTCGTCGATGAAGCTGCTCGTTCGACTTCCGGTAAGAAGGCCATTGCTACCGAATCCTTTGCCAAAGCTCTCCGACAACTCCCCACCATCCTTGCAGACAACGCTGGTCTGGACTCGAGCGAACTCGTCGCTCAGCTTAGAGCCGCTCACCAGCAAGGCAACAAGACAGCCGGCTTGGATTTGGATAACGGAAAAGTGGCAGACATGAAGGAGAGGGGAGTCAGGGAGTCTTACAAGCTCAAGAGACAGGTCGTGGTCTCGGCAACGGAGGCAGCGGAAATGATCTTGAGGGTCGACGATATCTTGAAGTGCGCTCCTAGGAGACGTGAGGCTCACTAGATGCAGTCATCATCAGCAGCTCGAACGCACAATGACCTTCATGTAACTCTATCCAAAACTCAAAAACACAGACTTTACAAACAACGCAACTGAAGCCAGCCTCACGAGTGATACCCTGTGAAAGATAAGATCGTGCACTCTCAATTGCACGCCCGTCTAATCAAATAGCACCGACACAGTGCGTGATAGAAGGTAACAAGAGAGATTGCAAAGCGGTATGACAGTACAAAGTTCAAGACTCGCAAGTCTTTCGACGTCTAATCACGCTCAGCCAACCTCTCCAAGATGACCGAGATCTCTTCATCATTCAACTTCCTAAACCTCTTTTCCTGCTGAACCTCTTTTGGCAGCGTCGAGCTGTCCAATGGAGCACCGCTGTCATCTTGTGCTGCTCTTGCTGCGTTTGGACCACCGACGATAGCCACTTCCAGTTCAGACGGCTTCAAATCCTGTGCCAACACCGTCGCCAGTGTGTTTACCGCCAGATCCAAAGTCTGTTCTTTGGAAAGGTTCGAAGAGATCTGTTCTGCTTCCAATGCTGCGGCGTCGGTTGCTGACGCTGCTTCGGGTGCTGACTCACCTGCACCAGCAGCGGCGGAGGAGTTGGAGGAAGATCTCTTGAATTGCTTTTCGAGCAAGTTGGTTGCTTCGGTTTGCTTGACACCTGCAGCGGTTGCACGGAATCCAACGTAGTATCCGGCGGGATCGATCTTGAAGATCTGAGGACCCCGTTCGGGGTCAATGCCGACAAGGATCATGCTGACGCCGTATGGACGCATAGCAGCCCGCTGGGTGTAGACTTGGTTCATGTTGGCCATTCGTTTGGCGAGGAGGTCGGGAGTGATAGCGTATCCGTACTTGTACTTGAAGTCGGCCGCTTCCATCTTTGCTCTTTGCACTTGGGCTCTCGCGTCGGCAACTCGACCAGTCATGATGCAGCCAATCTCGGGGGTGAGGTTGAAGATGTTGGTAACACTCGAGGCGTCAATGAGCTTGTCAGGAACCTTCTTTTGACCAACGACTACGGAACAGTCCTTGCCGCGGACGGCGATGCTGGTGAGACCAGCGGTGTTGATAGCCTTGAAGGCATATTCGACTTGGTAGAGCCTTCCATCTGGCGAGAAGATGGTAAGGTATCGGTCGTAGGATGAGCGCGACATTGTGTGAGAGCTGTGTTGCTCCTCGTGGGTGAATGTGAGGTGAGGTGGTGGTGCGAGTGCCAACGTCGAGAGCACAGTCAGCTGCGAAAGTCTAAGCACCGTGAAGAGGGAGGATAAGGTCGTTGGGAGCGATGTGAGAATGAATGATGGCTCGAGTGAATCGCAGCAAGGTGAAGGTGATACTGAGTCGACAACGTGTGGAGCAACGACGCTTTCTTGCCAACTGACGACGCCGTCTGAGCTGCTCAGAGCGAGACACTCTCACTGCCTGCACTCGATCACCACCCAAAGCGGATCTCAACATCGCCGATGGTTGCCCTCCTCCTGTTCCCGATCATGATTACTCGCACGTGATCAGAAGAAGGCGATTTTTTTTCTTTTTTCTTTTTTCTTTTTTCTTTTTTCTTTTTTCTTTTCCAAATTTCCTTCTCAGAGCTGCAGTCAACCACTTTTTCCTCCTCGTTCTGCGCTCTCCAGGCCTGGAATTTTTGGTTGTGAATTGGCGTTTTTTCTTTCTTTCTTTTTTTCTTTTTTTTTTGTCTTTTTTTTTTTTTCTTTTTTTTTTTTGTGGTCGTCGTCGTCGCCATCGGCCATCTTTACCCTCTCTTACACCCCTCCCTATCACCTCGAATTGGATCGTCTTGGATCGGTAGAGACGCCTTCGACAGCTCGCTTTCACTGCATACCGACAAAGCTCGCCCGTGTGCGCAGCCTTCCCACTTTCATTCCCAAGAACCGTTCGTTCGTCCTAGCTGAATAGCCTCGTCTGAAGCTTTTTCCCGCATTACACCGCCACCATGTCGTCCGCACCCACCCACATCCTCTTCGAGTGCGCTACCGGATGTGCCGTCTTCGAGGTTGCTGCCGTAGAGGAGATCGGCTCCCTCACCCGGGCCGTTCAGGAGAGCGTCAACGAGGTTAACACTTTCGGCAAGATGGTTAAGCTCCTCTCCTTTTCTCCCTTCAAAAACGCCCTTGACGCTTTGCAAGCGTCGCTCGACATTTCCGAGGGTGTCGTCAACGACTACCTCAAGTCGCTCCTCACTCTCAACCTCTCTTTGGGCAAGAAGAAGAGCGTCGTCCTCGGTGTTCAGGACAGGAACTTGGCTTCTTCCATCGTTGGTGAGCTCGGCATCCCATGCGACACTGGAGAGACCTCGCTCGAGCTCATCCGTGGTGTTCGTCAGCATGCCGAGAAGCTCCTCAAGGGTATGGCCGATGGTGACCTTGCCAAGGCCCAGCTCGGTCTTGGTCACAGTTACTCGCGTTCCAAGGTCAAGTTCAACGTCAACCGAAGCGACAACATGATCATTCAGGCCATCGCTCTTCTCGACACCCTCGACAAGGATGTCAACACGTTCGCCATGCGTGTTCGTGAATGGTACGGCTGGCACTTCCCAGAACTTGCCAAGCTTACCACCGACAACCTTACCTATGCAAAGCTCGCCAAGTTCATTCGCAACAAGGAGCGTCTCTCCGAGGACGACGTTGAAGACATGTCCGACATTCTTGCTGGTGACGAGACCGTGGCTAAGAACATCCTCGATGCCGCTCGCGCCTCGATGGGTCAGGAGATTGGCGAGCTCGACATGCACAACATCCTCAACTTTGCCGACCGTGTCATCAACCTTGGCGAGTACAGGAAGAACATGCACAAGTATTTGATCGAGAAGATGCACTTGGTTGCACCTAACCTTTCCGCATTGCTCGGTGAGATCATTGGTGCTCGTCTCATCTCGCATGCTGGTTCCTTGACCAACCTTGCCAAGTACCCCGCCTCGACTGTTCAGATTCTCGGTGCCGAAAAGGCGCTTTTCCGTGCGCTCAAGACAAAGGGTAACACACCCAAGTATGGTCTTATCTACCACGCCTCCGCCATAGCACGTGCTGCACCCAAGAACAAGGGTCGAATGTCTCGTTTCCTTGCCAACAAGATCTCGATCGCTTCCAGAATCGACTGCTTCTCCGAGACACCCACCACCAAGTTCGGTGAGGTTCTTGCAGTTCAGGTTGAGGAGCGTCTTGCGTTCTATGAGACCGGTAAGGCTCCTAGCAAGAACTCGGATGCTATGAGCAAAGCGATCAAGGCTATCGAGGAGGCTGCAGGTGATCTCATGGACGAGGATGCAGAGGACGATGAGAATGCTCAAATGCCCGCCGCTGTCGGTGTCACAGATCCAACAGACAAGAAGAGCAAGAAGGACAAGGAGTCTAAGAAGGACAAGAAGTCCAAATCCAAGTCATCAGACAAGGACAAGAAGAAGGACGTCGAAAAGGCAGCAAAGAAGGCCGCAAAAGAATCCAAGAAGGAGAAGAAGGACAAAAAGGAGAAGAAGAGCAAGAAGTAATTCCTTCTCTTGCTGCTTTTCTCGCTTTCTACCTGTTGCATCACTTCTTTTGGGTCGCTACTACCTTGGTGGTCACTCTTCTGCATCTTTTTTTTTTTTTTCTTTTCTTTTTTTTTCTTCTTCTTTTTCTTCTTCTCGATCTTGTTCATAGCCTTGATTCGCACTCTCTGTACTCTAGTCTCGTTTTCATAAACCTTTTATGGCCCGTACTCAATTTGCTTGTGCAGTATGTGCTACTCTCGGTAGGCAGGATTGATTGTGGAAGCCAAGATGCAACGGTCAATAGGTCAAGAATTTGCCGGCCGGCTGAGCGCGACCCTTTTTTAGGAGCATATCCCCATGCAACAATATCCAAAAGCCCGTGCGCCCGCTCCTATCTTTGCTTCAACCACATCCTGTTCGCAAGCCGACATCCGCCATTCCTACACTCTTCTTCACAGCAACGGGACTCACGGGATCGGACAAACAGCTCATCTTTGGCAATTAAGCAAAAGAGACAGACAGAGCCGCTCGCACACTAGACAGGTACCAAAGCTCGCTTGCACGAGGTACGAGAGAACCTTGTCATCTATCAGCGACTTGTCTCGCTGTTTCACCAAGCAACGCACTTTCAGACCTACTGATTCATCTAGAATCACGAACCGAACCAATCGAAGATGATCGCAAATCTGCCACCAACAGAAAAGCAAGCCTTCTTCGGCCTGCTAGACGAGTACTTTGCTTCTCGACCACACCGACTCCCTGCAGCAGGTACGACTACACAAACACCAGCCGCAAGAGGAAGCTTAACAGACCGAGCGACCAACTCTGTAGGCAATGCAGCTGGTGCAGCTGCAGGTGTAGCTGTGACCAACGCGCTACGCGATCAGCTCACACGAACGGGACTCTCGTCGAAAGGTCCACCACCACCTGCTCCTTCGAGTAGCAGCAAACCCGGTTTTGGTGGTCCGGCTGGTCTTGTGAGCGGCAAAGTAAGTCTTCAAACCTGATTGGATCGAGGAAGAGAGATAATTCTCTGACGACATTCTGCTTGCTGTTGCTGTTGAGGCGAGACAGACCTTTGGAGGCCTCCATATCGGACCTAAAACACAGCCAACTACGCAGGTTCCTCCAACAAGGACCACTGCCCCGCAAGCATCAGCGAGTAGAACACTTCCACCACCAACAAGAACAGGTGCAAGCGTTCCTACTTCCACCGGCACCGCTGCTGCTGTACCCGTCGTCGCTGCTGTGCCACCTGGCGTGACTGGAACCGCTCAAGTGCTGTACGAGTAAGTCGCATCACATACCAATATGGCATGGTAGAGTGAGAAACTGACATAGCTCTTTCTGTGATCTGTGATGATTGTAACAGCTACGGAGACGCTTCAGATCCAGACGACCTTGAAGCAGTTGAAGGGGAACAGATCTATCTGACTGAGAAGATTTCGGACGATTGGTGGAGAGGAATGTCGACAGACCAGAGTAGACATGGGATTATTCCTACTGCTTATGTCCGACAGCTTTGATCTGCGCAATCATAAGATGTGGTCACCAGTGATGGAGAGTTGACTCAAATCATGTCAAAAAAGTGTTGAACTAACATTGCGGCTCCTCGCCTCGGTCGTCTAAGCTTGGAGATATCTGCTTGTCGATAGCATTGCTCGCTCTTTGTGTCGAGCGAAGGGCGACATCGTTGAAGCGAGACAGTCTCGAGGCAAGTTTCCTCGATCTTGAATCGCCGATGTCCCGCGGTCAGGGGTTTCCCCGACCCCCCCGGGATAGCACTCGTCCTGCTCAGTGCACTCTGAGCTTTACCCTCACGCTTAAGCCTTCTGAGACAGGCACCGCTTCACTTTAACCGAGTTGAGGCATTTACCAACCAACTTCTTTCTCGACATCATCGTCACCATAGCCGAAGTTGCAAGCAAAGAGAGTTGATGGGGACAAAAGAGTTTGACTGCTGTGAAATGAGTGAAAGGAGGATGGGGAAAGAGACCCAGATTTACCATAAGCGCGGCTCCTGTCACCCTTGGCGAAAACCCGCGCTTACATTAGGATGAATAAACAATGGCGACAACAACAACAACAACAACAACAACAACAACAACAACAACAACAACAACAACAACAGCATGTACAGTTTCGTGCGTTGTACTCTAATCTACCTCGGCAGAAGTTGGTGGAATGATGGGGCATCGCATCGCATCACTTTGCGATACCATGTTTGATTCATTCTCTGATTGAGAAAAAGAAAAGAAAGGATGGATGTCAGGCGAGATTAATTTTAAATACCCGATCAGCGCCACAACTCCAAAAGAAAAATGCCACCACCGCCGATGAAACACCTCCAACATCAGGGCTATTGTAGGAGCTTTTTTTGCCGAAGCTGCTGAGGCCTTGGGGATGCTGACCGATTTAGAAATCCATTATGCGACAAGGGTAGAAAGTGCAACCTATGTATTTAGTCCCGCTCTTGGTCAGGAATGTAGACACAATAGGCAAGATTGGGTTAGCAAGTTCCTCTCACGGTCGTTGTTCGGCGGCATTGGCACTGTCTATCCAAAGCCCGCTTGGATATAAGCGCTTTGATGGCATGTCGTCCCCGATCCGGCTCCTCTCAGAGTCAGATTGAAGTGCCAATCTGATTTGTAAGCCTGCAGTTGCCGCAAACACCGGTCAACCAATCGGGCTTTGCACCGGATAAGCTCTTCTCTGACATGCGGCACTCCTACAAGCCGCTCCCCCGACCTTGGTGTTTCCCTTTCTGTGCGCTTTCAATTGACCGATACGGCCTAGCTGACAACCAAAGCTCTGTGCATCGCAATCAACAACCCGAGCAAGTCGTATGTGGGAAAAGCTTGCGAGCTTGCAACGGATGCGCACCTCACCTTGTGCTTCGACAAACGACTGCTGAAGGAAACGATCCAATATGATGATGCAAGTTGACGTAAGCCGATATGGAAGGGATCGGGGGAAGCCGATCTGATCGGAGATGGAGCATAGTCCGATTCGATCAGAGATCGGGTACAACAGAGTTCGTTGTCAAGCTAGATCATGAAGTAGGGTTTCATCTAGTCAATTCGAGTATATATGATTCTGTCTAAAACAGCAGTGACATCGTACTCAGACTCTCCCCGATCGCCAGTTATCGGGACCAAAGATCTTCACTTTGCAAGAACAACTTGCAAGCCAGCAGGATGCAAAACAAGCTTCCACCCCTTTTCTCCTCTCGCTCTCGTGTTGTGAGATTCTCCTGAGCAAAAGAATGCAGGCGCTTGACTGGCCACCTTGACAGATCACCTACCGTTTGGTCAGAAGGAGACGATGATGAATGAACCGTGCAGGTTTTCATGGACGACTGCTATATTTGGAAGAGAGCTGATACATGCAATACGGTCGGGCGACAATAAAGAAGGAGGCTTCACAAAAGGCCATCTGTATCTAATCTATGCTGTCGCGAGAGGGGTCCAAGCGAGCAAGTATAAGTGCCCCTTGAACAGGGTGGGGGGCATCTGTCTCAGACACTTGTGCTATAGATAGTAAAGTCGAAGGTCGAGCTGTGGCACAGTTGCCATGTAAGAGAGAGTTGCGCATACCGCTGATGCTCGCGGAGACATCAGTGCTGGTCATAGCAGCGCTCAGTTGATGACGTTTTTAAGACTGAAGTGAGGAAAGATTGCACCATAGTACAGCCGGAGGTGGAGGGAAGCAAACTGTTCTTGACGACTGTCTGAATGATTTTTGACAACTCTGGAGGGAACGTCGCTTAGCCGACCAGGGCAGCAGAGATGGAGGCTTCGGCACCTCGTTGAGGAATGCGACCATTTCTGGCGAGTTAGCAGAGGACGAGTGATGCTCGATTGAGCAAAAGAAAGTTAGCCAAGTGGAAAGGGTGAGAAACAGAATCTTAGGCGAGAATTAGGACTTAGACTTATTATTTTCATCCAGTCGGCAACTGGCAGCCAAAAAATACAGTAATGAGTTGCGCTTACCGTTCCTGACCAAAGTGTCTGCCTTCCTTCTTGCTGTTCAAGGCATATAGTCTTCGAATACGCTTCCGTCGGGAGAGGACTCGGATTTCTTTTGCAAAGCCAGCCTAGGCGTTGTCTTGCATGTGTTTGCCACCACATCAAAGTGGATCCCGATATAGTATGAGTGTGCCTCTAGGAAGTTCGGATGCGAGACAATGAACAATGCTGTAGTCAAGATGCGCGCCACCAATGCAGCATTGTCACTGCAACAGAGCCTATCGGCCGACTACATGGCTCCGAAGCGTCCGATCGACTATTCCTCACTGTATCTGCCATTGTGTCAGCATTCTACGCAGCCAAACTTGGTCCGTCGGAGCCTGGCGATGTTGGCAAAAGCCAGTCCCTCATACGCGCAAGGGTTATAGTGGAGCAGCCGAGTCTGGAGGAAAAGCATATCAAAGAGCACCGTCGCTTTGCTCAAGACAAGAAGGATGGGACTGTCGATGACTGGAAGAATGTTGTATGGCCCCATGAGACCAAACTCTCCTGCTCTATCGGTCAGAACTTCTGGATTCTCTAGCAAGTTAGTGAGACCAACAATCAAGTATGGCGGCGGTTGCATCATGATCTGGAGCTGCATGACTTGGGCAGGCGTTGGGAGGATGGCAGTGATGGAGGGGAACATAGCAGAATGTCGAACACTCATAGAAAGTATGCCAAGAAGAATTCAGGCTGTACTCAAAGCGAAAGGCGGCCATACAAAGTACTGAAGCGCATCGAATGCTTATGCAATAAAGTGATCCAATAGTTTTATTTATTGCTCTTTATATATATATAATCAGCAACAATGTTGTTCTGCAATTGAACGCCACCATCATGGGCTTCCGACAGTATATATTGACAAGGGCATCAGGATGATGGTTGTTGAGAGAAGCAAAGTTGTATAGTGACAGCCGATTTATTTCATCACATTACGTGACTGCAGAGGCGTCTGTTCTTGTTTCCGACTCCGATCCAAATCCCGACATGGACAATGAGGAAAGCAACAGTTGTCGCGCCTGCGTGACTGTCTGCATTGCTTGTCAAAAAGGAGAGGGCGCCATTAGGCATTGCAATGGAGTAAGACTTTTTGAAGCAGGGAGGGCATGTAACACTCGGTTGACCCAAGGCTTGCCTTCTTGGCCTCTTCTCCACTCACTGCACCACTTGCAGAACATGCTCCCATGCTTCCCAACCCTAATCCGCCTCAACACGGCGGCTTTCCCGAACGCTGAGCGAACATTGCAAGCAAGCCACTCTGCCCCTCTGCCACTCTGCCTCTCTGCTTCCACTGCCATCCCTCTCCCGTATTTCCCTCTCGCCTCTTTCCCTCTCGCCTCTTTTGTCACAGTTCCTCCTTCGTCTTAGCTCGCCTCGCTACACTTTGTTCGGCAGGGCCGGACCAGAGAATCGGCTTCAGCTGATGGATTGAGTCGATCTGCTTTGGCGAACGAATGAACGAACAAACGAACGCACCAACGCACCAACGCACCAACGCACCAACCAACCAACCAACCAACCAACCAACCAACCAACCAACCAACCAACCAACAAGGCACATCACCAAACTTAAAACGTACACAACCTCACTCGCCCCTTGCAATCACTCGCTGACTGCCTCTGCTGCTGCGCCTCTGCTACTGCGCCTCTGCTACTGCGTCTTTACTGCACTTGCAAACTTTACTTTTGGCGGCTGCAGCTGAGTCTTGGCTTTGCGCCTCTTTGCTTGCAGCTGGCTGTGGTGTTGCTTGGACCTCGAGCCAGCGCTTAAGGTCTCTTTCTTTTGCGCTTCCGCTTTGCAACACCTCTTAACACCCTTGCTGGCTCGCTCCCACTTGACCCTCCTCGTCGCCCATGCTTCTCTTTGGCTCTTCCTTTGGGCCACCATAGCCAGCATTCCTTCCTCTCTCTGTATCTTTTCATCCTCCTTATCGTCGATACCATTGTCGGATCTTCGGCAGCCGCATGACTCAACCGTCAGAGCGCCTCCACAATACTTGTCGGCCCATCCGACTTTCCAGCCTCTGTCTGCGAGAGTGCTACGGACAGAGCATTGCTCAGCCATCTACAGCTGACTCACCCGACGCTACATTGTCACAAGTGCCGAAGAAGAGTAGCATCCCATCAACCACCAACCGCACAGCCAAGCGAGTGCCAATCGACCTTCTCTCGTCTGATGGCAGAGTTTTTGCTATATCCTCATTCTGCGCCCTTTGCTTACAGCCGAGCATATGACGGCCAAGAACGGTAGCGCCGACTCGCCCATTACCTCGCCCTCTCGCCCTTTGCAGTTTCCACCGCTGTTGAAGAAAGCCTACTTTAGCACCAGCTCTTACAAGCCTAAGCTAGCTCAACCTGGCTAGCAATATCTTGACTTGCCTCCAAGCATATCCAACCTGCTTTCTCTAGAGGTAGGCCTCTTTTGCCCCTTGCCAACATCTCGGCATAGATGCTCGCCTCACTCCGTCCGCGTTCGCCTCCCCTCTTTGCCCACCACTCGCCTTCTCAACATCCCAACCTCTCTCACCCAACGCATCTGCCAACGAGCTACATCAACTCTGGCTATTCCCAAATGCAAGGCTCGCCTGCTCGGCGCTACATCACTCCGCCTCCTGGCTCTGCTCTCGCTCCAGATCCTCTCGAACAGAGGCCAAGTCCACAATCGCGCCAACGCTCCTGGCATCATCCCTATATGCACTCTACTCGCGCTGCACAGGGTCCGAGCCCCCCACTTGCGCTTGATTCCCTAGCTCGTCCTTCCACTCGTTCCTATGACGATCAGACATTAGCTTCGCGCCTCAGGTCTCCTCCTCCTCAACATCGCAACGAGTTGCTTCACCCTCCACCCGAGTCTCGGCCGAGCGCCGCTTCCAGAGCAGATACAATTCGCAGAGCGCAGCCCCTCAGCATTTCCCCTCTGCCTGCTTATCCGCACCCGCATGATGTAGAGAGAGTTGGCGGCATTGGGCCTAGTCGCAACCGAGGTCGCTCGAGTACATTGACCTTGCCGCATCCAGATACTACAAGAGTTCGTGGCAGCTCCTTTGTTGGTGCTCGTCTCAACAGCCCATCTCACGCCTCTCACGGTGGCTACGATGAACCTGTTCCGCCGCCGCCGCCGCCACGTTCCTGGGAAGATGCAAGGTTTTACAGAGACCCGTATCCCCACCCCGGCAGCGAAGCCTTCATGGCTCACAGACAGTCGCCTACCCTTCGACCCCCTTCGAGACCGTCACCGATCCTCTTTGCCGCCTTGGGTCCCCACCAAGATGCTCAACTGCACGCTCAACCTAGGCTTTCTGGGAAGATGTCAGCCAAGATGGTCAATGCAGGCGCCATTCCACGAGGCGGTCAATACCGCTCGAGACCTGGCACCCCCATCTCCCCGCTGAACATGGAGAGTCTCTCGATGCAAGATGCGCCCTTTCCATCAGCTTCGGGTATCGCCGTCCCATTAGCCTCAGGGCAGCAGCGTTCTCCAGCGGATGTCCGAGCCCGTGGCGACTACTTTGGACCAGGCGAGGCCGAGTGGCATCGATCCAGCCACATGGCTTCCGAGATGTCTGGCAGCCCTCCATGCGGTGATGCTTACATTTCTGGTCTTGGACACGATCCGAGCGAGTACGGCTACCGTGCTCCGGGCAAAATGCATGGAGAGCCAATCTCTCCAGATACCGAGATGCCACGCTGCCTGCCGGGCTCATACGCCGGCAGTCAATCGCACATGCTCCCCGGACGTGGCCCTGCAGGAGCGATGCCCGCTCACCACTCTGCCATGTCTCGAATGGAGCTGATTGAGAGAGAACGACATGCTATGGCGGCGCATCACCATGGTCCTGGTCCAGGCGCTTTCATGGCACCTGGAGGTCCGCAAGAGCATGGCTATCAAAGCGAATACGCGCCTCAAGCTAGAATGGGTTCAGGTGGCGGCTATGGCGGCAATCTTGCTCAGCACACTGTTCCTGTCGACCGCATCGCCCACAGTCGACGCAGAAGACGCCCGCCTTACTCGTACTCGTCGATGATCACCCAAGCTATCGCTTCATCCTCAGAAGGTCGTATGACTTTACGCGAGATTTACACGTGGATCAGCAGCAACTTTTCGGGATACCCGATGTCAGGCCCTGACTCACAGGGCTGGCAGAACACTGTCAGACACAACCTATCGCTTGGCAAGATCTTCATCAAGAAGGCCAGGACAGCTCAAGACATTTACGAGAGCTGCTCTTCCGGCAATCCTTCTCAGAGCCAGGCCGCCAGAGGCAAGGGTGGCTGGTGGACCTTGCATCCCGTTGTTCTCGCACAGATTCGCTCGGGTCAGAGGACGCACAACGACGAATTTGACGACGTCGAGCGCCTGGTCGAGATGGAGAACGCGGCTGCATCCTCGGGTACCTCAGAAGGCTCTGCTGCCATGGCTGCAACCTCGTCGACCGCCTCAGCCGACAGTGCAATGGCCTCAACTCGGAACAAGTCACTAGCCCGACAGAGAAGCTACTCTGACTCGATGGATGCAAATGTTGCCGAGCAGCTTCGTCCAGGTTCGAGCGAGCAGTCGATGACAGCTCCAGTGAGCCGTAAAGGATCCATTGGCGCCAATCGCAGCATGCCCACCGGACGTGCTGGATATGCACCTTATGCAGCGCAACTTATCGAGCGTAAGAACGGACTTGGTGCCGGCGCTCGTGAAGACCTTGCCTCGGTACTTGAACCTAAAGCTGATGCTGAATTCAAAGGCAATAACAGGGCCAACGCATACGCGCGCCTGCGTGGTCACACGATTGCAGTGCACGAGACGCCTTTGCAGAACCGCACCTCGATGGCAGCAAAGTACGAGACTGACAGGTACGGCGGCGACGCATACATCTCGACACGCCCACCATCCAAGTCCGTTCCAAGCCCAAGACCGCTCTTCCAGGCAGGTAGGCAGGTGGTAGAGGATGTCGAGATGGAAACAGCTGGCACGCAAGCTCGTGACTCGAGCATGGTGCTGCAAGAAGCACGCGAGACGCTGGCTTCGACGAAACAGCAGCAGCATCATCATCATCAGCAGCAGCAGCAGCAGCAGCATCATCATCATCATCATCACATGCCACAAGCACGGAGGGAGACAGATGCAGGTATCGAGGCTCAAGAAGGAAAGGGCAGGATGGCCATTCGAGACTTGCTCAACAGCTGAGAGGCCAACTCGTGTCAAATTCATCAGCGTGCTTGCATCTAGTGAACTGCCTCCCGATCCAGCTCTGCGTTTCAAAGGTGCAACTCTCTTTGGCCAGGTCACTACTGATCACTACTTGCTTTCTCATTTATGCATTTCTTCGCTGTATCACTAGGCGGTCATCGGACTACTTTGCTGGACTTGCCCACAACATGGATCTGTGTCGTCTTTTATACCCCCACAGTATCACAAATGCCAGTCTTTTGCAATATTTTTGATCACAAATCTGGAATAGTGCTTCGTGTTTTCAGTTGGTGCACCAGCGATGCAACAGCGCCTGGGCGGCGGGGGTTGCGCGTTTTTAAAAAAGGCGAAATGTTTGACACCCGCTTGCTATGGTACGATCGGAGTGTCAATCGGGCTTGCTTGAACAGATAAAGGTTGGCGCAAGTGAGGCTTGTTTTAGCGATGCAAGGTGATTTCAAGAAAGAAGCCATCCACGTGCAGATTTGGCGCTTTCTGATTCGTTGCTGAAAAGGGGTAAAAGGAAGCCTCTAAGAAGGACTAATTTCAATATCAGCGTGCAACAAGTCGCAGTGATGAAAGGCGTTGATGCTTCTGATTCTTGGGATGAATCCAGGGAAACATACCATTCTTGACCAAGCCGAAGAATGAGAGCCGCCATGTGCGGATGTCAATGTCGTCTGCGTGGACCGTCGGCTGAACCGATGATTGGCTTCTCCTTCAGCTTTACCCTGAGCTGTTATCTTTTCTTTTTTTTTTTCTTTTTCTCTTTTTCTCTTTTTCTCTTTTTCTCTTTTTCTCTTGCTCTTTTGCTCTCTTTTTCTCTCCTCTTCTCTTGCTGCTCTTCTTCTTCATCCTCTCTCCTCTGCACTCCATCCCTCTTTGACCCTTCCGTCAGACTTTTCACAGCTGGGATCATAACGTCGTCGGAACATCCGATCAATTCACCATCCGTCGCTTCATCCGCTTCCTCCACTTCCTCCGCTTCCGACCGCCAATCACATTCACTTTGTATCGTCACCAAGTCGGTATTTCTCTGCTGACTTTCTTGTTCGGCTCAGCCGAAGAGGCTCATTAATTGCCAAATTGCTCAGCCATCCACCAAACACCATATCTCATCCTGCGACCAACGATCAGGCTTCTCTCATCATCATGAAGTTCGGCCGGACCATCGAGACATCGCTCTACGCGGAATGGGCTGACAAGTACCTTCAATACTCGGAGATCAAAAAGGAGATCAAGAATCGCATGAACAACAACAATGGCACTTGGACTGACAAAGATGAAGACGAGTTCGTTGCATTGCTCAGCAAGGAGCTCGACAAGGTCTACCATTTCCAAAAGGTCAAGGTCGCTGAACTGACCGAGCGTATCAAGAAGGCCCAGTCTGAAGTCAACTTGCTCGTCTCTTCCCGTCCCAACTCTTCCACTTCCCTCCCTTCTCGCGCCAACTCTCGTCCATCCTCTCGCGCTGGTTCTGACATTGAAGCTGATGACGACTCCCCTCGTAAGCGTAGAAGCATCCCTCCCGACCGCAACGTCCTCTATGCTGCTCACGATGCAGGCTCCGATGACGACTTTGACACAGATACCGAAGACAGCGATGCTTTCGAGGAGTGCTTTCTTGAGCTCGAAGAACGCCTCGCCATCATCATTGCAGATGTCCACGACCTCGCCCTCTTCACCAAACTCAACTACACTGGTTTCCACAAGATTGTCAAGAAGCACGACAAGCAGACCGGTCGATTGCTCCGAAAAGAGTTCGTTCAGCACTACCTCTCTTCCCGCCCCTTCTACAAGGAGAACTACGATCAGCTCATCGTCAAGCTTTCCAAGCTCTTCGACCTCGTCCGCACACGTGGTAACCCCGTCCAGGGTGACTCGAGTGCTGGTGGAAACCAGTCGGCCTTTGTCCGTCAGACCACAAAGTACTGGGTCCACCCTGACAACATTGTCCCCCTCAAGCTCATCATTCTCAAGCATCTCCCTGTGCTTGTCTTTAACTCTGAAAAGGAGTTCCAGCAGGAGGACTCGGCCATCACATCCATCTACTACGACAACCAAGATCTCGAACTCTACTTGGGTCGTCTCGAGAAGACCGAAGGTGCCGAGGCCATCCGTCTGCGTTGGTACGGAGGTATGGACAACAAGCAGATCTTTGTCGAGCGAAAGACCCATCGCGAGGATTGGACCGGTGAGAAGTCGGTCAAGGCCCGTTTCCCGATCAAGGAGGAGAACGTGAATGCTTGGATGAAGGGAGAATACACCATGGACGACACTTTTGAGGCCCTCCGCAAGAAGGGCAAGAAATCCGACAAGGAGATCGACTCGATGCTCCAACTCGCCAACGAGGTGCAGTACTCGGTGCTAACCCGCAAGCTTCAACCCGTCATGCGCAGTTTCTACAACCGTACTGCCTTCCAACTTCCTGGTGACGCTCGTGTTCGTATCTCGCTCGACACCGAGCTCTCGTTGGTGCGTGAAGACAACTGGGACCATCGTCAACGTGCTGGCAACAACTGGAGGCGCATGGACATTGGTATCGACTACCCCTTTGACCAACTGCCACCCGAGGACATTGAGCGCTTCCCATACGGTGTCCTTGAAGTCAAACTTCAGACCCAGCTCGGCCAAGAACCTCCTCAGTGGATTCGCGACTTGGTCTCGAGTCATTTGGTTGAAGCTGTACCCAAGTTCTCCAAGTTTATTCACGGTTGCGCTACATTACTACCCAACCGTGTCGACCTTGTTCCTTTCTGGTTGCCCCAGATGGACACCGACATTCGCAAGCCACCTTCCAACCACCTTGCTATCGAGCGGCCCAGCTCCATGACCCACAGTCCCCCTAGCCCTTCGCGGCCAGACACACCTGCATCGCGCTCTGCCTCCATGCCCTACAACGAGCCTGTCTCCGAAGACGAGTTTGATGGCGCTGATGACGACGATCGCGGCCACATCATGGCTGATGAGTCACATGAGGCTGACAATGTCGGTATCTCGGCATTCGATCCACGAATTCGAGAAGCAAGAGAGGAGCGCGAGCGAAACATCAAGCTGCGCCAGCAAGAACTCGAAAAGCAGCGCAGAGAGAATCCGGACAAGTCCTCGAACGCAGCAGGTGGCATGCTCGCCGTCGCTGCCTCATCCCTAGCAACAGAGCGTCGCTCTTCGCTGAACAAGGCCAAATCAACAGCGCCTACACGTGATGAGATTCTTGCTCCTTCGCATCGCTATGACCAGAACTTTTTCTCCAAATTGACACCCAAGAACATCCAGCGACTTTGGAAGACCAAGGGCTCAAGTCATGAGCATGACGAAGACCCTCACACCGACGCCAAGGCAGATGACGAGGACGAGCGTGTTCGTCGCGCACTGGAGGGTCAAGACGAGGAGGTTCCCCGTGGTCCCAACGTCGAGTATGTCACTGACTTCCATGCCCAGCCAGGCAAGAAGGTCAGTGTTCCCATTCGAATCGAACCCAAGGTCTACTTTGCCAACGAGCGAACGTTCCTCAAGTGGCTCGAATTCAACGTCTACCTCTCCGCGCTTGCTGTCGGTCTGCTCAACTTCAGCTCACCCGGTGACCGTAACGGCTTGATAGCCAGTGCCTTTTTCACCATCGTTGCGCTCATTGGCATCGCCTACTCTGGTATCATCTTTGTCATCCGTGCGCTCAAAATTCGACAGCGAGAGAGCAGCAACATCTACTTTGACGCTTACGGACCTACCATTCTCTGTGCTGCTATTCTTGCAGCAGTGGTGGTCAACTTCATTATAAGGTTCACCGAGAGTCATGAGCATCGTAACAACCGCGGTCTGCTCAACTGAGCTGACCCAACGCCTAGGATGCGCCACTCTCTCGCCCTCATTCTGTCACCTCACGATCTTTTGCGTCTAATTTCACACACATTCACGACATCTCATCTAGGGTTTGCTTTTTTTTTTTTTTTTTTTTTTTTTTTTTTTTTTTCCCCTCTTCATGCATGTGAATACCTTGACCCTGGCCTTCATTTTTCAATTGCATTTGATTTCCACCTCTTCCCGCTGCAGGTTTCAGAGAGAGAGGATGATGCAGTGGCAAGTTGATCAGACGGAGATGATGAGCACGAAATGAAATGAAAATGTGACGTCGAATGTGTCGCGCACATGAATCCTGGTCTGATGACAGAACTAAATCATGAATAAAACCCATAGAAACAGAGGCAAATGCAATGGCCCGATGAAAATTACTTGAAACGCTTCTTACTCGTCTCGACATGCTTCCTCAAACGTCTCGACTTGTCCCTCAAACTTGCATTCTTCTTACTCCTTACTGACCAAGACCTAGCAATCATCTGGAAATTCTTTGTCTTTTGCTTCTCTCTATTAGTGGAAGAGCTCTCCTTCTCCTTATTCTTCTTACCCTTCTTTGAGCCATACTTCTCTCTATCTTCTCGACCCTTCTCAATGGATGCGATACGGTCTTCGTATGTTGCCTTAGCCTTTTTTCGCGGACCCAAGATATCACCTTGGTCAAGCAAGTTAGAAACAGCAGCGCCAGTTGTTCGCTTAACCGACTTGAGTTCTTCCAATTGACGCTTGGCTCTGTTACCAGCAAGACCACCTTGAGCAATAGCTTCTTCGGCAGCACCAATGCGAAGTTCTGTGAGCTTGGCAAAATCGGCAGGAGTGAGGATTTTCGTGGTGGCGAGTTTGGAGATGTATTGCTCTTCTGCGGCAAGCTTCTGCTTAAGTTCAGAGGAAGCGGCCGCCGAGGTGCGCTTGTCATCTTCGGCAGTGGCACCGTCTTTGGCGTCGGAAGCGTCTTTGTCCATGGCTTCCTCTTCTGATTCGGATTCGGATTCGGATTCGGATTCGGAGGTGGGGACATTGGCTTCTCCAGCATCTCGTCGTGCTTGACGTTCGGCTTTGCGTTGAAGCTTGGCGCGCTTCTTCTGACGTTGTTCACGTGCGGCAATGAGGCGTTCCTTGACTGTTCGCTTGTGCTTGCGAGTCTCCTCGTCATCCTCCGAGTCAGAATCGGAGAGTCGGAGAATACCGTCCTCATCATCTTCGGAAACGTTGATCCAACCATTTTCGGACTCATCGTCAGAATCGTTATGAGACTCTTCCTCCCATCCTTCCCAACCTTTATCCTCTGCATCCTCATTACCCTCCTCGCCCTCACCATTCGCCTTACGCTTCTCCTCCTCTTCCAGATGCTTCTCAAGCAGATCAATACCCTGAATACCATGCACTTGGTTCTGATCGACACCAAACGCAACTGCTGCACGACCTTCTTGCACGGCAAGCGCACCCATCTTACCACGCTCCTTCTTCTTCAAGATGGCAGGATTGACCTCACGATAAAGGGCGAGAAGACCGCGCGAAGCAGCACAAACACCCTTATCCTTACTCTTCCTATAGCTAATCAGATCCTCGAGCAACGTCTCTTCCATAGCCCATGGTTGACGTCTGCAAATCTCGCGAATCGAGTTGATACCTGCAGCGACAACCTCTGAGCTTACACCCGGATGAACGAACGCATCCGAAAGCTTGCGCACCACCGGCGTGATGACATCAGGCGGTGTTTGATCGTGTACACTCTGCGCCAACGAGACTAAGATGTGCGTGATATGCTGTTGATGAGGAGCGAGGTACTTGACGACGTAAGAGTAGAAGCTGAGCACACAAAGCTTGTGTGCACCCATGAGACGACTCAACAATTGCATGAGACGGATTTTGATCTCGATCGTGTGACGTTTCTCTCGGTCACCACGGCTGAGGTTGTCGAAGAGCTTCTCGCCAAAGTTCTGAGGATCATTGAGAAGGTAGAGGGCGGCAAAGTTGCCAGAGTCTTTACCGTTGCCGTCGAGAGGGTTTTCGGCTTTGACTTTGCGTTTCTTCTTGGAGAGAGCGGCGGCTTCACGCATCTTGCGGTCTCCACTGCGGGTTTTCTTCTTGACTTTGCGAGCGTGGAGCATGGCGTCTACGTTGGGACCTTCATCGTCAGAGTCGGATTCTTCGGCTTGGTCTTCTGCCGAGTGAAGGTCGCCGAGGAAGAATCGAACTGCGGAGGATTGAACACGTGGGTGAGGGTGGAAAGAGGCGAGAGTGAGGAGGGAGACGGTCTTGCTGTCGGTCCAAATCTGCTTCTTCCAGAGGTTGGCTGCTAGTCGTACAGCCCAGAGAGCTTCGGTCTTGCCAGCTGATTGAGCCTTTCGAGGTGGTGGCAAGGATGATCCGCCGGCAGATGCATCAATACCTTTTTGCACGATACCAAAGAGCAAGCCTTGGACGACACGGTTGAGTCGGTGGTTTTTGGACTTTGCATTGGCATTCTTGATATCTTGTAAGATAGTAGCCTGAACTGATGTCCTGACCGAAGCGGAAGTTGTAACGCTAAGCAAAGGGAAGAGCGTCTGAAGCAGTTGCTCGGAAGTGATCACATCACGGTTGCGCAGCAAGATCAGACTTCGAAGACAAGCGCCTCGAATATCAGGGCTTAGTGCCGAGTGGTGATTGAGCAGCAGATCAGAAAGGTGGCCAGGCAGATCGCGAGTGATCTCTGGATACGAAGGTGCGAGCTGCGTAACAAACGAGATGAGCGAGACCAACTTGCTAGCCTGACCCTTGTTAATCCGAATCCCACCGGAAGCGATGCCAACAGGAGCAGTCGACGCATCAAGGTCGGAAGCAAAGATACTCCTCAAAGACTGGTAGTGATTCCATTGGGCTGAAAACTCTTCGACGTAGGCCTCGGGTTGACGCTTGAGCAAGTTTTGAAGTGCTGGAAGGTTGTCAGCGTTCAAGAGACCTCTTGCTCTAGAACGATGAATGAGACCGCCTTCGTTGACGAGCGGACTTGCCTTGAGGACGGCTGGAGAAGATGTGTTCGGCATGATGTGCCGTATCTTGTGAGCCGTGGATGGAGGTTGAGATGGTTGGAAGGATGTGTTCTTAACCCCCTACACTGCCTTCTTAGACTGTTCTGTGCCTGCAAAACAGAAAGACGAAAATTTCGGTCTTTTTTTTTTTTTTTTTTTTTTCTTTTTCTTATTCCAGAGCAAGGGTCTTGGTTCGGAAATCGGAAGTGGGAAATCGGAAGTGGGAAATCGGAAGTGGGAAATCGGAAGTGGTTTTAAGCTGCAGGGCAAGAAGAAAATTTGGAGGGATTTTTTGGCTTTTGACGTGGAGAGAAAGAAGATACACGAACAGCTCGAGGCAAGGACACTCAACAGGTCGACTATTCTTGCTCGCCTTCTTATCAAGAAGCATCACACAAGTGCATCAACCAATGTCAAGATGGACGACGACGATGGGCTGATGCTTAACTTTGCGCCTGTCGCAGCCTCGCCCTCTAAACGCCCAAAGCAGACAGCCAAGGCTCGATTCGCTCAGAAGAGGACTGCGCAACAGCAAAGGAGGCAAGCTGTCAATGGAATCTCTGAGAACAGTGTTGTAGCTACAGCTTATGCTTCTCCCCCCGCTCAGGCATCAAGTAGATCAGCAACATCAACCGACTCGACAAGAGCAAAGTCTCGACCAGCAGCTTCGTCCACAGGTCTGGCAGCTCCTCGATTCGACCCTCGATCAATCCCTTCTGTCTCTTCTGTCTCTTCTGCCTCTTCTGCCTCTTCTGCACAAGCCAAGGCATCTACTGCTGCCCGCCCTGGCTCCTCAGCACCAAAGTCAAGCAGCAACAGTGGCAAAGTCAGTGCGCTCTTTCCTTCGCACGGAGTGCTCGAACACTCTGACTCAGCTCCTATTCCCTCTTCACGCCCGGTCTACGATCCGACGAATGCCCCTTCAGCAGGCTCCGATTTCTCCTCATGCGGTCTCGATCCTCTGCTCGTCTACCATCTCGAATCAAAGATGAAAGTAGGATCCAACCCGACGCCCATCCAAAGAGCGGCTCTTCCGCATCTCTTACATCAATCTCTCGACCGCGATATCCTCATCCAAGCACAGACCGGTTCGGGCAAAACGCTCACTTATCTCCTCCCCATCGTGCAAAGCCTCTTGCCACTCTGCCAAGAATCGTTCATCGACAGATCCGTCGGCACGCTGGCTATCATTCTCGCTCCTACGCGTGAACTTGCTCGTCAGATCTACCAAGTCTTGGAAAAGCTCGTTTCGCTCGCACTCAGTCTCAAGGAGCAGAGCCAAGGTGGAGATGGTGCGGTGAGGAGGACTCGATGGCTCGTGCCTGGTTTGCTCTCTGGTGGCTCCACCAAGAATCACGAGAAGCAGAGATTACGAAAAGGATGCCCGATCCTAGTCTCGACTCCAGGACGCTTGTTGGACCATCTGCAGAACACATCCAGCTTTGATGTGGGTAAATGCCGTTGGCTTGTGCTCGATGAAGCCGATCGCTTGCTCGAGATGGGTTTCGAAGAACAGCTTGGTGGTATCGTTCGTGCTCTTGATGGTCGTCGTAACCTCGCCTGCACTGCTGCACGTCAAGCCATGCCAGGCTATGAGCAAGGAACAGCACCTGGTCATCTCGATTGGATCCCAGATCACGAGGTCGTGGACACTCTCGGTATCACCTGGTGGGCGCACCCAAGGCGCGTTGTACTCTGTTCGGCAACGCTCGATGAAAACGTACAGGTTCTGGCTGGTAAGACTTTGGTCAACCCCAGGATCATCCGCGGTATCAAGGACGACACTCCCGAAACCAAGCAGGATGCATCTGCATCACCTCACGCTACCACCGCCGACGAGCCGAGTAGCGGGCCGAACAAGTTCGCCGCACCTGCACAGCTCGCTCAGAGCTTTGTTGCCACTCCACCCAAGCTTCGACTTGTCACGCTTCTCTCTCTCTTGCGTGCATACATCTCTCGCGCACGTCGATTATCTGAACAGGCTCACCTATCCATCCGCCAAACAGGTGCTGGTCGAGTAATCGTCTTCATCAGCTGCACAGACTCGGTCGACTTCCACTACGCCGCACTCGGAGGAGCCAAGATGATGGCCGAAGAAAACGATCCCAACGCTCCCGAAGAAGCTCAAGACGACAAGTTTGCCGCCCACGCCACATGCGAACTCATCCCTGGCATCCCTATCTTCCGCCTTCACGGTTCGATGAGCCAGCAAGAACGTATTGCCTCCCTCAAAGGTTTCTCTGGCACCGCAACCAAGAAACAAGCCCAAAACATTACCCAGCAGGGCGGATTCCAGGGAAGCATCTTGCTGTGTACCAGTGTAGCCAGTCGTGGTTTGGACTTGCCTGATGTTGGATGTGTCGTTCAACTCGACCCACCGACGGAAGGTGGGGTTGAAGAGTACCTCCATCGAGTTGGTCGAACAGCTCGTGTGGGTAGACGAGGGGAGAGTTGGCTCATGGTTCTACCGCAAGAGCTTGGTTGGATCGATAACGTCCTCGAGCCACACATGACCATCCAGGGTCCTACCTCGAACGATGCTCTCATCGAATCCAAGAACAAAGGCTACGCTAGAAAGATCAGCTCAGCATCGATTGAGCTTATCCTTCAGCAAGGTTTTGGCGGAACATCAGGTACATTGGAGTACCAGTCTCGAGCAACTGGAGTTCAACTTGCTTTCGAACGATGGGTTATCTCTGGCGAACGACCGAGTTTGCTTGCGCGGAAAGCATTCCTCTCGCATGTCAGAGCTTATGCTACTCACTCTGCGGAGGAGAAACAGTACTTCAACGTTCGTGCTCTTCACCTTGGACATCTAGCAAAAGCTTTCGCTTTGCGTGAAGCACCTCGTTCTCTCGGTGCTATATCTTCTGCCATCGCTGCTACATCCACTGCCATCGTTGCAAAGCAAGCCAAAACAAACATCAAACGAAAAGCACACTCGGAATCATCAGACTCGCACTCCGACTCAGAAGAGCAAGATGGAGGATCAGACTACGAAAGCTCGCGCAAAAAGCAAAAGGGAGACGCTTTCGAACTTGGTAAAGACGCACTGGCAAAGCTTACTGAAAGCATCATTGCGAATGTAGATGGTTCGAATAGAAGTAAGAAGCTGGCCAAAGAAGCTGCAAGGGCTGCGGCGGCGGCCGGGGTGGCGGGTGAAAAGGCAAAACAGACCGATGCAGAGTCGAGAATGTATGCAAAGGTCAGAGCGTTGGGTAAGATGAGTAAGAAACATGGTGTGTTGGGTGCTCATGGTGCGGATGAGTTCCAGATTGCCTAGGGTGAGTTCAAGCAGGGGTCGTTATTGTTTGCAATCAACTTGATTTGATATTTGACAAATAGAGCCAAGTAGTGCGGAAGATATAAAGCTGAGATCACAGCATGACTGCATGATTGGTATGATGGCTAGTACAGTACAGTATCGCCACAGGGTGAGCCGCTGAGCAAGGTGCTTCTACTTTGACTTGGCTGGATCGACCTTGATCCTGTCGGCGATGTCGATCTTTTTGCCGTCGTAATTGATGGTTGCAGCGCCAAGAATAGCTGCCTCATGCTTGCGTCGGATAGTGTACCAGTGCTTGATGCATCCTCTGGACTTTCTAGCAGCCAAGCTATCGGTACGAGAAAAAAGAAAGCATCCGGGGAAAAGGCAAGATTGAGGATGAGTTTATGTCCTGCGACAGTCGGCAATCTAGTATGAAACTTACCGAGGAAAGCCCTTGATGACCTGGGCCATGTTGGCCATGATGATGATCTGGAGGCAGTCCATGAGGTCTTCCTCCTCCTCCTTGGTCTGTTTGGCCGGATAGAAAGGATGAGTGCGATCAGTTTTCGGGAGCGACATCGGTCAGCTTTAGTGTTGCTTGGCTACGTACCCATGACTTGCTGTGAGTGTGCATTCGGGTGCTGATCATGAGTAGAGGGAGAACGAAGCAATGTTAGTGCATTAGAAACAAGGAAAGAAAAAGGCGAAATGGTTGTGTGACTTACGCAGCTGCCTTGCCTTTGCCGTCAGGAGAGGAGCTATCCTCTTTCTTGGCTCCCATCTTTCGCTTCTTGGGAGATTTGAGTTGCTGCTCGGAGAGCTCGTCAAAGGTGTCGGACCCGTCTTTGGTAGGATCGTGCTTGACCATGATTCGGCAACGAGGCCGTTCGTGGGAGGGGTGGAGCGGGCAAAGTACTGTGTTGAGTGGTCGCGAAGGCCAGTTGATCTTGGCTGCGATAGTGATGTGTAGAGGTTTAACGAGGAGAGGATGACAACGAAAGGAAACGAGGGGTTAGACACTATAGCCACAAGCTCTGACAAAGCTTCGAGGTGCGGGAAGCAGCTCAGTGCGGACCAACTACTGTATTTCAGAGCGTTTGCTGACCAAGCTTGCGCACGCTGACGGGGCATGTAAGGCGGAGCATGTAAGGTTGAGTTCAAAGCTTCTAGCTGAAGAGCTCAATGCTAGCTTTGATTCAATGCTCGGCATGTTTCGCGGTTCCCCCGCTGCTAGACGGACGAGTTTGATGAAGCTTTGTGATTGATGGCGACAAGACTGGTAGCACAGTGTGACAGATCAGGATTCTGCTTCGGATCGGGGGATGATCGCTTTGATTTGGTTGAGAGTCGAATCTGAACGCGTCTTCCGATCGGGCTCTTTTTTTTTTTTTTTTTTTTTTTTTTTTTTTTTTTTTTTTTTTAACTCGATTCTACGAACCTTTCCGCCTGCCTCTCTTTGGTGAGCTCCGTCTTCAAGCTTTGTGTGGTCGAGACGAAGCCGTTGCAATCATAGCGAATGGAAAGACTGTGTTAGATAGGATGACTCGAGCTTCTATGCGGGGGTAGGTCAAGTCTGTGCAGCCATGCCTTGCAAAAGCGGATCATATATATGCCTGCGGTCTCTGTCGGTCTGAAAGTGCGGCATCTGGATGAACGTCGACACTGTATTCTGCAAACAATTCCGAATACAGTGTTATAACTCGAGCTTTGGACGATCATGCTTCTCATCGTTTGACTTTCTTCTCGTCTCTTCCAAGCCACTCGACTGGGACGAGGCGTGGAGAGTGCGCAGAGGCACAGAGGCACAGACCCAATCAGAGTGTAAAGTTAGCAGGTGCGCAAGGAAGGGGAGAAGGCGACACATCCAATCAGCAGGCCAACATTTTCTTGAGCTCTTCCGCCATGAGAACTTTGGCATGGATCACGTGATCGAAAAGGAAAGGGAGCAACTCTTGTTCCTTTTGACAGCGACTGCTATGCTTTGTGAGAGTGTAGACAGCATTGGCAGATCTGACAGAAGGTCGCAAGCAAGACGGTAGCTGCGATTCTGTGGTTGCTGTGATCCTCAGTCAGACGAGCAGAGACTTTTCTTTTTCCTTTTTTCTTTTTTTTCTTTTTCTTTTCTTTTCTTTTTCTTTTCTTTTTTTTTTTTTCTTTTCTTTTTTCTTTTTTCTTTTTTCTTTTTTCTTTTTTCTTTTTTCTTTTTTCTTTTTTCTTTTTTCTTTTTTCTTTTTTCTTTTTTCTTTTTTCTTTTTTCTTTTTTCTTTTTTCTTTTTTCTTTTTTCTTTTTTCTTTTTTTTCTTTTCCTTTTTCTGAAAGTTGACTCGACTCGCCTGTCCCGCTCAGATAGCCAGAGGGTTCTTGTTCCTCTTTTCCATCGCTCGTCGTCTCGTTTGAAAAGTGCCTCCGGATATCAGTCCGGCTTCCTTTCCTTCCCTCTTGGCATCGTCCATTCACTTCTTTCCTTCCCTCCTCCTCAAGCTTGGCAACTACCCCGGAGATCTGCATCGCATCGATCCAACAGGACCCTGCCGCCCCGCCCCCTGTCAATCACACATATCCGCGATTCTCCTAATCCCATCAAGATAGCAACCAAGCAAGCAAGTTGCTGCTGGTGTACAGACAATCGCGAACAAGCTTGTGGGCCTAGTCCTCCTCCTCCTCTTCAAGGCAGGTCGTGCTTCTGATTCAACAACCATGTATCGAAGCATTCGCGCCTTCTCTCGAGGAGCCAACTCGGCCGCCTCCCTTCAGGTCGCTTCCACCTCGCAGTTGCCAACCGCAGCTCGCAACGTTCACAGTCATGCCGCGACCTATTCGTTGAAAACCAAGAGCCTCGCTACTTCAGGTAGCAAGGTCTTCCGGTCGCGATTCTCCACATCAGCGCTTCTCAAGTCGCCAACCCCTTCCCCAGTAGCCGACGCCGAGGTCAAGGAGATGAAGCCAGCCGCTACCGGTCTTCAAAAATGGAGCAAGTACCTCCCCAAGGTCGAGCGCTCCGACGTCAAAAAGGTCCTCCTTGTCGGCTCTGGTGGTCTTTCCATTGGTCAGGCCGGTGAGTTCGACTACTCCGGCTCTCAAGCTATCAAAGCGCTCAAGGAGTCCGGTATCGAGACCATCCTCATCAACCCAAATATCGCAACCATTCAGACTTCGCATGCTCTCGCAGATCAGATCTACTTCCTTCCTATCTCCCCCGAGTACGTAGCCTACGTTCTCGAAAAGGAGCGTCCCGATGGTGTCCTCCTCACTTTCGGCGGTCAGAGTGCCTTGAACGTCGGTGTCAAGCTCGACGAGATGGGTGTCTTTGACCGTCTCGGTGTTCAGGTCCTTGGTTCCCAGGTCGACGTTCTTCGCATGTGCGAGGACCGTGATCTCTTCGTCCAGGCTTTGGACGAGATCAACATTCCTGTCGCCAAGTCCGAAGCCGTCTCCACTGTGCCTCAAGCCCTCAAAGCTGCTGCGCAGATCGGCTATCCAGTCATCGTCCGTGCTGCTTATGCACTCGGTGGTCTCGGTTCCGGTTTCGCTGAGAACGAGGAGGAGCTTCGTGACTTGTCTGCTCGTTCCCTCTCCCTCTCCCCTCAGATCCTTGTCGAGAAGTCGCTCAAGGGCTGGAAGGAGTCGGAGTACGAGGTGCTCCGTGACCAGGAGGACAACGCGATCATCTGCTGTAACATGGAGAACTTCGACCCCTTGGGCATCCACACCGGTGACTCGATCGTCGTCGCTCCTTCGCAGACCATGTCGGATGACAACTACCACATGCTCCGATCCGCTGCTCTCAAGGTCATTCGCCACCTCGGCATTGTGGGAGAGTGCAACATCCAGTATGCGCTCAGTCCCGACAGCCGTGAGTACCGAGTGATTGAGGTCAACCCTCGTCTCTCGCGTTCTTCGGCTCTTGCCTCCAAGGCTACCGGCTACCCTCTTGCCTACACTGCCGCCAAGCTCGCTCTCGGCTACACTTTGCCTGAGTTGCCCAACGCAGTCACCAAGAGTACCACCGCTTGCTTTGAGCCTGCTCTCGACTACATTGTCACCAAGATCCCCAAGTGGGACTTGAGCAAGTTCCAGCACGTCAACCGTGAAGTCGGCTCTTCCATGAAGTCGGTCGGTGAAGTCATGTCGGTTGGTCGAACTTTCGAGGAGTCTCTCCAGAAGGCCATTCGTCAAGTTAACCCGGCCTACGACGGCTTTGAGGCGTACATTGCGCCAAAGGACCTCGACCACGCTCTCTCGGTCCCAACCGACACGCGTCTTTTCGCTATCGCTTACGCCATGTTGGTCAAGAAGTACGAGGTGGAGAGACTGCACGATCTCACCAAGATCGACCGATTCTTCCTCTACAAGCTTCAAAACATTGTCGACATCAACCGACAGCTCGAGAAGCTCGGCTCGCTGTCTGCTGTTGACAGGCAACTCATGAAGCTCGCCAAGCAGCGTGGATTCTCGGACAAGCAGATCGCCAAGCTTACCAACTCCAAGGAGCATGACGTCCGTGCTCACCGCAAAGCTTTCGGTCTGACTCCCTTTGTCAAGCGTATCGACACTGTCGCTGCCGAGTACCCTGCTGAGACCAACTATCTCTACACTACCTACAACGCCTCTACCCACGATGTCGAGTTTGACAACGACGGTACGATGGTGTTGGGATCCGGAGTTTACCGTATCGGTAGCTCGGTCGAGTTCGACTGGTGTGCCGTCACCTGTGCCCGAAAAGTGCGTGGAATGGGTCATAAGACCATCATGATCAACTACAATCCCGAAACAGTCTCGACCGACTTTGACGAGGCTGACCGTCTCTACTTTGAGGAGCTCGGCTTTGAACGTGTGATGGACATTTACGAACTCGAGGGTGCCAAGGGTGTCGTTGTCAGTGTCGGTGGACAGCTTCCTCAGAACATTGCTCTTCGACTCAAGGAGACTGGTGTCAAGGTTTTGGGTACCGATCCTTTGATGATCGACTCTGCTGAGGACAGGCACAAGTTTTCTTCGATTCTTGACAATGTTGGTGTTGACCAGCCCGAATGGACCGAGGCTACTTCGGTGGAGAAGGCCAAGGAGTTTGCCAAGCGCGTTTCCTACCCCGTTCTCGTGCGTCCTTCGTACGTGCTTTCAGGTGCAGCAATGAACGTCATCTGGGACGAATCGACTTTGGAGCACCACTTGACTGCCGCTGCCCAAGTCAACACCGACTACCCCGTCGTCATCTCGAAATTCATCGACAACGCACAGGAGATTGACGTCGACGCTGTCGCTTACAACGGTGAACTTGTCGTCCACGCTGTCTCGGAACACGTCGAGAACGCAGGTGTCCACTCGGGTGATGCAACGCTCGTCCTGCCTCCCTTCTCGCTCGACCCTAACGATCTTGGCCGTCTGAAAGTGATCGCTCAGAAGGTGGCAAAGGCGTTCAAGATTTCGGGTCCTTTCAACATGCAAGTCATCCGCAAACCCGCCGGCGAAGGAGAGGCAGAAGCAGCACTCAAGGTCATCGAGTGCAACTTGCGTGCTTCTCGTTCGTTCCCCTTTGTCTCCAAAGTCCTTGGTGTTAACTTTATCGACATTGCCACGAATGCGATTGTGGGCAAGGATGTTCCCGAACCCGTCGATCTCATGGCTCAAGAACGTGACTATGTTGCGATCAAAGTTCCTCAATTCTCTTGGACTCGTTTGGCAGGTGCGGATCCTTACCTGGGTGTTGAAATGGCCTCTACCGGTGAAGTTGCCTCTTTCGGAAAAGACGTTTACGAAGCAGCTTGGGCCTCTATCGCTTCTCAAACCGCATTCCGTGTTCCGCAAGCCAACACTGGTGTTCTGATGGGCGGCGATGTGGACAAGCCGCAATTTGGGCGGATCGCAAAGAAGCTTTTCGATCTAGGCTTCAAACTGTACTGCTCAGATGCTAAGGTCGAGGAATACCTCAACAAGCTCGACGGTGTTAAAGCCAAACGTATCCGTTTCCCCGTCAAAGACAAACGTAAGCTGCGTGAGGTATTCGACGAACACGAGATCAACATTGTGATCAACCTGGCCAAGTTCCGTGGACGTGATCTTTTGGATCAGGACTATGTTGCTAGGAGGAACGCAGTAGACTTTGGTATTCCCTTGTTGAACGAGGCTAGGTCGGCAGAGTTGTTTGTGGATGCACTGAAGGCTAGGATGCCTCATGGTTGCTTGAGGGGTTACGAGGAGGGTAAGATTCCAAGTGAGGTTCAACCTTGGAAGCACTTTGTTAAGGAGGAGCGAGAGGCGAATAAGTGAAATGCCTGGAGGCGTGGTAGTTCTTTTCATATCCCAATCAAGTTCTGTTCTTTTTAGACCTTTTTTTTTTTTTTTTTTTTTTTTTTTTTTTTCTTTTTTTTTCTTTTTTTTTCTTTCTTCTTTTTTCCCCCTTACCTTTCTTTTAGCTTGTACTTTCGGTAGGAAACAAGCCAAATAGGATTCCGCTAGTTTTCTCCATCCATTTTTGATACAAGTGTCAAGTGTGATGAGGGTGAGCAAAGTCGACGAATAAGTTCGAGTGAGATCGACGTGGATCGGGCAGTCGTTAGGTATCGGCGATCTCACTCTTGGTTCATATCGGAAACGCGCCAAAAACGGCGACTATCACGGACACCGTTCTTGACGAAGCCGAGGAGCCGACAAGGGGGGATTATGTCAGAATCAACGACGCCTGGAACGGTCTCTCTTTTTTTTTTTTTTTTTTTTTTTTTTTTTTTTTTTTTTTTTCTTTTTTTTTTTTCTCTTTTTGCACGGTCTCCACCAGGAATGCCTTCTCTGGACAAAGTTGAGAGCCAATGAGCCAGCGTCATCCACCTGTCCATCTACAGTATGCTGTGGAAAATGGAACGATGAACAAATGCAGCTCCAGTGCATATTCCGTCAGACGATCTGTTTTGCTGACTCTCATTGTTTGTATCACTTTGCACCTGCAGGAACGTTTCTAGCGAGGTTCGACAGGGAAAGCTCGCTCCGTCTGGCACATGAGCGCAACGAGGCAGTATCAAAGAGAGGAATAGGAACAACGCTTCGAATCGATTTGGAGCAGAAGCGGAAAAGGGAAAGGGGCAGGCTTTTGCCACATTCCAAACCAAGGTGTTGTGCGTTTTGCGGAGCTGGCGTTGGTGGACAAGAATCTGACGGAAACCGGAGCGGAAGGAGAGATGGGGAAGAGACCGACAAAGCCGATATCCCCCGGTGTTGTTGCTCACTCCAGCATGCCTTGGGCAGAAAGTTGAGCAAGTCTAACATAGTCGCAGGCAACACTGCTGTGACAGATCGGGAATCGGCTAACCGAAATGAAACAGTCCCTTAGCTGGTGTTACCCGATTCACACAAGACTCAAGTATAAGCAATTCACGCGCATATGCTCGGGACAGCCACTCAACTCGTCCTTCCTTCAGCATGATCTCATTGCTATGGAGTATGGTAGCCAAGTCATGATCAAGTCTAGGATGAGAAAGAATTGAGCTAACGAGAGCTTGGTTGAGGGAAGCGTTGCCTGAAAATAGATACAGTAGCGTGGCCTTTTGGTTAGTGTCGCTTTCCAAGTCCACAGCGCACAAAGAAACAAAGGAGCGCGTGTTCACATCTCGGTTGTTTGATCGGCTAGCTCGTCGCTCACACACACACACACACACACACACACACACACACACAAAGTACGTACAGCATGCAAACTCATAGTCTATGAACGGTATTGTTAACTCAGATGCCCTGCATCAAGTTGTTGCGAGATGATTAACAGAGTTCGGAAGCTTTAGTTTGCGGGCGAGAATGGAAAGCCATGGATCAATGCTAACGTCGATGTGCTTTTTTTTCCTCCCTGGACCGGTTTTGACAGCTTTGCTCTGCTTCTAAGCCTCGATAGTTTTCCACATGAATGCTGTCTCGGCCTTTTGGCAATTGTGTGATGTGCGGCAAGAGAGCCCAATCTGGCCAAACCTGTCATCTGTCATCCGACATCCGACATCCGACATCCGACATCCGACATCCGACAATTCATAAAAGTGGTCTTGTCGGCTTTCCTTGAAAAGCATTTCTTTCGTATATATATATATTGTCTGGCTTTCGGATTGATTGAGAGAGCCCGAAAGGATGCACTCTGAGTAACAAGCACACACAAAGGCGTAAGTCGGGGTGACCTCCCTCGGCGGCTTTCTGTCTCACCTTTCTTGCCGGCTCTGCAACTTGGCAATCTCGCTCTGCTTGATGCCAAGGCAGAGGTGACCGGCTGCTTGCGACAAAAGAATTGGCCTTCTTTCTTTCTTTTCTTTTCTTTTTTTTTTTTTTTCTTTTTTTTTTTTCTTTTTTTTTTTTCTTTCTTTTCTCTTCTTTTTTTTTTGTGCTTTGTGGTCGGTCTGTGATTGTACGCCTTGGGGCTCTGATTGACTGGATCACTACGCTCAAACTGATCCGAATGAGTCATGAATAGGATGTACCGATCACTGCTCTGCTGCCCTTGATCGAGAGCAAAACAAAGTTATGCCAGAATAATTACATTTACATTTAAATAATTCTTTTGGCATGGCAGTTGGTGTGCCGATCGGAATTGCCTGGGAGGAGGAGCAGAAGGAGCAGAATTGCACAGGCAAGTGCTCTCTCGCCTTGGCAGCCCAGCATCTTTTTCTGCCTCTTTTTCTCTCTCTTTTTCTGCCTCTTTTTCTCTCTCTTTTTCTGCCTCTTTTTCTCTCTCTTTTTCTGCCTCTTTTTCTCTCTCTTTTTCTGCCTCTTTTTCTCTCTCTTTTTCTGCCTCTTTATCTGCTTCTCAGCTTAGCCTCTGGATACGCGCTTTGGTGCCGTTTTGCGTCAGCGCTCTCTCTCTGCTGCTGCTGCTGGAGGAGGTTGATGCACTGTTACAGTGTCGCAACTTGCTTTCCCTGCTTCTGATGCTGCGTCGCTTTGTCCGCCGTCGTGGGCCAAGTTAGGCTAGGAATTAGTAATTTGCCTTTGCCTTTGCTTTTGGCCTGCTTTTGGCCTGCTTTTGGCCTGCTTTACTTTGACTCGAATCGACTCGTGGGTGGCCGTATTGGATTGATCTCGAGATTGCGTCTACGTGTTTCTCTCTTTCTCTCTCCCTCCTGCTGCTCTCCCACGAGCTCAGCTTTCTTTCATCTAAAACGGACGGTAACTTGCTGTGCACGTCCCTTGTCCAGGCTACAATACTTTGATTTACATTCGGCCATTCTTTCGTCGTCACCTCCTCCTCCTCCTCTTGCCACTCCACCCCATCTCTCTCTCTTTTCCACACTCGACCAAACACGCTCCTGCAATTGATAATCGCCCCTGCAATTGATAATCACCTCTGCACCGTTGTCATCGTCTGATCAACCCGCCTCGTCTTTCGATCATCCCCCTTTTGCATTCAAGCGCCTCTTGGACGCCACTACTAAGTTCTCCGGTCTATTCGCCTTTGGTTCAAGCGGTTCTCTACCGCTTGCTACCGCTTGCTACCGCTTGCTACCGCTTGCTACCGCTTGCTACCGCTTGCTACCGCTTGCTACCGCTTGCTACCGCTTGCTACCGCTTGCTACCGCTTGCTACCGCTTGCTACCGCTTGCTACCGCTTGCTACCGCTTGCTACTGTATCTCCGATCTCGCCGCACTCTCTCGACTGACCTCATTTGGCTGAGACCGTGGCGCTTGGCAGCCTCGACGCTTTTCAGCTTGGCTTTGACTCATTGGTCTGGACCGCATTTCATTCCCTCGAGAAAGCGCAGCGACACCTCTCCCCTTGTTATCCCCGCAGCCACACTTTTCCTCTTGTTATCCCCGCAGTCCCACGTCACACTATCACACTATCACACTATCATCATCCTACTTGCCACTGCCAAACCAAGGCGGTTCGACCGCTTCAATAACCGATCACGCAACAATTACTTGGCCTAACAGCACCCGCTCCGCAACTCTTGCATACCTTTCCCCAACCTCGCTCTACCATTCCATCCTCCACCTCAACCTTACTCCTTCGGCTACAGTCGACTCTCGTATAATGATGGCGGCCAACCATTACCCTAGTTCGCGTCAGCACCCACACCTTCCTGCCCACCTCAACCCTCTCCCACCACTCGAGCCCTCTGCCGAGCGTCATCACGGTTACAACCACTACAACCCTGCTCGTCGAGGCTCCACCGATCCCATCCTTCACGCTTCCCTTGCAGCATCCGCCAGTGCCAACGCTGCCTTCTCACACGCTCACCATGGTGCCAGCTCTGCCTCTTCTTTAGCCAGTCCAAGTCTCTTTGATGCGCCACGACGTCGCAGTATTCAGATCGAGCCAACTGTGCCCTCTAGTCATGCCAGCCCATTCGCAAGCCCAGGTCACTCTGGCCTCCACTCGTCTCGTTTCATGAGCCAGAACAACAGCCCAACTCCTCTCGTCCAATCCCACAGTGCCGACGACCATCACCCATCAAGTTCAAGTTCCAGCTGCAACCTTGCTCCTCATCCCACCCACGACGCTCCCGATGCACCACGTCATGGTCAAATCCAACCTAACTACCAGTTCGGCTACCCACCAACCCCCAACCCCGAATATCGCCTAGACGAAAAACAAGCCCATCCCCGCATACCCCATCTCTCTGCCCCTGACGGTCAAGGTGGAGGAGCTTTGGTAGAAGCAGGTGCAATCATGTCGGAATCTCGACGCGGCTCTACCTCTAGTCTCAAGCATTTGATGGCTGATAAAGATTCAAAACCGTACAGTCGTTCGCCTGAACTTCGAGTCAGTCATAAGTTGGCCGAAAGAAAGAGGAGAAAGGAGATGAAAGAGTTGTTCGATGATTTAAGGGATCAGTTGCCCGTCGATAAGGGTCCCAAGACAAGCAAGTGGGAAATCCTGAGGAAGGCAGTCGAACACATTGCCCACTTGGCACAGGAGAAGGATGATCTAGCGGCGGAAGTCGATAGATTGAGAGCCCAATTGGCACATAGAGCAGGTGGTGAGCCGGCCAAGGGAGGTCATCTCAATGGCCATGCCAGGGATTCCAGGGATTCCAGGGATTCGAGGGATTCGAGGGATTATGAAGGTCATATGTCCTGATAAAACCCGGTTTGGCGCTTCAAGGCCATTGACCTTATCGCTTCCATAGATCCATCCTTTCACATTTCCATCAGATCACTCAAGTTAGAAGTTGATGGCACTCCCAATATCTATCCTCTCACACATTCGCACACCCAGCTTCCATCGAAATTCCACGTTTGCTTTTAATCACTCCCTCCTCCCGCTCTATCACTGCGTCCAGGCCGATACAACGCTTACTGGAGGCCCATCTTGCACTGGCTACCTCTTTGCTCTTCTCGCGTAAACTTCTCGACTGATACAGCACCAAGATGGACAGCAATGCATCAAGGATGGATGAAGGATTTAGAGGATATGAAGATATGAGGATATGCGCAAGATGATAATGCTATTTAGGCCGTCTTTCCAGTGTTGGTCGTGGCGGCAGTAGGAACAGTGGGAACAGCGGGAACAGCAGGAATAGCAGGAGCAGCAGGAATAGCAGGGATGGGAGTGGGAGCGGGAGTGGCAGTAGAGGCTGGCTTGACTTGTTTCTTCTCCTCTTCCTCCTCCACCTTCTTCTCCCCAGCGACAGCGGGGGTAGTAGAATCCTTCTTCTCATCCACCTTGCGCTCCTTCTTCTCCCTACCAATGTTTTTTTTCTTATTCTTATTAAGACTACCCGCTGCACCAGCTGCAGTGTTGCTATCGGTAACATTTCCTCCCTCCCCCTTCTCCCCCCTTTCCTTCACAGGGCGCTCCTTCTTCCCCTTTGCATTTCTTCCACTCTTCTCATCCCCACTTTTACCCGCAGTATCTTCCTTCTTCCCCTTACCCCCCACTCCAATCCCTCCCTCGCCTTGAACCTTACTACTATCAGCCAACTCCAACACCGGCTTCACCTCGCCCCTCAACACCTCACCCTGTCTCTTCAAGCCTTCCTGCATGGCGCGTTCATCTTTGAACTCTACATAGGCAAAAGGTCTCTGTCTCCTCTGCTGCTGCGCTCCCTCTCCTCCATCTTCCTTGCCACTGCTTACAACCCTACGATGAGGCTTATCAAATAACAACTTGATACCAGTGATGCCGCAAGAAGCAGGTCCGAAGTAGATGCGAAGTTCCTCCTCCGTCACAGGAAGAGCTTCTTTCAGCTGGGAAACGTAGAGCGTGTATGGGTTCCGTGCTTTACGAGGTGCCCAACAGGAGGGGGATTTTCGACCGGAGTCTGTCGTGAAACCGACAGTGTCAAGGTCCGAGCGGGAAGTGCAGGTTTCGTGGCCTGAACGCGGTTCGCGTTGTCGAGGGAGACGCTCTTTGCGTTCTTTCGTCGGTTTAGCTGCGGCGGCCGGGGCGGTGGTAGTGATGATGGTGGTGGTGCCGGCTGTTGCCGGGGTAGCGGATTTGGTAGCGGGAGTAGCGCCTTCGCTGATCTCCGACTTGTTGGCTTTAGTAGGCGTGATAGCAGCTGGAGCAGCAGTGCTCTTCGCAGCTGGAGCCGCGGGTGCAGTTGCAGGTGCCGCTGGAGCAACCTTACCGGGCGCCTGCACCGCAGCCCCAGGCACCACAGCCCCAGGCACCACAGCCCCAGGCACCACAGCCCCAGGCACCACAGCCCCAGGCAGAGCAGCCAACGCATTAACCCCAGTCATAGGCTGTCCGCTCCTCCTATAAGCAAAGTTGAAACCCTGACTCTTAGTCTCTGCACTAACCCTACCATCTTTGACACTCAATACCAAATTACCATAGGCCGCATCAGGCAAGTTCCAATTCCAAGTATTCTTCCAAGCCGGCTCTTCACTCGCTGCACCCGTCGCGGTCGCCGTTGGCGCGACCTTATTCGCCACTGCAAGCGCGTTGTTTAACAACTGTCTCTGATTTTCATCAATCACCGCATCCACCTGACTCTTGACAGTATCCCAAATCTCCCCGAACGCCTGCTTGGCATGCTGAAGCTTGTTTCGATAGTTCTCTGCATCGTGCTGAACACTGAACTCGTTGTAGGAAACGCCATAGCGGAAGTGCAAGCCGGCACTAAGCGTCAGGTCCGCCTTAAGTGCCAAGGCTAGCTGAGCAAGCAACCCTTCCCGGCCGGGTGAGGCGTGAGTGATAAGAAGCCGAGTCTCACTTGGGTCGAACGTCTTTTGAGCCGTATCAACCAATTCACCAATCTGCAAAGCTGTAGTCCACATGGTTCCCTGACCGCCAGCAATCGTCGCTGCCCCTTCGCCATTATCAAACAGCTTGTGCAGCACCACAGCACCTCCAAGACCCAACAAACGTAGACGAATACCGCCCACTTCGATCGCCTTGGTCGTCGCCTCATCCAGCACAAAGAGGTTCTTAACTTCATACTCGCCCGTACGGAACCTTTCGAGAATAGCTACATCCTCACAAGCACCCCAAACAGTAAAGACAGGAACCTGAAGTTTAATCTTGCCCCTAAGCAAATCCGAAAACTGCGAAAGAGGAAAGTGTTGCTGAGCAATCTGCTGACGCATTCCGGCAGCCGAAGAGCTCTTCTCCCCAGCAGCAGCAGTAGCAGCAGCAGCAGGGCCACGTGGAGGATCAGCAGCAAGCAACTGAGCCCTCAAGTTCGGATCAATCAGAGTAGAGTACTGAACAAGGTGACGCAAGGTTCGATCGCTGACACGTTCCAGACTAGCATTGTCGTAGAAGCCAAAGTCGCCGGTGTGAATGATAGCCTGAGCGCCAGTCTCGGCAGCAACCTGGTTGAAGAGCGAAAGGTTACCCCGCACATCGGCGATACAGGCGATTCGACCGCCGGGACCATCGATCACATAGGGTGGTTCAGAGGCGGTGAAAGAAGCAGTCGGCTTGGTGTTGGGGGGAATGGAACCTCTGCTGCGATGGGAAGAGTTGGCGCTGGGAGCGCGAGGTGGGATGCCGGCGGCAGGTGATCGAAGACCGTGATGGTTGTGGCTGTTGCGGTGGTGAGCGGGAGCGGAAGCGCCGGGCATATTGGTGGCAAGTCGGTTGTGAGGGTGTGCGGGGGAAGATCGAGCGTCGTTGGGAGAGGAAGCCATGTCGAATTGACGGGGGAGCTAGGATCGAAATCGGAGAAGGATCCAGGTCGGTCGACGTTGGATCCAGGGTATGCGGGATGGTTGTCTAGGATGCGATGGCTGGTGGGGGAGGGGCAAAGAAGCGAGCATGGATTGTCAGCGCAAGTTCCGAGGGCTTCAATTTCTCAAGGCGGCCTGAGGTGTGAGACTTACGATGAGGATGGTGCGGATTCACTTGCAAGTTGCAAAGTCGCTGGTAGGCTTTTGAAGGTGGATGGTGTGCGCTTGCTGGGGAAGAGTTAGCACTTGGTGATGATTGTTTATACTTGAATAGCAAGCGAGGTGGGAGCGTGGGAGCGTGGAGAGTGATGATGAGGGTTATGACAGGAAGGAATGAAGGAAGGAAGGAAAGAAGGAAGAAAGGAAGGAAGGAAGGAAAGAAATATAACTCAAAGTGATCCGTGTCAAAAGCGTGTGTGACTTTTGAAAATAGTTATCGTGCGAATGAAGAGATGCGCAATTTTTCAATGGTGAGCAAAGGGGCACGTGACACCCACGCGCAGCAACTTCTCACCCGAGTTAGACAATTTAACATTCTTTATCTCCTCAATTTCTCAGCCTCCTTTTGCAACAATTTCCACGTGTTGTCAAGGTGCGATATTAACTCACCGTTGATGAAACTGCGCAAATTGAGTTACCCTTCCCTGAGACTTTGCGGAAACACGCGTGTGCCTCTTTACTTTTCCCTTCTTGACCCTTCCGCAAAGCAAAAAAACACACACACACACACACACACACACACACGCCGTTTGACTCAAGCTCAAGCTCAAGCACAAGCACATCACACACAAATCACACACATCACGCACACTGGATCGGCTCCTGCTTTTCTAAATTCACACGAGGTCAACTTTGAGCATAACGATCTGACAGAGTGGGGCCCAGTGCCGATAAGAGAGCAAGGATTTGCTAGTCAAATAGAGTAGGGGGTTTCAGTTATCTCTGAGTTTTGAAAACACAATACTTTGAAAATATGTTTGGGCCCAATTTTTGATGCCCCAAGAAACTGCACAGGCCTGTGACACATGCATCTTGGAGTTTCACTTGACTCGCCCAGTAAAAACAATCTCTGATTCCCTACACCAGGTCAAGATCAAAGTGATCATATCAGATGTTGTTGAACACTATACTGAACAATGCCAAAACCTTTGATTGAAAAGCTAAAGCAAATAGCTTACATCACACCTGTTCTGATCGTTGTCTTCTGCGAGCCTCATGCCATCAGTTTTGTCTCTCCTGCCATTTGGCGAAGGCCAATGTTGTCATTCCCATCCTTTGAGATTCTGCTGTTGTGTCCTCAAAAGGGCAGCCATGAGAAGCAAAGAGTGCAGTGAGCATCTCCTCCCTAAGATCCAGTGCTTTCTCCTGCCTGAACTTCTGGACTCGGTTCTGAGACATGCCCTCCATGGCAGCAGCCTGTTCCTGTTCATATTGCTGCTGGTTTTCCCTTCATTGTATCCTTGCATCTTCGGTAGCCTGCTGATATGCTTCCATCCCTGACGTGGTCTCCAGCACCTCAGCTTCAGATAGAGTTTCTGATGCCTTAAGGTATTCTGCCACCTCATCTGGTCAATCATAATGGCTTGCGAATGTATGTGCAATGATACAAGCCTGGACCATATGTGCAGCTTTCTCATGGTCCTCTTCTCGATACAGGTTGCCTTGAAATCCCATGAGACATTGGAAGCAGTTCTTGAGGTAGGCAATGCCATGTTTGGCCTTGACATGAATGCGGGAGAGTGAATAGTTGAAGTAGTGGAGATCTCTGCTCTTTGCAGCTGCAGTGTTGCTGTATGGTCCAACTGTGTAGCTGGAGTAGCCATAACCAGCATCAACCCAGACAAACTTGCCTTCATCAAGATGCAAATGAGGCTTCGCAACAATACCACTGCCTGAAGCCCAGACTCGCACATCATGTGATGACCCAGGATGTCCAACCACCAACTCGACAATGCGCAAGGAATGAGGGAGGAAGACAAGGGCAATGTTGAATGTATAATCACCCTTGTATGAGTAATGCTTGCGAGCATTGAGTGCTGGCTTCCAAGCAAGATTGATGTGTGTACCATCTACCACCAACCATCCTCTAGACCATTCCTCGACTCCACTCTTATCAGCAACCCATGCTTTTGCCTTAGCACACTCGTCTTCAGTTGCAAAGGTTACTACCTCACTGTTCAGCTTGTATAGGCCTGCAATAGTCCTATCTGTCCACACATGAACTGAGCCCCAACTGCAACTGCAGGCAAATGCAACATCACAAACTCCACCACCATTTCCTGACCGTCCAAGCCGATATAGACCAACTGCCACTTGCTGCTGAACACGCCGAAAGCTTGATATTGATCTGAAGGCATTGGTTGTGCTGAGTCTGTAAGTGAGAGCTTGGAATGCATCTGGGGTCATGCAAACAGCCCCTCGAAAGAGCTTGCAGTTGATGACAGCATATCGATCAAGCATGTTGATGAGGGGATCCTTTCATTGTGGCAGTTGAAGGCATTCAACTGTGTATCGAGACTGGCTGATGATGTCGTAAGTCCTGATGAGTGCGAATGAGATAGCATGATCGAACATGTCATCATCAGAATCTTCAAGGTCATCATTAGGGTGCCAAGTGGCATCGACATCCATCAGATCAAGTTGCATCTTGGATTCCACCATCAATGAGTGCATGATGGTGGTCTCAATGTCATCCAGGAGGTGCTGTTTGTTGGAAGTGCACACCATGGTTGAAGTAGAGGGCCAGAAATAGGAGAGGATGATGTGGTCTGAAAGAGAGTCCAAAGCTACAAACACAATGCAGCTGAGTTCTGCACAGCTGGGTTCTGTGCAGCTGATTTCTGTGCAACATGCATGCTCGGAACTGGGGCTACACCGATCAGCATCTTGTATGTGGAACAATTCATCACATTGAAGCAATCTACATTTGAGAGATTACATGGAAGACTGGGTATGGGGTATGCTAGTCATACATATTGAGAGCTAGCTTTACAGAGAGCAATGGTACAACAAGTTGGAAACACAGGAACAGAACTTGGAGAACTCAAAAGGAACACCATTCTTGCCAAATGGTCTACTCACGAGCTGAATCGCTATTGTCCTGCTGATCCATGGCAAGAACCAGTGGGTCAAGATCAAGATTGCTTTGACTACTTCCAGTGATGTTGCCAAAGGGTAGATTAGGGTTCATCATCTGCACCATCTCCATGAGCCAACCACACTCTTCAGTTCGCATGTGCTCTTGTCCCTCACTTTCTTCCCTGGCAAATTGAATGTGCATTTCCTCCCTCTTTGTGCATTCCTCCTCAACCTTGATTCGTGCCTGAAGCATGTCTTGGGTGCAGGCCTGCACAATTTCCAACAGCTCTTCTCGCTTGCTCTTGGAAGTGAAGGGTCGAGACTTCTTGGGTGTTGTACCTGTGGCTGGAGAATGGTAAACAGAGTCACCATCACCATCGTCCACTTCATCAGCCTCAAAAGCAGTGCTGGATGAGCGCTGGTGGGTTGGAGTGTCTATAGGGGTAATGGTGAAGGGGGTGGGGCCAATTGAAGATGGGTTGGATGAGGAAGAGAAGGGCGAGCAGGATGAAGATGAAGCAGCAGCTGGGGTGGCTGCAACCGAAGAAGAAAAAGATGAGATAACTCTTGCTCCAATGGGATCATTTTGTGACTCCTCAAGAATGGATTCCATGCCAGGAATGTTGCGTCGCTGAGGGTAGTGAGCATCACTGGCATCATCCATGTTCACATCAGCATCAACTGAGTTATTCTGAGAGGAGGCAGGGGTGGCATCATATGGGTGACCAGTGAGAAGAACAACTGGACCAGTCTGTGCATGGTTGGTCATCATCTTGTGCTAGTGCTCAAACCAAGGGCAGCTTCGAGCAATTGATTCACATGTGGCATAGTCCTGCAAGTTGATAAAGAAGCATAGACAGAGATATAAAGTATAAGAACATTGGCACACTTAACATGAATCAACTAAGTTGTACTTACCGAACTGTTGTGATCCATGTCTTGAAGAAGTACTCCAGCACCAGTCTGCTGCGAGATGGTCTTCTTGATGTTGTTGTATTGTTCAGTGAGCCAGCGAATCTTAGTCTTTACTCGACCAGCACCACCAACAGTAGACTCGTCTGGGAACAGCTCCTGCCATATCTGCCCACAGATAACATCTTTGTTTGTCTTCAGACCCTTTTCCTGTTCTACAGTCAAATGTCCTGGCAATAGAACACATTGGTAATGATCATTATTGTAGATGATATCAACAAGGTTATTTATGTTGCTAGGCGACCAATTGAAGTAGGCAATATGATCTGTTTTGTTGAACCTGCTGCCATGAGTACTGGCTTGATGTCTGCGAGTTGCAGAGATTCGAGTTGGCCGGGTAGAGGTTTGGCAAGGCAAAGAACCGGCAGATGTGGTGGTGTTGGAACCAGAAGGAGTGGAGGAGGACAAAGGGGAAGCGGGAGAGGTTGCTGGCTGAGTTGACTCAGCCCCAGCCAAGGTGCTGGAAGTTGCAGAAGGGTGGCACTGACAAGAGCAATCAAGGTTGGACTGAGCTGACATTATTGTGTTGTGCTGCGAAGCAGTTGAAGACTGCTCTGATGCTGGAGCCAATCCAGAGGCTTGCTGCAAAGCTGTGAATAGTGTAATGTTGTTGATATGGTCATGAGGGGATGGCATGTCCATGTCCTGGCACTGACAGGGAGGAAATGCTACTGGAGATGGTGATAGAAGTGAAGCAAGGACAGACGTAACTCAAAGCATGAGAAAGTGTAGACAGTGCAGAAAGTGGAGGTCAAGGGTTGTGCGCAGAATTGTGTTAGAATCACGTGATATCAGCACATGACAAAAACTCCTGCTGAAAACTCAAATATTCAGAAACCTGGGCTCACAGCAAAAATAAGTAGGGGTTTTCAAAACTTCCGAGCTTTTCTTTCCTGGCAGAGCTTACTTAAGCAGTGAGCTTTCAAAATCCAAAAAAACCATGAAAACTCGGAGTTTTGAAAACTCAGAGAAAACTGAAACCCCCTAGTGTGAGACCAGACGCAAAACCGCCACCGCCAATAAAAAGTGGGCCCAGAATAAAGTCTGAACGCTGGCTCTCATTTCTCGTACGAGAAATCTGGAGCGGTGTTCAGAGGCATAGCGTGTCCAGGACCCTGGCAGCTCACTCTCATCCTGTATCCCATCGTAAGGCTCATGGAAGGTCAAAGGTGCAAGTGCCATGCTCTTCATCCTGACTGCCGAGGCAATGACGATACCGATGCTGATGCCAGAAAAGCTGATGTATTGGTGGTCATGTTCTAAGCAATGCGTCGATTGTAAGAGAGCAAGGTATGGAGGGTACAAGTACAAAAGTTGGATGCAGATATGAGGGAGCTGAGCAGATCAGAAGTGCTTCTGCCGACTATGCGTGCGAGACCTTCTTGGTGATTCCGAGACGACGCTTCTTGCGTGCAAGCTTCTTTGCGCTCATCTGCGTTTCAAAAGGGTAGAAAGAAAGGTCAAGGTTAGTCTCGAGTCCAGTCCGGTACTATCAAGCCTATCTGCTGGTAGAAGCAGCAGCTAGTCAAGATAAGGTGGTAGTCATGGCTTGTTCGACATACCTTGTGCGCCATGATCTCGAGACGAGCCTTCTCCTCAGCCATCTGCTTCCTTTCGCGGCTCACTGTCTTCTTCCTTTCGGCCTCAGCTTCCTTCTCTGCCTTCATCTCGCGTTCCCGTTGCTTGATTGCTTCTTGCTTCCTTCGCTGTTCCAGCTTCTTCTCCCATAGTATTGTCTTTTGCTTTCCGGCGAGGGTGCTGAATGATAACATGGTTCAGCAGGCAAAGTCAGAAAAGTCAGCGAGCTGTCCCATCTGTCCACCGAGCCTGCATCGATAGACTTACACTCTCGTTCGGCTTGTCGGCTTGACCGGGAGCATATCACTCGATGAACCGCACATCTTGAAGAACAGTATCAGTGCAATGGATCGTCGTTCGTTGTTGGTCCTTGGTCGTGGAAAGGTGGATGGTAGGAAACACTTCAACAGCCTTCACAGGTCGAACAAGTCTCGCTTTCCTGTTGAATTTTTGTGGTCCCGATCTGGCATTGGCGGCATCGCGATCTGGCATTGGCAACATCCCGATCGAATTCCCTCAAGGGAAAAACAGATTAGTCAGCTGGCCAAGGCTCAGTCGCCGGTTTTTTTGAGCTTTTTTCGTGCGACATTGGAGTGAGCTTGCTGATTGCAAGTTACATGCTCGACTGATATTACTTTCGTATCGCTACCACCAACATACACCTTGTTCTCCGCTCAGCCCACCACACAGCGGAAAGGAAACAGCGCAGCAGCTTTTGCACCTTTCTACAATCGCACAAGCCAGGAATCTCGAGCTCCCTAACCTCCAATTACTGCAACGCCGCAGAGTCACCGCACACACAGCCCCTCTTCCTCCAACACAATGGGAAAGAAGAAGGGCGCCAAGAAGGGCGGCGCCGATGACTTCTGGGATGAAGCCGGCGAGACCATCGGTAACAATGACGACGAGGAGCAAGTTCCAACACAAAACACAAAGAGCCTCTTTGCTGCCATGTCTCTCGACGACGGCGGCGATGACCAGGACGAGGATGAGGATGTCCAGCCTGCCGCTCCTGCCAAGAAGGACAACAAGAAGGCCCCCAACGGCAACAAGTCCGACTCCAAACCCACACCGGAACCCACACCCGCTCCTGCCGCCGCCGCCGACGACGATGATCATGACAACTACGGCTTGATGGGTGCCATCAAGACTGCCAACAAGAAAGGCAAGAAGGACAAGAAGAAAAACAAGAAGAACGACCATTTTGACTTTGACGAGTTCGCAGAGGATGTCAGCGGCAATGCAGCTGCTCAGGCTGACACCCAAGTGGATCTCTCCAGCAAAGCTCCTATTCACGGCACTGTCGATGACTTGCTAGATGAAGAATTCCCAGAAGACAAGCCCAAGAAGAAGGGAGGAGGCGCCCAAAAGCAAGAAAAGCAAGAAAAGCAAGACAAAGCTGACGATGCTGATGCTGATGCCGCTGAGGATGACGGTGCACCACGCATCCTCACCAAGAAGGAGAAGGAGAAGCTCAAGAAGGAAAAGGAGAAGGCAAAGAAGAAGGCACAGGCTCAGGCAAAGAAGGCCGCTTCCGCCTCACAACCATCCAAGCAGGATGCAGCAGATGAGGATGACGATGAGGATGCCGCCGATGTCAGCAAGCACGATGATGCAGCACCTGCATCCACCGCCGGAGAGACTGCCGACGACAAGAAGAAAAAGAAGAAGAAGGGCGGCAAGGGTGCTGCTGCTGAACCTGCTCCAGCTACACCTGCCGCACCACCTTCCGGAAAGAAGATCAGCCCTGCACTTGCTGCCCTCCAGGCCCGTATCGCTGCTCAGAAGAAGGCTGAGCAGGAAGCAGAGCAGGCACGCCTTGAAGCTATCCGTGCCGAACAAGAGCGTGAACGTCTCGAACAGGAAGAGGAGGAGCGCAAGGAAGCAGCTAAGCGAGCTAAGAAGGAGAAAGAGAAGGCCAAGATCGAACAGCTCAAGAAGGAGGGCAAGTATCTTACTCCTAAGCAGAAGGCTGAGAAGGCTGCCGCCGAGGCTAGGATGCAGGCCATGATCCAGGCTGGTCACATCAAGATCGAGGGTCTCGAGAACCGCGATGCAGCTGTCAAGCCTGCTCCCAAGAAACGAACCCTTGTCGACGACCGAAAGAAAAAGAAGGGTCCCCAGAAGCGAGAGGGTGGCCTTACCATTCCTGAGCCAGTGACTGCTGAATCTAAAGATGAACAGGACGAGAAGCAAGAAGCTGCCGCCGAGGAGAAGACTGAAGAGCCTGTTCAGAAGGAGGCCGAGGTCGCCAAGGCTGAAGAGCCAGCCGAGGAGGACGAAGACGTCAAGGATAGCTGGGATGCCGAGTCTGAAGATGAGCATGTCAAGGACAGCTGGGACCTCGAGTCTGGTGACGAGAAGCCCGCCGCTGCTGCCAAGGCCAAGACAAACGGCAAAGAGGCGCCCAAGAGCAAGCAGGCTGCTAAGCAGGAGGAGAGCGACTCCGACCAAGATGACGACGATGAGGAAGACTCCGACGACAGCGACGATGACAGTGACGATGACAGTGACGATGACAGTGACGATGACTCCGATTCTGATAGCGATCAAGGTCTCACCTCCGCTCAGCGTCAAGCTGTCGAGAAGAAGGCTGCCGCTGCTGAGCGTAGGAAGGAGCGTACCGAGCAGGCCATGGCTGCCCGAAGCCGTGACGACCTTCGATCGCCTATTTGCTGTATTCTAGGGCACGTCGACACAGGTAAGACCAAGCTTCTCGACAAGATTCGTCAGACCAACGTCCAGGAGGGCGAAGCCGGTGGTATTACCCAGCAAATCGGTGCCACCTACTTCCCTACCGAGGTGCTCCAGTCCAAGACTGCAGTGCTCGACAAGGATTCACCTTTCGAGTACAAGGTCCCCGGTCTTCTTGTCATCGACACTCCAGGACACGAGTCTTTCACCAACTTGCGAACCCGTGGTTCCTCGCTCTGCAACATCGCCATTCTTGTGGTCGACATCATGCACGGTCTCGAGCCACAGACTCTCGAGTCGATCCGACTGCTCAGGGACAAGAAGACGCCCTTCATCGTCGCACTCAACAAAATCGACCGTCTCTACGGCTGGCAGGCGACACCCAACGGTGGCTTCCGCGACAGTTTGGCAAAGCAGCAGCGCGCTACCCAGAACGAGTTCGAGGAGCGAACCAACCAGGTGCTCGTTCAGTTTGCCGAGCAGGGTCTCAACGCTGTCCTCTACTACGACAACAAGAACATGGGCCGAAATGTCAGTCTTGTCCCCACCTCGGCTCACACCGGTGAGGGTATCCCCGACATGCTCCGCTTGATCATCGAGCTCACACAGACACGTATGAGCGAGAAGCTCATGTACCTCTCCGAACTCGAGTGCACTGTGCTCGAAGTCAAGGTCATCGAGGGTCTCGGTACCACCATCGACGTTGTTCTCTCCAACGGTGTCATGCACGAAGGTGACCGTATCGTCGTCTGTGGTCTCAACGGACCGATTGTGACACAGGTGCGAGCGCTACTTACACCACAGCCACTCAAGGAGATGCGTGTCAAAGGTGCCTACGTCCACCACAAGACCGTCAAGGCCGCGCTCGGTGTCAAGATTGCCGCTCCCGATCTTGAAAAGGCCATCGCCGGTTCCAGGCTGTTGGTCGTTGGACCTGACGATGACGAGGAGGACCTCAAGGACGAGGTGATGAGCGATCTCAGTTCGCTCATGAACTCGATCGACACCTCGGGTCGCGGTGTCTGCGTGCAAGCATCGACGCTTGGTTCGCTTGAGGCTTTGCTCGAATTCTTGCGCGTCAGCAAGATCCCTGTCAACGGCATCAACATTGGTCCCGTCTTCAAAAAGGATGTGGTTCGATGTTCTACCATGCTTGAAAAGGCGAAAGAGTTGGCCGTCATTTTGGCCTTCGATGTTCCTGTCGACAAAGAAGCCGAAAAGCTCGCCGAAGAGTTGGGCATCAAAATCTTCACCGCCAAGATTATCTACCATCTCGAAAACGACTTCACCAAGTACCACAAGGAGATCATGGACGGCAAGAAGAAAGAAGCCTCTGGCACAGCTGTCTGGCCATGCCGACTCAAGACTATTGCCTGCTTCGCCAAGCGTGATCCCATCATTCTGGGATGTGATATTATCGATGGCTCTCTGCGCGTCGGTACACCTCTTGCCGTTGTCAAGACGGATCCTACTACAAGGAAGAAGACAGTCGTGCATCTGGGTAAAGTGACTTCCCTCCAGATCAACCACAAGGAGCGTGACGTTGTGCTCAAGAGGGACGTCGGTGGTGGTGTTGCTGTTAAGATCGAGCACGCCGTTCACGAGTCGGCTAAGATGTTCGGTCGACACTTTGAGGAAGACGATGTGATTATCTCGCACATCAGCCGTTCTTCCATCGATGCGCTCAAGGCTCATTTCTGGGATGGTGTCTCAACGGATGAGAAGAAGTTGATCAAGAAGCTCAAGGGCGAGCTTGATATTCCCTAAATTGTCTTTTCTCAACGGGGGAAACTGCATTATCCATCGCATCTTGTACATACACACTTTTCAAAACCTGACTTTGTCAGCATTCAAGTGGAGATGCAAATGCGTGATATTGTTCTGATGGCTGCATCACAGAGGAACAAGTGTCTGATGATGACAAAGTGACAGAGGATACAGGCCATTCTAAGGGCCAACAAGAATGGCTTTGGCTCACAAAATAGTAAAATACATAATATATATGCAATGATGGAGCATTTGGAATATGATACGTCTATCCCGGCTAGCTCAGTCGGTAGAGCGTCAGACTCTTATCTACAAGGGTTTCCGAGATCTTCTCGGAGTTCATCTGAATGTCGTGGGTTCGAGCCCCACGTTGGGAGATCTTTTTGTTTGAAGCTGCGCTTCTGTACGATCCTTTTTTTTTTTTTTTTTTTTTTTTTTGTTTTTTTTTTTTTTTTTGGCAACTGAGCTCCGCGGCGTTGCATGTTGACGAACGATGACTCTCATGTCGAATAACGCATCGCCAGGCGATCCGAGCTTCGTGCTTTGTCATGACTCGAAGCCAATGGGTGCACAGGGTGATGGTCGTCTCACGCCCTGATATCATAAGCAGCTCCAACGGCTTTCGACCCGGACACAAAAGTATAAATATAAACCTTTCTTAAGTCCCCATTCGGTCTGTTCTCATCCATCAACACCTTGCATTCTAAGTATTCTTCTTGCGAAACATGAAGCTCTTCACCATCATCACCATCCTTGCTCTCGGGCTTGTCGCCACTACGTCAGCTGACACGGTAGACCTTATTAGCGATTGTGACAGCAGCGTAACTGGTCCTTACCGCTGTGGCATGTACAGCACCTGCTGTTACGACGAGACGTAAGTGCTTTCTACACGCCCGTACTATCGACCTTTGCTGGAATGATTGACGCTTGTGCCAGCACGGGCAGAAGCACCTGCCAATCACATTGCTAATGTCATCAAACCTGAATCAAGGTGTCCTTCGACCGCCTCGACCACAATCTCCCTTAGTCGAATAGTTATGCACTTCGCAACCACCAAGCTACGTCTGGCTTTGTTGGCCTTCCGTTTTTTTTAAACACCTACCTTGCTCATTTGATACGCTTTCCGTGACCTTCTCTTCTACCCCTCTCACTTCCGTTTTCTCAATTTCGTGGTCCATGAAGAGACCTCGAGTTGAAGCTTGAATGTGTCGGAGCGATGTCGTGTGCCGTGCTCGCTTGAGTTCATCGCTGGGGTTGATATTGCTGGGGTTGATATCGCTGAGGTTGATATCGCCGAGGTTGACCTGCGAGCTCGAACCGTCAGATCGACCCACATTGCCGAGTTGTGAGCGTGAATACTGCCCACTCGAGAGGCCTTGCAGTCATGACGATGCCTGCGGACCCCTTTTCATCTTTGTTTGACGTTGACCTTCGCTGCGGCACGTATTGGTTGCTTGCGGTGATAACCACAGCAACGCGAAAATGAGCTCAGATGAAGACGTAAACAATGAACGCTCAATTACGATTGTTTTGCCTCATCATGTAGGGGTGACCGAGGTGGGATGTTTTCGCCTGTGCAGATGAAGCTTCAGCACTTGACAGATCAGTTCTCATCATCGGAAGGATGTGATGCTCACTCGCTTTTTCCACCCAGGTTATCGCCCTGGCTTCTGCAGTCGCGACAGGACGTTGAGAGTGTGGGAGCGAATAGCGTGATCGCTTGTCACTTGCGACACAGACTTGGATGGTAGGTCGCGATTTCATTACGTGTGGCGACGACCAACGGTATGTAGAGACAGTGCATGAAAGTGGTACTAATGAAGAACGAACTAACTAAGCCTTGTGAGTTTCATGCGTCTAGCGTGTGGACGAGGCTGAAACATCCCGAGGCAATGCAGAGGTAAGGCTCAGGCCCCTATCTCCTCCTCCACGAGCATTGGATAGCCGTTATGCCGTTGCCTATCGCGATAATCAGCCTGACGCGAGCCGATACGCCGCCCAGGCCTCCTACAGAGAGTCTGACGGGTTGAGACGATCGTCCCGCACGTCCCGCACGTCCCGCACGTCCCGCACGTCCCGCACGTCCCGCACGTCCCGCACGTCCCGCACGTCCCGCACGTCCCGCACGTCCCGCACGTCCCGCACGTCCCGCACGTCCGACTAAGTGCATTGAAAGCAACGTGGGCGCTTTGACGTCCTCATGGCAGTTGGCGTGACTGAATTCTGCCCATTTGCGTTGCTATTGTTCGCACCTCGCAATTTCACCACCTCATCGTTAGCGTTGATGTGTACTCCTTCTCAACTACCGCTTCGATATTGAATGAAAAGCTTGTTGCAGGAAAGTGACACCATCTCAGAATGCTCCGAGCACCCACGAACCTTGGCACCTGTTTTGCAGCAACTCCGAGACCAAACAAGGGCAACTATACCTCTTCTACGAGCTTCTCAGCAGAGTGGGAGTCAGTATGAGATCACAGAGCATACAATATGATTGTGGGCTGGTAAACAGGCTTCCCACCCTCAACCAACTCTCTCTCTCTGAGGTGACACTAGCACAGGTAGGCATTTCCGATACAGAAAGCCACTGTTGCAGCAAAATCTCGTGCTACAATGTCACTCGGACCAGGTCTGCCAGCACAGCTGATGCAGACTCAGCCTTGTCTTCATCCCTCTTCCCGTCGAGATCGTCCAAAATATAAAGACAACCTCGTTGCGAATCCGTCACTTTCCTTCCAAACACATCTCCTGCTTCCCTCCCCTTCCCACGAAAACAGTAGCTTTTCCTTCATCATGAAGCTCAACATCGCCATCGTTGCTCTAGCTCTTTCGAGCACTGCCCTCACTTTTGCTGCTCCTTTGCCCACGCCTATGCCACAGGGTTGGGGTTTTTTGAGGAAAGCCGTTGGCAAGATCTCAGGCAAGAGTAGTTCAGCGGCCCAGGAGCTTTCTATCTACGCCGACGATTACGTCCCCCAGTACGAGAGGTATAGCGACGCAACGCACCCCTACATCCCGAAGGAGCACTCTTCTCAGGCCAGCCCTGTTCACAGGTCACACGGCAGTGGTGATAGCAGCAGGCCTGCTGAACGCGACCCTCGCCACGGCGGAGACGAGTCTGATTACTTGACCTCTCCCGAGGCCAGCCCTGTTCACAGGTCACACGGCAGTGGTGATAGCAGCAGGCCTGCTGAACGCGACCCTCGCCACGGCGGAGACGAGTCTGGTCACTATCCTCAGACTCAATACACCCCTCACACCCTTCAACACGCCTCTTATGGCCAAGATCCTCAGCCTCAATACACCCCTTACACCCCTCGATTCACCCCTTCTGGCCACTATCCTCAGCTTCAATACACCCCTCAACACGCCTCTTATGGCCACTATCCTCAGCCTCAATACGCTCCTAACTTTGCTTCAAACGCTCCTTATGGCCACGATCCTCAGCCTCAACCCAGTTACGTCTCTCATGGGCACGGTAAGTAAAGAGCAAGTAGCTCCGATATCATGTGATGCAAGGCCATCAAATGCTGATTCGACTCTGCCTGGTTTTGGTTTTGGTTTGTGACTCAACAGTTTGGCCGGAAGGTCCGCCTGGTGGGTTCTATTCTTATTACAGCTCTCACGATGCTCATCGTTTTCCCGTCGGTGGATACCTTAGTGCGCCTCCTCCAAACCAGGACAGAGTTGGCTGGTTCTTTTGAAGAATCATCGTCGATACAGTCTAATGGGGCCCCCACGAATTTGCGAGTTCACGCTTCATGGTGCTGTGCTTGCCTTGTTCTGTTCTGTCCGGGCCGTTCTGTTCTCATCGTTTCCCAAACTCGCTTATGCTTCCCAGCAGTGGTACAACTGTGTTGTCGCCATCCGTCAATCCTAGAATTAGGCACTCTGGTCTCTACTGAACTTCCATTTGTAGTACAGTCGTTCCATCCCCCTCATTTACACCTGCCTAAGTCTCCCTTCGAAGCTGTGTTTCTATTCGTGTGAGACTAGCTATCTTTACACTCTGACCACTTTAGCCGCTTAAGGTTCCTCCTCAAAAAGCTTGATCGTCTCTCAGAAGCATCTCGAAAGTCTGGCCTTCGGAAATGCTTTCCGTCCGAACCTTAGCGAGAAACTTCCAGCAGCCACCTCAACCTGACCGGGCGACTGTAGCCGAAATCTTCGGGTCACTTCTACGCTGATCGCTGCAACTAGGCGCATTCGGATCTCGAAAACCCTAGAGTCGCGTTTGGTACAGACGCGAATATCAGTGATCGGAGCACGGGGCACCTGCGTTGCGCAGCAGGTGAGCGAAATCGCCACTCACTTGCCTCATCTCACCTCTCCTCCCTGTTGGAAATAATGAAAGAATACGGGTGTCGAAACTCAGTGGTCGACGATGGTCTAAGCACAGTGTTCAAGCTATTGAGCAGAAACACTATACTATATTGAACTGAGAGAAGAACGTGGTAGTAGCCTCGAGCTCTCTACTTGGTATATATACATGGTGTCGGCACATGCCAGAGGTGGGAGCATCTTACTCAATGACAGGGTACGGCAACAAGTGTGACTCAGCAGTCCCCGATTCCAACTGTATCAGCTCCGACCGATCTCAGATCATATCGGCTCTGCCCCATTCGTTGTCAGATCGGTTCCACCCGATCCGCCCGATCCGTCGTCATATCGACTCATGTCATTTTTCGTGTCCTGCTGAATCGTTATCTTCAGCACTCCCTTCTCACCATCATCTCACTCTCACGCAGGCTCCGCCCCGCTATTACGCGACGTTCAACCACCCGTGGCCCTTACGGCCACGGCTGGGAACTCGCAAGCGACTCTCCCACGAGTTAGGCAATCTCACATTTCTCATGCTTCGGTCTCTGTTCCCGCGGGTGGTTCGTGTACGCGGCAGCCAGACATTGACTTCTCGGTGGGACATGCTTAATGACCACACATGAAATGCTAGTTGGTGGGATGAGATATACGTTGCAGCTCAACAAGTTGTTGTATGCTTTGCCATTGTATCGCCTAGCTGCAGCTTCATTACATTACGTGATTTGGGTGCCCACTAAGTGGGGGCAGTGGCTCACATGTGACATGTTCAAGTTTGTAGGTTATGGTTGCTCATTGACGACCATCACTTGCTGTTACGGTGTACATGTGGGAAAGTTGTACAGTAACGCTCTAGGCCATTCTCATTGTGCATGAACAGAGTGAGACGTAGTAACAGGGTGCACGACCCGATTCAACGTGTGTTTCCCTCCGAGTGGCATTGTTGGTTGGAAGGTATAAAAATGCTCCCCATTCAGCACCAAGACAATTTTTGTTCTCGCCAACATCCTTTCTTTCTCCTATCCTTTCCAGTAGCACGATCAAGATGAACCCATCATTGACAATCCTCCTCCTAACCCTCTTCGCCACTCTGGCAGTGGCGGCCCCCGTTGCCCCGGGGTTCGGCGAAAAGGCCTTGGAAAGCACCTCTGAATCCCTCTCCAACCATCTCTCTGACCTCACTCTCAGCCATCCTCTTCCCCCAACCTCTCAAGCTCGTCGACCTATGTTGACATTCAGACGTCCTTCCCCACTTCCTGAACATGGTGCACCTACCCTCGATATCCCCGGCCGGCCAGGGTTCGAGACGGACTCGAATTCTGCTCCTTGGTTTAATCGTTTTGGTGGTGCCATACGAACTTCGAAGAAACATGCAGCTAGAGACCAGGCTGAGCCTTACAGCTTAAGCTTCAAGGAAAGGGTGCAAAACGCCTTGGCCAGAAAGAAGGCGGCTATGCAGGAACAAGAGCCGGTCACGCTAGCTAGACAAGCTTCTAGGAAGCAGGCGCAATGGGAGGACATGGTTCTGGAGGAGCATCACCTGCAGCCTTTGGGTGGAAGTGGATCAGGAAGAAGGGCTAGTTCTTCAACCGCTGGAGCAGATAGTACCATGGATTATAGCAGGTTCAGTGATCAGGGTGATACCGCTTCTAGTCGATCCAGAAACTAAGAGATAGCAGTTCAGTGAAGGGGAGTGGCCGCTTTAGTCGCTATAACCCCCACTGTTGTTATCAAGTCCCGCCATCATACCTCTCTTCGCATTCTCTTGGCCGGTTAATGTCGGCCTCTATCGGGGACCGTTGATGGGGATTGGTGGCGACGCGTTGACCGAGACCCTCCTGATGAAGTTCATATGCACATCAGTGTGTATGTGTGTGGGAAAGCATCACTTGTTCCTTCAGCTAGTCGAAGATCGATCTTGCCTGCTCCGTCACAACTGTTGTTCCTGTTGAGCTCATATTTTCACACCAATCCATAACAACCATTCCCTCCCTCCCCTTCTCCCGATGAATCACCTCATGCAATCCAAAGATCACGCCTTCATCTACCCTCTTGTCCCTCTGTAGCTACCTGTGTCACTGATGATGTGATTCTGAATACGTGTCCATTCTCTGCTCAGGCAACCCAAGCACATCGTAATCGAAGGCTGCTTGGTTGATGAAAAGGCTTGCCAAGTGATGTGGCGTGGCGCTTTGAGGTCGTATACAAAGAGCGGCACGACATTCACACGGATCAATCTATTCCCAGCCGGTTGAGTTTGAGTTGGTATAGAAATCAGGTAGCCTACCCTTTTGTTCTTCCCCTTCTCCCGCTCAACACTAACTCAAAACTTCCATTGTCCTCTCTGGGTGCTGCTCGGGGAAGAAGCAAGTTAGGTGTCCGGTCAAAACGGCGAATTCCTTCCACTTGCTTGTCCGTACTAACATCCCCTTCAACGACCCAATCGATCTCTTCTTTCTTGCCTTTTGCCGAATCGGTCACTTGCAAACAATCGAACGCCAACCTTTTCCTCAACACCTACATAACCAGACATACATCTATTCACCGACCTCAACCTCACCTCGCAACACAAGACAAGACAACAATGCACCTAAAGCTCATCCCGCTCGTCACTCTACCCCTCCTTCTCGTAACGGCAACCTTGACGAAAGCACTCCCACCTGGACCACCAGAAGACATCATCAAAACGACACTCGAAAGTACAGGCTCAACTGAAGCAGAATTATTCCCGCAATGGTCGAATCCCTCTGGCTGGATGGGATTTCGAATGGTAGGTGAACATCTACGTAGTCTGCACCCTCCGCACTTACCTGCGGAATACAATGCGGATTGGCATGTTGTCAATTCACCCATCCGAGGTGTTGTTACTGACAACAGAGCCAGATTGAGATTAGGCATTACTGGTAGGGAAGTAGATCGAGATTGGGAGCAAAGAGTTTTAAATCGTCATCAACCATCAGAGACATTGAGAACACCGGAACTACAGGCAATTGTGACAGAGTTTCCAACGCACCTTGGAAATGGCGAACAAGAGGCCAGCAGTCTAGCACATGCCAGGTTCGAATTCAGTTCTCCTCCTCCATCAACAAGTAGTGGTGTGGGGAGAAAGGAGAGGGGTAAGCGTCAGAGACGGCCCAAGTAATCCACAATGACTCAAGAAGCTCAGATGACGAATTCAATCAACACAAGACAATCAACACAAAGAGCCAAAGTGAGAGCAAATCGGAATTGAGATTGACCAAGGCCAATCTTTGTTTTGGGTGTGATGTGTGTGCTGTGGATAGCAAAGGACGACATGCCTTGCGAGCAGAGTATCGTCCAACTTGCGAATTCATAACGGCCAAGTGTCGAAGATGATAACGGCCTACTTTGTGCCAAAATAGATCAAGAGAGTTGAAAGAGAAAACAAGGACAAGAGTTGCGAATAGACTGTGCCGTTTCCATCCAGTCTGCCCTTCCCGCTTGCCTAGAGATAAAAAGTGCAACTCGACAAAACAAAGGAACCAAACCAGCTTGACAAGGAAAAGGTGATCAACTGGTTTAAGCGTCCTTGGTCTTGATGGTACCGCGGATAAGACCGGTACGACGAGCAGCGATAAGACCGACCTTCTGACCGGAAGGAGCGTATCGCGACACGGTCGAAGCCTTACCAATGTGCTGATGGTTACCACCACCGTGAGGGTGATCGACAGGGTTCATAGCAACACCACGAGTTCTGGGCCACGAGTTCCTCTTGACCTTGAACTTGTGATGAGCACGACCAGCCTTGAGCAAAGGCTTGTCAATACGACCACCGCCAGCTACGATACCGATAGTAGCACGCGAAGTGGAAGGAACAGTCTTCTTAGCACCCGAAGGAAGACGGATACGGGAGGTTTTACCGTTGGAATCGTGTCCAATGATGGTAGCGTAGTTACCCGAGGTACGGGCGAGAGAGCCACGGTCACCGGATTTCTCCTCGACATTGCAAATGATGGTACCTTCGGGAAGCGATGAGAGGGGGAGAACGTTGGCAACGTTCAAAGCAGCTTTCTTGCCGCAGTAGACGAATTGACCGGTAGAGAGACCTTCGGTGGCAACAAAGGTTTCAACACGGGTGCGGTACTTGTAGGGGTCACGGAAGGCAACCTTGGCGAGGGGGGCGCCGCTGCAAAACAACAAGTAAGGAGAGGTGGTAAATTGGGACAGGATCAGTATGTTGTGCGCGAGTCGAGAGATTGAGCGCATGGTTCTAGCATTCGAGGAAAGAGCATCAAGTTTGAAGGGCGGAAGATATAGCATCTTTGTCGTTGCAGCGGGTCGAGGTAAAGCGGAAGAGCGGCAACACAATGGAAAGGGGCCCAGTTGATAGGTGAGATAGGTGAGATAGGTGCGGCGTATGAGACTGTGTTTGTCGTATGCGTATGCTGAGTCAAGTTGGCTGCTGCATGAGCTGGGCTTGCTTGATCGAAGAGGGTGCTTCTGTCGCAATGACGGGCTGATCTGCTTTGATATCCGTTCAAGTCATGCGAATGACTCTCCTCCTTGTCACATCTGCAATGGCCAGGCTGATCGTTTCGATGAGTCTCCCAGAATTCGTAAATGTGGTCTATGCGTCTGAATGCCTGCTTTCGGTCATACCATACTTGATGCCTTCTGTCTGCTTGAGGATGGATGCAGTTAGCGAATGCCTCTATCCTCTGCGTTGAAGTCTGCCGAGCCGCTTCTCCCTTTCTGCGTCTTTGGGCATTAGGCAATCCTTCATCCGAACTGCCGAGTATATTGATGCTGATGCTATTGTATATCGGTTGCTATTGTATATCGGTAGCTGCTGCCGATTGTCGATTGCTGAATACTTCGGATCGAGTCGATAGCAATGCTTTCCTTTGCTGTTCTCCTGCTTTGGTTTGTGCTTTCAAAAATACTCACCGACCAGCATCGTGGATGATCTCCTTAACCACACCTCGGATGTAACCGTTGCGCTCGGCGTAGTCGTAGACACGCAACTTGGCAGGAGCCTTGTTGTGCTTGGTGTGAGCGGTGAAGATGCCACCGCTCTTTCGCTGAGCTCGAATGACCCTACCCATTGTTGATTGTACGGTGTGTAAGGTGGAAGTGACTTGATGGTGAGGAGAGAGTTGGCAACGATGGCGAGCAGACGACTTGACACACACACACACACACACACTTACTTTCTCTCTCTGTGGACTTCGGTGCCGACGGGCTTGGCTGGCTGGACTTGTGTCTGGCATTAGAGTTGTTATTTTTGCCCATCACGTGCTCGAGATAGATCGGCCGAGCTGCAATTTCAACCGACCGGGACTGTTTTCCTTTTTCTTGGCAAGTGTGCAAGAAAAGCTAGGTCTAACAGCCAGGCAGAAACTGAGCCTCCACTTCTGTCTGGCTGGCTATGCAAGATGATTGACAAGCGCACCAAGCCTGCTTGCCACCATCAACTGGCCTGTCGTCATCTCGGATCCTCGCTCTCGTTGTTGTCGTTGGACACCATCCTCACCATCTCGGCTTCGCTCGCATCCCATGTGAAGCTGCAACGAGGACCATCCTCTTGCCGTGTCCAAGAACGGCAACAACGACTGCAGCGACACTACAGAGCCAACAAGACACGCCTCGATTTGGAGCGCTGGACTCTTTCAGCAGCGCTACTTGTGTTGATCGTAAGTCTCACCGCATACACACACGATTCGCATGCCTTTTCCATCGATCAATCCAGGCAAGGTGGTGGCCGCTAAAGTGATGACTAAAATATCACATTCACAAGCTCAACAGTCCAAGGAGGAACAACTGTTCTTCCGGTGCCGAGTTAATCTTCTTCTTCTGCAATTCTGATCCGCAAGTCGCCAACAAAAACGCCCATGCCTTCTTGTGTGGCCGTTGTTGATGGTCGAGAGAGATGCATGCCTATTGTCGCAATGTTACGTGATGGATCGCTGACTTGGCTCTCTTTTGGTTGATATATAGGAAAGCCAACAAAACTAAAAGGAACCAATTCATACCCCGATACTTGGTCCAAAATTTCGTCTTGTGTGCCATAGCCCTCCTCCTTGGGCGCATAGCTAAGCACCAGCTGTTCCGCCAACTCGAGCGCAACGTCTTTGCTGTCCAACTATCTTGCAGAGCCGTGCGCAGCTCAACGGACAACTAACATGGCTCCCCGTGCCTCCTCCATCCAGCACCCATCGCCCAACATGACGGCCAACACAAACTCAACCAACGATAGTTCCTCACATGGACCACTATCAGCCTTGCAACCAGCCTCATCAGTTGACCTTGACCACAATTCACCCCCTGCACCACCTAACCCTCTCCTTCAGCCCCGACCGCGTCCAAAGGTGCGCGGCAAGCTGGCTTCCTCGAGCAGCACCATCCTCGTCAACCCATGTCAACGAGGAAATCCGCTGCTCAGCTCGATCCGATCTTTGGGTTGGGAGTACTCGGACATAGTGCCTGACTACGTTGTCGGCGTTTCATCGTGCATTTTGTTCCTCTCGATCCGATACCACCGACTGCACCCAGAATACATCCATACGCGAATCGCCAAACTTTCCAACATGTTTACGCTCCGAATCCTTCTTCTCCTCTGCGATGTGAAGGATCATGCACCGGCTATTAAGGAGTTGACTAAAACGGCACTGATCAACAACCTTACTCTCATCGTAGCATGGAGTGCAGAAGAAGCAGGGAGATACGTGGAAACTTATAAGAGTTTCGAACATAAACCTCCAGATCCTATCAAGGAGAGAGTGCCGGAGGATTATCTAAGTCAACTGACCAACGTCCTTACCCAGGTGAGGGGGGTTAATAGAACAGATGTGCTTACCTTGATTACCAGATATGGCAGTTTGAAAGGCGTGATTAGAGCCTGTAAGCACGAGACCGCAGGCTTACAAATGTCTCCTGGATTCGGAGAGATTAAGGCTAAGAGATTGCGAGACGTTGTTACTCAGCCTTTTAGAGTTGGTCAAGGAAACAGTTATAGGCAACGCCAACTTGGCTCTCCTAGCAATTCTACTACCAACACTGCTGCTGCTGGTGGTGGTCCGAGTGCGGTTGGTAGAGCGGCTGGATTGTTGGAAGACGATCATGTTCTTCTCACCTCCTCCTCCTCCTCCTCCTCCTCTGCCACAGGTCAAACGAGAGATCTGAACACCTTGCAGGAGAATCTCGAACAACTAACCGAACAGGAACAACTCCGACTCGCCATGCAACTCTCAATGCATCCTCAACCACCGTCCTAATGCACCTCTCTTCGCCTCCCCCTCTTGCTACACTTGCTACACTTGCTACACTTGCTACACTTGCTACACTTTGTTCTACTTGGAATATACCCATACTTTAACGCTTTTCCCGTCTATCTTGAACCATGTCTTGTGTCAACGGATCCCTCTGTTCGGCTGGATTCACTACCTTTGGATTGCAAGATGCATAGGCACTTGGCATCTGAGCATTGTTTTCGTTTGAGACCAACACACGATTGAGAAGCTCAGGAAAGCAGAGAAGCAAAAAGCGGGCGTGTTTAGAGGCTAGGCAATGTATTGCAACCAACCAACCGCACCATTCCACCAGGGAACGGCGCGGGAAGACAGAAAGGGAAAAGCGAACGCGGACAAAGAATGGACCGACAGGAATGATGTATCCAGACAAAGGGGAAAGGAGTGACGAGGGAGGAGCAAGGTGCAACTTGGAAGCGGGTTTGGCTGTGAATGGGAGGCAAGGCTTTAACAAGCGGCGAGATTCTTATAAGAACCGATATCATAGGTATTAGCCTTGCCAAGGAACCAACCATTCAGCATCTGATAAAGATAATCGAGATTGTTCTGAGCATGACAATTGCCCTGAGCTTTAGCAGCAGTAGCCTTCTTAACAGTAAGGCCAAGTTGCCAACCATTATACTGACCAATAGCCTGCAACACATTCCCGCCACACTGATCCAGCGTTGTCTTGAAATACCTTGCACCTGTATCAACATTGAACCATGGATCCTTACAGTTTCCATTAGGAGCACCACGACACTTGTCCCGAGTGATCTGCATAAGACCCTGCTCTCCATTTCCTCCAGTCACATTAGGATTACAAGTCGACTCTTGCATGGCAAACGACATAAGAACCGTAGCAGGCACCCCATGGGCCTTTTCTGCAGCTTCAAACGCCCAAAGAACCTCTTTGCACGGAGCAAACACGGGCGCAGTGGAAGCTTGAGACGCAGGCATGATTCTAAGTTGCGAAAGCGAAAGTTGAGGAGGCTTCCAACCTCCGGAGGTAAGACCACAGTTAAGAAAGTCTTGAGAACCATTGGGTTGATCATCATTGGCACCAGACGAACCGCAGTTCTTGGAGGTAAACCCAAAAAGGCCACCCGATACGGAAGAGGACGTCTTGGACTCAGAGTCACTCTCAAAGCCCGAGTTGGAGCTAGTACCAGACTTGTTCTGACTCGAAACCTGCGAGTGAGAGCCCGAGTGTTGCTTAGCACCCTTGCTGGTAGTAGCATCATCGCGACTCTTAGCCTTGCAATGACGCTTTGAACGCCTGCCCATACGACGAGGGTTATTGTTAAGAATAGCACTACGTCGCTGCAAAGAAAGATGCTGCTTGGACGTAGTGGGTAAGTTGTTGCGAGGTTCGAGATTGGCAAACACGGCCGAAGCGCTAGTAGCGACAAAGACGAGCGTGAGTGCGACAAGAGAGAGCAACTTGATTCCTGCCAACCTGAATGCGAACATGGTTGGATTGCGAGAAAGAGAATGTATGCGATGCTTGATGTTGAAAGAGAGGGGAAAGATGAGCAAAGGGAAAGATGAGCAAAGGGAAAGATGAGCAAAGGGAAAGATGAGCAAAGGGAAAGATGAGCAAGGGATTGATGGATGTATCGGTTAGTGCGAGCGAGCGAAACCTGATATGGACCAGCCAAACGAGGTGTAAAGAAAGCCGTTCTAAGAAGCGGACCGTGCTGCGACTAGAATGGGGAGGAGGAGGGCGATATGGTAGAAAGGCAACAAGCAATGCCCTTTCTCTTTCTCCTTCTCTCTTTCTCCAAACCCCTGACTCCTTTGTCTCTCTCCAGCCGAGGCCCTCTCCTTTCCCACCCTTTTCCCCCTTTGCTCTTTACCAGCAAGCAAACCGCTTTCTTCAATCTAAAATCCATCGGCCGATACTCAAATACTGCATCTCTCTCATCAACACCGGTGATCAGATAATCACTGCCAGGCACAGACACCTGACCCTAAGCGTGAAGGCTTAGGCTTAGCCTCCATCTATGCTCAAGCTCGTCAAGGGTTGATTGATATGTTTCATTTGATTCGTGTGACAGCGCCTTTTGACAAGAGTTTACATTTACGTGGGACAAGGAGACCCAACACTACCAGCGAAAAGCCTGGGTGCAAGACCATCTGTATGCTGCCGCCTCACTCGATGAGATCAGATTGAAACCCAGACGGGATTGCTTCAGCAGGACAACGTCTAGCAGAACAACGTCTAGCAGAACAACGTCTAATCTTTGGCTCCTCGTCCACATGGACCGGCTTAGAAGCACTTGCGGTGAACAATCGAAGGTCCACTCTCGTCGTACTCCTGCTTCGAGATCCACATTTGCTGGAAAGTGGAAAGCGAAGCCAGAATCGATCCGCCGATCCAAACTGAATACTTTCGCTCGGGAGGAGCGACAATCTTGACCTTCATCGAGCTGGGAGCCAGTGCGGTGATCTCCTTCTGCATACGGTCCGAGATACCGGCGTACATTGTGGTACCACCGGACATGACAATGTTGCCGTACAGGTCCTTTCGGATGTCCAAGTCACACTTCATGATCGAGTTGTAAGTAGTCTCGTGGATACCGGCAGCTTCCAAACCAAGGAAAGCGGGCTGGAAGAGAACCTCGGGTGTACGGAATCGCTCGTTACCAATCGTGATCACTTGTCCGTCAGGAAGCTCGTACGACTTTTCCAGAGCCGAAGACTGGGTAGCGGTAAGCATCTCCTGCTCAAAGTCAAGAGCAACGTAGCAGAGCTTCTCCTTGATGTCACGAACAATTTCACGCTCGGCAGTCGTGGTGAAAGGGTAACCACGCTCAGTCAAGATACGAGCCAGATATTCGGTCAAGTCACGACCGGCAAGATCGAGACGAAGGATCGAGTGCGGGAGCGAGTAACCTTCGTAGATGGGCACAGTGTGCGTAACACCGTCACCCGAGTCGAGAACGATACCAGTGGTACGACCGGAAGCGTAGAGCGAGAGGACGGCCTGGATGGCAACGTAGAAAGCGGGAGCATTGAACGTCTCAAAGAGGATCTGCGTCATCTTTTCACGGTTCGCCTTGGGGTTCAAGGGAGCCTCGGTGAGCAAGACGGGGTGCTCCTCGGGAGCGACACGAAGCTCGTTGTAGAACGTGTGGTGCCAAATCTTCTCCATGTCGTCCCAGTTGGTGACGATACCGTGCTCGATAGGGTACTTGAGGGTCAAGATACCACGCTTTGACTGAGCCTCGTCACCGACGTACGAGTCCTTCTGACCCATGCCGACCATGACACCCTGGTGACGCGGGCGACCGACGACCGAAGGGAAGACAGCTCGGGGAGCATCATCACCGGCGAAACCGGCTGTGTGCGTGGCAAAGGAGCGAGAGATGGACTAGTCAGCCAGCTGCAACGACAAATCAACAGAGACCAAACGTCCAGCCGAGCCAGCCGAGCCAGCCGAGCCAGCCGAGCCAGCCGAAGCAGGCAACCATGCGGCACTGCCAGTCAAGCTTGGTACAAGTGTGAGAAGACCTACCTTTGCACATTCCCGAACCATTGTCGATAACGAGCTGTTGAGCGCAAGAGCAGCCGAAATTTGGGCAAAAGAGGGCGATTCAAGCATGCAATTGGCGGTACAAGGGAGAAAGATGAGATGGAAGGATTTGTCAGTTGACTAGCTCACTTGCTTGTAGCGGCCATTTGCGCGGACAACCATCTCTTCGGAATGGCAGCTCGGATTTTCGAAACTGATTGTGTTTGCGTTGTGTGGCTACCGTTGTGTGGCTACTTACAGCAGCGACTTCGTCTGTTGGATTGCAGCATCAGCAGCAATGATTCAAGGAACAAGGGTTTGGTCAGTTTGCTGTTCGCAAAAAGGCTTGAGATACGCGCGCAATTGCCGCGCAATTTCCGCGCAAGGTGAGCCGAGGATGATGACCAAGCGCTCAACATGGACCATGCGCGATTGATGGCGTTGAGAAACTCGAGGACAGGCACCGACCACCTCTTGGGTTCCATTGGAAGGCGGCAAGTGGAGTGGAGCGACGGCGAGTGCTGGTCAAGTTCAATACTCACCCTCCATTGTGTAAAGCGGGCTGGTGTGGTGGTAGAAGGTGGTGGTGGAATAGAAAGGAAGAAGAGAGACGGAACGAGTTGGTGGGGTAAAGAGAAGCGACGGATGACGATGGCGACAACAAAGACAGGAGAGAGAGAGAGAGAGGGAGAGAGGCAAAGAGGCAGAGAGGAGAGAGGCAAAGAGAGAGAGAAAGGGGCGATTGGCCCAGGCGAGATTGGAATGTGCGTGCGCTTGCACAGCCCCCCTAAACCTAAGACTTGGCCTGGCATAATCCCCCATCTCAGCTCCTCGGCTTGCTCAAGTCCAACTCCCTGGCTCTCGCCCTTTGGAAACTCCAACCGACAGGCGGATTAGCAGATCCAATTTTGAATTCATTACAAGTAGAATGCAATACAAGTAGAATGCAATACAAGTAGAATGCAATACAAGTAGAATGCAATACAAGTAGAATGCAATACAAGTAGAATGCAATACAAGTGGATAGAACACAATACAAGTAAAATTCAATACAAATAGAACTCAATACAAGTAGAATTGGAGCAAGTAATTGCCTCTTGCTCTCTCTTTCTCCCTTTTCCTGTCCTAAATACAAAAGAGGCTGACGCGTCGAATACAAAGTTCAGAAGACCCTTTCGAAATTTGAGCACAGGCCATCCGCCATTCCAGAAGCTCCTGCCCGATCACCGAAATAGCTCCAAACATGTAGATTCAAGCGGTCTAACATCGCTCGTCCAAACCAACCTCGTACGATGATGAGCAACACTTTCGCACAATGATGAGCAAAAGAGCATAGCAAACAGAGTCTATTGTCAGACTATACTGAGCAGCCATCTCCTTGCCCTCCTTGCCCTTCGGATGCTATCTCACTTCTTGTCCGCCTCGGCATTCCACCTTACCAACTCCTCCAGCGTCACCCCCTTGCCGCCAAAGATATCCAAGGCAGACCCAAAAGTGAGATCTACCTTGCCCTTACTCAAGCGATCCACCAACTCCAAATCGCCTCTATCTCTCGCTCCACCCGCATAAGTAGTCGGAAGCTTGACCCACTCGCCCAACCTTTTCACCAACTCTTGGTCTATCCCTTGACACAAGCCCTCTACATCGGCAGCATGGATCAGAAACTCTCCACAGTATTGCGATAAAAGGTCGAGAGAGGTTTGGTTTACTTCCATATCCGTCATATCTTGCCACCTGTTCATAGCCACTAGCCACTTATCACCTCGCTTCCTACAGGAGACGTCTACAACCACATTCTCTTTCCCCACTTTTGAGCTGAGTTCTTTCAGTCGATCCACGCAGAATCGGCATCCAGGGAAGAGCCAACTTGTGACAATCACTTTCTCTGCCCCTTTCTCTAACCATTCTTGAGCATTATCCCCCGTAATGCCTCCGCCAACATGCAAACCCTGCAGCCAAGCCTGAACTGCGCAAGTGGCAGCTTCATCGTTCCTCGGCCCGAGCTTGATTACGTGGCCACCGGTAAGGTTGTATTTGCGATAAAGTTGGGCGAAATACGCAGGCGGATGGGTGGCGACAAAGTTGGTTTTCAGTGTAGAATCCGAATCCGTCAATGTTGCGCCGACGATCTGCTTCACTACTCCTTCGTGCAGGTCTATACACGGCCTGAACCGGCTTCTTCTCCTCCTTTCACCCACTCCTGCTGGCGGGTTGGGGTTGAAAAACTTTCCCAACCAATCCCCTTCTTCTCCCTCTTTGACACCTTCCTTTCGCACAGCGGCACGAAAGCCAGCTCGTTGCATACACCTCTCCATCCACTTTTTCGTCTCTTGGCCTATCTCCAATCCTAAATTCTTCCTCCACTCCTCACTCCTAGTCCCAAGAATCCTTCCGACTATATCGATGCTGTAAACCATAGCACAATCCGCACTGGTAAACTCAAACCCTTTCACCAAAACACCGCGATTCTGCTTCAACCTGGCTTCAAGATACTCCAAATCAGCTTTCAACCCCCTGGCACCAACTTTCTCAACGGGTGCAGTACCATCTTGGCTCCCAGCCCCACCTTGGATCGCATAAAACAACGCGATTCCATGCAACATTACACTCGCTTCTGCAAACTCTATCCATCCACCGACATCGATACTCTCCTGCGTCTTTTCTCCCAACTTAGGACCGAGTGAAACACGTTCAGGGTTATAGTAGTGGGTGAGCAGATGGGAGATGATGTTATTTGTTTCGATGATAGTAAGCGCACCGTCGGTTAGGACGGGCGAGCGTCCGAGTGGATGGATAGATTTCAGATCTGGACCAGCGAGACGAGTCACTGCATCTCGGCGGTAGGTTTTTAGCGTATAAGGTACCTGCAGTTCTTCAAGCAGAAATAGAATTCGGTTCGAACGAGAGAGCTCGAGATGATGCAGCACTAAGCCGGTAGAAGAGGTGCACTCGGTCGTCATTGTTGCGAACTCTTGCTGGTGAACGAGGGAAAGGAAAGAGCAAGAGCAAGAGGGGAGAGGGGGAGAAGGTGGTGTGTGCCAAGTTGGACGGGTGGACGAGTGAGTGGTGAGATATTATTATTATTTTTCGAATGTTTGTCCGAGATCCGAACTTAACTCACATCTGTCCCATGGCCCGTGCATGCTGAAGATAACGATCCAGTGGAGAGCCAAAGTGACGAAGGATCGGGCCAGATCGATCTAGAGCGTAATCGGGAAAGGAGATCTAATCATGAATCAAACGGGGCCGATCTGACGAGAGATCGGATAGAACACAGTCCCACTCGTTGTCAGGCTAGCTCATGAAACAGCATACTCCCACGATAGCTATCAGCCTCACGAATGTATATATATATCAAGCTGAGATCACTAGGTCCTCGCCATGTTAGTCAGTCAATCGAGTATATATCTTTCTGCCTTAAAGAAGTAGTGACATCGTACTTAGACTATCCCCGATTGCCAGTTATCGCGACCCAAACGCCATCAAAGTTTAACAGTGCAATGCTCACTACACCATGATATCAAGCACCTTCTTGCACACCTTGCCTCGTTGAGATGCGACTCTTACTTGTATTTCAAAAGGACGGTAATGCTAACCAGCATGAATAAATACCGAGAGATAGGCTTGTTCAAGGTTTCAATCGGCCTTGACAGTTGACACCTTCGAATAGAAGGGCAAGCCATCCCTTGCCCCTCCTCCGCCTCTCGTCTTGCCCAAATAGTAAAACAAGACACTCATCACGGTAGCCACAAAGGCAAAGGCCAGCAGCGGATGTTGCAGACATCCATGCACCAACGTATTCATATAATTCTGCCCGGCGCTAAGGGATTTGCGAAAGAAACTTGTCGAACTTTTCGCCAAGCCTTGACCCCTCACCACCTTCTCAACACTAGCAAAAACGCTCTCACTAATCCACTGCTGCCCGTACCCGCCACTGACTCCTTGCTCCAATCCGTCTAACTCGTAATACTGCAACTTATTCCCCTCGACCAGCACAGCTTTCGGCGCGAACCGGGAATCAATTCCGTAAAGTTTCTTAAGCGGCGACTTCCACCGATCTGCATCGATCCAAGCAAAGATCACCTGCCTTTGCGCATTGAGGGCGTGTTGAGACCTCCAAGCGAGTGCGGTGGATCGTAATGCAGCGATTTCGGAATCTTTCAAGGCGATCCCTTCCGCCGGTGTAGACGCCTGCTGCGATGCGTGGTGGATGTCGGATAGAGCGGCTAGAAGGACAAGTGCCTCTTGCCGATTTCGTACGACTTGTTCAAAGTTGGCTGCGGTCAGCTCGGTTACTGATGCGTATTGTTCTTGTGAAAGGAAGCGGGCGATGGATGATTTCGCTTCTTCCGTATACACTGCTTGACCTGCACCGTCAGACGTTCGCAGTGTAGACGGATTCAACACAGCTACAGGCTGAGTAGTCGAATCTTGCTTAAACACCAACAAACCCGATTCCGCCGGCACTGAAACAGCTTTATCTTGCACCAACCAACTCTCATACCTCGCCAACAACTCTGCTTCACTCGAGACATAGATGGGTGCTTGTCTGCCGAACAACACCTCGCTCGCCCTTTCCACCGCCTGAATCTCCTCCGCTGGCGTCCCGGGCGAATGCAGATACAAAAACATGACTTGATTCTCCTTGGCCAATCCTGCAAGCTCCGTACTCGTCACCACAGGCTTCAACCCGGAACTGGAGACTGTTTCGAGAACCCATTTCAGCATCGCATCGTGGCTGCGGCCTCCGTTGTACTCTCTTGCATTTCCCTGAACGTAGAGGCGTAAGACCGGATATCCGCCAATGTCGTAGCTGGAGCAGAGCGCCTGGTTGGCTTCGCAGTCGATTTCGAGTGCGTTGACTCTACCCTTGAGAGATTGCGAGAGCGATTTGAAGGCAGCGGCCATAGCTTTGCAGTGTGGACACCAGGGAGCGAAGAACTTGACAAAAGTAGGACCTTGACCCGACGACTTACTGAGCCAAGAAGCGAGTTGTTCTTTGGTGCTGATCGGACCGGTGGGACCGTAACTGATGAGTTCGCCTTTGGGATTGGGGCCTGAGGGCAGAACTTGCTCAATCATCGGGGTTACCGTGGTGATAGAGGCTGATGATGCGGTTGTGGTTGTGGTTGTGGTTGTGGTTGTGGTTGTGTTGGAGCTGCCGACTGCTTCGCTCGCCGGTGTAGCGTTAGCACTTGCAACGGCCTCAAGAGCAGCACGAGTGGTACTAGCAGCAGAAGCCTGCACAACCCCATCCGCAACCGGCACCTTATTCACAGCGGCAGCAACAATCTCGACATCCTTGACGCCTTTACTCTCTCTATACTGCTTTGCAAACCTATCGATATACGCCGAGATCTCTGGATAGTTCCTATCGCCCTTGTACTCGTCCGCATTCTGCTTTCCATCCTGATAGATCGTCAATCTGGGCAAGAAAGTGACTCCTTGCTCTTTGCACAGATCCCACTGCGCAAGACAATCGACTTGAGCGAGCGTGAAGGGTGCTTGCGGGTACTGGGTGCGAAGATAGTCTTTGTTCTGAGAGAGTTCGGACCACGTAGCGCCGAACCGTTTGCAGTGGATACAGTTCGGGGAGAAAAACTCGATCAGCCATGCACCTTGGTCCGTGAGGGTAAAGTTGGCAGCTGTGAGCTTGCGCAGGCCCTCGTGCGTTGCTTTGTCCGAAGAGGTTGCGGCGGATCGGATCAAGGAAGGAAGCGTGAGCAAGAGGAAGAGAAGGCTAGACGAGGTGCAAAGGAGGCTGGTCGGTATAGATGCGAACCTCATTTTGAATGTGTGGGTGAGTGGGTGGTGGTGGTGGTGGTGGATGTGGTAGATGTGGTGGATGTGGTGGATGGTGAGATGATGATGACGATGTTGGCCGAGTTGAGAGTTAGCAAAAATGTGAGATCGAACGAGAACTCACATAACCCACTAATATGATTTCTCGTCCCCATTTTTGAGCCGGTATGCCGATGCCTGTCGCGACAGTTGATCGGGGCGACACAGTATGGGATCGGGGGAGTGAAGCTGGTGTAAATGTGAGATCGGAGGGCAAGTCACATAGATCTGCTATGGAAAAGAAAAGGGCCCTGGCTCGCAATGGTTACACGGGCATGTATATGGCTCAATGGTACGACACCAACAACGATCACCCCATCGGAATAGCTGCAGCGCTTACCAGCAGCTCTCACCTTGGAAGGACAGGGACAAGGACAAGGACAAGAACAAGGACAAGGACAAGGCTTTTGAGGCGACAATGTCCAGTCGAGCTGGTCGAACCACTTGATCTCTCAGCGCTCCCATCCTTTCCACTTTTCCGGCGACGACCTCCTCACACACGGCGCTCACTGAGCATATCGTCGTCGATGATCAGCAGCCTCACGATACGCCAGCGATAAAAAGCACGAATGACATAGCTACAGGAAACCATCGCATATCAACCAACACGCTCGCTATATCGCACAACAACACAGATGGACTCACTCGGCCCGCAACAAGAGGTGCAACGCCTCCAAGACAAGATCGATATCGAAGCCAAGATCAAGGATGGGGCAGAAAACTTGCTCAGCGTCTTTGACCTCAAACTTGCTTCCAATGCTAAACAGCATCTTCGCAAACAGATCCAGTCCGAACTCGACTCGGCCAACAACAAGATCGCTGCACTCACTTCCCAACTCGAGCGATGGCGACACATTCAAGCCACAACTTGGCCATCAGCTCCCTTTAGCTCATCATCCTCTCACCCTCAATCCATTTGGCACATTCCAGCTTCCACTGTCTCGCGGCTCGAACAGTCTGCTCTAGGCTATGAAGGTCAACCTCTCTTTGGCAATCAAGCAGGCCCAAGTCGACCTCCTGTCCATCACAATACTAGCTGCCACATCTTTCCCAGCCATCTCGACCCTAACAATGCATCTCCACCTTCCACCAACTGCTTCAATGATCTGCCTGCTGCTATCCACCCTTCTGCTCCAGCTCCTTTGGGCGGTCTAGGTATAGGAGGGCTTGAAGGACACGCTCCCCTCACATTGCCTCGTGCACCTTTAATAGCACAGCCTTTGCACTCGCATCGACCGCCGCCACTGCTCTTCGATCGCTCATCATCAGATCCAGCCGCACGTCCATCCGCCGCTTTCGCACAGCCCTCCAGCTCTGGCTCTGGCTCTGGCTCTAGACATGCGCCAACGACCGACAGAGATGTCGAAGATGCACGTGCTTCCAGGTCCCTTGCTCTCATGCTCATACGTTCATTGCAACCTTCATCGCCCTTGCCACCTCCCGTCAAGCTTCCAACACTCTCAGAAGATGCCTCATCGCCCTCACCCAGCTCGTCTTCTCCAAAACCGCTACCAGGCAACGCCAACGATGCCGCAGCTGCAGGCGATGCAGACTCGCCGCTCAACAAGAATCTCGCCCTCCCGCGTATGGCTAGACGCACTGCTGCTCGTTCCAGAGCTGCTGCCATCACCTCTTCACATGCTCGCACTCCTAGCAATGCAGAAGGTCTCGGCGACCAAGCCAAGCATCAGATTGACCAAATCAATCGTCTCGTCGACATCCTCAAACGACATGCTCGTGTACGCTACGAGCTGCCTCTTGACGACCTCGTCGATGCTGCTATGCCAAACCTTTGCGACCGTGCAGGCAAAGAGATCCGTGCTGCCACTTATCGCCTTCTCCGACATGCACTCGTTCAGCCGCTATGGCCACTCGTCTCGCGATGTCGACACAAGGGGCTTGACATCTATCTCTCGCGCACACTCATCCGTGACAATCGCTTTGAGCTCGAAAAGATCCAGGCGATCAAGCTCATACGTGCTATCATCGAGTTGGCAGCTCTCCCCTCTATCAGCACAGCACCCGATCGTCTGGCGCTAGACTTGCAAGATCTCTTGGCTTCCGGAGTGGTAAGAGCATTGGCAGCAGTAGCAGAGCATGCAGAGGACAAGCTTCGTCACATCTCTCTCGAAACTCTGGCAGAACTAGCCGTCTTGGATGTCCGCCTACTCATCAAGGGAGGTGGTTTGCGCTCCACCTTGCAGGCTCTCACCGAAGGTCCGACCGACTTTTCACCCACGCTCGTACAAGTCTTTATCTATCTCGTCGACATGCCTGCCACACGCCAACACTTGAGACCTGGTGTTGATCTGGAGATCGCCCTTTCCCGCTTCACAGAGTCTCCTGTCCAGAAACCGATCAGCTACGATGAGTTGCTTCGATGCACCGCTTCGGTCGTCACCGTGTTGCTTCGCTCCTGGGCAGGTCTCATCTACTTGTGCATGGACGACAAGCGTGCCATCAAGTCACTGGTGCAAGCGCTGCGGGTCAACACTGTTCAAGTCAAGAGTGCGCTCCTAGATATGCTCTACGACCTCTTCAATGTGCGAGGTGCTACCGGTAGCGTCGATCCAGCCAGCAAGCGAGAGAGCAGTCACAAGGCCCCATCCTCCTCACCACGCCTCGATACGGAAAGGACCAGCACCCGAAATTCTAGAAACATGGCGCCGCTCGGAGAACTGGGCGATCAGCCACGAAGCAGGCTCAACCTCGTCGACCATTACCTTGCCCTTCTGCTCGTAGTCTTTCTCGACTCGGGCTTGGTCGATGCTCTGATCGACGTGATCGAGCATGCTCCTTCAATGGCAAGGAAAGCAACGATGCTCATGGGTGAGCTGCTCCAAGTCTCGAAGCGTGTTCATCCTCCATCCATGGGTGGCAGCATACATTCGCTTCCTCGGCTCTTCTCGCTCGCTGCCGACTTCAGACTCGACAAGAGCGACGAGAGGCAAGCAGCTGCCAGCGCACTCTCTTCCATCGACGTGGCCAACCGACATCGTGCACACCACGAAGCCATCACCAGCGCAGCAGCTCTCAGCGGCACCGTACAGACCACTGCCAGGGATCGTTCCAACTCGCTCGAAGAGTCGATGCGTAGAGGCCAGAGGCAAGTCGAAAAGACAAAGATGCGTATGGGCATGCAGATTGACGATCTCCAGTTCCGCAATATGATGGTCGGCACACAGATCCTCGTTACCAAGGATCATACAAAGTGGAACCTCGATACGCTCACCGAGATGTTGGAAGGGCCTCTGCTCAATCCGAAGCGGCTTGATGAAGTGGCTAAGGGTACCAAGCTACTCAAGCGCCTCTTGGCCTTCTATCATCCTTTCGCACTTCGCTTCGCGAGCATTCGTAAGCTTAATGCGAATCGACGCTTCGTGAGGCTTGGTTGCCTCTTGCTGAGCACACTAGCCTCAACACCAGAAGGCGTACGCGTGCTTAGTGAGGACCGCTTGCTGCGCGAGATCCGTGAATGCCTCGATCAGCTCGACCCACTGTCAGGACAGTCCGGCTCGGATCCGCTGCTCTCGCGAAAGCGTATGCAGGAGACGCTCACCTCGGGATACTTTGAGATGATTGGTGTTCTCACTCAGTCAGCAGAGGGCATCCGTCTGCTGGAACGTTTCAAGATCTTCACGCCCTTGTACCACCTCAGCGAGCTACGAAGCAGAGACGACATTGTCAAGGCGGTCATCGAGAACGTCGACTACAGCATCGACGGACATTCAAGGATCATCTTGGCGAAAGCACTCACTTCAAGCTATCGTGACGTTCGTCTCTTTGCGACTCGCCATCTGGCCGAGCTCATCCGACAGCAGACCTTGCCAGCCAATGCCAAGAATGGGTCTGATGCGCAAAGCGACTGGACAATCAGCCTTTTGCTCACCCAGCTTTACGACCCGTCAGTGGATGTGCGTCAGCTTGCGACCAAAGTTGTCGAAGAGGCTTGCGCATCGAGTCACATTCTCGAGAAAGTAGTCTCGATGCGGCCTACACTCGATCACCTGGGGGATCTGGGTCATCCATTGCTACTCAAGTTCCTTTCGACATCCGTCGGCATACGTTACCTCTGGCACGGAGAATATGTGGATCGCGAGATGGATGAGTGGTTTAATGAACGCAACCAGTGGTATGTGGTCCAAGTCGAGGTGATGCTAGCAGAATTCTTCAGCATTTATCGCAAGTCATCTGGCAGTGCTGGTGCTGGTCACTCAGCCACCCAATCGAATGGCGCCTTTGCCTTCGCACCGCCTCCGTCAGTCGGCACTGATGCACTGCACGACGGTATAGTGCCACCGCACTTCTACGGAGAACTAGCCAAGACACGCGAAGGTTGCCAAATCCTGCAGCAAAAAGGCCATTTCGCCGAATTCGCACACTTCATCCGACAACACTCGGACGAAGCCTCGGACAGCGAACTGATCAACAAACTCAAAAGCGTCCTATGGGCCGTCGGCAACATTGGCGCCAACGAGCTCGGCCTGCCCTTTTTAGAAGCCGAAGAAGTTGTTAGCCAAATCATCGAAATCGCCGAAACTTCAGCGGTCCTCTCGGTTCGTGGTACATGCTTCTTCGTACTCGGTCTGATCTCCTCTACCAACTCTGGTGCAGAAGTATTGCAGGACTACGGCTGGCAATCCGTTTGCACACCCTTGGGAGCACCGATGGGTCTATGCATACCCGACGACATCAACCGTCTCATGTCATTACCGCGATGGAAGGTCGACAAGGTACCAGATCTCAGCTATCTCGAGCTAGCCGAACCAGAAACGCTAGTGGTCAATAAGATCATCACTTCGATCGCAAACTTGGGCAACTCAATCTTAGCAACCAACGCTTCCCGATCGTTGAGCAAGTTGAAAGCGAAACACAAGTCAGCGTTCAAGGATATGTCCGTGTTGGCCAGGGCGCTGGAGTTGATGGATCATTTTTACTATCGCCTTTCGGTGCGAAGGTATATTTGGGAGCTGTTCGATGTGAGTTTGGATGAAGATGTGATACGTGAGGTTCAGGCGAGTAGGCAGAGGTTGATTGAGGCTAAGCGATTCCGAGCTGCGCAGCAGCAGAATAGTTCTCAAAGGCAGGGAGGTGGGTCTGTAGATGCATCAACGCACGGGTTAAATGGCACAACACGGCACAATGGAGTAGCTCATAGTCGAAAGCAACATCAGCAGCAACCACCAGCACTCAGCGCTTTGGCCGATGATGACGACGATGCAGCCTCGCATTCAGATTCAGATCAAGACTCGGCTGGACCTCGCTCCGCACGTCCAAGCCGAACTGCGAGCAAGTACGACCATGAAGCTGATAGTGACGAGGAGCAAGACGAGGTCGGGCTGTCAAGCAACATGTCATCCGACGACGAAGCGAGTGATACATCGCAACAAGATGCTAGTAAGCCGATGCTGCATCCAGTTGCTGCAGGAGATGAACATTTCGCCGCCACAGCCACAACAGCGCCTGGTGTCGCTGTAGCAGCGAGACGGCCCAGCATGCGCTCTTCTACGGTGAAAGGATACTGGACCGGTGATGGTGGTGGTGGTGGTAGTAAGGAACCTCTGGAAGCGGAAAAAGTTGTGGCTGCCCCTGCGAAAAAAATTGTTGGATTTGGAGTTGAGGAGCTCTAATGCACACCTTCTTCTCCCTCTCTAGCATTACGCCATTCTGACACAAAATCCAAGCAAGCACCTTCTCTGCGCATATCAACACGATCACAGCCCTGTCTGCTACGAGCGCAACTGAGAAGTCTCAATCGATATCATGTTGATCAGAGGATACCAACATAGTAGAGGTTCTCGTGCAACGATCAAAAGGAGGAATTGGTATTGACAGGCTGGGTAGTCTTATTTTTCCCAAAGACGCTACCCAACTTATGCGTTCCCGCTTTAAACTCGTCTGCCCCCTTTGCAGCGACACCTTGGTGACTACCAGCTTTGTCGTAGTCGGAGGATCTACCATGAGCGTCAGCGTGGGCTTTGGCTGTGTTGGGATCAGAAGTATCATGTTTAAGACCTTCACCAGCAGAGTCGAGCGTCTGGTTTGCGTTGCCGCGGATTGCTTCACCTGCACCGTGGGCTGCGGTGAAGACTCTGTGGCGAATGCAAAAACAAGATGTAATTGGCGCAAGATGAACAACGAGTCATACGAGGCGGATTGGGAAGCGTGGAATCAGCTTACCCTTTAACTGCCTCTCCGAAAGATTTACCTGCTTCGGACATTGTCGTTCGTTTTCTTGCTTGGCGCTTGGCGCTTGGCGCTTGGCGCTTGGCGGTTGGCGGTGTGTGGATGGTTGTGGTGAAGAGGACGATGGGGGATTAGACCATGGTGAGTTGGCATCTCAGTCAGCAGAACCCGCTTGTATAGGCTTGGTGCGAGGCAACGTCAAGCAGTGCAGATGACGTCATAACTCCTCAAATATGGTCTTGTGTTCGGCGAGTGTGAGTCTAACAGCAACACGTGTTTTTTTTGGAGACGCGTCGCGTAAAGTGCTGGAAATCGCCACTTTTTTGGGTTTCGTAAGGAACACCAACACCATCAAACTGAATTGGTGAGGACCACTGTTGCTCCATCTAGCCATCTGCTTTGCTCACCATAGCTCTCCTATCGACATCGAAGCCACGGACACTCAAATGACAAGGCCATGAGGCAAGCCACTTTGCCGTGGGCTGCTCGTCCCGCTGCTTCCCTCGCCTCCACCAGCGAGCACCACCAGAAAGAAGCCTTCGATCCGTACTACCAGCATCCACCCCCGCCTCCGCCTACTCACGGCTACTCGCACGATGCCGCCTCTGCTCCAGCTCTCGATCCAGCACTGTTGGATGTAGATACACCAACTCCCTCACAAGCAGCACCGCAACAGCTGGGCCCTGCTCTATTTAGCAGCTCACAAGATGAACAACCGCCGCAACAGCATGTGATCGACACAGCACTACATCCATTCTTTCAACCCGGAGGTAGCTCCTCAGCCCTTCTCCCCAACGACGACGCTTCCGATGATGGGCAGCACAAACGCCCCTCACGCTCCAGCCGCGCCAAAGCTCCAATCTCCTACAGAGAAGACCTGAAAGCAGTGCTTCGTGCAGATGCAGCACAAGAATCCGCCCGACTTCAAGTGGCAAAGCGAGAAGCAAAAGCTGCTAAAAAGTCCCAGCGCTCAGCAAAGCGTAAGGCTGCGGAGATCAATGGTAGGCAGGAAGTGCAAGAAAGTGGTGAGCGGGTTGGCTTTGAGGTTGTTGAATCGCGCTCGGCAAAGAAAGCCAAAGAGGCAGGTTTGGAGGCGATAGTGATCGGGGAAGCATCATCCTCGAATGCTCAAGCAGCAGTGAAGAAGGCAGTGGAGCAAAAGCCGCTTAGTTTGGCAGTCAAAGGGACGGCGGGTGGGACAAGTGCTAGTGCTCATCCCTTTTTTACTAACAAGGTCAAGGCTGCACCTGCAGCGGAGCAGCTTAGATCTTCCGCTTTCGACGGCACCCCGGCATCCTCGTCCCTCTTCTCCGCGCCGAGAATCTCATCCAGTAAAGCCAAGAAAGCTATGCATGCACCCTGGCCCACTTTAGAAGATACTCATGTGACCGGCTTTGACACTTTCGAATCTGATCTCCTCTCTCGTGCACATTCTTCCATGGAAAGCTTTCGATCTCGCTGGAATACTCAACGCTCCTCCTCCTCAAAACCAGCATCGACTATCGAGACTGCACCTCCACAAAACTTGATCGTAAATCTTAACCATTCTCGACCGCAACCCCGCCAATCGTCCATCTCTCTCACAAGCATCCAAGGCGCCAAGTTTGATACGATGGACGACTACCTAGCCTCCTGCGTAAACCTTTCCTCGCTTCCCCCCGCCCTTAGCTCCGCTACCAACCTCCCCTCAACCCACACGGAAACGCAAATGTGGACAGATGCATTTCGCCCGCACACCTCAACCTCAGTCCTGGGCAACGAATGCAACGCTAGCTACCTTCTCGACTGGCTACGTCGTCTGCTCGTTGCCGCACCCAACTCGGTTCAAACGAAGGATAGGAAAAGGGCTAAAAGGAAAGGTGTACAGAGGAGAGTCGATAAAACCAAACGCAAGCGTAGCAAGGGATATAGCGATGACGAGTCCGATCTCGGCGACTTTATCGTCGACGACCATGACGACGACGATGAGGAGGATGCGATAAGTGAATGGGATCCAGATGTGTTTGGCAAGTTCGGCGTAATACAACGCAGTTCCAACCTGACGGATGATGAGGGAGATGCGGTTTCTCTTGCACCGACCTCACAAAGCTCCATGGCTCGAGCAGCGACAAAGGAGGAGCCTTGGCTAGAGAATCGCTACGCATCTCTGGAGAAGCTAAGTAACTGTATAATCCTCACTGGCGCGCCTGGGACGACAAAAACAGCATCGATCTACGCCTGCGCCTCTCAACTTGGATATGAAGTATTCGAACTTTACCCCGGAATGGGAAAACGCAGTGGGAAAGAGTTGTTGGCCGCTGTGGGAGATTTGGGTCGGAATCATATGGTTAGTTCTGGTGGTGTTGGGGGTGGAGCTTCCTTCCGACCCAACGCCAATGCCAACGCCAACGGCACTCCCACCTCTACCACCGCCAACGCCACTGCAGTTGGGGAAAGAGGGGTAAGACAATCACTAATACTCATAGAAGAAGCAGATATACTCTTGGAAGAAGATAAAGGATTCTGGCCAGCCATCGTCGAGCTTGTAGCAGAAAGCAAAAGACCTGTAGTAATAACGTGTAACGATATAGAGCTGGTCCCTGTGCACGAGCTTCCCGTTCAGGAAGTGTTGGAGTTTCGGTTGCCGACTTTGGGGGAAATAGTGTCGTGGTTACAGCTGATAGCGGCGAGAATGGGGAGGTATCTCTCCTCTGACTCGGTGCGGGAGATGCTTAGAGCATTGCCTGGTACAGAGACCGCTTTGGCTGGGGAGATGGGAGATGGGGAAGGGTTGGCAGTAGATATTAGACAGGCGATAAACCAGGTTCAGTTTGGCCATTTCTCCTCTCCCCTCGACGAAGATGTGGATGTGGTACACTTGTTCGCAACAGCGAAAACACCAAGAGGAGCGAATCTCAAAGCTCTCGCTAGCGCAACAGAATCAGCCAGTATCGCAGACATCTTGGAAACGCACCTGCACGGCAGCCACATGGAGGCTTACGGAGATGCAGGACTCGAACACTCCTCCTCCTCCTCCCGGCAGTGGGGTTCATACACGCCACTCATCCCACAACCTCATGCTTCAGAGCACTCAACACAGCAGTCACTTTACGCTGTTCATCGGGAATACGGTTCAACTTTGGCCCAAATGCATACTTCTCTAGCTTCCCTAGCCCCTCCTTGCCACCTCGCTCAGAGTGGAAGGGCCAAGATGGAAAGGATGGACAGAGCGAAACAAGACCAAAGGTCAAGGTTGCGAGAGATGCTAAAAGCGATATTCAAACATCTACCCTGCTCATCCATGCTCTCCTCTGCACATATCGTCGAGTACGCGCCAATGGTCCGACTCATGGCTTTAGTAGATGACGATCTAGGCCAGATGCACGCTTCGCTCCACAACCAAGCTGCACCAGACGCAAGCCACGCAACGAAGACGGTGTCGGGGAGAACAACACGCAACTCATCGCGGCTGACATGACCACTCGGCGGCGAACACGGCGGATAGGAAAGATGGCTACGGACGATCGGACGAGACCAACTTTGGGCTGTCAAATCAACGATGCTCTCATTTTGGTAAAACTTTCTACACTGCATCTAAAGTTCTGGCCAATATAAACTTGGCCCCAACAGCTTGGCACTTGTGAGCGGGAAGAGGAGTTTGGCGAACAAGACTATTCCCAGCGCATGCGTTGTCCAAATGCCTGCAAGACATGGAAGATATGGCAAAGAAATGTCAGCATACCTCTTGGCCTCTGGAGCTATGGAAGCTAGTTTGTCAACACTTACCCAACCTTTTCTTCGGATAGTCTTTACAATCCGCACTGGGATTAGGCAAGCCTAAAACGTTGCAAAAGACATGAGCCACTGTGGGAAGCAAGACACTTGCACTCCTTAAAAACAAAAAGTTTGCATACCAACCGAAGACCATCGTATAGGCAAACTGAACAGCGGCAATGAACGCGGCGCTCAGGGCGGCATTTTTTGAGCTGCCACGTTGCAGGTAAACGTTATAGGCATGGTGGATGTGTGCCATGCCAAAGAACGCTGGCGAGGCGAAAACGAGCATCTTCTTGGAGGAGAGTGGCGATAAAGAGAGTATGGTGAGGAGGGATGAGCGGAATACGAGCTCTTCCGTCAATGGACCCACTAGAAAATTTCGTACTCCTGCCAGCGTACCAAGCGGGGCGAGGAAGCGTGAGAGGCTGAAGTGCGATTGAAATGGAAGTTGGCCTCGAAGGAAAAGCGTATGTAGAGGACCGAGGAACAAAAGCGAGGTAAGCACAAGGGGGGAGAGCATATGGCCCGTTATCCTAGCCAGATAGGTTGGCAGGGGGCAATCGAAGGGCAGTATTCGCGAGGTTAGGAGTGAGGGAGTTGGTAGTGGCATTCCTAACCGTCTGCTTATGTTGAGAGTATGGAGGAAGGAAGCCTATGTACAGCAATGTAAGATGTCGTTAGCCGTGCTTCTGAGGAAAGGGAGCAAAGAAACAACTTACAGAAGGAGGAACAACGCCGTTAAGCCCAACAATGCAGGCCGTTGCAACGAGGATGATAGCAGTGGCAAGCGAAGCGGTTTTCATCCTTGCCCTAATAACGCTTGGATGGTCTCTATGCATGCTATTCCCCTCGGCATCTTTACTCGCAGCCAGCCGACCAGCAGGGGAAAGATAGAGAGAGCCGACATAGCTCAGGGTGAATAATGTGCATGCTCCCACTGCAAATCCTGTTGATAGCACTGGTGCATGGAGTGTTGCAGTTGGCAGTTTGACGATCAGCGACATCTCGTCTCCCTTCTACCTCTCTCCTTCTCGCGGTGGTGTTGGATGATGTTGCTGGTATGAAGGAAAGCATCGAATGGTGGAGAGGAAACAAAGGGGACCCTTAATGGACACTTTTGTGCTACATGAACGCACAGACCCATCTCAGCGTCTTGGAATAGAACTACCATCATCTCCCATCATCCCGCATCATCCCGCATCATCCCGCATCATCCCGCATCATCTCGAGAGAGAAAAAAAGGATGCAATCATGTCGGCCAATTATTGGGCTTCGACCCAGTGGTATGTCCCCTCTAACGGCCTGCTCACTCGAAATACAAGAGATAGGATAAAGGATTGCTAACAAGGCGAGTTTTGGGGTGGCGATAATGCAGCAACAACTGGCTCCTGGATAGACCACAGCTGGATCTAGCGAGGAAGCAAGATGTTCGTTATGCTACCAAGCTCGAATGCGATGCTATCGCTGTGTTTTTCTGCAATTGTAAGCACATAGCCTCCTCCCCTCTCCTCGGTTTGCTTCACTTGTACCTTGTTTACTCACACCTTTCCCTCTTCCTTTCCCCTCAACCCCTCCGCCTCCTACCCCGGTGTGGCCGGAAAGTAATAACAACAATCACCAAGCGCCTAAACCTACGTCAACGAGTAACGGCAACATCCTGCGTCTTCTTCAGGCGCTTCTTCAGCAAAAATTCTTTCTCCTCCGTAGACCCATTCCTCGTCTGCGCCACTTGCATCTATGTTTCCGCCAAAACAGAGGAATCTCCAATCCACATCAAATCAGCTCTCGGAGAAGCAACGAGAAGCTTCCAGGAGGTGGGCTATAGAGGATTGCCTAGCGACAATAGTAGTCTGGCTGAAATGGAGTTTTGTTTGTTGGAAGAGATGGAGTTTGATTTGATCCTATTCCACCCCTACCGCTCCTTGATAGCTCTATACGATTCTTTTGGTTGTGCGAGCGCCAGTCTGGGTAAGGAGACCGGTATAGCAGCCGAGATTGAGGCCTTTGGAGTCATCAAAGGTCTAAGATCGGTGGAGGAAAAACAAGGACAAGGAGGAGGAGGAGGAGGAGGAGGAGGAGGAGGGGGCAAGTTGGAAGAATTCGACCAACAAGTTTTACAACTGAGTTGGTTCGTACTCAATGATTGTTATAAGACAGACATCCCGTTGATGTATGCACCCTATCTCGTCGCTCTATCAGCGTTGTATCTGGCGCTGATGTTGCATGGACCTGCTGCAGATCGGATCAATTGCTCGCTCGAGAATATGCAAACAGCTCGACTAAAGCACAACAAAGCCCTGGCAAATGGCAGCATTAAGCCAGAAGACTTGGCAAAAGAAGCACGCCCACCAACGCCACCGAAAGAAGAAGCACTCACTTTCTTCGCCAGCCTCAACGTCTCATTGCCAATGCTAGCAGAGGTGGTGCAGCAGATGATTGCAGGGTATAAGATGCAGAATGACGTGGCAACCTTGGTGCGCGATGGGCCGGGCATGGTCAAGTTATTGGAGAGAATGAGGGAGAGGAGGAGGGCCGAGTTGGTGGATAGCAAGACGAGGGGGAGCGAGGGCATGTATAGGTGAAAGCGATCAGAGCAGACGATGCAAACTTGTGGGGCTCCTACTTGTAACAGCTTTCTGCTTGTACGATATGGATGAGCGGTAATAATACATACCATCGCCCAGCAGTGAAGAAGACAAGGAGATCCAAGATGAGAAAAGGCGAGCGTTTCGGGATGAAGCAGTGTCAGTCTGGCTAATAAGGAACAGCAGGTCCCATGGCCGACTAGGATTCGATGCCTTCTGGCAGTCGACCGATCACTTTGACTGCGTACAATCCTGGGAGCCGCTTTTCTGTCAGTTTCCACCTCAGCACACGGTAAGAGAAGTGATGCAATCAGTCTCGTTGCACATCGAGCTTTGGTATTGCATGCACTGGCTACATCTGCACTCACCAATCCGTTGCCACTTGGCAACCCAACTCTGCTCAGGTCGCAACATGGAGATCATTCCGTCAAAGTTGGACGTCGTACATTCCGCTACTCTGTCTTGACTTCCTTGCATCTATCATCCGCCATACCACCGTATCAGCAGCAGAAGGTCAGAGTGTCAGCATTGTTTCCATCACCAGCAACATCTCTAGATGAGAAGCAGAGGTTAATGAGCAAGAACCTACCTCGAGCACCGGTTCGCAATTCGGGCAACCTTTCAAGTGAAAGTCTCTGGGCGATTGGACGAATTGACAACGGAGACATGCGCGAAGCTTTTCTTTCCTTGCTGACATTGCTACTCTTGCTTTCCTTCCTCCGCACTTGGATCTTGAGGGTGAAGACAAACGCGGTGTTGGTGAGGAGCAGGAGGAGGAGAAGGAGGAGGAGGAGGAGAAGGAGGAGCACAACACAGGTGCTGAGCAGCAAATTGTGGAGAAACGCAACCCAACAATTCTCGGAAGTCGGAACAAATCTGGGAAATCGGGATTTTAGAGACCCGATTTCCGCAAATCCCGATTTCTGAGTTCTGCCGCTACGGCCGAGAGAAGCGGACAGAAATCATCTCTTTTGAGTCCGTGCGAATTGCGCCGCCACTCCTTCTCATCTCATCACCACCATCCAATCGCCACGACAAGATCCGCAAGCGAAGCGAAACACAGCAACAATGGACGCTTGGGATTCACAATCTAACCCCCAGCAGGAGGGCGGTGGATATCAACAACAGTCCTACAATAATGCCGGCGCGTATAACAACAACAACAACAACAGCAACGGCCCCGGTGCCGGATACGGAGGTGATCAAGGATGGGACAACTCCCCACGTCGTGGCGGTCGAGGTGGAGGTCGGCACGGCGGTGGCGGTGGCAATGGCGGATACTACCAAGGCGGAGGACGAGGCGGTGGAGGAGACCAACACCAATCTCAATCAGCCGAACAACGAGAAGAGAACCGTATTCGACACATTCGTTCGCAACTCTTCAAGCTCGGTGAAGAGAAAGATTTCCATCCACCTTCCGATCTTCTCAAAATGGCTCGTTGGATCGAGGACAAGGCATCGGACGGAGTCGAACCCATCACTGCTGCTTTTCGAGTCATGGTGACGGAGCAACCTCACAAAACCCCACTGATCGCTGCGCTGATTGGTTTCTTGTGTCTTTCACAACAGGCAAAATCCCTACAGAGGCAGGCCGAGTCGGATCAGCAGCCAGAGCTTAGCGATCAAGATCAAGAAATGCCCGCAACGGAAACTACTGAATCCGATTCCGTGGGCATCACTATCGTCAAGGATCTCGTCAAGGCCTTTCGGAGCTATCTTGATGCGAGGCTCTGGAGGAACACCCGGCTCAGCTTGCATCTTTTCGCTGCCCTTGTCCCGCTGCAGATTGTTTCGGCGAGCTCGTTGAGGACGCTTCTGACTTCTTTTGCCGCTGTGTTGGAAGAACCAGCAGTTGCAGCAGCCAGGGCAGATCGCGCAGCGATTTGTATCATCGAAACCTTGATTCGTGGCGGTCAGGATCTTTTGGTTGATGACGCCGAAAGCGCAAGAGCTGAGCTCGACGATCTTGTTGCCAAAGTCGTCGCTTATGACGCTGCGAGGAAGGTCGAGGTAGAACTCACCCGGCCAGTCCACGATATCGAAACGATCTGGCTCGAAGGTTTCCCAGACGCTGTCAAAGCGTTGGAGGAATGGAGCGCCAGCGATTACAAGAGGCCTGCTTTCTTGCCTATGCCCGCCGACTTGCTACCTGCTGCCATCTCGCCTGATGCTACCCTGGTGCCGGAGGAGAAACGCGTCGTTTCGCTCCCCGACATTCTCGTCCCACCTGAAGAGGATGCTGAACATCAGGGCCTTGACGTTGCCTATGCTCAACTTGGCGAACATCAGGTCAAACGTCGTAAGGTAGACACGGGTAAGGGTGAGCTAGAGGAGAAGAAAGCTGCCGTGGGACCTGAAAGGATCAGTCTTTCACCTCGTTGGTTTGCCAACACGGTGCCTAGAGCTGGTTCGCCTGCATCTGTTGTTCTGCGTGCGATCTTGTCCGACATGATCGATCTGTACGAGGTGAACCGAAAAGAAGCAGCAAAGCTCATTCTCGACCTCCCCAACTGGCTTCGTCGGGGCACCTTTGGCGGCAAGATTTCCTCGGAAGCCGGCCTCTTCGGCGAGACGCACGAGCAACAAGACAGTCGTCAAATCCAGCAAGAATGCAATTTCTCCCTTGACGATCTGCTCGTAGAAACGATCCTCTCCACCGCACTCGTCCTGCCAACTGCTCCTCGTAATCCACTCTACTACACTTGCCTCCTTCGCGAAATCGTAACCCTCACACCCGGCACCATCGCCCCATCGCTCGGCAAAACGATTCGAACATTCTACAACTCGCTCTCCACCCCGCACTCGATCGACATCGAAACAGTCAATCGTTTCGCCGATTGGTTTGCCATCCATCTCTCCAACTTCAACTTTGGTTGGGCTTGGAAAGAGTGGATTCCCGACACCTCTCTCCCCTCACACCATCCCAAAGTCGTATTCATGAAACGAATCGTCGAGCTTGAAATCAGACTAGCCTATTTCGATCGAATCAAAGAAACCCTGCCGCCCGAAATTCAATCGTTAGCGATGCCAAAAGAGGAACCGGGTCCCGTATGGACCTACCAATCGGAATCGCACGTATACAAGACGCAGGCGGAAAGACTGATCAATTCGATCAAAGCAAAAGCTTCGGCTGAAGTGATTTTGGCCGATTTCGAAACGTTTAAATCTTCAATCCTCCCTTCTTCTTCTACAATTCCTGGCGAGGAGGAGCAAGCAGGGATGGTGGGGAATGCGATCGAGGCAGAAATAGTGGTGAGGGATTTAACAATTCAGTGTGTATTGCAGGTCGGGTCCAGATCGTTTTCGCATTTTTTAAATATCGTGGAGAGGTACCATGCCTTGTTGAGACAGTTGTCCAGGAGTGCTAGGATGAGAGCGGCAATTTTAGCTGGTGCGGTTAGGTTTTGGTCAAGATCGCACCAATGGGTTTTGATCGTGGTGGACAAGTTACTGCAGTATAGGATTGTAGAACCTGCAGACGTGGTCGAATTCATCTTCAACCCCCCTAAGGATGAACCGAGGACAATTGAACCACAAACACCCGTCCAACAAGAAGGTTGGGCTGGATTCAACACTTGGTCCCTTTTACGTATGACGCTCGAGAAGGTAAATGGGAGAGTAGATCAACTAAAGAAACGACTCGAAGAATCCGAGAGAAAAGAAGCTTACGAAAGGGAACGAAAAGAAGCTGCACTCGCCGCCGGTCTTCCGCTCGATTCTGAAGGCGAAAAGTCAGAAGAAAAGCTTCTTCCTCTTTTCCCCACAAGTGCAACCCTACCCATCCGACCGAAAGAAGAAACAAAAACAGAACTCTCCTCAACAGAAGCACTAGCCAGTCTAGAAGCAATCAAAACAGAACAACGCAAAGTCCTAATAACCGCAGTGAACGGCTTTAAAAACCTCATCCTCCATCCCAAAATCCAAACACCCCACACACCACAATACCAATCCTGGTGGATTGATGGCTGGTATACCGTCTTACTACGCACTTTCAACAAACACTTACTCTACAACAGTCAGACCCTACTCATCAACTGCTTCCATCCCAAAAACGACCACCCCGACTCCAGGCTACGCGACAGGTTCGAGAGAGCTATTGACTTGCTTTCCGAGTAAAAGCCCATTTCCCCGTAATAATGCTGGTGTACTGTACTGTAGTGTACAAGTTGGTCCATGTTCGAATATAGTGTGATATTTCGACATGCTTTTGACAATGTGTCTGAGGGAGTGTTGGGGGTTGAAGCTCGACATGAGATGTTTCTGAAAGTAGGTTTGTGTATTGATAGGATTGAGCAATGATAGAAGAAGGAAATTTGTTTAGTGAGAGGTAGAGATACAAGTGTCCATTAGTAGGCCAGATCAACATCACCCTCAGCAGCACCATCGAGGTCTTGATAAGACTTGGGAGCTGCACGTTGTGCTCTCGGATCCAGAGGTTTAGGCGCAGGCGGAAGAGGGTCGAGTTTGATAGATGTAGCAGATGAATCATTTGCTGCTAAGACTGCACCTAATCTCATACTCAATGAGGACGTTGCAGTAGCACCTCCAACTAAACCACCTCTTCGTGGTGAGTCAACTACACTAGCATTGCCAAACCTGATCATACCCATCCTTCCACCACTGTTGAAACGAACGCCATTACCATCCAGACGATGAGCCAACAGTGTGCCTCCAGCATCACCCTTTGTGGCAGGATTGAGTCCAAGCTGGCTCGTAGCGCGGCAAGGGTCGCGAACATAGTTGTTCAAGAACCTAGCATGGTCCAGCGCTTCCTGGGCAGTCTCTTGGATGAAAGCGCGATGTTTGTTGAGCATGTGCTTCTGAACAAAGACGGCACCTTTGAAGAGCTTACCGCATTGTGTGCCGCCGGCGAGAGTGACGGTGCAGCGATGCTTCTCCTTGCCTTCTTCTTTGATGTGTGCCAAGGCAGCAGCCATGAGCTCTGCATCGATGCTCTTGCCTCCAACATCCCTCAAGTCGGTCCCTTCATCGGCGAGAAGCAGCATAGTCTTTTGATCTACACTGCGTGCCCATGATTCATCATTGGTGTTTTCTCGTGGCTCCTCCACGGTCGTCCCGGCAGGAGGCTGCTTCCTTCCATGACGCGGGCTTCTTCGCAAAAGCTCTTGCTCGAATTCGCAAACGAGGGAAATGTAGTAGTCGCAGTGGTAGACAGTGCGCAACAAGTCAAGGTGCAAGTCGAGAAGCTTCTTGATCCATCTTCTTCGCTGCTCTCGCCTCTCCACATGCTCCTCGGCATCGTAGCCACGTTCGAGATCATCGTCGGTGAGATCAGTCTCGGTCTGCTTGATTCGCTGCAAGATAGCTTCTGAACCGCTGATCTCGAGCCATGTCTTGGTCCCGGATGCTGCATTGCTTTCGGCCTGCTGGCGGAAGAGAAGCTGGCGATCTTCAATCTCGAAACGTTGCAGAAGCTGCTTGCAATGCTCAATGTCGGTGAGTAGGCGATGGAAGGAGTTGGCGTATTCGGGCACTGTACGAAGCTTGCTGGAAGTAGGCTTGGAGCAAGGGGCGAGATTGAGGGTGAAGCCATCAATCTCTGTGCCCTGAAGTGCATTGAGCGTGTCCTCCATGTCGGTCTGAGGGTCGTACATGGCCCAGCCAACACGATGCCAACGCTTGGTAACGTGAGGCTCTCCGAGAGCGAGGTAGCGGAAGCCTGGCTTGGACTTGAGCACTTGCTCGAGCTTCTCTCTTTCCAGATCAGCGGGGAAGGTCTTGACGAGGATCTGATGGTTGCAAGCAGGGATGGTGGCTTGTTCGGCATGCAACGCTTCAGGCTCTCCGTAGCGCGAGAGGAGTGTAACATCAATGGCTTCAGAACGGCCTGCTCTGTAGTTGTCGTAATTGTCGCCGTCGTACGAGTCTGATTGGTTGCGGCGCGAGGCATCGTGAGCTTGCTCCTGAATATCGTAGTTGAGTTTGTCCAGCTTGCCGTCGTTGAGCTCCTGGAGCCAAGCTTGCTTCTTTCCAGCACGAGCCGCTCGCTTTCGTTCATTACGGGCACTGAGCCAGGGCTCGGCGGGGGAGTACTTGTCCTTGAACCAAGCTTCATGGCTTCGCTGCTCGAAGAAGACAGCAATTGCCTTTTTGTTGAAAGCAGCTTTGTAGGACTGGTAGCCATCGTAGATGTCCTGTGTGCTGGGTGGGTCAATGGAACGATCACGGGCGGATGGATGAGCAGCCTTGATCATCTGAGCATATTGACGGAAAGGCAGGAGAGAGTCGCACTGCATAGGGTCGGGAAGAGGGTGCGGATCGAATGAGGCGCTTGCGCCTCGGTCCAAAGCATGAGCGGGATCGTCTCTGCGATACTGCGAATCATAAGACGGGTAAGGTGGTTCGCGGTCACTACGATGACGGTCGGTGGAAGGAGGCGAGTCATCGTACCTAGATCGAGCCGAGTAGCGTTCGCGGTCGTCATAAGCAGGTCGATAGTCGTGCTGCTCTCTTTGATCTCGTTCGCGGTAGCATCGTTGCCACTCTAGAGCTGGACCACGTTCGGAGCGGTCGTCGTAGGCTTCAGATGGACGGTAGTTGTCGTAAGCTGCAGATCGAGATGCATAAGGAGATGGGTCGCGATAGTCGCGTGTGCGGTCCCAAGGGTCAGCAGGAGGATAGTCATTGTATCTGTCATCGCGATAGTAGGATGGTGATGGCGAGCGACCACGTTTCCTGGAACGGTCGTAAGAGTCATGGTCATCTGAAGGACGCTTGTAGTGGGCAGTAGCGGGAGGATAAGTGTCTGGCGCTCCTGGACCAGCACGGTCGTGGGAGCGATAGGAGGAGCGGTAGTCCATTTGCGAGAAAAGGAGCGACCGATGCTCAGCGCATTTGGCAGTCAAAAAATAAAAAAAGGGGGGGAGGGGGAGGAAAGCAAGGTTGTGCTACGTCGCAGACTGCTGAGTCGAGAATGTAATGCAAAGGAGTGACCAAGGGCGAAGGCTAGATCAGTGCTAGTCGGATGAGGCGTCCAAGGTGCAAAGACGAGTGAATGAGCCAAGGGATGCGCGGCGTGTCAAGGTTGAGTCACGTCGAACGTCTCGATGAAGTGTCTGTGTGTGTGTGTCTGTGTGTGTGTGTCTGTGTGTGTGTGTGTGTGTGGGAACTTGGAGGAAAGCGAGCTTACCACACGAGATCGAGAGGAGAGATGAGTGAAGGAGAGGGGCAGAGTGGTGATCACAAAGTGAGATGAGATGAGATGAGATGAAGCGTGTCGACGTCCGAAGCACTTCTCCAGCCAAAGTTGCACAAAAAACAAAGCAGAGCACCGAATCCCGATTTCCGATCTTTTCTTTCTCTCGCCCTCTCTCCCAGACTGCGACTGCGAAACGCGTTTGGAGCGCGTTTCGCATTCGCAGTCGCATTCGCAGTCGCAGTCGCGTGTAAGGAAAAGCAAATCCAAATTCTCTGTTGAGGAAAACACAGTCAGGGCAGTCAAGCAAGTGGCAAAAATCATTAGCATTCAAAGGAACTAAGTACAAAGCAATAACAGAAGTATATATGTCTCTGCTGTCAGTTGATGTGTGCATGCATAGGGGAAAGTGACACATATGGGGGTGTGCTGTTGTCAAGTAGGATAGGAGTGTTGGTGGGGAAAGCCATGTGTTGGTGGGAGTTGACAAGTGGCAATGCCAAGTGAAGTTTGCAGTCATGTTAGAGCATGAACACACAGTCATGTGTTTTCACTGCCCTCCTCACAAACTGAATGACCAAGGGAGTTGAGGTCCATCATACCAAGACATTTCCAGGTGCACATTAGGAGGTGTTGGGACACTGGTTTTGTGAGGTAGTCTGCATCATTGTAGTTGGTCTTAATGTATTGCATGACAATATCACCCCCCAGGACATGGTTTTGGATGAGATGATACTTGGTGTCAATTGTCAGGGGTCTCGTGCCTGAAACCCAGGTTGGTCTGTCGAGATACTCGGTGACTATCAAACTGTGCGACAGCTATTGTCTCAGTATCGGTGACTATCAAGTTGTGCAGTGACAGCAGGTGGCATTCATTGTATATACTATCGTAGGTTTCGGCTGACCTCTGTGGACACTCCGTTCAGGGGTAGCTTGGCACGATCAATATCAATGCTTTGGTTATGATGACACCAAGGTCTGGTGTGAGTGTTGATGATGATGAGGTTGATGTCGTTGGTGATAAGGTTGGTGAGTGTTGATGATAAGGAGGTTGATGGTGTTGGTGATAAGGTTGGTGGCATCAACATGAGTGTCCAGTGTGTTGACTTGATGCTTGAAGTGATCCCCGGACCGCAGTGGACTACTGCCTTCGGTTCTATCTATATCCGGACCGCTAACCTGCTATGGGTGCCTTCGGACGTCAGGTAGTGGTGATACAACACACACACTACGATGAGGAGCAACCTTGATAGATTGCTGCTATGCTGACTGTAACTAATGAGTACTTGTGTTTCTAAGTATTGACTAGTTGTATGGTGAGTAGAGTGGATGAGGATCCACTCGACCTATTGATGATGAGAAAGCATGGTTATATACCTCTTCTCAGCATCGCCAGCGATGCTGCTCCTGCTCTCTCTCAGAGAGTACCTTCTTCATCGAGTACTGCTCAGGGGCCTCTCCTGCTTGGCACCCCTGTGCCTCTTGAGCTGTGTCGACTCCTTCGACACTGCTCCTCCTCCTCATGACCTGATGTCAACCCTTCGACACTGCTCCTCCTCCTCATGACCTGGTGTCGACTCCTTCGACACTGCTCCTCCTCCTTTGATCAGTGACCGTTCCTTTGGCTCTTGTCTCTCAAGCCCCTGAGTGGTAACCATCTGCATGCTCCTTGAGCTTGGTCCTCTTCGTGGCTGTGCCTGCTCCTTGAGCTTGGTCCTCCTCGTGGCTGTGCTTGGCCCTCCTTTGCATGTGAGTCCATAGGAGTCCATGGTCTCCATGGAGACTGCACTACGCTCTCTACTGATCTCGACTAGATCTTCGATACCTGTGCTCCTTCCATATGAACCCGTGACCCTCCTGCTTCTTGAGCATCCAGGCCCATGACACTACCCCCCTCTTAAGAGCCGAGCTCCGTCGAGGCATGCTCTGGTCTGGTCCATGCTGACTCCTCCTCCTCCTCCTCGACAACATCGCCAACATCATCCTTCCTCCTTTTCTCAACATCATCCTCCTTCCTCTTCCTCTCTCTACTCCCCCTGTTCTCTCCTCCTTTCTCTACTTTGTCTACTCACTCATCCCCCCTCCGACACCTCATACTCCTGGATGAGGTCAGGACAGTTGAGGTTCTCTACTGGTTCCCATGAAGCAGCTTCTTCTGAGTATCCTCTCCACAACACTTTGTACTCTGTAGTCCCATTGTGTGAACGCTTGTCGATGAGTGCTTCGACTTCGAAGTCGAGGTCCTCATCTGGAAGTGATGGTATGGTTGGCTGTTCAGCATGTTGAGGAAGAGAACTTGTTCTTGCTGGCTCAAGCATGGAGACATGGAACACATCATGCACCCTAAGGTTTGCTGGCAATGTGATTCAATAAGCTTGGCATCCTACCTGTTCCTGAACTGGGTAGGGTCCTGCAAACCGGGTATCTAACTTGGGTGTGGGTCTCCTTGTCTTCCAGTTTCAACGGTTGATATAGACCATATCACCCACCTTAAACTCGATGTCCTTGTGCTTCCTGTTATACTGGTCTACTGATCTACGTTGTGCCTCTCTGATCTGCTCCTGGAGGTACTTGCAATGCTCCTTTCCATCCATGAGGTACTTGAAGCGACCTGGGTCATTGACTCCCAGTCATTGAGGGATGTCAGGATGAGCTTTGGGGTTCCATCCATAGCATGCAAAGAATGGTGAGACACCAATGCTGTTGTGGACTGTGTTGTTGTATACAAAGGCTGCAGTGTCCAGCAGGTTGGCCCAGTCATCCTGTTCATAGTTGCAGTACATCCTGAGGTATTGCTCTATGACCTGATTGACCCTCTCTGTCTGACCATCAGTTTGAGGATGGTAAGCCATGCTAAGTGAGTGCTTCACACCCATTTGCTCTGCAAATGCCTTCCATGCTCCTGATATGAACTGCCTGCCTCGGTCTGAGACCATGTGATCTGGGTATCCGAAGAGTCTAACCATGTGTCCATATAGCAACACTGCAGTCTGTTTGGCCGTGACTGTCTTATGGGTTGGAGCTAGTATGGCAAACTTGGTTAACCTGTCAACAATGACTAAGATAGAGTCATAGGTCTTGGAGTCATACTTCTTCGATGGTGGTAGTCCTTCGATGAAGTCGAGGGATATGGAGCCCCAGGGCCTGTCTGGTGTTGCTAGTGGCTGTAGCAAACCATATGGACAATGATGAGGAGCTTTGTACCTAGCACATACAGGACAACTTGCTACATAGTCTGCAATCCAAGCTGTCATGTTTGGCCACCAGTAATGTCGTTGAGCTGCCTTGATGGTAGCATCTCTTCCTACATGTCCAGCAGTGATACCATCATGGCATTGGGTCATCACCATGAATCGCAGATGCTCTACAGAGAGAGACTGTCCATCTACCTCTTTGGCACTCCTTGAGTGTCAGTTGTTGGTCCTCCCTGGCATGATCACTTTGGGGATAACCAACCTTCCTCCACTGTACCATAGGTCATCCTTGACCTCGAAGGGCTTCTTCCTATGTATCTCCTGTAGCTCTTGGTCTAAGGGCTGGAAGATCTTGACCAGGTCTCTGAGACCTTTTGATGCTATGGACTCCATCGAGAGCATAGGGGCCACTAGGGTCAAGTCATGGTCTGCTGTCTCCCTGAACACTCGAGGAGGCAGTAGTTGCCTCACATTGTGATCTTGCTCTTCACCAGCTGGTTGCATGTCTGTCCTTCTGGTGAGAGCATCGGGTTCACCACCTTTGTCTCCTGGTCGATACTGCAATATGAAGTCGAAGTCTGCTAGTAGTATTGCCCATCGAGCCTGTTGACCTGTGGTGCATCTCTGTGACTTGAAGTACTTGAGGGCTTCATGGTCGGTGAGGATGACCAGTTGGCTTGGTAGTCCATCTAGCATGTGTCGCCACTGAGTGAGGCAGGCGACCACAGCTAGGAGCTCCTTGTCATGGATCTCATAGTTCTTCTCGGCAGAAGACATCTTCCTAGAGTAGAAAGCCACTGGATGCCATCGTCCTTCATGCTCCTGCTTGAGTACTCCTGCTATAGCAAAGTCACTTGCATCAGTCTCCAACCTTGTTGGAAGATGGTAGTCGAAGTGCTGAAGCACTCCTGCTGATGTGAAGGCCTGGATGAGCTTGTGGAAAGCCTGTTGGGCCTCCTCTGGTAGCTCGAACTTCTTGAATCGTTCTATAGGCTTTACCAGTGCTGTCAAGGGCTTGGCTATGCGAGCAAAGTGGGCTATGAACCTTCGATAGAAGTTGGCAAAACCCAGGAACCTCTGGATGTCATGGATTGACTCCGGCATTGGCCACTCCTTGACAGTTCGCACCTTTTCTGGGTCCATCTCTATGCCTGTTGGCTTGATGATGTACCCCAGGAACTCGACTGTCTTGGTGTGGAACTCACACTTCGACAGCTTAGCAAAGAGCCTGTTGCCTCTTAAGCGAGTGAGGACCTCGGTGACATGCTTCACATGTACCTCCTCAGTGTCACTGAAGATCAGGAAGTCATCTAGGTATACCACCACATATACTCCAATGATGTCTTGGAAGATGTCGTTGATGAATGACTGGAAGTGAGCCGGAGCATTGGCTAGGCCAAAGGGCATCACTAGGTACTCATAGAGTCCCAACTGAGTGCCAAAAGCTGTCTTCCATTCATCTCCTTTAGCA